GCGGATATAAAGAGGAACAGTGTGAGGCCAAGGATGAAGACCAAAACCGCAGGTCACGGAGAAATAGTTTCGTCGATAGCAGGTCCATTTGCCGTCGGACGGGAAGAAGCCCCGGCCCATTTTTGCGTGAACCTCGGGCTTCAAAGTTTGGTATTGACCACCAAAATCTGCAACAATCGTTTCAAGGAAAGTGGTATCATCAAAAGGCGGTGCCTCAATCTGTGGCTGTGAGCGTTGTGAGGAATCCACCATCGGTTGCTGGTACAAGGTACTCTGGGTCCGCTCCAGGTTTTCTAAAGCTCGAGGAGTGCCTGAATACTGGTGGCGTGTGGGAACATCGTTCATTCCAGCCAAAGGCAAACCCATAGCTCCAACACTTCCACGGTGTAAGGCATATGATCCCCCATAGCCATTGTTGCGCCCCATAAGGGCAGGAATGGGGTTCAAAGCATACCCTGAGCTTTGGGTAGCAGATGGGATAACAGCCGGAGGTTGGCTATAGCATCGAGTATAGATTAGCCACAACTTCATCCACGATTGATAGAGGAAGGCTTACAGAGCTGGCACCCGTCGAAAGTCCATTCTATCAAAGGAATGCTGAAGCTGGGAGAGATGAGGGAAGATGGGGGCAGAGGAGGGCGAAAACGAATCTTTACACCAACAATCAGTTAGAGCATGTCTCAATAGAAGTATAAAGAAGACTTACCAGGACACGAGTCTGGAGGAGTCATTATAAGACCACTTGAACCGGAATATCTAAAGCAAAAAAGTTCAGTAAAACAAGATCCACGTGTGATTGCCTGGAATTAAAACAGCGCAAGAAGATATCAGAGGAGTTCTAGCGCAGGAAACCATGATGCGCAAGGAAGTGAATCAAAACCGGCGCGAAAAGAGGCAAGAGACCTCAACGGCACAAGCTCGATAAAACAGGACACGTCGGAAGAAAGGCATGCGGGCAGCAGATCGGTACGGAAGGTACAGAAACAGGCCGGACTGAAGTCCAAGCTGCCCGGACCCGGAGGAAGCGCAGCGACAAGGGTCGAGAGGCTGGCCGAGCGCAAGGGTAGTCCAAATTGAAAGGTAGAAATAACTTACTGTAAATCCTGCATCGCAGGCTGCTGTGCATGGTACCTCACGCCGTTGGTGTCAGGCATGGAGGCGAGACCTCCGACTCGCCGGCTGTCGTCTTCGTCCATCGCAAACCCTGTCACATGGGGGCCGATATAGTTACCCTCCGAAGTTGCTGGATCATTCAATGAGAATGACTCCGATAGGAGAGATGCTGAAGATTCCATAGATTAGCTGGGGGAGATATAGAGAGCTAGAAATGTTGGAACAAGCCGCATGACAAGAATAGAGAGGAAGGAAAAATTAAAAGGGGAGAGATAGAGAAGCTTACCGGGATTCATCCTGAGTGTGCTGATTCCAGGTGCTTCGAGACCCTGAACTTTGGTGCAACTGAGGTAGCACCAGCGAGACGCCAAAGCTTTCGGTCCTTGACTTCTTGGGTGGTAAGAAGTTGATGTCTAGCATAGCCAAGGTTAGTGACCGGACCGAGGATTTTGCTCTGTCAAATTCCCTCATACCCGTTTGATGCCACTAGTATCCAGGCCTGTCAGATATAGCGTGTCTGAGTCTATGAGAAAAAGAATATGTTGGAAATGGCGAATGCAAAGAAAGGGCCACTTCGGCCGGTCTCTTGATAGAAGCCGGAATAACTCTCAGAGGTCGTGGCTGGGGGATAGATGATATGAAATCTGGAGGGGAATGGGGCAGTAGAGGAAAGTTGGCAATAAAGAGTGGAGTAAAGAAAGAAGGTCCTCAAAGTTGAAGAGAAGAAGGTGATAACATGCTTCAAGAGAGTGAAGCCTTATAGGTGACAGGAAGAAGTGAATAGTGAATGTCGGGCAAAAGAGTGCGTCACCGATTGATAGACATGACTTCCTAATTGGGGACCCTCACATAAACCAGAGTACTGGGTACACACACGCAAAGAAGGTATAGATCGGACCAGGCTAGTAGCGCTGAGACCATCGAAAGAAACGAAAGAAGCCTGTAAAAAACAACCAAATGGAAACAATAGCAATCACAGAGGGGCAAAAAGAAAAGTCCAGAAGGGGAAACGATAAATTCACTGATGTAATCCGGTGTGACAGTGTGAACAAATCAAAGACAGCTCGGCATCAACAAGTATCTTGCAGGTACTGCAAAAGAATGCGACCTCCAACTCCCGCAACCCTCACTTTAAGAGAGTGCCAGAGCGGATGCAGAGCAGATCCTAAGGGATATTCCTTTTGACGGGTTGCAGAAGTGGAATTTGTGGCTTACCTACTAGATATAGAGATGGGAGGGTGATGTGTGCTAAGATTGAGATCGAAAGGTGCGTATGCAATTGAGCTTTATGGAAAAGAGAAGAGAAGAGATATTTGTTTGAAGCTCATTCCAAAGCCGTTCTCGGGATTGCTCCCTTCTACCCTGGTCAGTTTGAAAAAGACTCAACGATCTAGCCGAGAGGCGACCACTCCCACGAGTTCCTGGGAACTGCCAGGGACAGTGGAAATACGTTGTATTCGACAAGGCTACAATGGGTGGCAGCATTTTGCATAGGGGTCCAACCAGAATCGGCCAAGAATTTCCATGAAAAATCAATAATTTTTTCTTTTTTGATGATTTGTATTTCCCCCTACTTCCGGTAAAGCGCGAATGGGGTGGGTGCGTGTCTCCATAGTAGAGTAGCATCGAATCATCGGCTCCGGTCCCAGACAGTCTGATTGTTCAAGGAACATGACATTGGCCGGAATTCCATGCATGTCCTAGGACAGACACCGGCTGCACGGACCGTGACTCTGGGATAGGATGTATTTTCCCTTCCAATTTCCGAAGTCAGATGCCCCAGTGCAAACCGACAGACGGGTTACTGCAGGAGAACGAAATAAGATGAAACTAGAAAGGGTGGAGGAGATGATCAACGCCCCGGGATACCCGTGCAGACCCCAGTCCCATGACAGAGGTGATGTATCAGACTTGGAAGCCAATAACAAAAGGTTTGAATAATTTGGGGGGGGGGGGGGTGGGTTGTCCACACAAGGAAGAGAAGATCCTTGACCATGGTCCGTGATTTTCGGTGAAAAGCCTGTCGGAGTAGTCCCATCCATATTCATTATTGGTTTGATTACTCTTGGATCACCCAGGAGGCTCGAGGATCCCAGCAGCAGTTCTTGCATGAAGAAAGAGGAAGATCATGCGATCGGCGGTTTCCATTGAGCAAGCTGCATTGTTCATGTTGGCAACGTTCTCACCGACAAACCAGGAAGGGGAATAAACACATCACGTTTGAGCTGACATAGCTAAAAAATTCCAGTCCAAAAGAAACAGATCTAGCACACCCGGCTTTCAGTAAAAATATGTAAAAAAGGTAAGACTTAATGGAGGACGGTGATCTCCACTGGGGGCGCTAAAGTAGATGCAACGGGGGAAGGAAATGCAATGGGGGCGGTCCGTACCCGGTAGCCTTTTCCAGAATGGAGCTTTCAGGCCCACCGAAATCTAACCACGGCCTTGGGGGTAGATCCAATCCTAGTCTCCATGAGCCCCCATCCTGATCGCGTCGACAGAACTGCATTAGTGGCTGGAAGATCGGCCATCCTGCAGGAGGCTAGCTGGGCGTGATGGAAAGGCGCAGGGTGAAAAAGCACCCGGGAGCCCATGATTGGCGGGAGAAGACCTAGATCGAATTCCTCGGAGCCCCAGTGAGTGATAATGGAGGGGGGTATGTTGTGCAGGCCTTTTGCCCCACGTAATGGTGCTTTTGCCAATATCGGAATTATTTGCAGGGTTCTTACTCGAATCGAGACTAGAACGATCAGACGGCGATGAGTGATGTGATTAATGACGATGTTGACATTGCTCGGCTTTTGGCTATCCCTTCCCGAGGCACGTGCAGAGGCGGTGAACCCAGGTAAGTAACGAGTACATGGACTTGCATATTGGAGATGAGTGAGCCGAAGTACAGATGACTTGCAGATACAACTACACATCCACGTATCTACGTAACTCCAGGGCTATAATAGTCGCCTACCCCCATATGGCGTACTTGCAATAAGCAAAAGTTATTATATGTCCACTCCACTTCCGATCTATCACTTAAGATATATACATAACCATAATTGTCCGGACACTGCAGGTACTGTACCCAAGCCTATTCCTAATGATTTGAGTTTCCTGTCGGGGCTATTAGGATGTGCATGAACCCATCAATCTAACCATGGATATGCAGATCGATCAAAACCTTGAAGCAAATTCGAGGTTGCAGTATCCTCCTGTCTCAGCTATAAAAAAAAATAAAAAAATAAAAAGCAATACAAAAAGCAGAGACCCTGTCTGTATTCAGTGCCCATAGCATATCCCGAGTCCGTGAAGGATTGCCATCTCAACGCGAAAAATACTCCTGTGCAACGGCCATCTACTGCAAGATGAGAAAGCCCCGTGGTCAATACCATGGATGTTTTACAGCATTCGGCCGGATGGTACAGTAGGCAACAGGTCTATGCAACAGTCAAGAACATCCCGGGGTCGGGATGATCTACTTCGAGACATTTGGAATGTTTTGAATTTCGAATGGTCATTGGCTCTGTAGATCAGATGCAAGTGTCATTCTAGACCCCTACAATATGCGCGTTGCTCTGGGATCTTCAATGCGACACGCCCAATGGACCCATACCGTCCATCCTGGTTGGTTCGAGGCAGATTATGCACCAGCGCGGAAGGAGTTAAAGGTTTCTCTCTTTGTTGCCTGATGTCGGCCCCGGAATAAGGTTTCAACGGTCATTCCGAGACATATCGACCTCAGGTTACTTCACTCTCCATACTTGTCCTCATTCATAGACCGGGTTCGACTTGCTCCACATATCTCGGACACAAGGTTCGGTGATGGGTTACCTATGTATCACTTCTTCCGAAATTGATGCGACAATTGACCTGATTACTGGTAGCCCGTTGCAATGGATGAGACGAGTTGCAGAGTTGACAAGGCATTCGTTTGTCTGACGGCGCTGGTTCAACTTCCTTGTCCTCCGTACAGGCAAATTACTGCCCTATATTGGGATGTCATTGGCAAACAGCCCTATCCTGTCATCCTAAACCTTGATCGCCTGGATCTCCAGCCCGGCAACATCGATCGTATCACAACCAAGATGCTCCTGGCAAAAAAGCCCCATCAAAGTATGAAGGATCCTGACCTTGCCGGCATAGATGGCAAGGCAACGTGTCAGCCAAACAAGGGACTCGCCGGAAGCCAGGATGTCCCATTGGCTCGCCGTCTTCAAACTCTGGACATGAAGCTTGTCAGGTGGGCAACATGCTTTGGATGGCGTTGATGGCAGACCAGTTGAAGATTGCCGCGAGACAAACAATCGACCTGTCAGCCGTTATTTTTTGGTTTTTCGCCTCTCCGTGGCAATCAATCAACGTTAGCCTTTGTCAACGATTTCTGACAGCGCCCAGCCAACCCTAAGATGCGCCGACGTAGTACGGAGAAACCGCCAAGAAAAAAACCCGCTCAACGGCACGGAGCCGAGAAGTTTCTCAACGAAGAATTGCCCTTCTTGTCGAATCAGTCGAACCAATAGCACCACTATCCTCGTCGTTCTGGCGCTTCAATTCCCTGCAATGTCTCACCGAGACTTCGGAAAATCATGAACACCTTTCACATGTGTCTGTCTATCGTACTAGATGGCCGCAGCAGAGGCCAAAAAACACGGTGGCCTGGAGAGCGGTTCCAAGGAAGCAGTAAACAACAGGGTAAAAAAGCTCTCAACGCTCCACTCCACCCCTGTCCATGCAAACCCACTCGGGGGCCAAAAAAGCCAGAGCGCAGGTAAGCTTTTTGCCCCCATCCAAGTCTCTTTCCTAAAAGAAGCACCGATACTACGTTATACAATAGCATCCATCCCGTTGCCGGGATATTTAAACAAGTCAATTTTTGCCGGCGAGGCTTGGTGTTTTGAGTTCATTTGAGATCTCTTGTCGATCTATACATAGGTACTTTTGTGATTAGGCCGGGGGATCTAGGACCCGAGGCGTAGATAGTACGCAGTAATGCTTGCCTGTGTCTCGCCTTGTGGGTACTGTACATCGGAGACAGGTACAGTCACCAGCTCTAGAAGGATCCATCCCGGTGCCATCTCCACTGTCATCCGAAGACGCAGAATTTGATGTCTCAATGCTTGAACCACCACCATTCCCTGGGATGTATCTGATATTGGAGCAGTCGAGGCCTGCGCATTTTTTTCTTTCTTTTGAGGATGACGGCTTACCCCTGTCTATGGTTTGGGGGATTTCTTGTCAGCCGAGCATTGCACCAGATCTCTGATATTCGTGGACGTGGTGATATGACGGGTTTTGTATACTGAAGTCAAAGGTGAAGGGAGGTTGAGGCTGACTCCTTTTGCAGATAGAGGGATACCCGAGGACCGCAGAATGAAGGTCCATCTATGCAATGTGACTAGCTTGAGAAAGTCGAGTCGTGAAATGGGCGTGGTGGATAACTGACATCTTGCACATGTGCATATACCATGCTTGGTCGATGTTGAGAATGGCCCGTTCCCAACCACATTCCTCACGACCATGTTAAACCAGAACTTAGATGATCAAGGGATTGGGCGCTATATTGACCATAGATGTGCTACGGGGTGGATGACCCAGGAACAATACACGTGGCACATGTCCCATGGGAGAATGGAATGTTCCATGGTTGGCATGAAGCAAATACAGAATAAAACCTTCTATAAACAAGCGCCGATTCTACCCAGGATCAATAAATGGCCACATAAACCAAGACCATGCAGAATTGGAATGAAATATCTCTTAACCCATTGCTTTTGTATCTGACGAATGCAAGTATATGACATGAAAGATGTCTTTTTGGTAATCATCATTATCAATCAGATCATACAGTACAAAGGAAGAGAGGATCGGCCGAAAGGCAGGCCCGCCTGAGAAGAAGGAAACAATCCAACCAGAAAGTCGTAAAAGAAAACCGAGAAACGAATTTAAGTAGACCGCTTGGCGAATTCGACGCGGAGAATGAGGTGGCGGTAACCGACTAAAAGAAGAAGAAAATGTTAGCACTCTGGGGATCTGTCCAATGTAGATGCTGAAACAGGGTGAAAACATACAGCCATCCACCTTCTCGCAAGCAAGCGCTGCATCGCCACGGTCCGCATAGCTGATGAATGCGAAGCCCTTGGCCCTCTGAGTTTCCCGATCCCGAGCAAGGAAGACTCTGGTAACACGACCGAACCGTTCGAAGAGATCCCGCAACTCCTGTTCCTCTGCCAACTCGCTGACCTGTTTGAAAGAAAGAAGTAAAAATCAGCACGGAACCAATGTAACAACCGCAGCCCTCGTAAAAGGGCAGATAAGAGTAGCACATACGTTTGTAACTCTCAGAGTCGCCAAATCGTCCTTCTCGAAGCGACCACCCATCTTCTCGCCGCCGCCAGCACCACCCTTCCGCATGTGAGGAGGCACGTAGCTGGAGCCAGAAGCACCAAGACCACCCTTGTCCTCTTCCACATCGGCAGCACCAGCACCAGCGGTGCCCTCCTCGACAGGGGCCATGGTGTCCTTGAAGGGACAGCGGGCCGTGAAATGCTCTCCGGAACAAATACGACACTTGACCTTCTTGTCCTTGAGCTGGTCCTTCATGCTGCCCTTCTCGCCGCCGTCCTTCTCGGCCTCCTTAGCCTGTGCCTTCCAGTTAACGCTGGGGCGGAAGACGATGTTCTCGCCGACGGAGGTGGTGTCGAAGGAGGGACCGGCGGCGTGGCCCTTCTCGTTTCCGAACTTTTCCCATTTGCGGCGTTCGGCGACTTGGGGGTTGACGTGTTCACGGACCACTGTGGTCTTAATCCGGCGGGTGACCTTCACTTTCTTGTTGTCATCGTTAAAGCGGTAGGAGATGACGGTCTTGGTGCCGTCTTTGTTCGCGATCACTTGTTGCGCGGGGAGCGCGGAGGGGTCATCGAATTCCTCGTCGTCGGCCCAGTCGGCGCGGCTGGAAATTGAAAAATTTGTTAGACAGGGGAATATGAGGGGTTTTAATGGGTGTTTACTCACTTCCCAAGTTTAGACATGGTGTGTGTAGTGGTGTTATTAAACTGCGGCTGAATTTCTGGATTTCTTTCAAAGGCGAATCCGTTGTGGATTTGATAATTTACTGTGGCGCTGTGGCTGGTGCAGTCACGTGGGGCGGTGACAACCCCAGTCCTCTTTCTCCTATTTATGCTGTGGATAAGAGCATAGACAACCTTTAATTTTTGCTCTACGGTATATCTAAGTATACTGGTGCTGTTGAATGAAAATCAAACCGAACGCCATTGCCCTGAAAGTTCTCCATTAACCACCAGCCATAACCCCCGATAGCATATGAAAACCGCTTGCCGCCAGCAAACTTTCTTAGGGCTTTTCTTCTTCGAACATCATCTTCTTGATAGTTCCCATGAAGTCATGTTTCAGACGTAGGCAATTTTGACTGAACCATGATCTTTACCACCAAACCACAGTGAATGCTCGCAGTGTGCGGAATAGTACCTGGCCTGTATTTTGAACTCCACCTCGTAGTACTCCTTCCCATATGCACCGATTTTAACCGGGATAGTCGCCTTGAAGATACGGTCAAGTGGTGTTTCAAGGATCGCGTGTTTCTTGATCTCTTCGAGATGTAACGATACTTTAGTACCTTCAGATATGAAAAGTAATTAAGCGAAAGGATCACTTACTTCGATTGAAGTACAACGGCGCATCTTCCCCTTCAAGTGTATTCAGCTCATAAATTTGAACCGGGAGAGAATTAACCTCGCCTTGTGTTTTGAGAAAATGCCTGACCCAGGATGTAGTGATTGGCACTGACTCTTGTATATCCTCCCCCTATCGTTTTCATTAGCCCTCAACCTCACTTATCCAGATAAATTTCTGCAAATACTGGCCTTGTTTATGAACCATGCCATAACATCGATGTGAAAGGTCCCACTGTAGAAATCCCAATACCTTTTAGTACAGTCTAAGGTTAGCATGAGACGTTATTTAGGACCATAATAGTCACATTTTCTGTAGATCATGACCATCCTTGAACGGAACCGCTGTAATAATACCGTAATGCTTTCGAGCCACCCGAGACTCGACCTGGATTTGGGGCGCAGGATTAGACATGTCTGCGAGCGCTTTTACGCAAGCCCCTCTGGCGAGAGCGGTCCACCCATTAACAGGGGCGATGATGCTAATTTCGGAGGGAATGAAACGGCGCAGATATTCAAACAATAGCGGGCTTTGTCCAAACCCACCCACGAGGAAGACGGACTTGGGGCTGTTTTTCGAAAGCCGAATTTGACGCATGACCAGCTCGAGGGTTTCGGCCAGAACAGGGAGTAATGTATCCATCAGCTCCTGGCCTGTCACTTTGTAAGAAGTTCGATGTATACCAAGTGATTCATTATCAGCGAGCCCTGGTACCGGGATGGAGAAATCTTGTTTCGTGTCACCGCTAAAGCTTCTCTTCGTCTCCATTTCAAACTCACGCATGGCAGCCCCCAGAGTATCGTCGTCCCAACCTTCGCAATTTCCCAGTCGCTCAGAGAGAAAATGTTCGAAAATATTGTTCAGGAAAATTCCTCCGCAAAGTTTACCGTCGCCGGCAGCGGACTCCTTCAGACGAAGCACGGGCTGAAGCGCAAGAATTGTGAAGGTGATGCAATCCACAGTTCCACCTCCTGCGTCGCAGACAACAATAGTGTCATCGACTTCAAGGGCGGAGGAGCGACTCTGTGTCATAACATGGACTGCCGCAGCCTCGGGCTCCGAAATGATTTGAATATCCGAGGCTCGTCCTAAGCCAGCTTTCTCGGCGCAAGTACGTGTCTGGGATTTCGCCTTTTCTGGCCACATAGCGGGAACCGCGATCACATACTTAAACGACATCGAATCAAGAGCGGTGCCAAACTGGTCCTTGAGGACTTTTGGAATATGCTCTTGCAACGCATGTAGATAATCGATCAAAACTCTGTTTGCTGTCACCCTATGTGGGTAATTCATACGTCGAGGATCATGGTGATCTGGCAGGAGGGTAGCCTTGCGATGCTTCCTTCCCTCAGGGACGAGATCCAGTTTGAACGATTGAAGACGTGGCATGTTCTTGGGAATTTGGGCTCCCCAGACAGGCAAGACTTTGCGATTGTCGTAGTTGTATGCCAGTTCAGAGGGCGTCTTGTCGGCTGTCTGACCACCGAGGTCGCCGGCAATATTGCAAGGCCATCGTTGGATGATATGTATGGCCTCAGGCTGAACAGGTTAGCATGTCACGCATTCGAATTAACAAACCTACATTCACCCACGTTGGCCGTATGTGCCCATGCTATGCCGGAAAACGTTGTACCAAAGTCTATGGCCACAACGATATCTTTCTTTAGCTGCGTCATGGTTGAAGTCCGATTGAAGGATGATCGAGGAATAGTTAAAGAATGAGAGAAGATCAGTAAAATGGAATTCGGCTTCTCTCAAGAAAGAGAACTGTAATGCTCAAATTTAGCGTTTTGATCCCAAGGATACAGAGTCTTCGGATCTGTTCCAAGGTTAATTTTGTGGTTCAAAGCCAGTCAGCGAAGAGTGAGAAGTTGTACTCAAAGTTCTGATGCTGCCTAGTGACAAGCAGATGGGATAGAAACACCAGACTGAAGGTTTTGAGATTTGTGAGTAGAAGCGTAGAAATAAGACGAGTAGGAGCTTGGCCTTGAAACTTTAGTGCGCGAGAAACGCGACTAAGGAATAAAGAGACTGAAGTATGAATGAGAATGTTTGAGAAGGAGAAGGAGGAGGAGGAGAAGAAGAAGAAGAAGAAGAAGAAGAAGAAGAAGAAGAAGAAGAAGAGGAAGAGTCAAGTTTTTAGACCCCTTGTGTTTGTCCAAAATCCACCGCAGCATTTTCGGGTCTAGACACCGTCTAGGAAAGGGTACATGGTAAAATAGAAACTTGTGTGTAGCTTTAAAGACGAAGAATTTAATACTATTAGCTCCAAAGCCTTGCTATAATACATGCACGGGAATAGAATTGACATGTAGCATAAAATAAAGAAATTATTTGGAATGTCCTATGTTAGAAGCTTTCTATTCTCGTTTAGCTATCGCTATGGAACAACTAACATATCATACCGAGCAAAAGCAGAGAACAGTACCAATGAACTCCAGTGTTATTTCTGCACCACCAAATTAGAATGGCCCCACCTCTCAAATCCGTATAAGCATTCTCCATGAACGGGATATATGATTGTGTGTTAGCATGTAGTTATGAATTTGGGGCACCATTACCAGAGTCGAAGTAGCATCCGTGCTTTCACGCACAATCACAGCCCCTAGACCTGGCCAAGTAACTCTTTGTTCGAAGATTGAATCATGACTGTTACTTGTTTGACGGCAACCACCTCTCTATCTGGTGTATGACGAACGAGTCCAGGGAATAGAAGCATAAGGGCCAACACAAGGTAAGGAAGTAATATATCAGACCTTCACAAGTTATGAACATCCTATTCACCACATTAAACCGAAAAATAACAGGATTTGAAAAAGGGAAGGACACAATCTCAAAACCCCTTCAAAGCCTCCTCCGTCCACTCCCACAACCGTCCCGCAAGCGCCCCCTCCCGATCCAAAGCAACAGAATCTAAACTCCCATCCATAAACTTCCCAACAGGCTCATAATAGCCCCCATTAACAACCCCCTTTTCTTCATTCTTTCCATTCTCCCACTCCACAAAATCAACAGTAGCAGCCCAAACCTGATTATACGCCCCCTCCTCAGGCTTCACAAACCTCCACCAAGCAGTAGCATAAACAACAGCCCGATTCTTCAAACTCATCGCATCAACCAACCCCGTGTTCACAACACCAGGATGAACAGCCAAAACCTTAAGCCCAGATACCCTCTTGGCCAGCTCACGCGCGTATAGCATATTCGCAAGCTTACTCTGCCCATACCGCTGCCACGGACCAAGGAAACACTTATCCTGATCTGTATCCAGCGTCTCAAACATGATCCCGCCGCGCGGGTGGAGAAACCAGCCCTGTGAGGTGAGGATGACGATCCGGGGATCATCAGACGAGGCCCGGAGGAGTGGAAGGAGTTTCTTGATAAGCAGCGCGTGACCAAGGTGGTTTGTTCCGAATTGAATTTCGTAGCCGTCGGTTGTTTGACCTGGTGGGACGGCCATTATGCCGGCGTTGCACATTAGGATGTCTAGTTTTGGGGATGGGGATTGCGAGAGGAAGGTTTCGGCGGTCTGTTTTATTGAGGCGAGGGAGGTAAGGTCGCATTTTATGAACGTTACATGGATTTGCGGGTTTGTGGATTGGATTTGGCTTATTGTTTCTGAGGCGCGGGCTTCGTTGCGGCCGCTTATATAGATGTGGGATGGGTTGTGTTTAGCTAGGTGGGTTGCTGAGGTTGCGCCTAGGCCGTTTGTTCCTGTGGTGTTGGGGTTAGGATTGGGATTGAGGTGGGAGGACGTGAAGAGTGGGATTCACCTCCTGTTATGAAGATTGATTTGCCAGTTAGGTCTGGGACATCCTTTTCTGGGTTGTAATTGAATGGCGGCATAGTTGAGGTATGAATTAGGGCTAAGCTGCGATAGAGTTTCCTGGTGCAGATTGGCCAACGGAATTGGTAGAACGGGAGGTTTGATTGAAAGTTGAGCTTGAGAGAAGTGTCAGAATGAGATTATACGCTGATTTCTCGTCTGATTTATTGCCAAAGACAAGTAAAGCCCGGAATTGGAGTCTGATCGAAAGCCGCTTGGGAAGTAAGGAGGGCTTGGTCTCCACATGCCTGCATCGACCAATAAGAGATCGTAGTTTCCGAGCCCTCCAACGATATGCCCGCCATCTTCAGCTGCTTCAGCTTTCCATCGCCAAGTCGGTCCGATATCTTACCGAAACACAGCCTCCAATATTTGATTTCAGTTCCCCCGACTCCGAACAATCATGGCCAACATGTGTATGGTCGAGACCGATGGCGTCGCTGTGCGAGTCACGCCCAATCCAGAAATTGACAAGTTACATTTACAAAGTCGAACAGGATCAAAAAAAGTAAAAGATTAATGCAAACGCTGAATAGATATGCAACTATAGACATGCATAAATAGCGGATTCACAATCAATGCTATGAAATCAACGTTCCAACCCAATCGACCCATTATGTACACCATTTAAAAACAAATTTACCGACCACTGCGACGAATTTCAATCGGACGCAGAATGCAATATGACACAAAAGCGAAAGCAAAGCCCAACTCGAAACCGACATCACCGCCGAATGCGGGGTCACCGGCGTGGTGGGCAATAGGTCCAATCCACCATGTTTGGCTCATACCAGTGACGACACCTGCAATACCGCAGCAGAATGCGATAGAGGCTGCGATACCGAGAGGCAGCTTATCAGGCTTGTCGTAGTCCTCTGGGCGGTAGCCGTCAAATCCACGGCGGAAGATGAAGTGGTCGGCGATGGCAATGGCGGAGTAGATGGCAAGCCAGTAGGCGATTAGGTTCATGAAGTTTGTAAGGACGGTTTCGAAGTGGGAGTATCCGGGGATGGCGATGGCGAGGGAGACACACGAGGCCAGGAAAGTCCAGATGAATCGGGGCACGCGCTGGGTGTACCTGTGCAGGACTTGGAGGGTCAAGGAAACAGAGTAGATGTTTGGACAGTTATTGGCGATGATGGACAGGGCCAGGATGACGAGACAGAACTTGCCAAAGCCACCGAGGGGCTCTAGCACAGCTGCGAGCAAACCACCGTTGACCGAAGCAGCATAACCCGCAGCATATTTGTTGTCCCCGCCGTTGAGTGTAGTGGCAGTCATCACGGCAATACCCAAGAACTGGGTGAAGATCAGAGGGACGACAAGACCGAGCCAGGCAGAGAAAAAGACCAGACGGCGGCTCTGGGTCTTAGGCTGGTATACGGTGTAGTCGGCGGCGTAACTGGTCCAGCCAGTTGCGAAGCCGTAGACTGTAGATCCAAAAGACAGACAGGAACCCATTTCAGAGATTCCGACGCCCATGGGGATGTTGACGAAGTCACCCGAGTGAGCAAAACAACCGAGTACAATGAAGAACACAATGCAGGTTGGGATCCAGCTCCAGTATTCATAGATGTGAACGATCTTGTACCCGGCAAAGGTGATGAAAAGAGTGCAGAAGGTGATGATAAGAATACCGGCGTATCCAGGCACGGCGGCGTTGACCGCGTTGAGAAGCTGAGCACCGACGATGGCATTGGCCGCGGACCATCCGATACAGGCAATCACGTTGAGGATGGCAACTAAAATATAGCAATCAGCACCGCCCCTCCCAAGCTCTTCCAGTATCCGGACAACTTACTGAATTTCACAGCCCACCATCCAAACCAGAATCTGGAGAGCACCATCTGGCGCAGTCCAAAGACTGGGCCAAAGCACGAGAAGAAGCACACAGTCATCACACCGAGGAGGTTGAAGAAGAGGCACACCAGAATGGCGTCGACAAAGCCGAGCTCAAATATAGACTGTCCGAGCACACCAATGGCGAAGGAGCTGACAACCATGTTTGCGGCCAACCACTAGGTTTGGTCAGTGGGAGGGGCCGTGGGCCAAGGCTATCACGCCGGGTAATCGCAGGAACACACCATGCTGCCAATGTTTAGATACGACGTATCATTCCGTTCGCTATCCGGCACTCGCTCCACGCCACGCTGCTCGATATTGAACTTGCCGGCGATGCGCTGAATCTTGGCGTAGGTCGAATTACCGTATTCGAAGCTCTCACCGGGCACAGCGCCGTCGCTGGAGTTGTCGAACATGTCATTGTTGCTGTTGGTCTCAAAGGCACTGTTGACCTGAGGAGCCTTTTCGAGGTCCTCGTCCGAGCTGCGAAACGCTTTTGAGAGTTTGGGAAGCATTGTGAGTTTCCGCACCAGTGAAGGAGAAGAAGAGAGGTGTAGAAAGGGATAGAGGATAGATCGAAGAGCGGGTAGGCTCAGCGAGACCTGAAATCAGGATGAAGAAAAGACAGAAGGACAGTGTCACATCTTTTTCATTTTCTTTTTTGTCTCCACCGCGAGGAACAAGCAGTACATATAGTGTCGCGAGAATTCTGTTGCGCGTTGGGCCCCACAGTGGCAAAGATAGCCCTGTCGCGTGGGCAAAAATTCCATAAATTCCAGAACCAAGCAAATGACAAGCCTCAGGGCTCCTCTCCTGGGCGCCTTTCGCCAATGAGAATTCCGTCAGGGGCACTAGCTTATCAGCAGCCCGAGGGTTTCGTTCGCTTGCTTCACACTGGCCGCAGATTGGCCGAAGTGGAGAAGTTTCATCGCAGTTCGGACCCCGTCGGAACATCACTGGATGATAAGAACAGCTATCGATGACTGTTAGCTTCACATTCAGCCATTCAGTGTATCTCTCTCCGTTCATATCCTGAGGTTCTAACCTACCTAGGCAGGCAGTGCCTGTCCTACCTGTCCTGCTTATCTTGTGCAGGGACCACCCTGACTATCACTGACTGTCATTGGCGTACAAACCCCTGTATGACCGTCTAATCCAGCCATAATCATAACCAGATCAAGCTTTTGTTCTGCGTGTCAGACGGGGTACGCCGAACTGCGTGAAGCTTGACAGTGCTGACAATGCTTGTATCGCCTTGGCACGTGCCGTCTTTTGAAGCCATCCCCGTATTCATCTCCACGCGGTCGCTTACCCCGGAAAGGATTGAAGGGACTTCATATGCATCCGAATTGTTCATTCTGAACACAGTCGCAGGCTAGATTGCCGGCTGCTGAGGTAGTTAGAGTAGGGAAGAGAGCCTAGTGTTCTCGATAAAGAAGGTTCAGCCGGATGACCGTGTGATAACTCATCCTTGTTACATGAACGTCGTACGTCAACTTAGGATTCGCAGATATCTTTTGGCTCAAGATTGAGAGACGGAGATCACCGTACTTGACTTTATTGGTAGATCGACATCACCCCAGACCCGCAATCGTTGGATGTTTATGCTTGACCCTACATCTACATCTATACATCTGCCTCAGCGTAAATCGTAAGCCGTCTATTGGTTCTCTCTTACATCTAGCTCGATCCCCCTGGCGAACACCACCAAATGACGTTGTCTTCTCTCTTACATATGCCTCCACTCTTGTCGAACAGTGGCTCGGCACCCTCCGAGATGTCGGAGGATTGCTATCTCTGGATTTTGAGTTCAAGATCTCTCGGATGTTGGATCTCTCGGGTATTTTCGGTCTACGACCAACGGCAAGCGCGCTTAGGTTATGCATTGCTTTACCCCTTTAGGGTATCATAGACTACGCCCTGGGGCTGTCCGTCTTCTCCATCTGCGTAGAGGTCCACTCACCACGTGGTGAGGGGCCTGGGGAGTTCACTGGATATTCCTGCTCTTCTGTTTCATTTCCCTTCACTTAGACATCATGGGATATCCCACTTTACGCCCCATGAAGACATACTACTAACCCTGACTTTCACAACGATTACTAACAAAGACCACTCTCTGTATACAAGTCCAGGTAAAATGTCAAAATGAGACCTTGTCTTCAATCAAACCGAAGCCATAGTCAGCCTCGAGCACCAGAATACGGAGAGTAATTCCAACGCAAATCCGGTGGCCACACTCGGCTCTTTGGTGCATCTTCGCGGCCAGGCGTAATATAATCTGCAGTGCTTTTCAAAGAACTTGAAAATGGTGGAGACAACAATCTAGGGTCGAGCAATCCCAACCATGTATTTTGGTTCTCCTCGTCGTGTTCGCCTGGAAACCGCACAGGACGACCCCCTGGTACCTCTCATGGGGCCATAACTTGCTTTGGACAGCGAGAGCTACTCACGATAAGATATCAACGCCGTTGAGGCATACCGTTCATTATCTATGCAACCTCCCTCCTTAAACAGTCAAACAAGTCACCCCCCAAATGTCTTGGCAGACAGGGTTCGGGAGAAACCAGACCGAGGGAGGCAGAAGAAGCTTCAAACCCAGATACAAGCTTGTCTTGTGACTGAATACCCTGGACACATTTATCCCACCAATTATACAGTATCCCGAGTCGAAGAGAAGCCCGACTGTCCCAGTATGGGTATGATTCTCAGTCAGGCTGGAATAACTGTGAACAAACCCAGGCACCTTCCCCGCTTCCCCTCCTTTTGAAGAGAAAGCTATATCTTAATTAACATGGGGAACTGTGGCTGTATTTCGTCTTATAACTAGTTGTCTTTACTTCTACGCTTGCAAGGGTATACATTGACCAAACAACCAGAACCGAGTACCGCAATATAAGCAAATATTCAACGCGCCTTGTCATCATGGGAGACATCGTATCACCCACAAAGAAGCGGTACGCCCTGGTAGGCACCGGAGGAAGAGCAGGTCTCTTCTACACGACCATTGCGAAGGACTATAGCAAGACAAGTGTCCTAGTAGCGCTTTGCGATACCAATCAGACCCGATTAAACTATGCGAAGTCCAAAATCGAAGCCCTAGGCCACGAGCAAGTCCCAACCTACCTAGCCGCAGACTTCGACAAAATGATCAAAGAAACAAAGCCAGACGAAGTGATCGTCACAACAATCGACAGAACCCACCACACCTACATCGTCCGCGCGATGGAACTCGGCTGCAACGTGATAACCGAAAAACCAATGACAATCGACGTCCCCCAATGCAAAGAAATCCTCTCTGCAGTCGACCGCACCAACCAGCGAGTCAGAGTAACATTCAACTACCGCTACGCACCACACAACACGAAGATCTTCGAGGTAATCCGCTCAGGAGCAATTGGAACAGTGACAAGCATCCACTTCGAATGGATGCTTAACACATCCCACGGCGCGGACTATTTCCGGCGCTGGCATCGCGATGCTCGGAATAGTGGTGGTCTTCTTGTCCACAAGTCGACGCATCATTTCGATCTGATCAATTTCTGGCTGCAGTCTCGACCGAAGACTGTCTATGCTCAAGGCGATCTCAAATTCTATGGCAAGAAGAATGCTGAGGATCGGGGTATCACACAGTTCTACTCGAGGGCTCATGGCAGTGATGTGGCTAAGGATGACCCATTCGCTCTCCATCTCGACCAGAACCAGCAGCTTAAAGCTCTCTACCTGGATGCCGAGCATGAAGATGGATATTTCCGTGATCAGAGCGTCTTTGGTGATGGCATCAGTATTGAAGATACGATGAATGTGCTTGTTAGGTATGAGAATGATGCCGTCTTGACGTATTCACTCACGGCATATGCGCCCTGGGAGGGCTTCCGCGTGAGCTTCAATGGAACAGGTGGTAGATTGGAGGCGGAGATTGTTGAGAGCAGTTACGTGAACTCTGGCGGAGAACAAGCTAAGGAAGGTGCTGCTGAAAGTATCACGCTCTTGTTGCGGCCGCTGTTCCAGGAACCGCGGAAGGTTGAGATTGTGCAAGGGGCGGGTGGCCATGGAGGTGGTGATAATGTTTTGCTGCGTGATCTATTTGGGGATGTTGAGCCTGATGAGTATATGAGGGCTGCTAGCCATATTGATGGGGCTGCCTCTATTCTGACGGGTGTTGCTGCGAATCGGTCTATTCGAACTGGGCAGGTTGTTACTGTTAGTGATATTCTTGGTCTGCCTTGAAGTGGGTGGATTTTTTTTTGGATAGATACATGGGTAGCTATCCAAATTGATCACATAGAATAGTTTAAATTGAACAAATTCCACATGACGAAGCGTCCTAGTTTGAGATATCAAATAAAGCCGTACATTATCACACTCGACTCTTTCACTTTTTAACAGACCAATCTACAAGGTTCCTCCCCAACCCCGCAATGATCGACTGATCCGGGTAAATCGGGGTAAAGCCAAGCGAGAAAAGACGGGGAAAACCCTATCCCCGCTTGTATACAGCCTCAACGAAATTGCGGGGAAGTGCCAAGACCTGTGAATTCACGTATCAAGCTCAAGTCTTGAGTACATAGCAAGGGATGATACAGTCTTCCCATCGCGTGGAAAAGAGTGTCTCACATTCTGAGCTCGCCCCGTCTAACAATGGCCAGACCATCCATGCCATTTACAACATTCCACCGCATGATAAACCTCAGCAGCTTCCAAGTTATGGGTGTCGGACCATCACATACGGGCAAGCTCATCCTTGACCCACCGGTGATAGGTGCAAAAACTGCATTAAACGCTAATATTGTACCGCCACGCCTTTAGCTTGGCATTGGTGGTGCATGGATCTAACAACTCACGTTCCCAATTCCTCAATCTAATGGCCCAGTAGCAAGCGGGAAGAGCTAAATTCAAAGAAAAACGGAAGATGCAAAGTAGCCAAGGCTTCGTTGGCCATCCATGATTCAAATAGCTTGTATTTCCCATGCTCCCCAACCCCCTGTAGCAATCCGCCCACTATGACTATCTCCACACAGGACGAGATTTCCCCAGTACAGAATCAGGAACAGAACCATCATCCTACACGAGCAACGCGCTCAAAGGCTGTTGAGTTCCTGAAAAACCATGCTAACGAGGAGACTTCATTTACGTATGAGGAGGAGAAGGCTGTTCTCCGCCGCATTGATAAGCGTGTCCTGCTTCTCCTGCTATGGGCGTATTTCTTTCAACAACTGGACAAAAGCACTCTGGGGTATCGAAAAGCCACTCATGATCTGTGTGAGCTACCAATCGCTAACCGTTATACGCTCAAACCTCCAGTTATGTCTCTATCTTCGGCATCTCCGAGGATGCCCACCTAGTCGGCAAGCAATACTCCTGGCTCGGATCAATCCTATACCTCGCCCAGCTAGTAATGCAACCCCTTGTGGCCCTAATTCTCGTCAAACTCCCAAGCGGAAAAGTTCTCGCCAGCGCCATTTTCCTCTGGGGCTCAGCACTGACAATCATGGCGGCCTGCACAGACTTCCCATCTTTGTTAGGACTACGCTTCGTCCTCGGATCATTCGAATCCTTCATTGCCCCATGCTGTGTCGCTATAACACAGATGTGGTGGCGTCGAAGCGAACAAACACTGCGCACGAGTTACTGGAGTGCCATGAACGGCGTCACTGCAGTCATTGGCAGTCTCGTTACTTACGGCCTTGGACATGTCCATAGTCATACCCTATACCGGTACCAGACTATCTTCATGTTTTGTGGATTGTTGACGGTTGCTTATTCGTTCCTTGTTTTCTGGCTTATGCCTGATTCGCCTATGGAAGCTAAATGCTTGAGTGACCGAGAGAGGGTTATTGCTACAGAACGGTTGCGCGCGAATCAGATGGGTATTTCCACTCAGGAATGGCGGTGGGACCATGTGAGAGAGGTTGCCCTTGATCTCAAGACTTGGATCTGGTTTATTGCTACGATTGCTATCTCGATTGCAAGTGGTGGAATCTCGACGTTCGGTTCCCTTATTGTCAAGTCATTCGGATTTACCAGCTTCCAGAGCATATTATTCAACATTCCTTTCGGTGTCATTCAGGTTCTCGCTATCTTGATTACCGGATGGCTAGCCACCTTGACTCAACGCAAAGGCCTCGTGATCGCGGGCGTTAGTGTCTTGCCTACTATCGGAACAATCTTGATGCTCACGGTCCCGCGGAAACAGAAGGGCGTCCTGCTATTTGGCTACTATCTGGTAAGCCCTAATCGGTCCCATCAGCCTTCAACATATGAAGATCTGTCCCTAACCCAGACTATAACAGGTTTCCACATTGGCCTCTATCACCCCACTGCTATATGCATGGTCAGCACAGAACACCGCAGGTGAAACCAAAAAGAAATGTACTTCCGGCATGGTATTCATCTCCATGTGTGCTGGCAACGTGATCGGACCGCTCCTCTACTCTACCGAAGATGCCCCATTATACCGAACAGGTCTCATCGCCAACCTCGCCATGTTTGTGACAGTCGGAGCTGTCTGCGGGTATGTTATTACGACCCTATTCATATTCAAGTATACCGTTTGCTAATTCTGTTTATAGGCTCACGCCGTTCTACCTTATGATCCTTAACAAGAAGCATGAAAAGCGACGTCTGGAACTTGGAAAGACAGGGCCTGTAGCTGACATGTCTATGCTTGGGAAAGATCAATTAAAGAACAGTAAAGCGGTCGAAGTGGAGGATATTCGGGATCAGAAGCTCTCCGTGGAAGAGGATAATGGTCTTCATGATATGACGGATCTGAAGAACGAGGACTTTGTCTATGTTTACTAGGAACTGGGTTTCTGGACGGAAATTTAGCAATTCATCAATATATAGCCTGTGTAGCTTTATACTGGGTTAACAATTATACAACAAGGGTCATACTTGCGTATACAGTGCCAATGGTGAAGTATTAAACTGTCTCCACACGAAATCCAGCCTCGAGGTGTGTGCACTGTTTCATGCATTGTTCTCGCTCTACATTGGGCTTTCTTTTTTCCTCTTTTTTGTCCATATGCGAGTGCCTCGAAGAATAGTTATCTAAAAATGGGGCCTAATCATGTAAATTATATACAAGTGGGAGTGTGAAAGGACTTAGGGCCTGTGACTGTATTCATATTTTCTCTATGTCTAGAGTCTTTACCTTTCAAGTTTAATGACCTGAGGTGTTTGTTCCAGGCATATCAGCCACAGAATTACAACTCACACATGGGCACATTGGTACCGGGACAAATTTGGAAATCATTTGAGGTAAGAGTTTCCATTGCTTTGGCTAATAATACAGGTCAGCTCGCGATCCTCTCCCAAACAATATTTCGAGTGTTCTCTCAGTCCCTTCTCATGAATGTCGCACTCTCTTTCTTCCTCGTTCCTCCTCCGCTGAAGATGTGGTGAGGCTCGGCAGATCATCTGGGGTCCAGTTTTCATTGTTCGGATCGTTCGAGTCCATCTCATCTTCGATGCTATCACGAACCACGTCCGATGGGGTCTCCTGCTTCACCTCAGGTTCCTTCTCTTCTTCTGATATATCATCAAAGACTTCACTATTTGGGAATTCCGCTGCGCCACTTAGAGCCAGAACCCGAGTCAAACACCATTGCAGCTCGAGAAGTGCCATGGATGGCAATGGATTGTTCTTAGGGTCCTCTGTGGTAATGGTGATGATGTCTCCCGAGCAAACCTCTTTGTTTGTTTCGTAGTTCCACAATTTTGCTCTGTTGGGGGCACCGCTGAGATTTGATGGGTAGACTGGCGGGTCCGTCAATCTAAGTCTCGGGTTGTGCACAACTGGAAGCCAAAAGAATCGCAGCGTCATCTTCTTTTCATCCTCGGATACTTCGATGGGCTTCAGAGCAAATCGGGCCATCCGCCACAGTGCGTGGGCATTGGAAGAAAGGGTGATCATGCCTTCACAGGGCTGACGATATTGTGTAAGACGATCGACAGCCTGTTGCCACCCTGAGACCTTTGTCTCATTCCAGAAAAGATATATCCATCTCCAGCAAGTCATATAATACTCGAACGCACTCCCAATTTCAGGTTCCTCTTCGGTGTTATCGTTGAGATTCTTTCCCTCTCCCAGGGACCCTGCGTAGATGTATACAAGCCCAAGTGGCTCGCCGCATTTTGTCAGGATGCACTGTTCTTCATCTCTGTCAAGACACTTCTCATGGTCAATAGGTCAGAGCAGTTCATTAGTTGCTTCTTCAAGAAGAAGCTCACATTGTATTCCATGGTTCTTTTGAGGACGACATCAGCTGGAACACCATCCAAGTGTGGGACTTTTCGGACCGTAGGCCCAACTGCAACATACGAGTTTCGGGTGAGTCCACGGGATGTAGGTGGCTCAGGACAGGTGAGAGGAAGTCCCAGAGGTTTCTGCCAACCCAGCTCAAACAGCTCAGTTTCTGTTTTGCCCTTGTACCAAGTGCAGGGAGCCGTGGCCCCTATAGGATATCAGTAAGACAGTTGTCTTTGCAACTGATATGGCAGTGCTTACAGTCTTTGATGCAATCACGAAGTTGATACCCTTTATATTGACTCAGAATCTCCTGGATCTCGTAAAGACTCGATATTGACCTATCCACCATCCATTCAAGCTGCGAGATATCTGAAAGCCATACGAGCGCGTAAGTAGTCGAATCGACATCATGTTTCTTCGTGGACAGGGCCAGACGTGTGATCAGCGCCAGCCTGGTGGGATCGCTGGCCTCTGGTATGGCTTCCATGGTTGAGAGTTTTGGAAGGATGCTCGCATCGACAGAGGATATGATGTCAAAATGTAAACAAAGAGCATGACTCAAGAGGAGGAAGGACCGAATCTACTTTGATTTCAAGGTTCGGGTGCCTGCCACATTCAGGCTAGACTGGTTGGAGAGCCTCATCCTATGCATTCCTGTTAGTTCTCGTCTGACCTTTCTAGTTGCAGTATATGTAATATATACCGTTTAGTTCAAAATTATCTGGTACATATCAAGGGAAAGGGAGAGCGAAAAACAACTGAATCTCCATGCAGGCAGACAGTTGACCACCCCGTAGCAGAAAAAGACAGATATTGATCAAACATCATTCATGAAAGTCAAACAGAACATACTTGTGAAAAATAACATAACGGGGTAGCTGCATCTTCTTGAGGTCAAAATTAACGTCTCACTTTCGAACCACCACACATGCATGTCATTCATGTCTGTATTTTTTCCACGCTCGTGATACTGCACAAGAAATCACAATTTTACATTATGCCGCACAGCCGTCATACCTTTATTTGCTGTTTAAAGAAAAAGCAAACTGTGTGGAACGAAAGGACTAGTGCAGTCTCTGAAAATATATAATGGCAACATAAGAGCCCACTGCAACATTAGAAATATTTGTCCCTGAAATTGCCTCAACCCTCAGAATACTATTTACTCTTTGATCATGGAAACCATCAACGAGGCACAGAGCCAATCTGCCGATGATTGCAGTATATCAGTCCTGCCTTCCGTGATGAGGAATTCTGCACTTCATCAGTTCCAATCGGAGATATTCCTGAACATTTTCTCTACCTATCACAAAATTGGAAGACTTCAGATACACAACATCAGTCGGATGTCCGAGCGTGTACCCGCGGAAATAAACGGATTCACCGTCTTGGATACTCTACTGAAGCCAAGATTCGGGGGTGGGCCGTTCGAAAAGTCCTTCGCAGCAGTTCCCTTATCATTCAACGTCTACAAGACACATGCTGACCAATTGCAGCTGGACCGTGACGGAAATCGTCTTTGCATCGGGTCTCGATCTAGCACTCGCGGATCTCAAATCAGTATCATCAATCACCCAGCCGATTGTCATGGCGTGTGCTTTGGTCAATAATGTGTATAGTTTAGACCTGGACATTCAATCAACCTGGATCAAAGGTGTCATATGAAAAACAGTGTGTAGAATTTGATGAAAGAGCTCAGTCTCACAATGCAACAGGCCATGGAACTGCCGGCCAGTCAGAAGATTCTTCCCTTGGAGCAAGTGCTTTTCGAGAAATGGCAGAAGAACTTACTCGAAAAACAAGCTTCGAAGGACTTGCGACGATATGTACTCTGGCAATTGGCTTTGGAGTGCTACCTGCCCTCGATTTAACAACTTATCTCTCAATGCTTCCATTGGAGCTTGTCTTTGAAAACCCGACAGCTCCCTGCGCTACACTGCTATCAACGGCCCGGCCCATCTCTCAGTCAGCTGGTCGTGGCGCTATGGGCGAGGGAAAATTGACAAACGACCCTGATACCAACGTCTGTGCTACCACCTTTTTGAACACATGTCATAGGATTTTATTAACGGGAATTCTAGGTGGATACTTCCTATCGATCCATGCCTTCCAGAAACCTCGCAGTTATTATCATCAACGCATCAAAGCCATGGCTCAAGGCAACCGAAGCGTCAATCATTCAAATCACGAGGATCATGCGCCATTTCTTCGACAGCTCTTTGATGCTGGATGCTATTCAAAACCACTCGACAACGCGTCACGGCTTCCCAGATGGACATGAAATATTTGTAATTTTACAGATGAGCAACGTCGCCAGCTATGTATTTGTCCTTGTTTTCGAAGAGTTCTTCAAGCTTCAGAATGAAACTTTAAGCCAACATCACAACATTTATTGGTTCATTCTTGGACTGCCTGTTAGTTCATTGTCCAGTATGTGGCTAACTATGTGATCTAGGCGAGCTGAAAAAAATTACACGTTGGCCAGAGTCTTGATCTTCACTGGAGCCACTCTGGTAAATGTCCGACTGCCGAAGAGTATCTTAATATGGTCCATCTGAGTAAGTTTGCCCTCCTTCAATGCATGCCAAATAAACATCTTGCCGAGAATGCGAGCAGAGGCTGGTGGAAATATCTGCTTGCTTATCCATATGATTTATGCAGAGCACACGTTCCAGGTTAGTTGGCCTGTATCATGAGAAAGATTCAAGAGCTCTAAACACCTCACAGTGCCATCAACCGCGACAAATTGATCGAAATGGTGATTCTCACTGCTCAGTACATGCAAATTCAAGATGACTATGTGGACACTGCAACGTCAACTGCAATGGTGAGTATAAATGTTGAATTGTGCGGCATGTTCCAGGGCAATTCATACCAACCAAATATTCCAGATCTACGAAAAAGCTGTCTATGGCCAGGATCTGGATGAAGGGAAGTTCTCTTTTCCAGTCATCCATATGTTCTCGCAGTCTTCCAAACGTCAGTTGCTCGAAGCCATCTTCACTGAAAGATTGCGACAAGGGACGATGCCAATGGCACATAAACGACTCCTTTGGGATGAGATGGCGAGCGTGGGCAGCGCAAGTATTGTAGGGGAATCGTGGAAGACATCAGAGCCAAAGTCCTTACCGGATTTGGGAAGATCGAGAAACAACTTGGAGAGAAGAAATACAACTTCCGATTGATTTTGGAATTCCTCTCGGTGGAGAATTAGTGATGATGCCTGGGTTGGGGAAATGATTTCCTTGTTGTATTTAAGATTGAAGATTGAGATTGAAGAATAAATCATACTCTGCCATTCATGATCATATCTGTGTTATGGCATCCATAACGAAACTCTGTGTATCTCACCGGGTATGAAAATATCTCGCTACATGTCCAAAATTCAGCAAGCAGCAATCACCATAGACCACCAGTAAACACCACACCATTTTTGCTGATGGAACTCTACCAAAATCCCACATTCAAGCCATACCCTTAACAACCTGCTCCCGTCTTTCTTGCCAAACATTCTTACCGGAGCAAGAGCAAACCATCTTATCATTATCCCAGACACCAGCACTGCGCGCAATAACACCAACAAGGGTATTCGGATCCTCGCGCGAGAACGGACCCTCGGCGTTCTTGGACACAACCATACTCCTACCAATCAATTCCCAAATAGCAACAGGCCGGTCCAAGAATACACTGCCGCGCCCCTTCTCATCAACATCCACATTTCCGAAGATACCGCGGGGTTCTTTGGGCGGTTGAGCAGCGGTCTCAGAGCCTAGAACCTTCGCCTTGACAGCCTCCCAGAGACCACCGGTTGACTCCGCACCCCGTGAGATATCTCCTGCTTCGCGGATAGTAGCAACGTATTTGCCTGGCGAGAGGCCGTTAATTGTCAAGTCGACGAGAGTCATATTCGAGGAGACCTGGACCATACGGGCCAGGCCGCGGATCTTGTCCGAGACGCTGGAGGAGTGGGTTTCGAGGATGCAGACAGCGGAGCCTGTTTAGGTATATGTGTGAGCCAACGTATTTCAGAAATCTGACATAGACAATGGCCTTGAACTACGGGGGTCCGTACTGTTTGTAGTGCCGCTGCCGCGGAGGATAGCATCTCGGCCGGTGCTTTCAATGGCGGAGACGATGGAGCTGGGAGGGGCGGTGCCTTCGATGAAGACTAGTTGGTCCTTGAGATTTGCGTCTACCTTATTGATGCCTGTCGAGAGGTCAGACCGGAGGAAGGCGGATTAGGGCCAGTTTCCGAGGGATGACTACCTTCCAGATTATACAGGGAGCTGGAAATGGACTTGACGCAGCCCTCGCAGGTCATAGGGACCGCAAAGGTCGTCTATAATTCAGCACCGCATCAGTATGGGACCTGTTGAGTCACTGCGCAAACAGACCTGGAATGGTTCGATCATGGCGGGGAAGGGAGAGTAGATTTCCGACGTCGGTGGCAGGTATTGGGGGAGGTGTGCACAGCTGGAAAAGCACAGTAACAAGAAGAAAAGAGAGATCCGAAGATATATTCACAGCGAAGTGCTACCGCATGTTGTACTTAAATCGCAAGGCGGGGCGCAATTCGGATTTCAAAGCGAAGGAACTCGGCCCATTTCTGATCTCAAACGTCATTCCGGAATCTTCCCCTACCGCACTCCCCCGTCGCGCCGGCGAAAATGGCCTCCAAATCGAGATGGGCAAACGACGACCCTGAGACCGAAGCAATTATCGCGCAACAAAAACGCGAAAAAGAAGAAAAGCGACGCGCTAAGGCGGAGAAACAGCGGAAGCTCGACGAAGCCAGCAAAGCTCAACAAGCTCGGCAGAATGCCAACAACGCACAAAGCCCCAATGGCGAGTCCGGGCCTCCGATGAAACGACGGAGACTTTCGAATGACCAGGCCACTGCTTCGAGCGATGCGGAGGTAGCGACGATCGAAAAGGAACAGAAGCAGTCGAGCCTCTTACGTTTCCCGGTTGGAGAATGGGGGCCCTGCAGACATGTGGACAACTTCGAGAGATTGAACCATATCGAAGAGGGCTCTTATGGATGGGTGTCGCGCGCGAAGGATATCTCCACGGGCGAAGTCGTTGCGCTGAAGAAACTGAAGCTGGATAACGCGCCGGACGGGTTCCCAGTCACAGGACTGCGGGAGATTCAAACGCTGATGGAGGCGCGACATGCGAATGTCGTTTATCTGCGCGAGGTGGTGATGGGAAATAAGCTGGATGAGTGAGTTCTCCTGTAGCAAATCTACGTCGGCGACCAAAACAAAATATGCTAATCAACTACTCTCAATAGGGTCTTCCTGGTAATGGACTTCCTCGAACACGACCTCAAAGCTCTCCTAGATGAAATGCGCGAACCATTCCTCCCATCGGAAATCAAAACCGTTCTCTTGCAGGTCGTAGGTGGCCTCGAATTCCTACATTCACAGTGGATCATGCACCGCGACCTGAAAACCTCCAACCTATTAATGAACAACCGTGGCGAAATCAAAATCGCCGACTTTGGCATGGCCCGCTACTATGGTGATCCACCACCCAAACTGACACAGCTGGTCGTGACACTCTGGTACCGAGCACCGGAGCTGCTTCTCGGCGCAGACAAGTACGGCACCGAAATCGACATGTGGAGCATTGGCTGTATCTTCGGCGAGCTACTCACCAAGGAACCTCTCTTGCAGGGCAAGAACGAAGTCGATCAGGTATCCAAGATCTTCGCACTGACCGGCCCGCCAAACTCGCAGACATGGCCGGGTTTCCGCTCACTGCCTAATGCCAAATCGCTGCGGCTGCCGTCGACGTCGGCTGCCTCCTCTGCTGGTAATCCGCCTCTGTTGCCTCGGTCTCGGTTCCCTTATCTTACGAATTCCGGGTTGGGTCTTTTATCCGGGCTGTTGGCGTTGAATCCTTCTTCGCGTCCTACCGCGCAGCAGTGTCTTGCGCATCCGTACTTCCGGGAAGATCCACGGCCGAAGCCGAAGGAGATGTTCCCTACTTTCCCTTCGAAGGCTGGTATGGAGAAACGGAGGCGTCATCATACGCCTGAAGCTCCGAAGCGGGGCCAGGAAGCACCCGAGCTGGACTTTGCGGGTGTGTTTGGTGGTGCTCCTGGTGGAGATACGGGTGAAGCAGGTGCAGGATTTACTCTTCGGTTGGGATAGTCTGATTTCGCTATCTAGTGACCAAGAGTTGAACAAACAATAACGAACATTTGGCCACTGCCCATCATTTGACCGCGATATGTGGTGGCTAGAGGCAACTTGAAGGAATGAATTCCTGCCTCGAAACTCCATGTCGACTTCCAAAATATTTAAGAATACAGTATACCATGAAATGGATAGAGGGTAATAAATAACAACATTGAATCGGCAGTCCTCTTTCAAAAGCTCAAATGAAACGTATCAACGAACGACTTCCACCAACCCTTCTCGCTCTACCAATGGGCGTGACTCGGCTGTCCACGATATTCAATATCATACATCTCCGATTCATCTTCGTCGTAATCCAAGCCTGCTCCATGAGCACCGTGCGATGCGAGCTGCACAGACATGTTTGATGGGTACATAACCTCAGTCATCTCTCGAGTCTGAATGGAAGAATTCAAATCCAAACTTGAACGACTATGAGCATTGCCATCACTGGTCGCCTGGCGGGAAGACTTTAGTGGCTGGTTGCCCCCATCATGGTAGTGAGTGCTACTTTTCCCGTCGACGAGGTAGTATCCGTTTGCACCTACCGGGATCGGGAAGATAACTTCACTGCCAATCGGTGACCATTGATCACTTGACATCGATGTCATCGATGTGACTTCGGTCGATGTATATTCTGGCGATGTACTCTCGTCGGCGTAGAGGCGCGGATACTCAAGGCTATCGTATAGGGATTGGGATATGTCACGCCCTTGCTCCGCAGCGGAGGTCCAGTCCAGAGAGCTTCGGTTCTGGTGATCGAATGCAGGCTCTCGGTAGCTTGTACGTCTTGACAGGTCCAGATTGGGTCTCTCGATATCCTACCCTAGTCAGTCGGAATAGCATGTCTGGATGTCCATTGCGTGATACTTACAGACGACGGGGACATATGAAGGCCAAATGATTGCCGACTCCCCGCATTTGCCACGTTTGTCGAGGGCATTTCATGAGACAAAACTTCGTCAATGGTATTGGGAGAATGTGCGGGCTCTAGCGGTCCATTGTCAAAGTGTTGACGATCCAGATCTTCAGCAAAGGATGGGCTTGAGTGATTGAGTGGCCGCAACTCTTCCATGCCTGAGACATCGATTATGGCGCTGGGTGTTTGCGGAGACTCCAAAATGAGGGCATCTTGATCATATTCATAATATGAAGGTGGATTACGGTATGCATCGTCTTGGGGTACGATGCATTGTGCTGAATCTGTGCGGGTTTGCGTTTGAGAAGCGGACGGTGTGCGTTCTCGCTCAGTGGCAAGGGCGACCTGGCTTTCACGAGGCTCTCTCATCCACTGCTCAAGCATCTCTTGGTAGATTCCGGGGAACGCAAATTCTACTTCGGCGGAGCATTGTCTCGATATGGGAACTGTTGCATGATTTGTCACAGTGCTCGTAGACTGTTCTCCCGTGACTCGCGACGGATAATGTCTGATGTGCTCCCCTGGGCGTGTTGTATGAGCGCTGAGATGACGGAAAATGCTGGGGGCTGTGCTCCTAGAAGATCTAGAAGACTGTCGGCTTTCTGGCTCTCTGTTTCCGCACATATTTTGTCCAACCACTAGGTATTCGCTTTCATTTAACATTGGATCTCTCTGAGCTCCATTGTCTTCCATCACTTGTTGTGCCCAAGCAGACTGAGTATCACCGAGCCCATGGGTTAACATATCGAGTTCTTGGTTGGTCGTGATTGCCATACCCCATGGTGACTCTGTCAAGTCATGAAGTGAAGGACTGGTGTTGCTGGCATGACCATCCAGCCGGTCTTCTAGATGAGCCGGCATATCTCCAGTGCTTGGGATCAGCTCTCCGGTGAGTTGATAATCAGCGCTGTCGTTGGGGCTGGAAGGGGACTCGGCCGGGTCTGTCAAAGGCGTACCTACAACAGGCATCAAATCTGGACTTTGATGGACTGTAATCGTAGGAATTGCAGTTGGAGGAATATCATAAATGCTTGTCAGTGGTCCAGGTGCAGGAGTCGGACTGTCCGATGTAACATGGGCCTGGTAAACATCCACAGCATGGGTCTCGAGGGTTGGCCATGGGGTAGCAGTTCGATATATCTCAGTGCCAAACCCCAAGTCATCTTGTGTACTCGAGTTGTAAGCTGCTGGTCGAAGACCTTGCTGCTCTCGCTCGCGCCTCAGAGCAACGGGGCTAACAAAACTTCGCAACTCAGCAGCGCCTCCAAGCTGATCGTCTTCAACAGCGGAACGGCGCAATATGCCCGATCTCAATGCCAACAGATGGGACCTTGCCCTGTGAAATGATCGTCTCGGGATGCTCTGAGCCCACTGGGTGTGCTTTCGTGATTCCGACGGATTCAGTGATCTTTGGCGATGCAACGAGAAGGATTGTGCCTGGGGATTGTGACGAGGATCCTGAGGATCGAAGACAGGGTAAAGAGCTCGCTCTTGGCAAGTTGGTTCTCCCTTTAGATCAGGGATGCAGCTTTTTCAGTTAGCAAGAGGTTCTTTGCTGTGTGGGTTCCGGTGTCTACCTGGCTCTCTTTCTCGTTGATCCGAACATCAAAGATAGTGAGAACCGCTGGCTGCGTGCAGCATTTGTCTGGATGTTGATATCCATGTTGAGATATTATGCAAAGGTAGAAGGAATGAGCTAAGAAGAAAGTTGAGACAATAGTCAAGGAAGAATAATGTAAGAGGTGACATGAGGGTCGAAAGCGCCGACGAGGAAGGAACGTCCAATGCCACCAAATTGGGTAGTTCAAAGGTTCTCTACAAAGAACTTGATCTAACTACTGATTCAGTAGCAATGTTAATGATATTGTACAAGACACAAGAGCAGTACACCATACTTGATGTGGAGATATAGTTCGGCTCGGCCCCAAATAGCTTTCGCGATCGGCCCCAAGCTTCTTTTCTCCCCTACCTCCACTTCAGCTCTGCAACCCTTCTCATTCCTTTAATTCTCCGGATTATTCAACATGGCAAACAAAAAGCCTGTCTCCTTTGACGATATTATTCTGGCCGGTAATTTCTGCACCTTTCCGCTTATCCCCACGGAACTCTGACCCTTTCCGACAGATCGCGAGAAGAACCAGAAGAAGAAACTCGAGGACCTCGCAAACCAACTACTCGGAAAGAACCGACGGAGAAGCGCGCCCGCGTCGGGATCTGGCTCTGGCTCTGGCGCCAACAGAGGACAGAACAAAACACAGAATGCGAAGCCTGGAAGCTTAGCCAGCAGGATCGGAGTAGCCAAGGTAGGCGCAACCCCCGTCCGCCGCCATAACGCCACCGAAATGAAAAAACAAGGTCTGACAATCTGTCCACATTCAGCGCTCTGCGTCCGCGACCGTGAACCCCAACAAGAACAAACCAGCCCCCGCCACAAACACCGGCAGACAACGCGGAAACACAGGAAGAAACGATCGCGTAAACTCAGAACAGGTCTGGAATGCCATCCGGGCAGGCAACAGCCAAGCGAATGTCCGGTCGGCTAAACAGGGCCGGGCATCCGGGAACATATCCATTAAGGGCGCTTCGGGGCCATTTGTTGTGGTAGGAAGGAACTTTGCGCCTGGCACAACCGCTGCCGACATTCAGTCTGCTCTCGAACCTACAACTGGACCCATGCTCAGCTGCAGGATAGTGGCCAGCCACCCGAGTGTCGTTGCGGAGTTTGCATTTGCAGAGAAGCAGACTGCTGAGTTGGTGATCGCAAACTTCCATAACCAGAGGGTAACGCTCCTTTCGCCCTTGGACTCAAAGCCAATGCTAACATGTCTTACAGGCCGATGGCAGACTCCTCACTATGAGCCTCAAACCCGCCAATGCTGGATCCACGGCTCAAGATCCCTTCACTGCGCTTCGAGCACAGGCTGACCAAGAACGACTCCGCGCTCGCCGAGGTGCCGGCCACCAGAGCGATTTGCTAGCGCCACAGGGGACTTCGCGATCTGGTCTCTACAGCGATGAAATGGTGGTCGATACACCGCAGCAGACTAACAAGGGCAACCAGAACCAGAACCGTCGGAAAGGACGACGTTAAGTACTGATTTGCAACAATAACACTTGGATTTGACCATAGTTACTGGCGCAAGGAGCTTCATCACACGGGATGGTCACAGGGCTATGCTTGTCGCTGAAATGTGATGAAATGTATGATATTATTAACAGTAGTCGATTCATGCACCTTTTTGCACAACTCAGAGCACAATTGCTGCTGCAAATAGCGGCGAACCCAATACAAACAGTTCATTCATATCCATAACAGGCTTAAGCCGTGTACTCTTGACTTTGGTCCGTAGAGTGGCTGAGTTCTTCAGCCCATAGCGGTTCGTTGTGGCTGACCATGAGCACATGATAGAAGCCAGCCCTAAGGACATCCTCGGATGGGATGAGGAGCATCCACAGGTCGGAATTCCGTATTTGAAAGCAATCATTACCTCCAACAACGTGCTATATACCCCGCATGCTATCAAGAGACGAACTGCTAACAGAACAAAGCACACCAGACCCAACAACCAACATTATCTCTACCGAATACTCTCAACAAACCCACCCACAGGTCTATACCACGACTCCTCCGCAGAAAGCCAAAGAGGCAATCGTTTCCACTCCTCGCCAGCCCTCTCAATCCAAACCGTGGACATATTCACCAACGAAACCTAAAGCACATCACCATGATCTTACTATCCCCACACATCCCCGCATTGGCCAGCATGCCCAGCTTGGTCAGAATGTGAACCTGCTTAATATTCGTATTCTGGAACTCAAGTTTAGCTACGATGGCACCGGGACCAGGCATCCAGTTAAAGATGAGGTTTTCCGTCACGCTGTTGAGGAAATCGGCGGTGCAGCCAATACGAGGAAGAACTTCATACCATAGAACACTGGCATACTCGGCCAAGTTGGCTTGAACCCGCTTTATGTTGTTCATCTTCAGGATGCAAGGCCAAGAAACATAGTTGAAGATCGGGCCACCCACATACATGGCGTCCGGGGGATCTTCTTTATCTGGAACAAATGGTAATCGGGTACGAGCAGCTTCGAGGTAGCAATATGCCCAACTAGGCATCGTTCCGCAAATTGTCAAGTTGTCTAAGAAGGTCAAACCGGTCCTGGGCGACCAAATATGTATGCGAATATGAATCGAAAAGGTGATCGGCTCTGGACGCCATCACTATCTAGGTATCTGGTTCCGTCAGTTGTATCGAAGGGCAAATGAATGCAAGACACGAAGTAAATTGGTGTAATCGTTGGTGGCCTCAGGCATAAATAGACATCAATTAACCACTTTGGGACTAGTTCCCGATAACATTCCGATAAGGATAAAGTCACGTGCGATGGAGCTTTTGCGGAGAGATTAAGAGAAACATTTGGACTCCAGTGTTGAACAGTCGATTGAGGTCGGAGCCTTTTCTGTTACATGCAGACCTGTGCTTATGTGTACATTTGATCAACGAATTTGAGATCATAGGTTCTCCCGCTTCCGAGACTCGAGTCGACACCAAACAAAAATGAACCCAACGGCGAGGCGCGTAGCGTCGCATATTCTCCGCAGACCTCGTAATGCAGTGATACCAAGATGCTCAAAAAGATGGAACTCCTCCACATTTGAGCAGAGAAAATGGTCCACGCCGCTAGCCCAGACATTGGCCAATGTGATGAAGGTACCTCATCCCGTATTCCGGTCCAATGGCACTTTTACTGACGATTCGCAACTTTAGGTCACCGGTCCAGTCCCAATTGCGGCCTTTATGCGCCAAGTCTTGACTTCCCCTGATGGTGGCTATTATACAACACGAGGAGAGGGCGGAGGTGTTTTCGGCAAGAACGGTGATTTCGTTACTTCGCCCGAGATCTCGCAGGTGTTTGGGGAGTTGATTGGTATATGGACAATTGCGGAGTGGATGGCTCAGGGGCGGAAGAAGAGTGGTGTTCAATTGATGGAGGTTGGTCCAGGAAAGGGTACTTTGATGGATGATATGCTGCGGGTAAGTGGTTATACTTGCTTTCTACGATGAGAACCAAGAAGATCGTTGGGCTGACGGAGACTTTATATGGCAGACCTTCCGCAACTTCAAGATGTTCTCTTCAAGTGTGGAGGCTATTTATCTAGTGGAAGCAAGTGCAACGCTCAGAGAGGTGCAGAAGCGGTTGCTTTGCGGCGAAGAGGCTGCAATGGAGGAGACAGATATCGGACACAAGAGCGTATGCAAGTACTTCGATGTACCGGTTGTCTGGGTGGAAGATATCCGCCTCCTGCCACATGGTAAGTGACGAGCACAATTGCCAACCATTTTGGCCGAAACTGACAAAAGTACTCCGTGATATGCAGAGGAAGGCAAAACGCCTTTCATCTTCGCACATGAATTCTTCGACGCACTCCCAATTCACGCCTTTGAGTCTGTCCCGCCATCTCCCGAAAACGAGCAACCAGACCAGCCACGAAAGATCATGACCCCAACCGGTCCAGCCGAACTTCACAACCCGCCCAAGGTTGTAAACACACCGCAATGGCGCGAGCTAATGGTGACATTAAACCCTAAGGCCGTTGAAGAGAATATCGAGGGAGAGCCCGAGTTCCAATTAACCAAGGCAAAAGCTTCGACACCTTCCTCTCTGGTGATCCCTGAGATTTCTGCACGCTACCGTGCTCTCAAGTCACAGCCTGGAGCAACTATTGAAATCAGCCCCGAGAGCCGTATCTATGCTGCCGACTTTGCACGTCGGGTCGGTGGTGATGCTGCCTCTGCGCTTGCTATAAAGAAGAACACTGCTCCCAGCACGACTCCGTCCGGCCAGAAGAAGACTCCGTCCGGCGCTGCTCTGATTATGGACTACGGAACGCTGTCAACTATTCCTGTCAACTCGCTCCGCGGAATTAAAAGCCACGAGAAGGTGGCACCTCTCTCTGAGCCTGGCCGCGTCGATGTCAGCGCGGACGTGGATTTCACCTCGCTCGCTGAAGCAGCTATCGAAGGTAGCGATGGTGTCGAGGTCCATGGCCCTGTTGAACAGGGTGACTTCTTGGGTGCTATGGGCATCGAGGAGCGTATGCGCCAGCTCCTTCGTAGCGTGAAGGATGAGGAAAAGAGAAAGACACTCGAAACTGGCTGGACAAGGTTGGTTGAGAAGAGTGGTGGATCAATGGGTCAGATCTATAAGGTCATGGCCATTGTGCCTGAGAACGGCGGACGGAGACGACCTGTTGGATTCGGAGGTGGCATCGAAATGTCTTAAACAACGCAAGTACGTTCTTGATGTCTTGCTGTAAACTAGTTTGTTCTGTTCCTCTATGTAAAATAATATGATGCATATAAATACATTCCAATAAACAATATCTTCTAGACTTGTCGGGCAACAAGGATATGATAAGACCCAGGCATCTTGAGACACCCGAGAATGTCGATGTAAGACAAGTAGGAAAGACGTCTTTAAGAACGTTAAAAAAGACGTTAGGAGGGCTAACACACCACACCATGAAATTCACCCAAAAATTCCTCATAATCAAACCCATCAATGCATCTATTTAAGTGGTATCTTCGATCAAGTTCATTTTCTCATTAAAAAAGGGTAGATGTGCAAAGTAGTCAAGACCCCTTCACCTCAGTGACTCAAAGCTCAATATTCCTCCCAGATATCCGCAGCATAAGCATCAGTTAACCGAGCATCTTTGCCATACTTCTGCTGCCATTCCACAAACCCGCCCTCAAGCACAAACACCTGTTGCTTCTGGCTCTCTTCCGCGCCAAGGGCACTTTCGCGCTCGCGCGCATACCGCAGAGCCGAAGAGGGACCGCGCTGCTGGCTCAACGCACAGTGGAAGATGACCATTTTCTTGTCCTTTAGAGTGCGGATCAGCTCTGGCATACGGACATCCAGTGTTGAGGTAGGGACCCAGGTTGATGAGTGGATGTGGCCGCCAACATGGTCTAATTGGGTTATTAGCCGGTTTGATCTATTCAAAAGAATGTTAATATTCATGTACCTGAGTCTCGGACATCGATGATTGCGAGGTTGCTTGGCTCGCTGGCTGAAAGGAGCAGGGCTGCAAGAGCATCGCGGCCCATGCGGGGGAGGGTTGCGATTGAGATGGATGACATGGCTTTTTGCAGCTCAAGTTCAATGGTAGATGTAGAACTATCTCCTCTGAGTGAAATAAGAGAGATATTTGTAAATACAAGAAAGTTTGCAGCTGTGATGTTCTTGATCTGTAAAGTGTCGCATGGAGCATGCACGTGACCTACAATTTCCAATCGGGGTTGATTTTCCACCAGAGCAACTTCAAGCATCTATTGAGCTTGCGCACTCCGCCAGACCAACGCTCCAATTCCACGACCTGGCAGACGATCCGAAAACCCCAATTACATTTGCATAATCCGACATACTCGTGTCCCTCCAAAAATGGACGTCCGCCTCCTGGCTCGAAGCCTCCGCGCCAGGCCGACGCCATTCCTCCAACAGCGAACCCAAACGCTACCCCGAACAACCCTAGCCACCTCAATCCGCTTCAACTCCTCCTCATCCGACGCCCCAACAGACACCCCAGCACCCGTCCCAGCCGCGTCCTCCACACAACCCACAACCAAAACAGCAACAGCCACACGAGGCAAGAAACCCTCGGACTTCGACGACATCCTGGACAGACTTGACCTGAACCCGAAACAAGACTCCCCCCAGCGCGGCCGTCGCATCTTCACAGACAGCCTCTCCCGCGCCGTGGGCCAGGGCGCCATCGGCGGGGGAGACGCTTCGGCGGCCCACCGCCCCAACGCACAGTCGACCTGAAGCTCGGCCCATCGCTTGGTCGACAGGCATTTGTCGAGCCTGAACGTGGCCAGGACCTTGCTACTGCGCTGCGCAAGCTTAACAACACCATTACGCAGAATAAGCTTCGTCAATCGGCTAATGCGCAGCGTTTCCATACGCGGAAGGGTATGGTTGCTAAGCAGAAGAAGATGATGCGGTGGAGGAGGCTGTTTAAGGTCTCGTTCCAGAGTACTGTGCAGAAGATTCAGCGGATGCAGACTCAGGGTTGGTGATTTGTTGATCTCCCGCTCTGTTTTCTTGTTCGTGGTTTTGTCTGCTTGTCTGGATGTGTGTATGTATATACTGAAGAGGCTGTCTCCCAGTGTGGGGGTGATTTGAGTAGGCTGTGATGTGTGGGAGTGGCCTGAAAATGGGTGCTTTTTGATTTACTTGTTATCTGTGTACAATTATTACCTTGGTACCTTGATTTGTTTTGAATCTGGCTCTTGCATTAGACATGGAATGCATTGCACTTGAATTATCCACTATGGTCGTGTCATGTAGAGCACAGCTCTCGTCCTCGCAGTCAATTGTATCTTTCATCCGTCTTATAGGGTACACTGTACACGCCCATAGAACGTCACTATACCAGGCTATACAGACCTCTCTCCCCATCAACATCAAATCAATCCCTCTTCCCAGTAGGAAATCCATACCCACCAGCACCAGCAGCCCCATTACCATTAGCAGGACCAGAATAACCACCATACCCATTAATTCTCCCACCATTTCCAAAAGTAACAGGACTCTTCGCGCCTCTAGCAGGCGTACCACCCAAAAGCCCATCACCATGCCAAGCAGGACGACCGCGGCCGCCATTCCTCTCCCAGTAAATGGCAACCAACGCACCAACAGAAGCAGCCATCACAAAGAAAAACAGCTTCGAAAAGAACGACCCAGATCCCTTCCCAGACCCAGTCGCCAGAGACAACCAAGACGCAGAACTAGGACGAACCGGCCATCCAATACTATCACCACCCTCCAGCCAAGCAACATGGAACGAGAAAGTAAGCGGCTCGCCGCGCACAACCTTCGTCCCATGCCCAGCCGTCCACGGCTCACGCGCCGCCTGCGCAAGAGCAACAGGCTCCTCGTCCTCGTCAAGCTGAGGGTTCTTACCAGTATTATCAAACTCCGGGGTCGAGTACGCGGTTCCAGCAACAGCAAACCCAGGCTGGCCGGATTGCGCGCCGTTCATGGTTTTCTGCTCGGCCGCGGCGTCTGAGGCCATGTTATGCATGACGACATTCATATCCGTCCATATGTGCAGGTGGCTGCGTTGCAGTGTACCCTGAAGGGCAATTGTGACGGGTGTAAAGGGCGGCCCGTTATCAGCCAGCGCGGAGAGTGAGTCAACCTCGCCGGACGATGTCTCGGCGTCTTTGTCTTTCTTCTCGGTGTGGCCTGCGCTGTTGGCGGATTGGGTTAGGGGTGCTGTTGGTACGCGGCATGTCATTGGGACGTCGGAGTGCACGTAGAACTCGAGGAGATGGTACATGTCATCGGAGAGGGAGGCGATGGTGCAGGTTATTGTTTCGGAGATGCCGTAGTGGAGGGAGAGAGGGCGTGCGGTTTCGTTGCAGGTTACGAAGGGGACATATTGTAGTTTGCCGAGGTCGTCGGTGATCTGATTTCGTTAGCTGTTTGATTCATTGGGTTTGCGTTTCCTGGTTGTTGAATGCGTGTCAGGACGTGGCAGGAAGGGCGCTGTCGCTTACATGTTCTCCTTCACTAGAAGACGAGTCTTGGTTAGGGATGTGTTTATATGCTTGGGGTCAAGAGAACTTACACTGTGCGATTCAGACATGATACTGGAATGTCTTCTCTCAGCTTGTATCCGTCGTTGTTGCCACTGCTGCTCCCCGCAAATGCTCCGGATGGCCACAACGCGCTCAGAGAAAGCAGTGCCACTGCTGCCGAACATCGGCTCAATTGATGTGTAGGAAACATTGTTGTTATTGTAAGGACTGTGAAGAACTCGCCCCGCGTCCGCGAGTTTGTGTAGAAGGATGGCGCAGGGGACCAACAGTGTTCTGCCGCGTTGCGGAGACGAGTGGCGGCGAACAAGAGCAACCCTCCCCTTACTGCTACTACCTTGATTGCGCCGACATGAACGTCTCTACATTGCATACTTGCATCTAATCGTGTCCAAATTGAAGAATATCGATAGCTGCTCATTTCTTTTTCAAACCAAAAATATGTGACAAAGTATCATTCGTTGCTCGTCATCACTGCATTTCCAAAAGACTCAAATCTATGCCAGGTTAGCCTTCGCCTTGAAGGCGAGCAGCAGACCGCTGGTCGAGCTGTCGTGGTTGGCACCCTCGCCGGCGGTCTCCAGCTCCTTCTGGATGTTCTTGGCGAGGACCTTGCCCAGCTCGACACCCCACTGGTCAAAGGAGTTGATGTTCCAGACGGCACCTTCGGTGAAGGTGAGGTGCTCGTAGTAGGTGATCAGAGCACCCAGGGTGGCGGGGGTGATCTTCTGGGCCAAGATGGAGGTGGTAGGGCGGTTGCCTAGGAAGGTCTTGTGGGCAACAAGCTCCTCCGGGGCACCCTCGGCCTTGACCTGGTCGGGGGTCTTGCCGACCATCAGGGCCTCGGACTGGGCGAGGAAGTTGGAAGCCAGCATGCGCTGGTGCTTGCCACCCTCAACGGGGTTGTGAGACTCGGCGGCCATCAAGAAGTCGGCCGGGATGAGCTTGGTACCCTGGTGCAGCAGCTGGAAGAAACTGTGCTGGGCGTTGGTGGCAGGCTCACCGAACAGGATGGGTCCGGTGGTGTACTTGACATACTCGCCAGAGCGGGTAATGGCCTTGCCGTTGCTCTCCATGGACAGCTGCTGCAGATAAGCGGGGAAACGGTGGAGGTACTGGTCGAAAGGAGCGACCAGGTGAGTCTGGGCGCCGAAGAAGTCGCTGTACCAGACACTCAGGAGACCACCAAGAGCGGGAATGTTCTTCTCGAGGGGAGTCTCGCGGAAGTGCTTGTCCATGGCCTGGGCACCAGCGAGGAACTGGTGGAAGTTGTCGTAACCAATGTACAGAGCAACAGACAGGCCAATGGCACTCCACACGGAGTAGCGGCCACCCACCCAGGACTCGAAACCGAACATGTTCTTGCTGTCAATGCCGAACTTGGTGACCTCGGGCTCGTTGGTGGAAAGAGCCACGAAGTGCTTAGCAATGTGAGCCTCATCCTTGGCGGACTGGAGGAACCATGACTTGGCAGAGTTGGCGTTGGTGGTGGTCTCGGCGGTGGTGAAGGTCTTGGAGGCAATCAGGAAGAGGGTGGTCTCGGGGTCAGAGTGCTTAAGGGCCTCGGCAATGTGAGTACCGTCAATGTTGGAGACGAAGTGGAGGGTCATGTCGGGGTGGCCGTAAGGCTTAAGGGCCTCGGTGACCATGACAGGGCCGCTGTTGAGGGATTAGCTAGACAGTCATTGATCACACGGGAAGGAATGCTCACAGATCGGAACCACCGATACCAATGTTGACGATGGTGTTGATCTTCTTGCCAGTGTAACCCTTCCACTCGCCGCTGCGCACCTGCTCGGAGAACTCCTTCATGTGCTCAAGCACAGAGTGGACATCCTCAACCACACTCTTGCCGTCGACCTGCATGGGCTCCTTAGAGACGTTGCGCAGAGCAGCGTGGTAGACAGCACGGTCCTCGGTGAAGTTGATGTGCTCGCCACGGAACATGGCATCACGGAGCTCCTCAACATTGGCCTCCTTGGCCAACTTCACCAGAAGAGACACGGTCTCCTCGGTGAGGAAGTTTTTGGAGAAATCGAAGAGGATGTCCTGGTTGTCAACGGTGTTGGTAAAGGTGTGGCTGAACTTCTCGAAGCGCTTAGGGTCCTTCTGGAAGTACTCCTTCAAGACAATGTTGCGTCCAAGGGCATTGTGGTGGTCCTGGAGCTCCTTCCAGGCGGGGAGGTCGCAAGCTTGTGAGAAACCAGGCATGATGACGATTACGGGTCTATATGCAGAGCGTTAGTGCGGGGCAAGCACAAGCAACGGAGATAGGTATAGGAGTATGCAGAGAGTAGAGGTACACACCTAACAGTTTTGAAGGGGGTATATAGAGGAAGAAACCAAAAGTGGGAGAGGAACAAGAAAAGTAAATGAGGTCAAACGAGTCCGGCGCGTTGGGGTCCGGTCGTGGGGCATCCGGCGAACATCATCATTGCCGCATTCATGTTTTTGCTACAGTATTTATTCCCCTATTAATTCTCCGATTTATCCGCAGTAACTTGCTCCGTAGACCGAACTTACCAATTCGTACTCAGGCTAATGATTTTACTCTTCTAGGCCCCGTCTTACCAATTCGGCTGTTCCAGAATACCCGCGAACAATACTTGCTGTGTCTGACGTCTATAGCGGGGCATTGGCAACTGAACGGCAATAACGTCAATAACGTCAACTTTTGTTCTTCAACCTCAGTCCCGTTTTCAACATAGAGAACATACTAAAAACCATAGCACTAGTATAATCAAGATAACTGCTCATCCTTGGCCTCGGCGTAACAAGGGGAAGATGATCATAGTCCCAGCTACCTATTGCCGTGTCACGTGCCTCGATGCTCCATACCGGTAGTTCTCGAATTACATCTTGTACATCTTACGTCTCACTATGCGAAAATGGTTGACAAACAACGGGAATGTCTTCTGGCTCTGTAGAAGTATATGATATAGGGCTGTGGGTCACCAATTTTAAACAACTACAACTTGAGGCACACGAAAACGCGCAGAAAGAGGTTAAAAAAAGAGAGGCCCAAGTAGGGCGCAAACAATGCATGAAACGGTATACTTGCTTTCAAGCTTTCCTTGCCACAAGCATGTCTCGGCAGGAGCGTGGCCCTCGCCTTCGACGGTCTCAGTGGGGCGGTAGTAGAGGAGAGTTGTGTTCTTGCACGCTGTTCTAGTGCAACGATTCTGGCCTTGGCAACAGTGAGTTGGTGCTCTGCATGTCCACCTCCGCAGTTATGAACATTCATAGAGCTGTTGGCTTGGTTGAGGCGCAGCAAACGCTCAACTTGTGCCCTCCAAGTATCGCTTCACTGCTCAGCATCTTACAAGCTTCCGTGCGCGCTCCTCGGATTCATCAATGCTCTTCTGAGCGTCTACTTTCGTTAACTGGATAAGCTGTTCTGCGCGCTCTCTCGCATCATTCGTCCGCTGCTCAGCGACAACAATCCGACTCCTACGAAAGAAGTTAGCATCCATCTGGTAATATTGCGCTCGAACAATTTGGTTTCTTACTCTGTGAAGACTTGGTTCCATGAGATCACCAACCCGCATAGCAATCTTCTCCGAAGCCATATGTCTATCGCTTCAGCATACATGAGTATTGTCTTCCCGGTGCTTACATCAATAGTGCTCATTCAATTGTCCGGTCTAAACGCCTCGTTGCCCATTATGATTGGGACGAGAAGAAGGACATAGCTTGTACAGTACGCAACCACGAGATTTCTGAATATTTTGTAGAATAGAAAACTTCGGTTAAATTTGAGCAGACTCTGGGGAAAGTTAGTATTGTACAAATAAAGAACTGACCCTATGCAGAATGCCCGGGTAAATCACCTACTGGACTGTCAAACTAGAGCCGTTGCCAAGATCTGTGGTGCACAGACCACATCAATTGCGCTTCTTTTGCTGGCTTCAAACTTGACATTTCACCTGCGTCTGTGTACTTCCATTTCATTGCAATTTGGAACTGAGCCTTGACCAAAATTGCACAGTGAATAGTGCACTGGTTCAGTCTCTTCAATATGTACAATCCTTACCAACGTGAGTGGTGTCCTCCCCGGTCCTTGAGAAGGTCTCGAGACTTCGCGAAACAGAAGCTAATCAATATACAGCACCGGGTCTCTACGGCCAAGCTCCTGATTATGGTGCCTACGGTGCGCCCCCTGGAATGGGTGAGTATCATCGCCACCGACAGAACCCTCTTTTTCAAAATAGGCTGACCAGCTCCAGTGCCTCCTCCAGGGATGGCCGCCCCAGGAACTGCTGCTCCCCCGGGTCTGCAGCAAGCAAACAGCCAGCAGCCTGGCCGACCAGGAGGCTTCCCGCCCAACTTCCAACCGCCCGCGAATATGCCCAACATCAATTTTTCCGCGCCCGTGATTCGCCTGGGAACCTCGGGTCCCGCAAAGCCTGCAGGCGCAGCTCCAGAGATGGGCCGGGAGCGGGGATCGGATGGTCCTGGCCGTCGTGCTGGCCTCGGAGCTGGGGGCATGGATACCCAGCGCCACCACCCCCGTGATGCGATGCCACTTCAGCCTCCTACACGCGACGAGGTCGTTCGCACACTTTTCGTTGGCGGAATTACGGAGGGTGCGGGAGGTGATGATGGAATTGAGCGTATCCTAGGGTCTGTGGGTGGTCTGCGACGGTGGATTCGCGCCACGGACGCCGATGAGAAGCCCTGCCGGTTTGGCTTTGCCGAATTCGAGGATCCCGCGAGCCTGGAAATTGCGGTGGAGATTCTCAAGGATGTGCAAGTGCCTGTGAAGAGACAGACGCCTCGCGCTGAAGGTGCTGAAGAACAGGAGGTCGAGAAGAGCACACTTCTGGTGCGTATGCATTGTTTGTCTAATCGCAATGGAATTCTACTAACACATGCGATAGGTCGTCGTGGATGAGAGCACGCTCACCTACCTCGAGCAGTTTGAGGCTACACGGGCAGAACAAGACCCCGAGGAACGTCAGGCACGCTTCAGCGCCGCCCGCAATAACCTGAACAGCGTTTTGTCTGACCTTTGCAACCCTACTACCCCTACACAAAAGGAGGATGTGTCGGCCCTTGATCGTGAGGGAGACACTGAGATGAAGGACACCGTTACGAAGGATGGGGAGGTCGTTACCATTCCGATTACAATTGAAGACGAGTTGGCCGATATTCCGCCCGAGATGCGCGCAAATGTTGCCAAAGAGATTGCAGCATTCCGTGAACGAAGCAATCGCCGAGACATTGAGCGTCTGAAGCGTGAGGAGGAGATTGAGTCTATGGAACGTGCCCGGAATTCTGGCTCGAGGATCAGCCGACTTTCTTCACCCCCGGCATCGGCTCCGAGTGGCCCTGCTGGTGGTTCCAACAATATTCCATTGGGTCCTCGGGATCGCAGCGGACCCAACGCTAAGGCATTTGGTGTGCAAATCCCCAAGGACTATCAGAAGGGTGTGGCCTTTGTGAATGGCGGATCACTTAACGGTGTCTCCATTGACCGCGACGCCGAGGATTCTGATGCTAGCGATGAGGAAATCGAACGCCGCCGACTGGCAAAGCATAACGATGACCAAGAGAAGCAGTTCTTAGACCAAGAGCGCCGCTGGCTAAACCGTGAGCGCAGCCGAACAGCCGCCCTCGAGCGTGAGAAGAAGCGAGAGAAGGAAGAGGACGGAAAGCTACAAGCTGCACACGACGAGATGGAAGCACGCCTCAAGGCCTGGAATGATGATATCGAAGCCAGCCGCAAGACAACCGACTATTACGCAGACCGTGGCGCATGGCTTCGCAGCCGCGCCGCGCAACGCGCTCGCGAGATTAACATCGACGATGCCGATCGCGCTGCCGAGGACCGCGAACGCGTTCGCACCGCCCAGCAACAGGAGCAGGCTCGCGGGATGGCGGATGACTTCCTCGCCCGCCAGGCTGAGGAGCTCGAGGCCCGTACCCAAGAGGCACCCCGCGAACCCCAGCGCTTCAAGCTGTCCCTCGGAGCCGCCGCCCAGAAGGCCCAGGCTGCTACCAGCCGCCGCACGGTGGCCGAGGTCGAAGGTCTACTCGAAGACGAGGAAGAGCCCGCCTCCACCACCCGCCGCCAACTTGTCCCGATCAAGTTCGACTCCGCCGCCGAGGCTGCCGGTCTCACCGACGAAGAACGTGCCCAGGCAGCCCGCCAACTCGCTGCTGAGATCCCTACGGACAAGGAGGGTCTTTGGAAATGGGAGGTCAAGTGGGAGTTTGTGGACGAGGCTGTTCTCAGCGACCAGCTCAAGCCATTTGTGGAGAAGAAGATCGTCGAGTACCTTGGTGTGCAGGAGCAGATGCTGGTGGATGTCGTGGAGGAGCATGTGCGCAAGCATGCGCCTCCTCAGGAACTGGTCGAGCAGCTGGCAGAAGTGAGTATTGGTCTATTTTCATTCTTGAATCTGTTACTGACCACAAAATTCACAGGCATTGGACGAGGAGGCCGAAGTACTTGTTCGCAAGTTGTGGCGGATGATTATCTTTTTCTCGGAGAGCGAAAAGCGCGGCTTGTCTGCGTAGATGACATCTCGGTCATGGTCATATATCCCCAGATACATACAAAACACGAGTTTAGCAGTTTACATGAAGTCACAATCCTTCTTTCCTTACCTGTACTTGTTTAGATGTGACCCCACGCTTGGATAAAAACGCGGAGGTGCTCCGAGTATACTTCCTTCCCTGTGATAGGTGGGGTTTGGCATTTTCCCGCCGTTCGCAATTATCCACCAATCAGGTTGCATTAACCCCCAGATGGGTTGAGGGGCGCGGGATAAACTGGCAATGGCGCGGGGGATTATAATTGCTGTATATACGGCCTATTTTCTCTAGGAGCTCTCAATTCTTTTTCTCCTTCATCTCTGCTAGCCTCACTTCTTCAAACCGAGGGTTTTTTGACCAGAAAGTGTGGATTCAACCTCCGAGTCAACCCCGGACATATACTCCCCGCATTTCTAGATTAACCATCGTGATTCTCTGGATTTGACATTGCGCCAGCATTTCTTGTCGCCATTGCTAGAATTAGACCCCATTGTTAACGTCGCATTCCACTACTATTCACAATGGTCAAGATCACCGGCTTCAGCACGCGGGACGTGAGGTTTCCAGTACGTCCATCTTGCCATGCCATTACCAACCGCAGCGCAGAACCTAACAAAGTAACAGACCTCCCTCGACAAGACCGGTTCAGATGCCATGAACGCAGCAGGTGACTACTCCTCAGCCTACTGCATCATCACCACAGACTCAGAACACTCCGGACACGGCATGGTACGTTAAACCCATCCACCATCCATATACCAACTCAACCAACAATAAGCTAACCCCCAGCCACAAAACAGACCTTCACAATCGGCCGCGGCAACGAAATCGTCTGCGCAGCCATCTCCCTCCTCGCCCCAATGGTCGTGGGCAAAGAACTAGATGACCTAACAGCCGACTGGGGCAAGACCTGGCGGTACCTAGTATCAGACAGCCAACTGCGCTGGATCGGACCCGAAAAGGGCGTAATCCACCTGGCGCTCGGTGCCGTTGTCAACGCCCTCTGGGATCTCTGGGCTAAGACCCTGGGCAAGCCCGTATGGCGCATCGTCGCGGACATGACGCCCGAGGAGTTCGTGCGCTGCATTGACTTCCGCTACATCACTGATGCTATCACGCCCGAGGAGGCTATCCGTTTGCTGCAGGAGGTCGAGCCTGGTAAGCAGGAGCGCATTAAGGAGGCTGAGGCCAGTAAGGCTGTTCCGGCTTATACTACTAGTGCGGGTTGGTTGGGGTATAGTAAGGAGAAGCTTAAGTTGTTGTTGGATCAGAGTGTTGAGCAGGGGTACAAGCATTTCAAATTGAAGGTTGGGGGTGATTTGGAGGATGATAAGATGCGCTTGGCTATTGCCCGTGAGGCTATTGGGTATGACAAGGGGAATATTCTTATGGTTGATGCTAACCAGGTATGTTCTTTTCATTCCATTCCATCCCCATCACCTCCATGTCCATTGCATCTGAGCTAACATGTACCCAACAGGTCTGGTCCGTCCCCGAGGCAATCACCTGGATGCAAGAACTAGCCGAATTCAAACCCTGGTTCATTGAAGAGCCCACCTCCCCCGACGACATCCTCGGCCATGCCGCAATCCGCAAAGCTCTCTCCAACACCCCCCACGGCCCCGTCGGCGTCGCCACAGGCGAGATGTGCCAGAACCGTGTGATCTTCAAGCAACTTCTGCAAGCCGGCGCCTTGACAGTGCTGCAGCCAGACGCCTGCCGTGTCGGCGGCGTGAACGAAGTGCTCGCGATCCTGCTACTGGCGCGCAAGTTCGGCGTGCCTATTGTGCCGCACTCTGGTGGTGTTGGTCTGCCCGAGTACACGCAGCACTTGAGCACGATCGACTATGTTGTTGTTACGGGCAAGAAGAGTGTGCTTGAGTATGTTGATCACTTGCATGAGCATTTCGTGCACCCGTCCAGTGTGCTGGATGGATACTATGTTACTCCTATGGAGCCTGGGTATAGTGTCGAGATGAAGGCTGGTAGTATGGATGCCTTTGAGTTCCCTGGGCAGGAGGGGAAGAGTTGGTGGAGGTCTGAGGAGGCTAAGGGGATTATTGATGGTCCTCGGGTTGTATAGATTTGGCGATAGATCAGCGTGCATTCTGTGATGTCGTTATGTGGTTTCTTGTTAATAGTTTTATAAAAATTGTCTTGCATATTGTGAATTTTCTTGAAATGCATTGTGCCGGGCTGCCGGACTTGTAAAGATTTGGATCGCTGCTGCGGTCCGTTAAAACTATAATACATCGCACAGGTCATCGGAGCCTGAGTGCATGGCCAGTGGCCGATTCCTAGAAGTTACAAAGAGGTACCTTGTCCAGACTGGTATGGCCAGATCAGTCTTGATATAGGAACCAGGAACAGTTCGAAGGTCACCGTAAGTCACATTTCATCAATGAGAGGCCATAGATCTTGTGGTGACGATGGGAGGAGGGTATGATGACAAATTTGGGGGTGAAGGCCTTCAGCGCCACTGCATACCAAAGAGCTTCAGGGTGCTAGCCACACTGGGTTTCTCTGAGGCCTTTTCAAGGACAACACGAGAGTGTCCCTTCACATCGAGCGCGAGAAGCTGGTACTCGAGATTGCTCTTGTCCAAAGGCTTCATCATGTGCACGATAACCACACCGGAGTTAAGAGGGCCCTCGACCTGAATTCATAGTCAGTACTTTTGACTTTCTCATTTGCGGGGAGAGCATCATACGTGGAAGTTCATCCGCAGATGCTCACGGCCTAATCGATCTTTTTCGACGGTTGTCCTAGCTATTGTTAATACCTCCGGTCTAGATGCACAAATCAATACACTCACGCAATAGGCCTGTTGCGCGCCCACCGACTCCAGGTGTTTTCGCCGTATGCTTTGATCTCTCTGCGATCACCAAGCAGCTTTATACACTCGGGGTCATCCTTGATGCGTTCAACTGCTTTCTCAAACTGCCATGTCTTGCTGTTTGGTGAAAATAGTTCGAGATAGAGAAGTGTGAACACTCCACCCTGGTAATATAGTCAGCACCTGTTATTTGGCGTTCAACTGGTTGAGGTTCATACCGTCAGGACTGCTCCGGCCAGCACAATGACGAAGTTGAAGGACTGTTGTGTTGCGCGCGCAACTTTCTCTCCTCCGCTCAGATCACCCCACTGCACCCGTCCATCGTCTGACAAAACTGTAATGCTCTTCTTTCTTGATGTTCCTGTAGGTCGAGGCCCGCGACCTAGGTCGCTCTGGGTAGCATAGTGCCGAGCGATCTGTGTGCGGGGAGACTGGCGGAGGAGGTACGCAGGAGAGATTCGAGGAAGAGCGCGGACCTGGAGGTTATTCATTGTGAAAGACTTAGCCCATGAAAGTTGAGGCAAGGTTGGCGTTATCGCCGTCGCTATCTTCATTGGCATCACGTGCGACGAGGCTCAATGGGGAAGTAAAATACGTAATTACATACAGCCAGTGGAGGCGTTGTAAGCGGCAAACTGGGGGCGACGTAACGTGAATACCAGGAACTTTGAACGGTGTCAGTCCAAGTCCGACCACCTCTCCGTTTCCGACGCTTTTTGTCTCTAGGGCACATTTCACAACCACCCTTTTTCCTTGTGTTCTCTTCGTGACCTCTCCTCTGTGCCAACATGAGTGCCTCCAAGGCGCAGTCTCAAAAGATCTTTGAGAAGATCAAGCTGAAGCCCGCAAACAAGGTGCGCAGAACCCCACCCCCGTACCCTGCATGGTGGCACTCGATTCTAATGTCTCTTGCTTCGCTAGGTATGCTTCGATTGCGGTACGAAAAACCCGACATGGTCCTCCGTGCCATTCGGTATCTACCTATGCCTTGATTGTTCGGCACACCACCGTAACCTCGGTGTGCACATCTCCTTCGTGCGATCAACAAACCTCGACCGTATGTACCTGCGGCACAATTCCTCCGTTCTCTATGCTTGTTGGTAGACAGACGCTGATTTTTCGTACAGAGTGGCAATGGGAACAGCTGCGGGTGATGAAGGTTGGTGGAAACGAGTCTGCGACCAAGTACTTCCAATCGCACGGAGGCTCCGCTGCGCTCGCAAGCAAGGACACCAAAGTCAAATACACGTGCAATGCAGCTGTCAAGTATAAGGAGGAACTCAAGAAGCGCGCTGCGCTCGATGCGCAACAGTTAGTGAGCCCCAATGTCTTGGTAGAACTGCCACGACTAGGTACTGACCGGTGTTGTTACTTTGTTTAGGTATCCCGAGGAAGTCGTCATCACAGATCTCCCCGCTGGCACTCCCTCCGATGGGTCGAACACTCCTGCTGGTGACCCAGACGACGACTTCTTTTCCTCGTGGGACAAGCCCTCCATCAAGCGTCCGAGCAACCCCCGTCGCGCACCGGCACACCACCCGTTGTCAGCCGAACCGGTTCTCCTTTCCTGAACGCCGGCGCGAATGCAAACGGATCCCGCTCAAAGTCCCCCCTGTCTGCTTCCGAAGAGAAGAGCGCATCTCCCGCGCCGACTGCCATTCGGTCAAACCCTGCTGCCCGCAAGACCACTACAACCAGTACCGCGAAGAAGGGCAGTGTCCTTGGTGCCAAGAAGGCGCCCAAGCTTGGAGCTAAGAAGGTTGCTGCTGCTGATATTATCGATTTCGATGAGGCCGAGCGCAAGGCCAAGGAAGAAGCCGAGCGCATTGAAAAGCTTGGCTACGACGCCGAAGCTGAGCAGGCTGAAGCCGAGGCCAAGAAGGCTGCCACTGCTGCTGCCGCTACCCCGCTCCCTGCTCCGACCCCAATCAGCCCTGCTGGCAAGTCCCATGAGCGAAACTCGAGCGATGTCGAGCGGCTAGGCATGGGTATGGGCAGACTTGGCTTCGGTCAGGTCTCGAAGCCTGTTGCCCCTAAGAAGCCTACTTTTGGTTCTGTTGGCCCTGCCAAGTCCAACCCTGCTGATGGTAATATTCCCATTGATATTTGCGCTTGAGCGATGTGCTGACCTTCATATAGACGAAGAACTCGCTCAGACCAGGACCCGTTTCGGTACCCAGAAGGGTATCTCCTCCGATGAATTCTTCGGACGGGACCGCTTCGATCCGGCCGCTCAGTCGGAGGCCAAGGAGCGCCTCCGCCAATTCGACAGCGCTACATCCATCTCCAGCAACAACTACTTCGGCCGGTCCGAGGATGAGATTCCTGCCATTGATGATGGCTACGGTGATCTCGAGGTTGCTGCCAAGGATTTCATCCGCCGCTTCGGTATCACCGCTGGAGATGATATCGAGAACCTGTCGCACATTGTCGGCGAAGGCGCTACCAAGCTACAAGGTATGTAAATATCCCTCTACGATCATGTAAATTTTGCTAATTACGCTTGACTAGGTGCTATCCGCAACTATCTGAACAACTAAGTCAATACCCATTTTCATCAGATATCCCGCCTTCTATCACTCCAAGTTCTTAGCAAGCCTCATTGTTCCCCTGTTCACCTGATCCGCGACGTATATTGTGTCTCCCTTTGCCCTCTCCACCCTCTGAAATATTCTTCACCTGAAACCATCGCGATCAGAAGCCGTTCAAAATTTATCTTTCCATTATGATATTCAATTTGGCGTGTTCATGGTGGCACCTTGGCTTCTTCCTGTTTCTTCGCATCCCTTCACAGCAACACCGGATGCTCGAAGGAATCTTTTGTTCTTTTTCATTTCGTTTCGTTGGTATGGTTCAAGATAATCGAAAAATTCGTGATTTGATATTATTCATAGAGAAATGAAAGTATTGACAACCAGTAAAAAGAACAAAACAAATCTCATACTCCCAATTGTGAAGTCCTATACCGCTCTATAAAACTCCCATGATGAATGAAGAGCAAAAAAGCGCAGCACAAGGTCATCAAAGTACAACCCCAACCCAAATGTTGAATACAAAAACCGGCCATTGTACAGCCGATGGGTATAAACAGACAAGCGACAAAAAAGCACACTCACTCAACACGATAAATCGCATCAGCAACCTTAGCAACCTGCCACATCTCATGAACATCATGAACACGAACAATATCCGCACCGCCCGCAACACTAGCCGAGACTGTCGCCGCAGTCCCCCAAACCCGATCCCGGGGCGTCGTCACCCCAGTCAAAGTCCCAATAAATCGTTTCCGACTGGGTCCCATCAACCATGGGAGACACTCAAGCCCAGGCATACCACGCAGTTTCGGCAACTCGCGCAGGATCTCCAGATCCTGAGGCTGGACCTTCGCAAAGCCAAGCCCGGGATCGAGGATCATCCGCCAGCGCCGGATACCCGCTTCCTCGGCGGCGGCGATACGGCCACGCAATTCGGCTGCTACTTCAGTGATCACGCCGTTCGGGTAATCGTGTAGCTGGTTCATTGTCTGGGGCGTGCCGCGCATGTGCATAAGGATGATTGATTTGCCGATGCGCGCGACTGTGGGCAGCATGTCTGCATCCAGGAGGCCGGCGGAGACATCGTTGATGATGTCGGCGCCGGCGGCGCAGGCTGCTTCCGCAACGCGGGCGCGGTACGTGTCGATGCTTATGGCTATGTTTGCTGCTTCCGGGATGTTGGTGCGGATGTGGTGGATTGCTGGGACGACGCGGGCGATTTCTTCTTCTGCGCCTACTGGTGTTGAGCCGGGGCGTGTGCTTTCGCCGCCTATGTCGATGATTGTGGCGCCGGCGGCGATCATTTTGTGCACTGTCTCTGTTATGTAGGTGAGGTCTGTTGGGGAGTGTTTGCCGCCGTCTGAGAAGGAGTCTGGGGTTAGGTTTAGGATTGCCATTATGTGTGTGCTGCGCTTTGGGTCGGTGGCGTGCAGCGATTGGAAATTTGGTGAGATTGGAGTTGTTGATACTGGTGTTGGGTCTGGTGGAGTGAGGGCTGCTAGATGGGCGCTGTATGTTTTGGTTTCTTTTCCATTGAGTGGTGGGTACTCATTGGGGATTAATCTGGGGTGGAGGGTTAGTCCGCTTGAGTGTTGGTATAGGACGCGTTGGGGGCGTACTGGCTGAGAGGTCGTAAAACGAAGTCTCGCTCTAGCATCAGATTGTGTGGGATGTTGAGACGCTCATGAGACACGACTTTTTGATCATAGAGCAAAATGTCCAAATCAATTGACCGCGGGCCTTTGTCGATCAACTTCTTTCTGCCCATTGCGATTTCAATGGCTTGGATGGCGTCCAGAAGCTCCAGAGGTTCAAGAGTTGTTTCAACCTGGGGTTGTCAGCTTCTAGAACTGAAAAATAGGCATCTGCTGTATCGTTGAACTACATACCTCGCACACACCATTGATAAATGTGTCCTGATCAAGGACATACATTGGCGCAGTCTCAAACAACGAGCTTGTCCGTTTCACTTTGATGCCGACTTTATCCATTTCGAGACAAGCCTGTTCGATCATCTCTACTCGATCTCCAACATTGCTCCCCAAGGCAATAAAAGCCCGGTGCACGTCTGGGGTCAGATATCTCAAGTTCATCTTGGGGTCTGAACGGGTGGCGGGTCCACTGGAGAAATTCCTCGCAGGCGGGGTCAAATGTGGCGAGTTGATCAAGAGCTGCGAGTGGCCATTTCTAGTCAAGAACCTTGGTGCCGCTGTTGATGTTGAGCAATGTTGTCCTACTAAAACTTTTAGTTTGCGGATCAAATGCAGGTCGGATGTAAGAGAAGGAAAAAAAAAATGCGGGACAGTCATCTTTCCCTTTTGGGGTGATAGGCCGATAAGGGGGCGCATACTCAAGCTTGAGCTTATTCCCAGTCTATATCTGTTAGAGACAGTCCAATCGATTAAGATCTGTTTACTCACCTCGCTGGTCGATGATACTGCCTCGGTGAACCCGGGGTTCCCGGCAATACAGGGGTTCCTGGCGACCTCGCAGATTGCCGAGAGAAAGAGCCTCCGCGAATGTATGGCAATACATGAGCTTTCCAATTCATCCGTACACTCATGCTGGCAGAATTGACAGACAAGGCAACAAAGGAAAAGATCGCGGAGGATGAAATGATAGACCCGGGCACGTGAGATGACACGGTTAGATTAGTGTTTAGTGCCTCAGGTGTCTGCTGTCAAACTATAAGATCAAGAGAGATTAGGAGCAACATGGCTATTGATTTCCTATTCTACTCACTGTGGTGTGCTTGGGTCTTTCACTTTTCATATGTCCGTCTTTTATGTCCTACAAAGTGTAGATCCTCTCTTTTAGAAAGGGAAGACGCAACCATTTCCGATCTTTTCGGGATCAAGGCATTAGATTATGTACTCTTGGTGTAGACGATAGTCTAGCCTTACTATGACATCGAGCTGTCTCCAGAAACTTGGTGAGTTTGGGTTTCTTTCAATCCCAGCCCGGGATCCCCGTTATACAGAAGGGCCCAGCTTCCTGGTTGATTCTACTGTTTTATGCCTCAGGCGGTACGAGGAAGCCACAGAATGACATGTACTAACAGCTAGTTAGCTAGCTAGCTCCTTTCTTTCTATCCAATTTTTCCGACAAGTTAATCATGCGCGGATATGCTCAAGGATCAACAAGTACGATTCAACCCTATGTATGCATCTTCAGACTCGTGTCCCAGGTGGCTTGTCCAACGAAAGAAAATGCTTTTATAAAAGCCGCCAGGCAAGCTGCATTGAACATAAGCTTGGCTACGTTTGACTTGACACATCAGGGTGGTCATGCAGATAATGTAGGGAGAAGACAAAGAAACTTGTAGGCTGTCAATGCTCGGCACATCCATTGTGCTGGCTCTCAAACGGCAAGAAGCCATTTACTTACTAGATGAAGTAATATTTAGGGCTACCAAAAATAAATATCACCCTAGCATAGTGGTAGCGTTCTTAAATGTACAATGTGGTAGATAGTATTGTTCTTGTTTCATGTATTGTCGCCCATCGTCGCTCTATGGCTTTACGTCCTTGGACTTCGCGGCCTGTAAGGTCTCGAAGCACTCACGAATGGATATGATATAAGTATTAATATCCTTTGCTTGTAAGACGATCTTCCCTTCGAAGCCCTTCACACAACATGGATGTTTTTAACCTCACCCTTTTTGCTCTATGTGGGCTGCATTTGATCCACATCAGCACGGTATCAGGCGCCGTTGTACCTGCACCACTACCAGGCACTGACGGAATTTGCTACACATATATCGTTCAAGGCCAGGATACGTGTACCTCCATTGGCAAACAACACAGTATTACCGTGGCCGACATCGAAGCCTTCAACAAGAACTCATGGGAATGGCTCGGTTGCGACAAGCCATTGTACCAAGGTGCATTCATCTGCCTCAGCGCTGGCGCTGCTCCGATGCCAGTGGCACTTCCACAGGCCACTTGTGGTCCCCAGGTTCCTGGAACAACACGCCCGAGCAACTTTGATCTACTTGGCGCTCTTAATCCATGCCCGAACAAGGAATGTGTAAGTGAATCCATGAAGAAATATATTAAGTATGCATCTAATCATAACCACAGTGTGCTCCGTGGGGAATATGCGGTACTACCCCTGAATTTTGTAGCCCCTCGGACTATACATCGCACACCACATCCACACCGACTCACGTAACTGGCAAGACAGTTACTCAAGCCGCTAAAACAACACAAGCTACCACGAGCAAATCTACAAGCACCACGGAAAGGACCAGCACCACAAAGACAACCACTACTTCCAAATCAACCAGTACAAAGACAGCATCAACGACAAGAAAAGCAGACAAGACGACAAAAGCCGCCGCTGCTACAGAAACATACAAGGAGCCATGGACAGTCACGCTTTTCGAACAGAAGGATTGCGTAGGAAACTACTATCTCCTAGGGGGATACAACTCAAAATGGGAACAAATGAACCCGTCAAGATGTCTGAATCTCAACGGTGGCCTCAACAGTGACTCTATGGGCACCGAAACATTCTGCAAATTCTACACCGAAGGAGGTTTGCATTCGACTAATTGCGACAATGGTAATTTCACTGCAGTTGCGTCGTGGGTTATCAAGAATGGGTGGTGCTATACATACAATCTCAAAGGCTGCAGCTCGAAGGATCATAAAGATTCGTGGATTAATGACGGCGGTTGGGTCGGGTGTGAGAATCATGGGCCTCGACATTCACCGCACTATGTCTCTATGAAATGCTTTATTAATAAATGAACTTCAGTATAGTACAGCACCATAGAAAGTGTTGTTCGAGTACAGTAACTCCCACGCCTTGTCCTGTTTTAGGCCCACCCTGATCTTGAATAATATCAACCATACAACTAGAAAATTTTGTCTTGGTTCGCAAAGCCATGGGAGACACTAAGCTGCTCAGTGTGATAAAACCTGCAATGAGAATGATAGTATGCCTATCTCAATACCAGCTCATTCACTAAATTGCTCAAAATACCTACATTGGCTATTACTCTTCTTGGAGAGGTGTATGTGGGCGCTTGGTGGAGGATGAGATGCAGCTTGGCTTCAAATATGAGTTGAGTGTATGGAATTACGAATGATTATTTACGTCTCATTTCCTCCTCCGCCATGCAATTGATGAACTTGAAAATATGTAATCATGTCGTCCGGTCCATCATTCGACGTCAACTAGATGTTTAAATAATGCAGTGGGCGATTGGTGACGGTGCAAGATGGTAGGCTCGTTGAGACCTGCTGATTGATACGACTTTCAGCCGCCAACCTCTACTTCCAGCTCGGGGCTAGCTTGGTCGTCCAAGATACATATACCGGCCCTTTACAATTGGGTATGTATCAGTGTATTTCTACTTTTCGAGCATCCTCGCTACTCGGTGCAATAGAAGCCGGATCGGGTCGCCCACTCCATGACATCGTGACCTCGAAACAAACATTACTGGCTCGATTTTTGAATTTGGGACAGCTTATCTTTCTGCTTAGAAGCCTATTCGACATTTTACTGATGCCAGGTTTGCATGGAACTTAAAGTTTCCAGTCCTACTGAACACTATGACGTCTACCATCTTCAATATCACAATAGATTACTTTTGGTCTATACAGCGCTATGTGTAAATAATTTTAACAAGCATTCCTTGAAAATTCAAGTTCCCGCGTGCGATCATGCCATTTCTTCTGTGGGGTAATTGTTCCCCACCGTCTCTTCTGACCCGGATGTTATCTCTGCTAGAAGAATTGGAGAATGTCCGTTGGCAGACCCTTAGTACCCATTCGAATAATAATGAAGACCCAGTTTACCAGGTATATATATTTGGATGTTGGCATGATAATCTCAGTCAATAGTGTTTTAATGCTCAGCCCTGGTTTGACGACTTTCAAATTCTAACGGTGGGGGGAATTTTATTTTTATCCTGCCATAGTGTCGATCAGTCTGGGGTGTGGCAAGACATATTCAGAGCAATTACACATATCTTGGATGGTCGGTTGTTGGAATACAGACAATAGCCGATCTGTGTCTGCACTTGCCACGGTGAAAGAATCTGTGTTGGAGAAGACGACAAGAATTTAATGATAGAATTTAATGATAGACTTGGCAGATTATGGTGGCAATGGGCAAAATTCGGGATGTTGGAAGGACAATTCTCGGGTGAACAAAGAATTGAAGAGCATCTCGGAACATGGCGGATCCAAGGGTCGGTAGTTACCATGCTTCTAAACGCCAAAACCGATCATGCCATGTGGTTACTCAGCTTCTTCCTTTTTCCATTGCACCTTAGAGGCTGCTTGCCGTCAAGTTGCCACTCTAGGCTGACGTAAATTCTGTTTCAGTAATCGCCACAAAGGACTGATGTCAGGCTCTCCAATTCAGTATTTTCTCAAGCGAGGAGAAAAGCGGTCTTATTTGAGGACCAGGTTGGGTAGACGAATGGATCGAAGTTTTCGAAAGGAAGTTCTAGAAGGTTGGAACCGCTGCGTAAGGCGATGACCAGGTGTTCGAGACCAGAGTGGAAACATTAGCCGCAGTTCATTGGTGGTGGGTCTAAGGAACGTAACCTTATTGCGCGCCTCCACATCTCTAATTGTACCATAATTGTAGTCTATCCATTCTTTGCTGGCTACGGTTCACTTTGGAGTTTGGGTCTTGGATGTTGGAACTTTCTCGATTCCATTCTCCACCATGTAGTATAAAAAGAGCCGGAGTTCGCTGCTCAGGTACTCTTTTTCTTTTCTCTCCATCAGCACAATCTTTTGATCCTTCAAGTCACTCTCTTCTTGAAGTCATTCCATTCTCTTTCGAGGTAGATCCTCATCACTGTCACTCCTGACGACTGTTATATCAGAATCACTATTCTTTTCCACCAATTCCATTCATTTTTGCAATCCTGCAATATGACTTTCAACGTCTTCATGACCGGCCTCCTGGCAGCTACTGCCGTCGCCCTTCCCCAGCCCCACTGGACCCGTGATGCCGAATCCAACGTCGAGGCCCGCAGCTCCGGTGGCGGCGTCCAGATCGTCAACAACATGGACACCAACGTGTACCTGTGGAGCACCGACTCCAACCCCGGCTCCATGCAAACCATCAGCTCTGGAGGCGGCGGCTACAGCGAGAAGTGGAACACCAACTCCAACGGTGGCGGTATCTCCATCAAGATGTCCACAACCGAGAGCGAGGACAGCGTCCTCCAATTCGAGTACACCCAGGACGGCAGCACTATCTACTGGGATATGTCCTCCATTGATCTCGACTCGACTTCTGACTTTGTCAAGTCTGGCTTCAATGTGCAGCCCAGTGATTCGAGCTGCACCTCCGTGAGCTGCGCCCCTGGCGACGCAAACTGCAAGCAGGCTTACCAGAAGCCCGATGATGTGAACACCAACTCCTGCTCTCTTGATGCAGGCTTCACTCTCACTCTGGGCTAAAATTTTGTTCTTTCTGTTCTTTTAAACAACGGCAGGCCGGTGGAAATTTTGGCTATTCTATTTCTTGCAGAACAATATATATGACTTGATTGTGTTGAACAGCATTTCGCTACATTTTATTTGGATATAGACATAGATATAGACAGGTTTTGAGAAGAATGTCAATACATCCTTTTTTTGATCATATGAATTTTATCTGGCTTGACATTTATTTGTTAGTCGGACAAAAGCCCTAAGACCTAAAGCATTCTATCCTCGTGACAGACAAACACGAGAAATCTTAGATTAGAAGGAAGATTGTAGTCTCTATACCGGCTGGCGACTGATGACTCCTTGTTATATCCTGGAATATTGTTAACACTTTCCAAGGCCTCTTGAGAGCTTAAATAATTTAAATCTCGTAACAGATGTTAAAAATACTCTTCGGTCCGATACGATTCGGCAAAAACGATCTCGGTTATACATACATACCATACCCTCTACAAATTTTGACGTTCTAAATCCAAGTTCTGAAAATGAGATCAAGGGTGAAGAGAAAACACTTATCCTCTCAGCATATATCCATGTAATTAGCAGAGAACACAGCTTAAACATGGCAAGTATAAAACAGATGCACGTGATCCCAACCCCGCTGCCGGGGTAGCATCGTGACTAATCTCGGTCAAGTCGTGGACCGAGGCTCATCGCGAGTTCTGTGAAGCGCCGAGGCTGCTTTGGTTTATAGGGTGGCTCCCTGCTCCTCCTCTTCCCCAGATTTTATCTTTTCATTATCTCTTTGACACATTTGACATCATGGCTTCTCCTCGTAAGTGACCGTTCAAATCACCTTGACCTTGTTCTTGACCACCCCTTGAACACATCCTCACATGTGACCTTTTTACCACCGATGTTACCGCTCTTACGGCCCACACTTTTGACAGGTGCTAACATGCCTACCAAACAGAGCAAATCCGTACCCCGATCACCGATCTTCTCAAGATCAACCACCCCATCCTGCTGGCAGGCATGAATGTGGCAGCGGGGCCCAAGCTGGCCGCCGCGGTCACCAACGCCGGTGGTTTAGGTGTGATCGGTGGCGTTGGCTACACTCCCGACATGCTTCGCGAGCAGATCACCGAGCTGAAGAGCTACCTGACCGACAAGAACGCTCCCTTCGGTGTCGACCTCCTCCTTCCCCAAGTCGGCGGCAGTGCCCGTAAGACCAAGTAAGAATATTGCGCGATCGCGCCACCACGGCCCTTTGTTATCAACATAAGGCTAACCACATGTTTTTTAACAGCTACGACTACACCAAGGGCAAGCTCGGCGAGCTCGTCGATATCATCATCGCCGAGAAGGCTAGCTTGTTCGTCTCTGCTGTCGGTGTTCCCCCCAAGGCCGTTGTCGAGAAGCTCCACAGTGCCGGTATCCTCTGCATGAACATGATCGGTCACCCCAAGCACGTTGCCAAGTGCTTGGATGTTGGCGTCGATATTATCTGTGCTCAGGGTGGTGAAGGTGGTGGCCACACTGGTGATGTCCCGACCACCGTCCTCATCCCCACCGTTGCCAAGTTGGTCCAGGGCAAGAAGAGCCCTCTGACCGGCCAGCCCGTGCAGGTCATCGCGGCCGGTGGTCTGTTCAACGGTAACTCTGTTGCTGCTGCTCTCATGCTGGGTGCTTCTGCTGTCTGGATCGGTACTCGCTTCATCCTCTCTGACGAGGCCGGTGCCCCCAAGGCTCACCAGGAGGCTGTCCGCACCTCTGGCTTCGAGGACAACATCCGTACTATCATCTTCACTGTAGGTTTGCCTTGTTTGTCTGTGTATTTGGCGTGATCACTAACCGATATTATAGGGTCGTCCCCTCCGTGTTCGCAAGAACCCTTACATCCTCAACTGGGAGGAGAACCGTCACGAGGAGATTAAGCAGCTCACTTCCAAGGGTATTATTCCCGTCGAGCACGACATGGAGAACCTGCCCGACGACGTCGACGACGACACTCTTGACAACGCCCGCCCTTACCTGATGGGCAAGGTTGCTGCCGTTGTCAACGAGAAGAAGTCCGCCAAGGCCATCGTCGATGAGCTCGTGACGGATGCCGCTGCTCTGCTCCAAAAGGGTAACAAGATGGTTGCTAAGCTGTAAATAAAGAATTCCCCATATTTCGATCTACATAGTCATTCTCAGCGTTGAATCAAATCCGGCCAGTTTTCCCGGCTCACTTTTGGACTGGACTTGAATACCGTGTAGCGTTGTCATTCCGACTATTTCAAGAAGCCATGCGGAACATGTCAACATATCAAGCATGTCGTTACTATTTCTGGCACACGTGGGCCGACAAGGGTTATAAGCGCCTGAGTGGGCCAAGCTTGGACTATCAAGCATATGTTCACGTCAAGATCACCTTCCTCTGAGTTTAGCTAAGGGCTACTTGATATAAATAGATTCCTGTCCATGTTTTTGATGGGCTTTGTGTCCCGTATGTAAATGGTGCATCACATCAAGTTCGCTCTCTTCGTTCACTGAGGCTGCACCCATACTTCGTGTATACCATGAGAATCAATAGCGATACTCACTTCACACATACTCTGAGTCTTTAATATACCCATCCTGCCTCATTCGTCATTGATAAAACAAAATCGAATCCTAAAACAACCCGAGACTAGGAAAAAAGCCGCATGCATCTACTGTTACCAGCAGGAGATATGTAGCCTTGTGGACCTGGATCGTCTCCGGTTCCAACCTCCCCTCATCATCTCTCTCCACTGTCCACCATTTGATCTTTACATCTTCCTTTTCGGGCATCGCAAGCGAAACGTTGGGAGATACCCTCGGACCCCCGTCTCTAAATAAAGCACTACAAGCGCCGTGGCGGGGCATGAAGGCCGAGTGACATGGGCCACGCACCAATGATCACAACACCCGGGATGCGACAGACCAGATTCCATGATTGTGTATCCCCGCACTCTATTTCAACTATTTTGTTGGCTTCAGGGTCCATCTGTGAGAGAGTCAAAGCCCAATCCAATGGCTCAACTTGTGAGCACCGATCAGTCCACTAGATATGCACGTCAACCTCCACTCACAGTGCAGTATCACGAAATGCCTCGTTCTGCACTCTCATTGCTCCAATCGTGCATAAATGCTGCAGGTGAACGGGTTATTTTTGTCGCTCTTCCCTCGGTTTGGCTAGCCTCTCCAGCCCCTCTCTGCAGGCTCTGAGATTTGGGTTTTGCTTCCCTGATGCTCTCTCTTTTCACTCTCCTTTGCATTCCCGCCTATCCGCTTCTGGGATCCAATGTGCTGGGTCCTCCACATCCACACCGTGATCGGAGGTTAATCCAAACTAGTCCAGACTGGCGGTTTTAATCACACCAGCCACTCGCTCTCACCCTGGTCGCCCTGGTCGCCCTGGTCGCTTGTTCGCTTGGTATTTCGCCTTCTATTAATACCTTTTCCAACATCCAAGGCTTCACTTCGCAATCTCGGAGGCCCGCTCTGATATCGCCTCGTATCACGGCCAATCCGCATCCCGCCAACTCGTCTCCCCCGCAGCTCCTCTCTTCCGCTCAGAGTGTTCTTGGCTGGCCCCTTTATCTGGAAGGTTTTTGGTCACACTGAGTAACTCCTTGGCCATTGACGCCAGCGGTTATAATACTGGGATTCTCCTGACTTCTTCCGGACGGTGACCCCGGACAAGCTCGATACCTCATCAATTCTCCTTGTGTCCTAGAGAGTCGGATGAGAAGTGCAAGGTCTTCTCGCCGTCTATACCAACCTAGGCACGGGAGAAAAACCAATGTGCTCTTAACTCGAGACGATGTCACTGAAACAAGTATGGATATTGTTGATGTGTCGGAATATGTGGGCTGATGTCGAAATAGGAAATCGAGACTTGGGTACAGGCCCTAGACGCCTACGACAACCAAGAATTTGAGGAGTCCTTGCGGTTCTTTGACCAGATCGCCGATACATCAAAGATCTTGTTCAATTGCGGGGTGATTTATGCGACTTTAGGCGAGCACTATAAAGCGGTAAGTGCACAAGGAGATGGCCTGGCCAGACCACACTAACATCGGTGATGCAGGTAGAATGCTATCAACGTGCTGTCGGCTTAGACCGGTATCTAGCGATTGCTTACTTCCAGCAAGGCGTGTCCAACTTCTTGCTCGGGGACTTTGAAGAAGCATTGGCCAACTTCAATGACACTCTGCTGTATCTGCGAGGAAACACTTCAATTGACTATGAGCAGTTGGGTCTGAAGTTCCGTCTCTTCTCCTGCGAGGTCTTGTTCAATCGAGGACTCTGCTATATCTACCTTCGGCAGATGAACCCAGGTATTCAAGATCTTGAATATGCGTCGAAGGAGAAAGTCACGACAGATCATGATGTGATTGACGATGCGATCCGTGAGAACGCAGATGTACGTGAATCTCCTTTCACCTGTCTACGCAGCTAACCGAATACAGGGCTACACGGTATTCTCAATCCCAGTTGGGACTCTCTATCGTCCTAATGCAGCAAAAGTCAAGAACCTCAAGACGAAGGATTACCTCGGCAAGGCTCGACTGGTCGCCGCATCTGACCGTAACCAATCATCAGATCACCAATGGAAGCCAATGGTCATTGATAAAGCAGCACTCCAAGGTCGTGAAGGAGTATCTTATGCTGCAACCAACCTGGTACACAAAAACCTCAGCAGCCGCACCCGTCAGCACTCCGAGCCCCCTCTAAACCGTAACGTATTCCCACCAACACCACCACCAGATGACCGATCCGTCAGCACGGCCTCGGGCTCAGGAAGCCATTCAGTGTCAGGCCACCACCGATCATCATCCCTCCGAAACGTGCGCCCACCACGCCTAGACCTAGACCGAACAGGTGCCAGCCTAGACCGACGCCAAGAGCAACCGCCCACCGAGAAACCCCGAATAGGCACAACACGCACAGCATCCGAGCCTCGCGGGCCCTCCTCCAAGCAAAGCAACATCCGCGGCTTCAGCCAAGAACCCAGCCGCCAATGGACCCAACAACCCAGCCACAGACGAAACTTCAGCGACACAAACACAAGCACTACCTTCCCCCCGGACCAGGAATACGGGCACTGCGATCCGTACGACCCCTACACAAGCCAACAACGCAACCTAGCAAACGCAGGCTGGGGCCGCGGCTCCCGCCACCAACCACCCCAATACATCGACGAAGAAGAAGAATACGGCAGCGACGCATGCGACGCAACTACGCTTAATGACGGATCCTTCGAGCTGGTCAACACAGCCACAGCCCCCGGCGGCTCATCCCAACAACGACGCACACGCTCGCCAACCCGCTTCTCTCGCCATGCCAATCCCCGCAGACCGGAGATCCAGAAATTCCGCACGAAGGTCCATGCCCCCGATGATACGCGGTACATCATGATTGGGCCGTCGATTGAGTTTGCGGAGTTTGAGAATCGCATTCGGGAGAAGTTTGGCTTTAAGTGTCCGCTTAAGATGAAGGTGCAGGATGATGGGGATATGATTACGATGGTTGATCAGGAGGATTTGGATTTGTTGTTCACTTCTGCGAGGGAGGTTGCGAGGAGGGAGGGGAGTGAGATGGGGAAGATGGAGGTACGTTTTTGCCTTTCCTGGTTTGGTTTGGTCTTTGGGGTATGGGTTACTGACTTTCTATTAGATCTGGGTTGAAGAGCGCTCGATGATTTGATGCATGGCGATTGGAATTGCTTTTGGAATTGGGACTGGCCATTGGTTCTTGATGCTGTTTTTATTAGCATACTGATTTTGTCTATACCCTGTTTTGCGCGTTTGGCATGGAGATACGAATGAGAAATATTTGAATACTAGACTTAACCTTGGTATTGTAAGTATACTGTAGACTCAAACTACCATAACAAGCCAGGTCGTGTAGATTAAAGAGGACCTTTGGCGTTCAAGCTTGGTGATATTCATGGGTTCATAGATGGGAGTGGGTCAGTATATAGACTCGACCAATTATATGGCCGGTATGTGAATGACGATATCGATATCGTCTTCTGATATACTGCGAGGAGATTTTCCTGCACTTGCAGACTGTTAAAGGGGTTGGCATTATTCTTGGTGGATAGAAAACTACAATTCAGAAGCTAGTTTGAGTCAAAATGCAACGAGAGCAGTAAAAAGGAAGACAAGCACCTTAGCTCGAATAGCTGGAATACTAACAGATTAATCCTTTTAATACACTAAATTAGGACGATAAATACGAGGCTAATTGCAGATATATAGTCTGGAACAGAGCATGGTCCCAAATTATTTACATTTAGAACCGGGTTTCACCATCACGGGTATAACCGCGCCAGAATAACGTTAAGGTATCCGACATCATAGTTCGACATCATAGATCGACATCCTGGCATTTCCCACAATTCTTGGCCATCCGGATGAGCTGCCACCAATCAAGTACCCTGTCAAACTACAGAATTCGCACTGACACAAAAGAACCCTGAAAGGATTTTCAAGATCGACGGTGACGAAAGAGTGGAGCTTCCTTTCCAAGGTTTACGACAAGCTTTGACAGCTCGACATTTTCTTGAAATGCGGCTTTGTCTCTGTTTCGGCTGTCTTTCGAATTTATAACGGTTTATGTCTGGCATTGATCTGCAGAAATGGCGTTCTCGGAGGGCCAGCGGATTGGAAATGGTGGTGTCAAGGGTAAGTACATGTATCCTATAGATACCCAAGTGCGATCATATCAAACCATCCACCCAAGAGAAAGAAACCCAACAACTAACGACTTACCAGACACAGTCCAAATACCCGAAAAAGAAGCCCCAAACGGCACCGAAGAAGCAGGCAGCAGAAATGAAGGCCTAGGAAACAACCCATCATTTAGCCTGGCAAACTCCAGCGCGCAAAACGGCAACCCCAGCAAAAACCAAAACGACACATACCTGGACGATGAATACCAAGACTACAACCCGCAATACGGACAAGGGAACTACGGCCCGACATGGAGTCTGGCGCAGCCACTCCCTCACATTGTGCGACCAGGTATGCGCCACGGCGCGTTACCAGAAGACCGAAAAGAGAACGCAGAAGATATGAAACGGCGGGGCGAAGATCCCAGTCAGAAAGGCGCTGCGCAGAAACAGCAGGTGGCTGATACGCGCGTTAAGCAGAACAAGGATACGGATAAGGAGGGCTTTTTTAATACTTGGACTAAGATTCGGCATTATTTGAGGGAGCCGATGGCTGAATGGCTCGGAGTAAGTATAGTATCCAACAGATATATGGGCAAATGGTGGCATTTCCATATAGAAAAAAGAATCCTTGCTAATGATTCTCTCAGACAACAGTAGCAATGACAATCGGCCTCTGCGCAACTCTCTCAAACTTCACCTCAAACGGCCAAGCGGGCTCCTACCCAGCCCAAAGCGCAGCTTGGGGCTTTGGTTTCATGGTCGCGATCTATACAACAGGTGGTATATCCGGAGGCCACATGAACCCAGCCATATCAATCTCGCTATCCGTATTCAGAGGATTCCCCGCGCGAAAATGCCTCATCTACATCGCAGCGCAGCTCCTCGGTGCTATTACCGCTGGCGGGTTCGCGTATGCGTTGTACCATGATGCGATTGTGGAGATTGCAGCTGCGTCGAAGGTCCCGCAGAATGCTAGTGCGGCGATGTCTGCGCTTATTACTATGCCGAAGTCCTTTGTGCATCCGGTTACGGCATTTTTCACTGAGTTTGTTGGGAGTGCTATTCTTATTGGTGCTATCTTGGCGCTGGGTGATGATACTAATGCGCCGCCTGGGGCTGGTATGCAGGCGTTTATTCTGGGGATTTTGATTACGGTTATTATTCTTGCGTTGGGGTATAATACTGGCGGGTATGTATTCCCAGTTCTTTGTTATCATTATGGTTATAGTTATCTTAGATGGGATGTGTTGGCTAACTGTTTCTGCTTGGTAGGTGCTTTAACTGTGCGCGCGATTTCGGTCCTAGACTCGTTGCTCTTATGGCTGGATGGGGTGGCCATCTCTTCCGTGAATACCATGCTTGGTGGGTATGGGGACCGTGGTGTGCCGATATCAGTGGTGCATTATTCGGAGCATTAATCTACGACATTGCTATCTTCACCGGTGGTGAAAGTCCCGTCAACTACCCACCACGGCGACGCAAGCGCGCCGTTCGCGCTAGATCATTGAATCTGCGGAAGAAGCTAGGTCTTGGAAAGAGGAGGATTGGAGATCTGGAGAGATCTGTTCGAGAGACTGAAGAGTGATGGGAGCACCTTGTAAAAATAGAAGGAGAGGAAGTAGAAAGCTAAAGTTGGATGGTAATTTTGTTTAACTATTGTACAGTTGAATGGCATTGTTCATTTGGCATCATGCGCGCCGAGTGATTGTTTCCGTTGTTTTCTCATGTCGTGCTCGTTTTCTAGGAGTATATTTTGGACACAGCGACTGCCGTTTGGATTGTGCTTAACGCGATCATCGTTGAGGATGTTTGTGAGGGTTGCTTTGACTTGCTGTTGGTCACTCAGTTGTGTGACTGAGGTGTGGCTTGGAGTATTTGGATTCGTGCCTGTGGGATCGTCTCGCGTGGAGTATGAAGTGATTGACCGCTTGAAGTTTGGGGTGGAGTTTATAGTAGGCACGCTGTTGGACGATGCTGCGGGGTGCATAGTTCGAGATTGATGAGCCATGTTGTATGGATGTGTGATGATTCTGGATTGATGTTGACTCCAGGGAGAATTGATTGCCTTTTTTATAAGAACAGTGGTTAGATATTGTCCGATAGAAGGGGTAGACTTGGCCATGTCATCGATGTGACGTGTGCGCGACACAATACTTGCAGTTCTTGGGACTTGGCTGGAACCCTAGTCCTGTCATGGATAAAGGTTTATATGTTGGTTATTTTCTGCCTATTGGAAGCTGACGTTACTTTGTATTATCTAGAGTTGATACTTTCAAGGGTGAGGTGATCTACCTTGTGATCCATCAGGGTGGCAAGTAAACCGCCACATTACAAGGATATGAACTATCTCAGCTATAAGTATAGCTGGAGGTACGTCTAGAATCCACAAGCAATACGGGATAAGCCTTTGATGTCATTATCCGTTCCATGTCAAAGTCTTTTCTAAATATGGCCCGAGTCTCATTTATACATCATTTCAATGGACATGCTTGTGATGGCCATGGAATATCACAGAAGTACCTCTGAATCGATGAAAAGGCTAATTAAACCCCTGTGAAAAAGCTGTTCGGAATGACAGAAGATTGAAACAGCGCCATATTACAAACCAGCCTGTCTATACGTAATCTCAGAAATCCCAAACAGCAGAACCTCCAATCCAACAACCAACAACATCACCACCACCAGTTTCCCTAAACCGAACGCTAATCTTAGAAGGACAACCCATGGCAAACCCCTGCTCCACCTCAACACTCTCTTCGAAATCAACCACCAGCCCATTTTCCAACAACCCAAAAGCCAAAGCCGACGCCGCAATCCCCGTCGCCGCATCCTCTTCATACCCAGCTCCCCTAGGGAACTGCCTCGCCTCGAATGCCTGATTTGCTAGGTCGGACACTGCATATGGATAGAGACCTGTGCTGCCAATTACGTCACAGAGGGATGGGAGATGATCAAATTGCGGTGAAAGGCCGTTCAATGCCGCAATAGACTTGATCGGAATGAGCGTCTTCACTCTACTCGTTGCTGCATTCTGAATCGATAAACTCGGAACAAGGTCATCCTTCGAGATCCCCAAGACAGACAGTATCTCATCGATGTGGTCTTGTCGTTGCACGTTTTCCAACATCTTCGCTGGTGGTTGGGATACTTCAACCCATATCCCTTCCTCTTCCCCGTCACATCCATCTTCATCTTCAGAAGTCACTGAGACTGTGGCCTCGACGATACCACTCTTAGTTGAAATCCGGAGATTGTCTTTCGCTAACATTCCAAGCTTCGACAGTAACCAAACAGCTCCCACAGTTGCGTGGCCACACATCTCCATTTCATGATCTGGGACCCAGAAGCGGAACTCGTAGTCGTATCTTGAGTCCAAAGGTGCAGGGAGTATGAAACAGCACTCGTGGCCGTGGCTTTTGGCTAGTACTTGCATGTCATTGTCGGTCATGCCTTGGGCATCTAGTATGACTCGTAGGGGATTGCCGCCGTTTGGACCTGCGGAGAAGACTCGTAGTGAGTGGGATTCTATAGCCATATTCGAGGGATTTATGATAATAGTTAAAAAGAAAAAGAATTCAAAGCAGCGAAATAAAAAGAAACCTATTCGAGTAGCAGTTCAAAGATCAATAAAGATATTCAAACATGCCCTCTATAAAATGCAGGACGCGGCACGGACCAACCACGCACAGTGACGTTGAATGTTGACGAGCTTCACCTACAGACCACATCACCAACAATGACCGACCTAACGCCCACCCTAAACAGCCTCCTCTCCAAGCATGGCACCTCCACCTGCGCAAAGCCCACAACAAAAACAGCAGATGAATTCCTAAAAGAGGCATACCGAATCGTAAGTCAGCGCAACGCCGAAGCCAAAACCCCAGTCCATGAAACATATACCCTAACAAAACCATTCAGAACTATCACATAACCTCCCTCCTCCACTACCTCCAAACAATCCGACATGCCTACCTCTCAACAACACCCCAACGCCGCAATGCCAACGCACCCACATCACAACCAACCAACCCAACCCTCCCATCAACATCCCAAACCCTCACAGACCCAGAACGCGACACAATAGACACACAAACGTCCCTCCTCCTCCGCGACCTAGCAACATCCCTAACAAACCTCTCAAGCGCCGAAACCCTGCGCCAAGAAACAGAACAAACCCTCCTCCGCAAGAAATATGGACACAGCGCGGCCAGCGCGCTCCTCTTCCGCTGGGCGGGCGGGAAAGGCGTCACCGATGATACCGGGAACGAGGGTAAATCCGCGGAACAGGTGACGGCCGAGGAGAGAGCGCGCGCGCTGAAGACGGTGCGCGAGGGCGTCCTTTGGTTTTTGAGACGTGGGTTAGAGGTTGTTGTTGGTGTCCAGAGAGGGCTTGTTGAGAAGAGGATTGAAAGGGTTAGGGAGAAGGAGAAGAGTGTTCTTTACAAGGTTGCTGCTGGGAGGGATGTTGGCGGGAGTGCCAATGCCGGTGGGAAAGATGCTGGGAGGAGGGGGAGTGAGAAGACGGGCGGATATGGCTCTGGGACATCGTTTGATCCTTCTTTCTCGGCGCCTGATGCGAGTACACTCAGTGAAGCGGATACGGCGCGCATCGAGGCCCAGCTTTCGCCGGAGCAGTTGCAGCTTTTTGCTGAGGAGAATGATACTATGTTGAGGCATTATGAGGACACGTTGGGGAAGGTGCAGTATGTTTTTTTACCACTTACCTATTTCCCATTTCTCTTCTTCTGGTGTTTCTGGTGCTAACCTTGTTCTGCATAGAAATGCGGAGAAATCACTTCTCGAAATCTCATCTCTGCAAGAGACTCTCGTTACGCATCTTGCTACGCAGGAGGAATACATTACACAGCTTGTTTCGGATGTTGATACGACGCAGACGAATGTGGGCCAGGGAAATCGTGAGCTGAAGCGGGCTACTGAGCGGCGGAGTACGGCGCAGGCTGTGTTTTGGGGTACTGTTGGGTTGTGTACTTGGCTCGTTGTTTGGGATTTGGTTTTTTGATCTGATCTGATTAGTTTTTGATACCATTGAGCAATACAGCAAAAGCAATAGCATAGCAATAGCATTGGAGGCATATCATGTCAATTATGGAGTACATATTTCTTGACAAGATCAGGATCTTGATCTACTTTACTGACCACAGTATGCCAATTGACCCCACTGGAAGAAATAGTCTGCAATCATGTCTCAATATCTATCTTAACTTAAAATGTGACACATGCATGCCATAACTTATACCATGCATAACCGGACCCACAGATCCATAATCAAGAATCAAAAGACGTCAATAGCAGCAAAAGCAAGTAGTATAAAGTAAACGCCAAACCAAGCTCGTAGTCTAACCATTGAACCCAGCCAAAAAGGTATCAATATCAGTATCAATATCAACTAAGCCGAACCCCTCACAACACTATCAACAGCCTCGGCAAAGTAATCAATATTATGAGTATTGAGACCGGCCATCGAAATGCGCCCATTCTTCGTCATATAGACATGCCACTTCTCGCGCAGCGTCAAGACCTGCGCCTCAGTAAGTCCCGTAAAACTAAACATGCCAATCTGCGAAGTAATATGACTCCAATCACCAGGCGTGCCCCGCTTCTCAAGGCGCTCCCGCAGACCAGCCCGCATCTCCAGAATCCGCCCACTCATAGTGCGCAGATCATCCTCCCACTCCGCAAAGAGGACGGGATCATTAAGCACACGACTGGCAATGCGCGCACCATACGCAGGCGGATTCGAGATCTCCGACCGCTGCAGGATAGCCAACTGCGAAGCGATATTCGCCGAGGAAGCAGCCGCATCGGGACCCGGCGCGGAAACGAAATGGAAGGCGCCCGTGCGCTCGCCGTACAGGCCGAAGTTCTTGGCGAAGGACTGCGCGACGCACAGTTCGAAGCCTTGCTCGACGAAGTAGCGGATTGCCCAGGCGTCGCGGGCTAGATCGCCTGATGCGAAGCCTTGGTAGGCGGTGTCGAAGAAGGGGAAGTGGGAGCGCGCGCGCATGACGGCTGCGATTTGTTTCCATTGGTCCTGGGTTGGGTCGACGCCTGTCGGGTTGTGGGCGCAGGCGTGGAGGAGGATGATTGAGCCGTCGGGGGCGGTCGTGAGGGCTTGCATCATGCCTTCGAAGTCGAGGCCTTTGGTGCTAGCGTGGAAGTAGGGGTATTTTGCGATTGGGAGGTTGACGTTGGTGAAGATTTGGTTGTGGTTTGCCCATGTTGGGTTTGAGAGGTAGATTGTTGGTTTTTGGGGTGGAATTTCGAGAGGAAGAGGCCTCCTAGGTGGACGGCGCCTGTTCCAGAGATTGTTTGGAGGGTGCAGATCTGGGGGGGGTTTAGTTAGTTTTGGGTGTTTTGGGGGGTTTGGTTTGGTTGGCGGGGGACCAGGTACATACTCGCTTCTCTTTGATTGCGGCGCTGTCGGCGCCTACAATGAGTTTCTGGGCGGCGGAGGTGAAATCGGCCAGGCCGCCGATGGAGAGGTATTCGTGGTTGAGATTGGGATCATTGTGGATGGCGTTGTCGGCCTTCTTCACCACAGGGAGAATCCAGGGCTTTGCGTTGTTGTCGCGGTAGGCACCAATACCCAGATCGACCTTCTTATCAGAGGGGTCCTCGCGATAGGCCTTCATCAGACCAAACAGAGGATCTTCGGGCGCAGCAGCCACAGTGGCTGCGGTGAATACTGAAGGATTGGAAGAGCCCATGATGTGTGATGAGATGGAGGAAAGACGGTCGTGAGGGGATGAAGAAGACATGTTGCGAGTGTTTTCAGTTATATAAGAGGGTCAATACTGTAATTTCCCCGGAATCTGACACCGAAACGGAATTTGCCTGTTTGCGGTCACCGAATGAGGGGGTGGGGAATCAGGTTCAAGTGATTGTCATCAAGTTCAAAAATATAATAAGTACGTGAATATACAAGATCTCTCTTATATACTCTCTATCTCTCTCTCTATCCTCGGTCTCAACATACCGAGGAACCCGCAATATCCTCGTCCCGAGTTCACATGCTAGGCAAGTGTAGCCGTCAAGTATAAAGCCTTACCCATATACATACACGCACCCATACTGTACACACACTGTACATTGAATAGAATTATCTACATGTACGTGATAAAAACTCTGCGACAGGCCACACACGCCGACCGTGTGTCATACGCCGAAAAAGAACGCACTGTGGAGACCAGGAACGCATCGCATGAGTCTTTGGTCTCCGGGTCAGGGGTTATCCTATACATGTTTACGTATATTTTCTTCTCAGTTCCATAAGTTAACTTACATAGTGTTTAAGTTACTTACATAGTAAGTTAAGTACTAATGTTAAGTTAGTTGTTAGTGATGTTACATGCGGAGTGACCACCCTACTTAGCTCCCGGAATAGTAATTCCTAGGAACCCCACGCTTTGTGAGGAGTAACCAAGACGAGGCCAAGACCAAGACCCGACCTTGAAGAATTCAGACCGGAGAAGGAAAACGGAGAAGGGAAACGGAGTAACGATTAAGGCGGACTTGGTCCGTCTCCAACCGTTCCCCACACCGGGAGGGATTTTCCCGAATGTTGGAGATGGCCAGTCACTTTTAAGGTATATGGAATGATGTATGGTATATGGGACGATGGAGGGTAGTACGATGTTACTAAGAATAATATGAGTAACTACCATAACACATTATAATCACAAACATCCCAACTAATATCACCTATGTCAAGTGAAGCAAGGATATTTGAAACCACATCGGAAGTGCATATATCCCTCATACTTAGGCCTATCCAAATCAGACCGGGACTGCATGATACATAACGCACAAATATTGCGTATCACGGTGACAGCCGCTGATGCAATCGGGCAATTGGCAGACGTCCGGGTGTCGAGAGGATTACCCCAATTCGAACCCGGAGTTCCTGGCGATCTTACCATGTTGTATGGTCGATGATTTCATCGTTTGGGTTTTTGTTAGTAATATCTCTGTTCGTATTTCGGTCATATTAACAATCCTTCTGTTCTCTGTCCACTATCCATGGTCTGGTACGGTCTATTGTTCATCTATATCGCGTCCATGGTTCTAGTTCGTGTCAGTCTGCTGACCTTGCACAGCCCATCTCTATAGGGCTGGATAACGCGTGTACAGGGTAAACGGTAAATGACAAATGTGCATGTGAATGGAAATGGCCCGTGATCGATGATGCCTGCTCTAATCTCGACTAAACCTAATGACTTCTGATCGATGCACATTGACTCTGTAGCTGTATATCCACGTGTCAAATTGAAATATATGTGATCTACAGCTAAATCCCAAATATACAAAACATGCATGTATATGCAGAGAAAGAGAAGAGAAAACAAATCACAAGATCCTCTTTTCCTCAAGAACGCCGCGCAGAGCCCCAAACTTGAAAATAAACATAAACATGAACATGAACATGAAAAACGCCATGTAGCCTCCAAACCGAGGTCATCATCATAACATAAATATGTGCAAACGTAAAGGAGTGATATGTAAGAAATCAAATCAGATCAGATCAGATCAAGATGTCGTATGAGCAGGCGCAGGGGCTGCAGGCATCGAAGAAGGCCCACTCTCAGCCTCCGCCTCGCTGGCCGGGGTATGAGTCTCGGCTTCAGGCTCGACGCCATGGGCGCGCGTGCGGATGCGGAAGCGATCGCGCAGGCGGGTGGTGAGGCGGCGGCGGGTGCCTTCTGGGGTGGGTTCAGCTTGGTCTTGGCCTTGGTTTGCTTCGCGGACGCGGCGGAGAGCGGCGAGGCGCTCTTCCACCGTGGCGTCGCGCATACGTCGGGCGTTGAGGGGGCCGTGCAGGTAGTTGGTGAGGCGACGGTGTGTGTGGCGGGACGCTTGAGTTTCTTGGTTGGCGGGGGCTGCTGGTTCTTGGTGTTCACCTGCTTCTTCGGTTTGTTCGGTCTCTTCCTGTGGCGGGTTGAGATCGATACGGCTGGGTTGGTTAGCTTTTACTGTGAAATGAAAGGGATGTATAGATGTATGGCTTACCAAAGGGGACAGGTGCCGGAGACATTCATCAGCCAGGGGTCAATGCATTCCATGTGGAATTGGTGGTTGCAGGGTAAGACACGTAGATCTTGGCCCTTGACGAAGTCGTCCGTGCAGATCGGACACGAGAAGTTGCCTGTTTCAGGTGTCTCGGTCTTCTCTGGGGCAGCAATTGGTGTGTCCTCAACGGGAGTGGGAAGTTCGGACTCGGTCGGCGTCGAGTGTCCAGTGACACCATGGCGCGGTGGGGAGTGCTCGCGGGCGGGATCATCGGGACCGGCGGACATCTCAACGTCCCGCTTAGCGGCATCGATTTCGTCATTGTTGTCGTCGAACTTGACCACTGGGATAGTGTCCAACATGGCTCGGGCTATACCTCGAGCTCGACTTTGCCGCACTCGTCCGGCGATACGACGAGGTCCATAGCGTTCTGGATGCCGATGGGCCCGGACGGCACCAGTGATAATAATTCCCAGGAACAGTGCCGTGATGATACCTGTAATACTGTACAGGATGATCATAGCTGAAAAATGTTAACAATTGATCGCTCCATCAACGCTCCATCGTCTCGCACATACCAGTGTTAGGACTGTTGCCGGACCCCCCGGAATCCCCGGTATCGGTCGGGACATTGGTCATCAACGACATTGAGACGATGGCAATGGTAGGAGAGGCTTCTCTGAAAGTACGCTGCAGCGCCGACCAGGCACCTGGGCCTGTAAGGGTAAAGATGTTATTGTACCGGGCGGTAGTCTGATCATCGGCTGTAAAGTTACAGTGCGATGAATATCGAGTGTACAACAGCACGGCTGCAGGAAGGGCAGAAGCAGAGAGGACAGTCTGAACCGTGTCGTCCAAGGTGTAAAAGCCAGGGTAGTCGTCCGGATCACAAGAGATACAGGCAATATCCGAATCAGTCAGCGAGATGGAATTGCCGGGTTTGACTTGGGTGGCTGTGCCAGACTGATTGAAGGACTGGAAGATGTCAGCATTGCAAATGTAGCCCTAGAGCCCATTGGACCGACCTGGAGGTGGGCGCTGGTCGCTCCAGAGAGGGCCTCGGTTAACGGGGCAACTCTTTGACCGGTGAGATTGGCACCCTGAATGCGAAATCCGCTAGAGCGAGTAGGGCTCAAATCAGTGATGTTGGAAGGTAGAACCACAACATCGGCCTGCACGGAGATGAACAGGAGAAAGAGGAAAACCAGCCCCATTGTAATGTGTGGGGGTTAAGGAAGAGAAGAGTGGAGGCCCCAAGGTGCATAAGGGAAAACCGGAAAATGAGGGGACTAGGGCCGATCGGTGGAGATGACGATAAGAGTCTTTACTTTACGAACTTACGAACCAAGTTGATTTCTTTACCGAGCTAATTTAGTTGATCTCCTATCCTTACTTCTTTTGGCTACTCTGTATATGTACTCCAGGACTGTAGAATTTGTCGATCAGGCATATGTAATCACGATCGTCGCCAAACCGTCCATGTCCCTCAAAAATGGTCCTAAGGAGCAATGATCCCGAGTTGATCGACCTGGGGTTATGACATCTGGCACGTCGCTCTCGTATTCTCCACGAGATTTGGCCGTTTAGCCGCTAATCTGTTCCCCGAGACATTTAATCTGACACTTAGTACCCCCTCAGAAAAGAAAGAAAAAGAAGCAGAAAAACAAAAAGAAGAAGAAATAAATCAATTAATAACTGCAAAGGAAATGCAATGGAACAGAACTAAAACTTAATTAAACTAGAAACGAACACCTGTGACCCGCCCCCAGATCTTGTCTATACTAACTATCTACTAAGGTAACTTATAAGTTAGTAACTTATACCAAGTTATGTCTTATTCCACTACCTTATATAATACTATACTATATATACCCTGTTATACCAGGTCATATTCCTAAATAGGCCCCAAAAGGCCAGGCCTCGGCCTTCAGAAAAAAAGAGGAAAAAAACCGGGCCAAACAGTGTAACTCCACGGTATTAATAGATTCTTTCTAGCTTCCCCTTCTTCCTCTCTCCACTCCTTTCATGTTGAAATGTCCGCCATGAACTGGCCCCAGCGTTATGATGCGAAATTTGTGTCTTCGTAAGACCTCTATTCCTTCCCCCCCTGTACTTTGCTGACTCTCCAGGATTCCTGCGATCGCAGAACTAGATATTGAAAGAAACGAGTTAGCTCATACCTGGAAACGCTTCATCAGCCTACTCGTCCCGCAGGATCAAGTCGAGTTCGAGGAGCGACCACAGACCGGACATGATGTGCAGACTCTACTCGGAAATATCAAGGCTTTCTGGAGGTCGCGACCACGAAATAGAGTCTTCAGCGACTCCATGGACTTGTGCGATCGACTCCTGCCGACCATAGACACCCACGCGACCCTCCTTGCCAGCCTCCCCGACTCCCAGTCCTACTATACCCCCTGTTATATGGCGTGCTCCAGTCAGCGATCAAGGTGCGTAGATAGCGCTTCCCAGGGACCGCCGCATGGCTAACATCCAGCTAGGCCTCGTCACACTACCCCCGAGTGATGGAGGGCCTAGCCACCGCCCTGCTGAACATCCACGACGCAATGGGCCAACCCGACCCCAACTCCCTTCAGAATGCCGTTCAACCGATCGCGAAAACCTACGCGCTAATATTCTTTTTTCTGACCGAGTTCATGGACTGGTATGTCCGGCGGTCCACGTGCCAACTGCTGAACATCCATAGCCAAGATGTCTACTCCGAGTTCCACCACTTGGTCATCTTCACACAACGCCAGGCCCAGAGCCTTCCCTGGCAACACGAGGACACCAATATGGAAGAGGAGGACTCGGATCCGTATAGCGCCCGGGCGCTATGGGAGGAAGCCCGACTGAGCCAAGTCGGGCGTCGAGGAACGGAGCGTCGAATTGCTGCCCAGAACACCATCACCCGTCGACTCCTCTGGGAAATCCAACAAGATGCAGAGGAGCGTGCTCGGTATCGGGAGGGTCGGGATCGGTTATTGGCAGAGACTTTGAGCTCGGTGCGCGAGCAACTGGAGCCCGTTAGCGAGCAGAGCACTGGGATTGTCTGCATGACCACACCCCCTACGCCTAATATTGGTAGGAATTATGCACTCCATGGGCCGATCTATGCTGACATATGCAGATACATCATCCTTTGAATGGTCCAGAGGATCCAAGCGTCGTCTAGCACGCCTCGAGATTCAAAGTTCCTCCAAACACCTCCAGGATTTCTTCGACAGCGATGATCAGATTTGCGACTATGAGCCGGATGTTAAAGTAGTCGCCGAGGGAAGTGTCGTTGCTTCTCTTCAGCAATGGGCTACTAGTCCACGGTCTCAAGCTCTGGCAGTGGGTGGAACCCAGCCTCCCTCGTCCGACAACCCAGTCGCTCTGATTTCGGCCTGCTATGCCTCGTTCGCCCGTCAAGCTCGATTACCGGTGGTCTCTCACTTCTGTGCTTTGCCCACCCAAGAGGTTAAAGGACTTAGTCTCCAGGAGCAGGGGCTGGTGGCCCTCACCTACAGCTTGATCCGGCAGTTGATCGACTGGCTTCCCCCAGTGGTAGATAGCGATGCCGTGCTCGATCTCAGTGCAGAGCGGTTCCGCCAGTTAGACGGAACCCTCACCAGCTGGAAAGCAGCTCTGTCGCTAGTCGACACCCTCCTCCAATCCGCCCCACCACTCCTCGTCTTTATCATCGATGGCCTGGACGCTATCCATGATGCGGCCACTGACGGCGCCATCCGCGACCTCGTCCGCGTATTACTTACACACACCCGTCGCCAGCCCCAAGGCGGTCTCAACGGAGGTCCAACCCTCCTATTGAAAGTCCTATTTACCGTTACGGGCCGACCCAGCGCACTGGTCGAGACGATGTCCGAGCACCAACTTGTCCTCAACGAGTCCACGGACCAACGCACGCCCTCCGAACCGGTTTTGACGGACCTCGGAGCGGTCATGATGAATGCATAAATTACGGGTGCCTAGTGCCCAGTCACGCACCGTTACGAAGTCATTCTTTCATTACGTTCTACTTTTTGTTCTAAAAGACGGTTGACTTGACCGAGCATAGATTTGCGTGGGGATATTGGATTTTCTTAGCGCATCGTTCATATTTATGCATTCTATTCACACCAGTGGCGTTTTCTAGCGCTTTGCTTTACAGACCTGGTTATTTACGTTTAAGCTTCAACTGCGGTAGACCTGTATTTATGCTGCTTGATAGCTGTGATACCCATCCAGGTCTACATAATCTGATTCTGCGACTTTCTTCAGTACTGCCTTCGGAAACCCGATTCCGTAGCCACTAAGTATCCCACTAAGTATTCCACTAAGTATTGTCAAAGCGGGTCTGCACCGAAAATGCGGGGAGCCGAAGGACATTGGTTTCCGCCGGAAAAATACTTAAAGATGCTTCGATTCTGAGTTTATAGCAAAGTATAGCAAAAATAGCTGTCATGGCCGAACAAACCGTGTCCTCTCGTCTCTACACCCCTTCCAACCCCAACCTCACCGAATTCAAAGAAATCTGCTCCCAAACCACAAACCCAGCAACCTACCCACTGGCCAGCAAAATCGCCTCCAACATCCCAATCTACGACCTGGCCGCCCTAGAATCCAATGGCCTAACCTCAACCCAAATAACCGCCCTCCAAGATGAATGGCACAAATGCCTACACACCGGACCAGGCGTGTACATCCTGAAAGCAATGTACCCAGCCAAAAAGTACGCCGAAACAATAAACGCCACAAACAACGCCTTCGACCAAATAATCGCAACGGAAAAAGAAAACACCACAATGGCAAAAGGTGACCACTTCGCCGCAGGCGGCACGAACGACCGAATCTGGAACTCCTTCCAAAAACACGCCGTCACAGATCCCACTTCTTTCACGGACTACTACTCAAACCCCTGGCTAGCCCACGTATCCGAATCCTGGCTTGGCCCGTCCTACCGCATAACAGCCCAACTAAACGCCGTACACCCGGGCGGTGCAGCGCAGGACTCCCACCGCGATTACCACCTCGGGTTCCAGGAAGCGGACGTCACGGCGCGCTACCCGGCTGCTATGCAGGTTGCGAGTCAGTTCCTTACGTTGCAGGGTGCAGTTGCGCATTCCGATATGCCAATTGAAAGTGGGCCGACTCGGTTCTTGCCGTATAGCCAGACATTCAAGCCCGGATTCATGGCATGGCGGCGCGATGAATTCAGGGCCTTTTTCCAGGAGAAATATGTATCCGCTCCGTTGGAGGTTGGTGATGGAGTCTTCTTTAACCCCGCGCTGTTTCATGCTGCTGGTTCTAATGTCATGAATCCCGAAACTGGGTTCAGACGCGTGGCGAATCTACTGCAGGTTAGTTCTGCGTTCGGGAAACCCATGGAGAGTGTGGATTCTTTGGTTGTTGTGCGCGCTGTTTGGGATGAGTTAAAAGAGAGGTACAAGGCTGCTGGGGGGGGTTATTGCGGGCAGTGAGCTTGATCCTGGTGCTTGGTCGTTTGAGCAGAGGGAGGTGAGGGCGCTTGTGCAGGCTGTTGCCGAGGGGTATCCTTTCCCTACTAATTTGGATCGGAGGCCGCCGCAGCCTGGGGGGATGGCGCCGGAGAGTGAGCAGGATGTGATTGTGAGGGGGTTGGTTGAGGGGTGGGATTGTGGGAGGATTGTTGGGGTTTTGGAGGGGATGAGAGTTGATTCGAGAGCTTAGTTTGTGTTTCCATGTATATTATATGCAACTATATACTTCGATAATGTCATGGTTGGCTTGATTATGAAGATTCGCAGGAAGCCGGTTTAGCGAATACACGGCTCGGAGTCTCTCGCGAACTCGATCTTGCAGAGGGTTATTCGATCCAGACAATTCAAACCCAGCGGAAAAAAAGAAGAGATTGAAAATTGAGGTAGTTCGAGGTACGGGGATCTGCATCAGATAGCGGACAGTCTCTTCGGCATAGGATTTGATCACAAACTCCCAGCTTTGAAACATCAAATCCGGATTCGTGAAATGATCCTTCGGGCGACTGACTCGATAGAGGGAAATGAGGCCATGCTTACGGAGAGCTTCATATATTTGCCCAAAGCCAATGTATGGGGATCCACCTTCCAATTACGAAGCTGTTGATCCAGTATGGCTTCCTGCATTGTTGCGAGTCGAGAACCTGCCGGCATACCGCCCAACTTTTCCCACGATGAGAAGTAGTCCCCTACACGGTCCGTACATTGGGTGGTGTCAGTCGCCCATCCTGTGGATGGCAATGGACATATTAAGTGAATCAATCCCGGGATTCTCGATGGAATCTATCAGGATTGAGCTGCATACCTCCAGGTAAAGATACGTCCCGAGACAAATCCGGGGTAGAGGGTCATCATTATCCATGACTATAACAATGTAGTCAGAGCCACCCAGCTGCAAGTAACACTGTATATAGATATACGGAGTATAGATAAACCGATTCCGGACCGAGTCTCACGTGATATGCATCATGAGTTTCTTCTCTTTACCGTACAACAGACATAACAGCGTAACAGCCAGAGTGATCGACAGGCCTACTGCTACTCGTACACAGACCATTTCAACAGGACACTTAGGCGCAAATGCCAAAAAGCGATGCGTGTGCATCTGATGTGTCTAACATATGCAAATGTTCTTTTTTTCGGGAATTGTGCCCCTGGATCGTAAGCCACCCGCTTTTCTGCTGCTGTAATTGGGCGATCAGACACATCGCGATGTGGGGAGGTAGTGGTCCTGCATCCATGTGTCTCGATATTTCACGGTCATGGCCGCGTATAGTGGCAAGATAGAGGGTCTGGATTGTAGAGTCGATCTCAGCTCCGGTGGACACCTATCCAATCAATCAGAGACAAACCTGCGCATTCCACAGTTCCAAAAATGGCGGTCTCACATTTTTGTTGCTCCCCCTCAACGGGAACTGATGAAACAAGTGGCTGACCGGACGTGTGGTTTGGATTTCTGGAATTCTGACTTTGCTTCGATCTTCTCTTCCTCCTCCCTCCTCGCTCCTTGAGCTCCTGTCACTCGTTTGCTGGATTTCTTAGACACGGAAAGTCTACACGCCGATCCACATCTCCACCTCGCGTAGCCATTGAGCTCGAACGATCGACTGTCACCTACATACAGACTGGTCCGAGAGCAGTAGCCAGCAAGCTAGCTCGCAACTATCAAGCAAGCGAAGAACCTGTCCAAGAGGGGGAGGCGAAAAATAGCACCCGAACCGTTGCGTTTTTTCCTCGGTCCCCACAAAACCCAGCCCAATTGAACTCTCCGAACTCCAGGGGCGATCTACACCAAGCCGATAAAAAGGGCCCCGTCAACCCTCTGCGATGGGAAGACCGAGCCTCTCGCAAAAGCGATTGACCGCACATCGATTCGAGCAGCTACCAGACATGCCCGAATACAGCCTGGGGAATCCCCACGACGTGACCATTGACATCCCACTGACCGCGACCGCGAGTCGCGGTCAGACCGGTGCGCGCAAATGGACCTCCAATCCCTCGCCAGAGATCAGCGAGGCCACGGCTACAGAAAAGGAGCCTATTGCGACACACCGCGGTCCTGGTCGTAGGCGTCGCACCGATACGGATATCAATGAATTGACTGGGAAGCCAGCTGAGTCGCCGGAGGATGGCACGCTGAACCGCATGGGCCGTGTCTACCAGGCTGTTTTGAATTATTCGCTTATCACTCGTTACTTGATTTATGTTCTGCCCATTGCGGTTTTGATTGCCATTCCTATCATTGTTGGTGCTACTGTTGCGCCCTATGCGAAGATTGGTGGTGTTCACCTTTACTGGTTCTTTACTTGGATTGAGATTGTCTGGTTTAGTTTGTGGACGTCGAAGATCTTTGCTCGGTACATTCCTTACTTTTTCCAGTTCCTTTGTGGCATTGTTAGCTCTGGAACTCGCAAGTATGCGCTTATTCTGCGTGCGCTTGAGACGCCTATTGCGCTTGTCCTTTGGGCTGTTATTTCTCTCGTTACTTTCCTCCCCGTTATGACTTTGACTCCTAGTAAGCAGGAGAGTGGTGATACTGCTCCGAAGGCTTGGGAGAAGAGTGTCAAGAATATTCTCTTTGCTGTGCTTATTTGCACTCTCATCTACCTTTCCGAGAAGGCGCTAGTTCAGCTTATCTCCATCAGTTACCATCGCAAGCAGTTCGATGCTAAGATCAAGGTCTCCAAGCGCAATGTGTACCTGGTCGGTCTGCTCTTCGAGGCATCCCGCAACATGTTCCCCGTGTACTGCCAGGAGTTCAAGGAGGAGGATTCCCTCATTTTCGACTCCATTCTGGCCCAGGCTGGCAACAAGAATGGCAAACGCTCCTCCGCCATGCCTCTTCGCATGCTCCGTCAGGTCGGCAAGAATGTCGGTCGTGTCGGTGACAAGGTCACTGCTGCTTTCGGAAACGTTGCTTCCGAGCTTACTGGAAAGCAAGTGTTCAACCCGACTGCCACCCACACCATCGTCATTCAAGCCCTTGAGCGTAAGCGTTGCGCTGCTGCTCTGGCCCGCCGTATTTGGATGTCCTTCGTTGTTGAGGGCCGCGAGTCTCTTTACATGGATGATATTGTCGAGGTCCTTGGTGCCGAACACGAAGCCGAGGCCGAAGAGTGCTTCCATGCCCTGGACAAGGATGGCAACGGTGATATTAGTCTTGATGAGATGGTTCTCACTATCACCGAGTTCGGTCGCCTCCGCAAGTCTCTCAACAACAGCATGCACGATGTCGACCAGGCTATCCGTGTGCTTGACAACTTGCTCATGTGTGTTGCTGGTCTTGTCGGTGTTTTGGTCTTCATTTCTTTCGTTACCACTGGATTCGGTACCGTCATCGCTGCTGGTGCCACCTCTCTGCTCTCCCTCAGTTTCGTCTTCTCCGTTACCGCTCAGGAAGTTCTCGGTTCTTGTATCTTCCTCTTCGTCAAGCATCCCTTCGATATTGGTGACCGTGTCGAGGTCAGCGACAAGCCATTTGTGGTTGAGCGTATCTCGCTCCTCTTCACTGTGTTCCGCAACATAACCGACCACCGCATCACTCAGGTGCCCAACAACATCCTGAACAGTCTCTGGGTTGACAACTTCACTCGCGCCAATGCTATGCACGAACAGCTCACCGTGCCCGTTGCATTCGACACTTCCTTCGCCGAGGTCCAGCTTCTCCGCCAGGAGATGGAGAACTTCGTCCGCGACAAGGAGAACTGCCGTGACTTCCAGCCTGACGTTGACATTGAGCTCGGTGGCGTCGGCGACATGGACAAGCTCCAGCTCCGTGTTGATATCCGCCACAAATCCAACTGGTCCAACGAGACTGTCCGCGCCGCCCGCCGATCCAAATTCCTCTGTGCCCTCGTCCTGGCCGTCCGCAAGGTACAAGTCCGTGCCCCAGGTGTCGCCCCTCCCGAGCCCGAGGCCTCAGAGGGCGACGACAAGGGTGATGATGCCGACACCGGCAAGCGCAGCTCTCAGCAAGGTGGTGGCACCGACAAGCCCAACGCCGGTGTAGCAGCCGCCGCCGGAGGTATCCTGAACTACGAGAACTCAGCCCAATCGACAGGCTTCGACCAAGGCCGCTCAGGGACCGTCACTCACCGCGGCTCAACCCAAACCAACGCCGAGCGGGAAGCCGCCATCGTCGAAATGCTCAACGCCCGCTCCCCATCAGCCATCAACCCGGGTCTTGACGCAGATGACGGCCACGCCCTCCACCGCACAGCAACCAACGCCTCCAACACCCTCAGCGTGAACAACGGCGCGGGCATCTCTCGCGGCCTCTCAACCGGCCACAGAAAAGCCGGCGACCACGTCTCCTACAACAACCGAGAAATCCCCGCCGTCCCCCACCCACCGCTCTCTCCGGTGCCAGCAGGCCTAACCCCTCCTCAAGCCAAGTGCCCATCCTGGAAACACCCAAGCCAGGCTCCCGCGGCAGCGCCCGCTACGAGCCCCGCCCTCACTCCTCCGGCCACGCCTCCCAAACGCAAACGCAAACCCAGAACCAGAATCAGAACCAGGGCCAGGGTCACAGCCAGATGTTCACCGTCCAGACCGTCGGCTCACCTGACCCCAACGCTTTCCAGGGCCACTACTCCCACGACACGGGATACAGCCAGGTCCCCGTTCGCAACTTCAGCGCTGAGAACACTTCCCACCGCAATGACCCCATCTCCGGCGTGACGGCTAGCAGCAATTACGAGCTTACGGACCGTTATGATCCTGTCTCGCCGCCGTCTATTTACTCCCCGCCTCAGGGTTACCCCGGTGCATCGGGGGATTCCGATGCCCCAGGTAGACGGCCTTCGTTCTTAGATAAGGCTTTGAGGAGGAAGGATAAGTCGCCTTATGCTGAGCATGATGCTTGATTTATCATTTGATCTGCTTTGCATACTGTCCTTTTTCTAAAACCTTTTCTTTTTTCTCTCATTTCTGTTCAGTTTATTGGGTTGTTAATACTTTCATGTGTGCCATGTGGGTAGATATTTTTTTTTTTTTTTTTCTTTTCTTTTTTGGTGTTTGGAGCCGTTGCATAAAAAACTTTCCTTGGTTGTTTCGTGCTGTACGAGTATGAGATATGTTTGCCTCTGGTCTATTCCGATACAGGGGATTTCAATTTACTTCAATCTACGATCTTTTCTTCATCTTCATCATCTTCAAGACGTATAGCTAGGAGATCTACTCCCAACGAAGTCCCACAGATAGATAAATATATATCCTAGCGTTGTACAACAGCTCCCACAAACAGATCCCAAACCTCACCAAATCACACCTTCCTCCGAACCAACCCCCTAAAGAAATCAAAACTATTAGAATCACTCTGCAACTGCCAAACCCTCCCAGTAGGCCGATCACCCCACCCCAATTCCTCAGCAAGAAGCAACCCATAGTCCCGGGTAATCCCCTGAATACGCGCCTTCGCCCCGCCCTCCTCTTCAAGCGTAACGATCTGATGCATATGCAACCAATCTTCATAATAAAGCGCCTCGAACCCGCGATCGAAGCCCGTGCGCAGGAACCGCGTATACAGGCTCTCGAAGGTGGTTAGGATGCGCGCGAGGAGCTTTTCCAGCGTTACCGGGTTGGCTACTGCACTTCCTGGCGTTGCGTATTTGTGGGCCAGGGTTGTTAGGGCTGTTGTTGGCGAGGCGTTTGTGGCGTTTAGGCCTATTCCTACGACTGAGATGTATTCGTTTGACATGAAGTGGCTGTTTATTAGAATGCCGCAGATTTTTGTGTAGCGTTTTTGGGTTGGGTCTTCTGGGTCGAGGGCGTCTAAGGAGGTGGTTAGTTTGGTTGTTATATATGGTTGGGGGTGCGGTTGGAGGGGTGCTGTTTGGGTGGTGTTTGGGTATACGTACAGACGTCGTTTGGCCATTTTAGTTTCACGGGGATGTTCTCGTAGCCCTTGGCGTAGCTTTTGATGCCTCGTACTACGGCCATCGCTGAGAGGTATTGTAGAAATACTACTGGTGCCGATTGCATCTTGTCCATTGGGTGGCGGACGACCGTTGAGAAGATTAGTGAGCCTGCTGGTGAGACCCAGACGTTCGACCCGCGGCCACGGCCGGCGATTTGGTTTGTGGCTGTTGCTGTGAAGCCCTGGGGTAGCTGGCGGAGCAGCGCTGTGTTTCTGTTGCTTGTTAGATGGAATTGACCTGGGATTGTAAAGGCAATGCTCACTTTTCAAGAATTGTGTTTGTGCTGGTCACGACTTCGCCGTATAGAAGGTTGGAGCCGAAGCATGAGGCGTCTCCTTTGGACTCGGACTGGTATTGACTGAGGTTGGAATAGAATGCATGGTGGTTGAAGTATGGCGTAAGCTTTGAAGATGGGATATCATCATGGAAGACCAGACGCTTAGTGATTGCCTGGTAATCGATGATACCATCAGTGGGCGTGGAGGACTCGGTAGGAAGCGATTCCTCGAGATCACCGAAATTCCACGTTCCAGGCCGCTCAATACGGAACTTATCGTGTTCGTCCTTTAGGTACTCGGTTTGACCCTCGTTGATAAAATCCTTGCCAAGGCATGACAGGATATCCATAGGCCCATCGGCATCGATACCAGACATATGCAAGGACGACAGTGAAGGCACTGCCGTTGTCTCCTGCGTAACCTCAAGTCCAAGTTTAGACAGACAGGCCTTCAGGAAGTCTGTCCGAGCCTTGTCATCTGCAGCGAGAGCAGCAACCATCTCCGCGTATTCAGGGCCCCCGGCCTTGGGGTCGAGATTAACAGCCGCGAATCTAGTAGAGGTCAGCGACTGATCTTCCCAATTGAGTCCAAACATACTCAGGATGAGGTCCTGTCAAGACCGCACCTCCTTCGCCGACTTTACAGTAGACAACAGCAGCCGCACCCTCCCCTGCATCGACATTAAGTTTCTCGGTATAGCTTGCAAGAACCTCAACCCCCTTGTCCGCAAGCAATGGCGCGTCAACAAACACTCCGCCACCATTATAGTAAGACTTGAACTGCTCCGGCACAGTACCAATGCTCAAAGCCTCCTTTGACACTGTAATCTCCGCAGCCCGCGCACCCTCTTCGCTGTGATAAACGAAACCCGGGAACGCCCCGCCGCGACAGATACCAGGGAAGAAAGCCAATTCGCGGTCCCCAATGACCTCCATAGTCTTATCACCAACCTCAAACTCACAGCTCTTGCATCCATAATAGCCCCCAGCACACAGACCCAAGTATCTGCCGCCGTTGCGGACGAATTGCGCAATGCGCCGGTTCCCCGCGCCGTTGAACGTGCGACAGTATCCCAGATCCGCGCCGCCGGGGAATACCAGCAGCGCACAGGTGGCCGTCCATGGCTCTTTCAGGAGCATGTCCCCCGTCACGGGGATCACGGCATAGTGGGGAGCGAGGAGGCGGCGGAGGGTGTAGAGGCAATGCCGGACTGAGTCAACAGTGGTTCCGTTTCCTGTCGAGTAGTCGTCGGTCAGAAAACGGCTGAGTTGCCATGCAGAGTAGGTGAGCGAACCGGAGTAGACTAGCACATTGAGTCTTTTGCCAGTGAAATTGGCATTGTTGCCTGTTGGCGTGGACATTGTTGTTGGGAAGAAAATCAGTCATCGATACCGATAAGATCGCCCTCCGTAGTTCCGATGCCAACCGCCTGATCTTGCCGTTTTCCAAACCACGGTCATGTCGAACAACGCGGAAAAGGCTACTGTTGTCCCGGAGGATGATGATGAGCCGGATGATTGGTTAGTTGCTTTGTAATTGTCTTTGTTCAGAGCGCTAACTATGGGCACAGGGATAAGCGCATCTTCAGCACTGGCTGCCACAGTGAGCGAACTCGATGTCCATTGAAATGCAATTCTGACGCAGAGCAGCCGAGCAGGACAAGATGAATGACTGCTACTTTGCCAAGAAGGACTGGCGCGAATGTAAAAACGAGGTGAGGTGAACCCTTATGGTCTGATATCATGCTGGAAGCTATTGGAAGCTACCTACACCCTTCAATGCTCTCAACAAGCAATCCAGCTTCGCGATGATCCCTAGCAAGGCCATAATCCAATTCCCCAGACATATATTGACTGCAATATACAGATGGAAGCGTTCCGTGAATGTTGGAAACGCCAGGGCAATGACCAGCGAACACAGACCAAAGATGCTTAATGCATAATGTACTTTAACCAGCCATTAAAACTTGTTCAATTAGTCTCTCCGATTAACCACTGACATAATTACCTTTATGCCTCGAAATTCAAGCTTTAAGAAATGTCCGGTTTAAACTGATATCACGTGATCGTCATCAAGGCTGACCTCAGAGCTCATCTCTCCAGCTTCAACATATCAACCAACCATGTCTTCAGCTTTGCGCATCCGCACCTGGCGGGCAATCGAGTTCCTTCAAAATGCCGCACCAGTGTCCGGCTCTCGAGGAGTCACCCACCTCCAACTCAGACAGCTCTCCAACCCAATGACCAAAAGAGCAATCAGCTACAGCAACTCCCAGAAACAGAACGAAAAGCCCACTGTCCCCTCCTCCAAGCCATCTACCACGACCCCAGCCCAGAAGCCCTCCTCTCCCGCACCAACAAGCTCCACAACTCGCGTATCGGCCCCAACCCCAAATCGCCCAACAACAGAGAACATCTCCCAAAGCGGCCTAGCCGACAAACCCCTCCTGCTGGAGACTGCCCCCGAAGAGAAGATTGATTGGACACGATCGTTCCATGGTCTCTCTGCTGCTCCGTTTCCCAAGGAAGCAGCCGATATCCTGTTGGCCGAGACGGACCCCCAAGAGGTCGAGATCAAGCCTGATGGTATTCTGTATCTGCCCGAGATCAAGTACCGTCGGATCTTGAACCGCGCTTTTGGCCCTGGTGGCTGGGGTCTTGTGCCCCGCAGTGAGAGTATCGTTACGCCTAAGACTGTGACGAGGGAGTATGCTCTCGTTTGTAACGGACGGTAAGAATTTCTTCTTATTTCCCCATTCCCACGTCCAATCAACCATGCATTGCTCCAATGCGTGGTTACATTCGAATACAAAGCTGACCGTGTTTTCCAGCCTGGTATCCGTCGCCCGCGGCGAACAAGACTACTTTTCCCCCGACGGCATCCCAACCGCAACAGAAGGCTGCCGCTCTAACGCACTCGTGCGCTGCTGCAAGGACCTCGGTATTGCAAGCGAACTCTGGGATCCGCGCTGGATCCGCAAGTTCAAGGCGCAGTATACGCGTGAGGTATTCGTCGAGCATGTCGTTAACAAGAGAAAGACGAAGATCTGGACGCGCAAGGATGACGGCGTGAGCTATCCGTGGAAGGAGACGGGTAGCGTAAGTAGATAGATCTAGATGTCCGTTTGAATCAGTAGATGGCATCACCATGTAGTCCCAGCTACCTTGTACATTATGCAATTGATTTGTTTTGATTATCATGCTCGATGAAGCTCTGCTGCCTGATCGCGATTCAGGTGAGAATGTTTGTGCTATTCCCTGGGACGGTGGCCAAGTGGTTAAGGCGCGCCGCTCGTATGTAGTAACCCCTACGATTATTGATAGGTACGGCGAGATCGCCGGTTCGACTCCGGCTCGTCCCAATTTGATTGATTGTTTTTGTCATTTTTTTAGGTAATTTTTTTGGTAATTGATGGGATATCTTTTTAGGTAATTTGTTGTGGTTTGCGGGGAAAAGAAGATATCCGGACCGTGCGAAGTATAACTCCCCGACCTCAGCCTAGATAGCGATAGCTATGGAGTCGGTAGTCTGAGCATGACTTTAAATAAACGTGCAACGAAAAACTCCCTTATCAATCATGTTAAAACTCGAGCTATAGTGCAGTTAAGTAGACAGACACAGAGCCATAACATGAAGGAGGTAGCCGTAGCCAAAATCCAATAAACGAACATAGGATCAAAATTAGATTATGCCGAATGGAACGTCATTGACTACTTTCCCAGTCCTCTCATGTCCTCCCTCATACCCTGCTTTGGGGGTTACTCGCCCCGTTGCTCATTATGATGTCAGCGCGAAGAGAAGCATAATTAGAAACCAAATAATGAGGTAATTGATCATGATTGTCATATTCTTCGAATCCCGTTGAATTGATACACTTACATCGTCGCACACAAATAAAAAACAGTGCCCCAAGTGAACCATAATGGCTGTATCTCAAGGAGCGAATATCGTGGAAAAGATTGTCGGTCATGGAGATGATGCGACCATAACCACTGATGTGAGCAAATATGACAACGAGTTTGGAAAGGAGAGTGGTGAGAGGATCCAGGCAAATACCTGGCAAGGCAAGAACCAGGTGAAAGTTGGTTAGTGATACATTGATCTTGAAGACATTCTGCTCTACTAACAAACCCAGTGGAAATGCCCAAGCCAAGAGTCATCGACCTGGACGATGTGATTGTCCGGGTGACAGGAAGCACTATCTGCGGAAGCGACCTCCACCTATATCATGGTATGGTAAAATTCCCACCAGTGAGTCACTGTGCTAAATTGCATTGCTTTTAGGCGTCATCCCGCAACTTCAGAAGGGCGATGTGCTCGGTCATGAATGCTGTGGAGTGGTGGAAAGTGTAGGCCCAGGGCCTAAAAAGATCAAACAAGGGCAACGGGTGGTTGTTTCCTTTCCTATTGCCTGCGGAAAGTGCAGGAACTGCCAGAGGGAGTTCTTCTCCCAGTGCAGCGAGACTAATCAGAACACTCTCACGAATGCCATGTATGGCAAGCGAACTGCTGGTAAGCAGGCTAGAACGACTAATACCACCGACTGATACTGGTACTAAATCAAAGACAGGCATATTTGGATATTCTCATTTCACCGGTGGCTTTGCTGGTGGCCAGGCTGAGTACCTTCGAGTTCCATATGGGGATGTCAATTTGCTTCCTATCCCGGACGATGTTCCCGATGAGAAAGCGCTCTATGTGTCGGATGTCATAGCAACATCTTGGCACTGTGTGGTCGATACTGGAGTCGAAAAGGGTGATGTTGTTGCTATCTGGGGCGGTGGGCCAATCGGACAGATGTGTGCGCATTTCAGCTTCTATCATGGAGCCAGCCGTGTCATTCTGATTGATGGAGGTAATGCTGCATGGCGGTTGGATTTTGTCAAGCAAAAATTGCCGAAGCTCGAGACAATCAACTTTACCGATCTACCCAGGGGCGAGTCGGTAACGTCGCAGCTGAAGAAGATGGTCACCGGAGGCCCTGATGTAGCTCTTGAGTGTGCTGCAGGAGAGTATGCGAAAGGATGGGTGCATTACTTTGAGCAGATGCTTGGAATGGAGACTGACACTTCGGAACTGCTGAACGAGATGATTACTGCTGTTCGCCCATTTGGACGGGTGGGCGTGACGGGGGTCTATGCTGGATACGTGAGTTGTGCTTGATTAGGTGCTCAACAGAACTAACAGGTATGGTTGACAGACTAATCATTTCAATATTGGCGCTTTGATGCAGACTGGTGTTCATCTTATGGGCAACGGCCAGGCCCCCGTACAGAAGTACTGGAACCACCTCATGCATCTTATACAGACGAACGAGATCAATCCGCTCGTCATGGTATCCCATAGGTTCCGTCTTGAGGATATGGCGAATGTATATGAAATGTTCGACAAGCGAGAGGGTGGGATTCAAAAGGTCTTCGTGCAGACCAAATACTCTGGCCCTGCAGCAAAAGAAGCCCCCGCTTTAACCGAATTGTGATGGGTGCTTTGGATATCACCTTATATATATAGTGCTATTAGCTCCCGTATACGATCGGAAAAGTTGTGATTACATTCAATATGCCTGCAAACATCAGAATGAATAATCGGAAATAAGTTCAAACTCCTTTACTTACCAAGTCTGTAGCCACGAGGAATGACCTCATAAAACAACCAGCTATCTAAGTTGGAGGAGTTTACACTGACCAATTTAACCTTTAGATTTCAAGGCCAAATTTCGCTCATTCAACGTGTTTAGTGATAAGCGAACGCTTTGTAAAACAAAACAGAATTTAGTTTGTCTTAAACTTGAATAATACACAGCATGATGCCGTTGGAATATAAAGGTGGGGGCTGTGAAGGACTCATGACCTATGACTGTATTATTATTTGTAGAGGCCGAACCAAGATCCCTGCGAAAGCACAGCCCAGGATGTCTTGTTGGATATATTTACAGAAATTGACGCTCAGGTAGGCGAACCATACAAGTAAAGGAAAGAAAGAAGGGTTGTTGGCTCACAAATCCAACAAACTTTCCGGGGCATCAGTGAAATGCATCAAAGTGTTGCGAAGCTTCCCCAACAAGCCGTTGATCCCACTTTTCGGCACAAAATGGCTGGAATATGCCAATGTCAACTTAAGCAACCCGCCCTGCAGTTCCTCCGAATAAAGCTTCAAAAAATCATCCGTGGGTTCAATATGGATACAATCAGTGAATTGGCAGCGCAGATTATCTCCCATGTGTACGTCAGTCTTAGGAAGAATGTCCTGATGTATGACTAGACTCTGCGGTTTAGATCCGGCGGCCCAGCCAGTACTGTAGGTTACAATGTTCTCCCATTCGGCAGCTTTGAAAGGAATTGTCTGCGTGTGTTGATCCTCAACAGCGTGGAGGAGATCTAGTGCTGTTTTGCATTGCCCATACTGCACTCGAACAGGCACTCGGTTAGAGCACAAACCAACGGTACGATGTACATCTGGCACGTCCATACTGCGCAGATTGACAAGCTGGGCGAAGACAATATCATCGTCCCCTGTCTCTTGTCGGAGAACATTTGACCAGGCGGCTTTGACCATGCTCGCCATGGTGATACCACTGGGCAAGGATTGAATCGTGACCTTAGTCGAGCATCGCAAGATGGTGTTTTTCGACTGCATCTGCGGCGCTGTGTTCGGTATCTCAGTGATGCTTGAGCCTAAAAGAAGATTGCTCCAGAAATCAAATGCCTCTGGGGTTTGTTGCTTGGTGACTTCGTGCGCGAGCAGAGCATAGTTCGTTGTGTTGATAGGGGTTGTTGGGTCTCGATAGAACTGGCACAGATCGGAAACGAGAGTACCTTGACAGACGCTGTCATATTGGGCGTGTGACAGTTGGATCATCAGAGCATGATCGTCTCTAGATTTAGTGATGAGAGTGAAGCACAGAGGAAGTGTACCCAAAGGGAAGGTGTTCTCAGGATTGACGGCGCACAAATTTCGTGCGACTGATATCGGATCTTGAGACGCATCGGAGTGTACGGTGAAGGGGAGATCGACTTGCTTCAGTACAGTTTGTACCAATGTTCCGTCGACACGTGTAAACACAGACCGGAGTGCAGTGTGGGATTCCATGAGAAGTCGACAGGCAGATTCGAGCTTGGAATGGTCCAAGAGTCCCGAGAAGCTGAGCACGAAGCAACCTCCTTCGTGGTTGTTGAGTAACCATTGCTGTGTCTGGGTGCATGGGAAAGTCTCTGACATGGTCTCGGGAGCTAGCACGGCGAAGTCTTGCTTGAAGTTCGTCTCAGAAGGAGAAATTGATGAATTTCGGCTTGTAGGAGGAGTGCCCTCCCCTTTTGAAACGTTCTCCTCATTGCGTTCTGTCCATGCTGCTGCCGATAGCTGCGAGTGGTCTGACTTCCCGTCCCAATCGCATACAGACTGGGTGTTTGGGCTTTCCTCGCTCTTTGTAATCACATTATGTACGCCCAGTTCCTGTCTGCGCAGCTGGAGACGAGAGTTCCAAGCTTGGGTTTGCTGCGGTCTATTGGGAGACATATCAAGAAGAGCTTTTAGTTGGACCTCGGGATTGGTCTGGATGCAATTCACAACATGGACCAATTGATCCATCACTATCTGTGACAGTGTTGATGAAAGGATCTCTGGGTCAAAGTGGAAATGCACATGAACCTCTGTCTGTTGGTCCACACCCGTCAACAAAAAAGGACAAGTATCGAAATGACCACCGGTTAATACCATCGGTGGGCTGGTGCTTGTCCAATCTTCAATGTCATTCTTTACGACCAAGATATTTGGAAACACAGAAGACGCTGGCAGATCTGATCCAGAAAGTGGAGACATAGCATCGTCTTGTGTACTCAGTAATTTCAGTACTTTGGCTACTGTCTGCTCTGGTTGGATATTCAGGTGAGCAGCAGAGACTGGGTTGGACGAGCCTGTTGGTTTCCCGCCACAGAAACCGAAGACAACATCATTCGAGTCTGTGTAAGCCGCAACTACAATTGCCCAAGCAAGCTGCAGAATAGAAGATATGCTTGCAGTCTCTTCTGCTGTTTTGATTCGGATCACTGAACTGTGCTTTTCGGTTCTGCAAGCATCGTAAGGTTCATTCGGCAACGGAGGGAAAACGCTTGGATACAAGCTCTGTTCTTGATGATGATTTTGGGGTGATAGATCAACTTGCATGGTGCTGGTATAGAAACGAAAAAATTTGGTGAGTGAAAGCTAGAAAGCTACGCGGGTGTGGACATGTTTTGTATGCTCCAGCTTGTCTATTGAAATGCTTCGGACCCACCCGGAATACTCATGTGGAACTGATAGCCCCTTTTGTCAGATTATAGCGATCCGACCATTCTCTCTTAGGCCGTCAAGGCCCGTATATTACAAAGAATAATATTTCAGAATTGAAGGAGCTCCAATGCTTGATCCTGAGGACTTGAACATTCATCTTAGGTATATATAGTAATCAGTTCGGCTGATGCACACAGGTACAAGACAGGATCTGCATGGAATATTCCCAAAAATAAGCCTGTCAAAAAAAAAAAAAACAACCAAATAAAAACCCACAATTCTCCATAATGATCGCTAGGGTTATACTGTAGTTCATCTGCGTCACGCATGTGGTAGATCGGTGGGGCACTATGTTGGAACTATAACGCGATAGATCAATCCTGGAGACGCCCCAGTAAGGGGGAGTCAGGGGCTCACCAGCCCGAAAAAATCTGCAATAAACATGCACCTAGGCTCAACTGTTTTATCTAGTCCAATGGGGCTTAACCTTTAATCTTGATGAGTCTCACGGTCATGTCAGCTGTGTTATGACAGCTCGGCATTCAATAGTTTGAAGGTTGAACTCAATAAGATTGGATCTTGATCCTCGATCACTAATTAAATTGGTGATTGGTTATAACAAATCTCAGAAAGCTACAGTGGATCCTCGGCACTTCGGCTACAGCAAGCTCATAGATATCCGCACTGTCTGCACTCTTAGCAGTAGTAGTGCCACCAGCAGGAATTCTTCATATGCTTTGATACTGCGAAAAGGCCAAAGGTGGACAAGAGATAGCACATTAGAGTTCCATTGAAAATTAGAGTGCGAAACACAAAAGATTAGCCCCTATATCCAAACCCCCGACATTGACAGAGATTGGCTCATGTAGACTCATAACGCTTAAAAAAAGGAATAGAAGGATCGAGTTCGTCGAAATACCGAAATATGAAGCAATTCAAAAAAAAAAAAAAAAAAAAAAAAAAAAAAGCCAATACAATTAGAATCTACCTGACTACAGAATGACCACAATCGAATCTACAAGACTTTTCCAGTCCAGGGATCCCCACCAACATCAACACTACTTTCCATACAAGACGCAACCGTTGTGGGGTTCCCTCCCACAGGAGCAATCTGGATATAAAACAAGCCAAGCAACCAAAAAAGCTTAGTCGACCACCTCCGTACCTCACTCATCGACGCATTGTCCAAATTCCCCCAATGGTCCGGCCAATTGCAATGGGCGCCCGTCACCCAAAAAACCACACCGAAGGATTCAGTCGCCCGATAATCAAATATGGCACCAATTCCGACATAGAGGGCCATCGAACAACCCGTACGAGCCGATGCAATTGCACCGACCGCGACGGAACGTGCTTTCTCAAATGCCGGTTCTCGAGGAGCCTGGATAGGCGATGATTCAATGAAAACCTCTTTATCTCTTCCAACCCATTGGCTTTATCCAACCTACGTGATTATGCAGGTCTTCCAGGAATGCAAGTACAGATCACGCTATTCACCTGCGGTGGATACGCCGTCGGCGTGAAGTTAGCGCACTGTCCAGCAGATGCACAGGCCCTCATGGCCGTTACGCATATAAGGTCAATAAACAGCCAGAAAAGCTTTGGGGTCCAGCTAAAATCAATGGCCCAACCAGTGTTCGACCCCGAATTACTGGACAGTTGCGCTGGCGGCGACATCGACAGTCCCGACCGTGATCAATCTCTAACGCAGACAGCACGCGCTTTGCCTTTACATCGCTATAGCTAGTGGAATACAAGTAACGAAGGATACCCAGAATCATGTATCCCAACAGCGGAGAACTCCAGGCCTCTGACCCAACTCGACCATACACAGATCTCCCCGTCGCAGCCAGCGCCGTGGCTTTCATGGGGCTTCTCTCGCCCAGTCAGTTTCACGCTGCTGCCCTTCACAGGCACAGAACTAGCGAAGCTCAAAGCACTTGCCCTTGCAGATGGTAGCCATAAGCAACGCATGCACATGTGAAAAGCCTCGAACGCCAAGCCCGTATCGAGCCGTTCAATGGCCATTCGCCCGTAGCACTGCCCCCGTTTGCTGTATGACTGAATGGCGCTTGCGATTCCTCAACCTGTCTCACGCTCCTTCCTCGACCGCGCACACAATTTTCCCAATCATCCTGCTTCGATTGCTTCTGTCAATACATGTTGATCCAACAGAGATGTCATCTCCTACCAGTGCCGGCGTCCTCCAGACACACCAACTCATTGAGAATCATAGCATCTTGATCCGAGATGAAATATACGGAGAGGAACTGGTCTATGAGCCAGTTCTCGTAGAGCTTCTTCAAAGCCCGGAGGTGCAGCGACTGCAAGGCATCTGCCAGTATGGAGTCACTGGATTCTTGGGCCTGACACCGCGAGTCACACGGCTCGAACATTCGGTCGGTGCATTTATACTCGTGCGAAGAGTTGGTGCCACGATTGAAGAACAAGTCGCTGCTCTTCTCCATGACATCTCTCATACCACCCTCAGTCACGTCATGGATCACGCCCTCTCCAAGCCTGGGGAAGAAAGCTATCACGAGGTACACAAGACACGGTATCTTAAGACGACGCGGCTACCGAACATCTTCGCCAGACATGGGATCAACCAGAAGGTTTTCGAAGAAGAACTGTTCCCTTTAGTGGAGATGCCATCGCCTCAACTGTGTGCCGATCGCCTAGACTATGCTTTACGCGACTCCGTCTGCTTCGGCAAGCTTGCCATGGAAGACGCCAGAAGGGTTGTCGGCTCACTGAAGGCGTTTCCCAGTGCTACAGCGACCCGCCGCCTGCTGGTTCTAGACGATCCCCATGTAGCGCTGATTCTTTCTCGCGCATACATCACTACCGACAAAGATGTCTGGTCAAGTCCGGCCCACATCGACATGTGTCAGCGGACGGGCCGGGTGATAGGCGAACTGGTAGAGGCAGGGTCTGTAGATGATAAGGTGTTATGGCAAGTGTCCGACGCAGAATTTTGGACTCTGCTTCGTCAAGCAGCGAATCCTGAGCAGCTTCGCGCTATCGAGAAACTGGAAGAGGAAGGGATTCCAGAGGACAACGGACTCCGATTGCCACATTGCGCTAAAATTCGCACTCTCGATCCAGACGTTTGGCAAGGAGGAGAAAAGCAACCCGCACCGTTGTCGATAGTGTTGCCAACGTGGGGATCAGAGCGACAGCAGTACATTCTCAGTCGTAGTCAGCATCGATAATGACTATTGCATCGTAGATAGCTACGGCCGTCTGCAGGCGCCGATACAGATTCTACAACTTGAACGTATGGCAGCACGGCGCAAGCCGTAAATTCGATGAATATAAGCTTCTTGTGTTACATGTGGCTATGAGCCTGCCAATTCTAGCAGGAAGGCGGTCATAGGTAACCTATAAATGGTGCACCATTTACTACCAGATAGTCTAAATAAACAATCTACACACTACTTTTACAGCACCAATATTGCCTGTGAAGCCGTGTACTCCAGCGATCCTGTTGATAGGTAACACAGTCAAGAACAGAGGCCGTCAGTCCTGACGAGCTCCCGGGTGGTATCCTCGCCGGCACCGCCATACCCGGAGGACCTTCCCAGGACCCCAGCTAACAGACACTGGAAGCAAACCCGACGTTTGTCTGATGTCTGTGGCCGTCGGTAACACTTGTGAGCATGACGTCGGAGCAGACTAGTCTAAATAGTTTTATTATTAAGAGTGGTTATTATTATTACAGTTTTTAAGAGTTAATTTTTACTATTTTATTAAATAGTAAAATAACTTTATTATTTAACTAATTTATCTCTCTATTATATTCTTAGATTACTGGAGTGTATAAGCCTGAGATCTCATTGCAGCTTACTAGTCCTAAGCGTGAGACAGGTTGAGGAATCGCAAGCGTCATTCAGTCATACAGCGAACGGGGGCAGTGCTACGAGCGAATGGCCATTGAACGGCTCGATGCGGGCTTATCTCTCAAATGGCGCATGCGCTTTGTAGTTTTATTGGGTCCCCTGCCTGTACATTCGATCATCTCTACCTTCATGTCTAACTGTAGAAGAGCTTGTATGAGACTCTCGTTCACATCTTCAATAATCTTCAAATTGATAAGAAACGATTCTCTAGACTGTGTTGAGGTGTCACAAGTGAGTCTTGTCACGCAAAGACCAAAAGACATTAAGTAGCTTCGACAGGTCTAGCAGGTCTGGCCCCCGCGACGGGAACACTTCCCCGTGGTCGAATTTGAATCCACATTATACCACTTCAGGAACGTATAAGTCAAAGCACAGGGCTACTGGCCACCCTCTATAGCTACTAGCTACTCTTACGAATTTATTATATATTAAACATCATCGCTACATTTTAAAACTTAATTTCACATAGATCCGATCAGACGATCGGTGGCGTACAGAAATTACGCTTTTTATGTATGTATTAAGCTTAAATCTATTGGTTAGCTAAGCTCCTTATTAACTAACGTTATTATGGCCATAAAGTCGCCCTAAAGCGGCGCATTGGTCGGTATGACAGAGCGGAACCGTATTAAAACTCAGCCACCGACGTCGTGAACAACAACGGGATTCTAAATTCGTAACGCGGTCTAGCCTAGGCCATTAAATTCCATAAGTAATCTTATACCATCCAGATCTCATAAGCCTAGATCACTAACTCGTTACGTATTTCAAGCTAAATTCTGATGGCGGCGTTTAAGTGTTACACGTAAATATTGATGGTTTGACATGATCAGCCCCAAGGTCATCTCCCATAGTTTTCCTTCCTTAGTTTTCCCTTCAACCAACTTTACAATACATCAATACTTTGATATTGCTTCTTCTTCTCGTTTGCTTCCTTTAGTAATCCTTCAGCTTATGCTGAAGAGAAATATTGATATTTGTGCAGCGGTAATCCTTGTTTCTTTTTGTTTTCATCTGCCCCTAAATCTCGTCCACTAGCAAGATCTAAAACCTAACATTTTGGTCTCCCTGGAATATACTACCCACTATGAAGACCTTCACGCTAAGCAACCTGAGCTTATCTTCATTTTCTTCTCCAGCACCACCCTTGCCAATATCGTAACAGAGACTGGTCCTGATGGGATGATTGTCAAAATCAAGTATATCCCTGATGCCGTCACTCCTTACAAGCGTTCTATCCCTGGCGGTAACAGCGATTGTGCACAATAGTCTTCAGCAAACCTTCCTGTGCGTGTTCCTTCCACTGAAGCTCATGATCGAAAATTACCCCCAAGAGTTTGGCGGTCGTAGATGGATTGATGGTATATCCATCCATGGTAAGCTGGCCCTGGCCCTGTTCTTTGCTCTTCCGGGTAATGTGAATAAGCTCGGTCTGTTCCGCAGCGAAGCAGGACCCAGTTCTCCGGGCCCAGGCTTCTTCGATCCGGGGTATGCCTTCGGACTCGATTTTGGCCATCGAGTCAAGAGATAAGGATAGCTGTATGCCGCTATCGTGGGCTGCAGAATATGGACACGAGGCTATCGTTCGGCTACCTGTTGAGAAGAATGCTGATCTCGAATCGAGACATGACCATGGCCGCACGCCGCTATCTTTGGCTACAGAGGAGGTGCGATCAGAGGCTAACCCTCAGGAACAAGAGGCCATCGTCTCGCTACTTCAAGAGAAGGGCGCAAATATCCAGAGGGAAGAGGAAGGCGGAGATGGCTCCGCATGGGGCGCCATAAGTATAAGTGCTAGCAATGCCGCTGTCAAAGCGACGCTGATAGGACGAGGTCAGAGCGAGAGATGATAGGTGATCCTCTACACAGAGAACCAAGTATGGGATATAAGGACCTGATTCCTGAGCCCGTAGGTAGACTATCCTGACATATGTACTCATAAATGACCACACAAAGATCAAATCGCTGGCAGTGTGGCCCTGAACCTCATACAATTGTCCAATATAAGGCTTGCCATTGGTCCGCTACTCCCATTGCCCCACACGTGCATAGGTAGCGCCGGCGGCCCCGGGCGCGTAACTCGCATTTTTACAGTATGCAGGAAGGGCAGTTACAAAAAGAGACTTGTGGGAAGCACATCAAATTCGAGGCTCAGATCAACAAGACGGAGGCTTACACGGACTGCAATCTCAGAAGTCTTGCATTGAAATAAGAGTATCCGACCACCTCTTCCGTATCATCCGATTGAAAATAACTCCTTTGATGTACGGCGTGGGATGGTGGATGACAATATTGATTGTAGGATACTTTCAGTAAAAGAAGCTGTCTAAGCGATGGGGGGACGAGAAATGATTGATTTACATTTGGTGGGATCGTCGTTGGGCTATGCACGATGACCCCTGCGGTTTAGCGGGGCTTAGAGTCGACCAAATCGTGTGCCTCTTTTGCCCAGGTACATAGGTAGGATACTTAAAATAGAACACGCAAGAATCGAATAATTAGGGCTTACAGCTCGCTGTTGTTAGTTCCAAGCGTCAGGTTTTCAAGCACCTAGCCAAATTACACTCTAGTATTCCTCGTGCCTTCTTCAAAGCATTCCACGCCATATTATTATGCATCTTCTTGTCGAAAGATTGCAAAAATAACAAAATTGGCTTAAATTGAAGATCACCGGTGGCTGCCACATCTGTATAATGAACTTCATGACTCGAATTGGGCTCATGTCCCCTGTTTCTTTCGCCCTAGTCAGTGAATCATTAGCGGCCGTCCTTCCAAAACGGAACAATACCATCACTGTCCCAGATGGTGTAACTTATTCCAATAATGTTATTTGTACACCAACCTCATGGACTGATATCGTGTCCTTTTTCCTGGGCAACTACGTAGCCCATGCGGCGACAGTCATCAATTTTCCCGGAGAGCCAGCGGTCATCACCACAGTGAATATGATCTTAGCCATTCTTTTCCCCTGCATGGGCGCTAGCCGGGGAGTGCTGGCCATCATTAGGAGGGGAGCTCTACACAAAGATCCTCTCAAGCGGGCGCTTCAATCTAGAGCATTATGCATGGTTGTGCGATCCCGAGAATGGAATCCGATACCTTCGCAGTCTGTGCGCTCATTATCGATAATGCCTATGTCATCCGATGTGAACGAACTCTACCCGTTCCCATACGTGAAAATCGGTATGTTTTGGTCATTTTATTCACCGGAGTTTCTTGCTAAGATTGAGTAGCCCGGAATAAAAACAACTTTGAGGAAGAGATCAAGAAGCTGTGAGCTGAAGCGGTCATCTTAAACTAAGTATTTCTGCTCACATTGTTCGTCTAGGGAGGCATATACCGGCTTGTTTGAATTCAATGTCTGCAACCCTCCGTGGCTTGTACAGGAAGGTACCCCATTCCATGTCGTGCCCCCACGCTACACAATCTCCGGAACTTGTGACCTTCCTCCTGGTTACGAATTGGCTTATGTTCCATCGACCGCCGTCGTAGAGCCTCTCTCGATCGCAGAACGACTTCGCTTCAATGGCCAAGATCCACAAAATATATCGTCGATATATAGCTTTGGGCCGCCGTTGATTGCACTAATTCAAATAGTCTATGCGTCGGTCACTATATACCAGTCTCGCGGTAATCAAGTGGACACATATGGGTACGCTGCATTTGGATTTACTGTTATACCGTATTTGATCATGTCGACCGTCAATCTGCTCGGCAATATAGTCACCCACAGTTACCCATCAATCTACCTTGTTCATACTGAACTGATGGATGAAGCAAGTCACCGCGGAGGTATTTTCGCTGGCGTTGTTGCAACCCTCAAAAGCGAGCCACTTTCAGTAAACAACATGTTCGTTTTCTCGGGCTTATGCCAACGTCGCCAAGGGTACCTGTGGGAGTTTGAAGTGGGAAAGTTGTATCGCCCTGGCGAAATCGAACCGGACGGTCCAATGGAAAGGAGACCTAGGAACTTTTCCTATCCAATACGCGCAACCGGCAATGGTATTTCTGACGCTGTTGCTCCATCATCCAGCGAATCACTTTCATCGCAGGATGAAGAAGCCAAATCTCGACTCATCATCGTCTGTCCAACCTGTTACAACTTCAAAGTCAGGTTCACAAGATTGCTTCCACCCCAGGTCTCTACTCCAGCCATGTTCATTTCATCTTTGCCCCTGGTAGCTATCGGTGCACTCTCGCATTTTAAGGCTGGCTCAAGCACTGTGGCCCAAAGGGTTTGGATCTTGGGATCCACTGTCTTGAGAATGGTTAATGTCACCAACCCAATGTTCGCGGACTGGATCATTCGCACCACCATCGATAATCCTGCCCTGGCAAAACTTCGTGGACTGAACTTGGCCGACCCACGAGAAGAGAAGTATTTCTATTTGGATTTTGGTCTCTTTTTCCTTCTGATTCTACTTTTGTGCGTGATAACCGCTCCAACAATCGGTCAATTCGTTGTGGTTGGACAGATGCTTAACGAGTATGGTTCGTGCTCACAGCTTCAAAAATTGGGAGTGTAGCACTATATGAGGTATTGGTCAAGGTGTCTGTCGGTATTCATGTACTTTTCTACAATGCTTTAGGGCCTTATACTGTATTGTTACTACACGCATAAATGTCTTACACAAATATCTGTCGTCAACAGTCTTGGACCATAAGTCCTTTCACACCTCTACCTTTATATAGTCGACATGATCAACCTACCAGTTTCAAACCACTACAACCAGACACTCTTGAAAATGGGTAAAAAGTTGTGGGAAAAGGAAGGCAAAAGCAGGGGAAAAACAACGCATGAAACAGTACACTTGCTCCGAGGCTATCGTGTCGAGACTGTGCATTACTTTATGGTACTGTATACACATTTATGACCCCCTTTTGTAGCATTATAATTGAGTCTACGTCGATGTGCTATTATGCTAATAGATCGACCTCAGTTGTTGTTCCATTTAGATAGATGAGATTCCCGATTAGCCAGACGATATGGCAGAATGGAAGCAAAATACATGTATCTTGATTCATAACAAATAATTCATTCTTGTTATCATTATGGGCTACGTGGCCCAAACCGTAAATTGCAGTCTAAAACAGACTGATGCAGATAAATATGCCGGTCAAATATGATGCGCACGTCCAAGTGACCTAGCCAGGGCGGCTAGGGACCGTAGAAGGAAGGGGATGTAAACAACTCAAATGGTCTCCATCAAGTAGAAAGGCAAAAAAAACTTCATTGATAGAGCATTTACTCAGCCGCCTCGTGCATGCGGACAGTGACCAGATCAGCAGGCGAGCTGGTCAAAGTCAAGCCGTAACGAATCTGCTGGTCGGGGTTCACATCCTCGATCTGATCGAAGCGCTGCAAAAGTCGAACAATGACATAGCCAGCCTCGGTAAGAGCGAACTGTTGACCAATGCAGATGCGAGGGCCACCGTTGAAGGGGATGTATTCCCAGCCGGCCTTGCGGTTGGCCCAGCGATCAGGCTTGAATTCGCGGGCATCGGGGCCCCAGAGATCCTTACGGCGTTGCATGACATGGGTGGTATAGATAACGGACTGGCCCTTGCGAACGTAGACGGGGTCTTGGCCGTCAGGACCACCACCGCGAGGGATGGTAGTATCGCGGGTAGCACTGCGGCGGTTGAATGGGACTACGGGGTAGAGACGGAGGACCTCGTTCATGACATACTGCAGGTACTGGCAAGACTTGAGGGCAGCAAATGTGACGTTTTGCGGGTTAGAGTAGGTGCCAAACGTGGAGATGATGGTTTCACGAAGCTTGGCGAAAACTTCGGGGTTGCGGGCAAGTAGGAGGGTGGTCCAGCTGAGGAGGGAGGCAGTAGTATCGCGGCCAGCCAGGAGGATGTTCAGGAGTTGGGAGCGTAGCTCGATTGGGTCCCGGGTTACTTCCAGAAGGGCGTCGAGGAACACATAGGGGGTCTTTCCCTTTTCGGTGTCCTTCTTTTCATTGTCGGCAGCTCGCAGAGCGGTTGCAACAACCTTGTCAACAAAGGCTTGGACTTGCTTGTCTGAAATCTTGCTTTGCTTGGTCTCAGCGAGGAAGGGAAGTTTCTCAAAGCGGCCGCGCTGCGCGCAGATGAATTGCGAGTAGTCAAAGTGGCCGGCGAAAGAATCCTCGGGTCTGTTCAAGCCGTTCAGGGCACCAAGTTGGCTCTCTACACTTTCACCGAACAGGAACTCTGTGGCAGAATCGATAGTGAGGCGGAAGAAGATAGTCTGAATGTCGGTGGGAGCTGTCCAGCCGTTAGCTGCGACAGGCAGCGCCTGCATGGCCTTTTGCACATGTTCTTCCTCCAAATCCAACTGACTGATTTGCTCCCGGGTGAACTGAGGTCGTAGCAGACCTCGGGAACGAGACCAATCCTCACCATCGGCAGTGAACTACATTCGGTTAGTACCCACACCGAGCGGGAAGAAGTTATCATGTGACTTACAATACCAGTGCCGAGCAAAGGGTGCAAAGCTCTCCGACGAGAATCACCGAGTTCGAACTCCTTGAATTGTGTTGCTAGCACGGCCTGGATATTTTTGGGGTCGATAGTAAAAATGCCATCACGACCGAGATTGCGGATCATAAAGGTAGTGACGAAGCGGTTCTCCTGCTCGGCCATAACTTCAAAGCGCTTCTCAGCCAAGTCTGGCACGGTGTTTTCCTTGGCTGCTGCCAGAGACTGCTTCAGAGTGTCGATTCCAAAAGGATCCTTGCAAGGATACACGGGCAGACTGCCACAGCCCAGCTTTTTGGCATTGCGCGAGTGCTGCCATGAGTTGATCACCATACGGATAACCTGCAGCACGACGGCCGCGGCCGCAAAACCCACGATGAACGTCAGGGCCATATTGGTGTGTGATTTTGTTCAAGGAGAGACCCGAGGTTTTGCAAGGGCATGAGGTGGGTTATATGGATGAATGCAGCATTACAGGCAGAGTGGGGACACATCCGGAACACAGTAAGATTCAGTCAAGATCGTCAATGTCGGGAGCCAATGAAATGCACAACGGAGGTCAGAGTCGATGAGCGGTCGGAGTTCGCACTGATTTCTGTCGCTGAGCCGATCGATCTCGGACCCCTTACTTGGTGAGTCCAAGACAGAAAAGATCTCGGAGTCCACAGGTTTCACCTTCGGAGACACCGCCAGGTTGCAAGTCTTTGTATCCACAGAGATCTGGAGTTCGTACCCATAAAATAATCTTGATGTTCGCGCCACAGTCGGTGGGTTACGCCCTTTGGCCTCGGTCGCACCCAAGGGGAGGTCTGTGGGGTGTGAAAACACGAAGCGGAATTCGGAATTCACAGACTGCATATACTCCGTACACTGTGCACAAATCAGAATAACTTCAGAATAACTTTACATTTGTTCTGCAAAGAAGTATAGATGAAGTCATGGGGCGATGTCATATCATGCGGGCCACCCCTGTCGATGTTTGCATTAGTGTAGTTGCGGCTTGGCCACTGCCGAGGTGATGAGTGATCAAAAAATCACAGGATGAGGAGTTCTTTGATTACTTGTCAACTTTCTAACTCTGACCATCTCAGCTCAACCCGATGCAGAAACATGAGAATTCCTCGGACATGCTATCAGACATGCTCTCATCGAGATCCTACCTGGACTTGTCCCCTGAGCGGCCACAGGATCTCCCCAGACGGGAACTAGACCCCGAAATTAAACATGAACCGGAGCGCAATCTAAGGCCGCGGAACAAGCGAGCCCCTAAAGCACCGGAGATGGCCGACCAACTAGCCATCAACAGGGAATCGGCAGCTCCGGATCGTCCCGCTCGGAAACGAGGTCGGCCAAGACTGGAGACGGTCAAGGATGCAGCTGCCATTGAGGTAGGTTGCGATATAATCTCTTTAAGGTCCACCTCGCTGACTCCAACAGGAACGTCGTCTACAGATCCGGCGTGCCCAGCGCACATACAGATTAAGAAAGGAGTCAACTATCCAGTCTCTCAAATCTCGCGTCGATGGGCTAGAACGGACCTTGAAGAACGTGTCTGATCTACTCAGCGCCGCCGATCAAAATGCAGCTGGTCACCAAGGCGGCGCACTCACGGCAAAGCCGGGTATCAACTATCTGGCTCGCGCACGGGAATTGGTCCTAGCAGAAATCCAAAACACCCGTTCTACTCCAGATGAAGAGATTGAGCAAGCCGGCAGATCATCGAGGGATATCTTCGGATACCAAGTCTCACATGCGTCAAACGACACGGTGGCACATCCCCAAAAGAAGGACTACCCTTCATACTCCAACCGCGCCAGATCCCCCTCTCCATTAATTAACCGTATCCTCCCGGTAACAACAATATACACATACAGCCACCAAGAATCCAATCTCTCGCGACGCCTGCACAGATTCTGTCTCGAGCATACCTACCGCTGGCTCACAGATGCTCGCACTGACCCAGCACTATTGGGTCGCGTCTTCGGACTGGTACCTTGCATCCAGGACATGCCGGGTATAAGACGTAGTTTCCGGCGCACGCTGCAGTCTGAGATTGGAAGTACGCTGGAAACTACCAAGCTCCCTTTCTACACGCTCGGCGGAGCAGGAAAGCATTTCCCCCGTAAGGGGAGAGATGGAATGCCCATTTACCCGGAGAATAGTCGAAGACCTGGCAAGATTCTGCGGAGGATGGTGAGGATTCTGCAGCGTGGTGGGATTCAGGATTGGGATGAGGATTGGAGTGGGGACCGGGAGCCCGGGGTTGCAGGACTGGGCCACGGGAAGGTGGAGATGGATAGGGAAGAGAGGATCCGTTCGTTGGATCTGGATGGTGAGTGGTTTGATTGCCATGATATACAGGGTTATCTGGAGCACCGGGGTCTTGCGCTTGATGGATCAGCGCTGAGGTTAGAAGTACCCGCTGCTCTGGTTGGGCATTTGCATGGGTTCTCGCCAGATCGGTCTGTGTCGAGTTTATACACTTCTCCCGAAGAGGTTTCAGTTGACCGGGCCACATCAGTGTCAAGTCCGTCTCCTTACATGCTGGACATGGAGTGTTTCTTCAATCGTGAGTCACCATCTATATTCTTTTTCTTTCGTCAAGATATACTCACACATCACCAGTCCTCCTGGCCAACCTACGAATCCTTGGTCGCGCTCCAGGCTTCCGAGTGTGGGATGTTGACGCTGCATTGCGAGCCGCCATATACCGACGCCCCTTCAGCTAGCAAAGGCGTACGGAGAACAGCGTATAACCTGCAACTATATCACGCCGCCGCATTGATCAAAGCATTATTGAATGCCAAGAAATTAGAGAGTTGAACTCCATCACTGGCATTGTTCTGGGTATAGTGTAAATTCGGAAAAGCGGTGTAAAAAGGCAACAAAAAAGAAAAGCAACAACAAAACCCACAAAGACCCCCAACACGTCACATTACATCTGATCATGATCCCAGCAACCTCATCATGTTCTCAGTATGCGCATGTCGGTATCGTTGGTCACGTATAGTAGATCAAATCGAGATAGAAGCCGTCAAATCGTGAACTGTTTAACAGCAAATTTCCATGCACTCGCAGCAGGCAAGACCGGCGCAACTATTTAACGCGTTAGTTTCATTTTTACCCCCTCGAGATGCGACTTCGATAGACGGTATAACCGGGTGTGATAAATATCTTACATTCCGCAGCAACAACCACCGGCGCCACCTCCACGCAGCTGCATTTGCTCTTGGCTAGTCTAGATGCGACAAGTGTTAATTTTGGTTTTTGGAACTGTATCAGAAAAGATATTGCACATACGGGCTGCTCAGAAACAACGGCCTGGTTGCTTGAAGGGGCAGCGGGGCTGATGGGCTGCATGGTGACGGTGTTGGGGTTCCAGGTACCCTCAGTAGGGGTCTGATCGTTGATCTGAGTAGACTTGAAGAGGTTGAAGTTGAACATGGTGACAGAGTGTCGTAGAGTTGTAGTATAATTTGAGACGAGTGTATGCGACAGGTAATATGAGCCAGGAAAAAGTCAAAAACAGGAGAGAAGGAGACTATATGTACTTTAAGAATGTGGAGGATCAGCTCCTAAAATACAATGAAACAACTACGGTACAATTAGCGCCCGACACTCATTCGGGACCCGTATGCATGGGACTTTGTCACACATGCCTACACTCCAGCGCTGTACGTATGCGCTATGCTCGTACACTAGTTTCAGTGGACTAATCAGAATGATGCTGCCTGCTGACTGCGGCCGAGCTATGAACAACGCAGTGAGGCTTTGCACACATACGTAGTCCACTTTAGACTTGTTGATGTTCTATATTTATTAACCAGGACTTTTTGCATACAGAAGCAGAACGCACAGCCTCATTCACGCACCCTAGTCCATCCATCTTCAAGCATCATGAAACTGGCTCAGCCCTAAGTTCTTCAGCCCTGCCGCGCGAGGGTGGGCTGCCAAGAGTCTTGGCAAAACACTTGTATCGACGATGTAACGAGGAGATCACAGTGGTTCAAATGTTGGCATAAAAGATTGTATGCATTAATACCAAGGCTGTTTGATTTGTGCATATATACGTAGATAAAATATGTGTCGCTTCTCCTTGTCTTCTTACAGCTTCGAGAGGACACCATCTGGCTGCAAAACTGAAAGATAACATTTTTGAATCTCGCCGATCGTTCGGCACCTGCTTCCGATCAGTAAAGAAAAATTCAAAAATCATCATACGAGCATTCCACTTACCCGGCCAGTGCCATGGTGATACGCAACTCCTGGCGCAGAATTCGGATCGCCAGTTCAACTCCTTCTTGTCCGTTATACTGTCAAAGTTTAGTTATGATCAATACCACCAAAACAGGGGAAATCGTACAGCCAAACCCCAGCAGGGGATCCTTCCCATAAAACAGAAGTCCGCTCCCAGAGCTAGAGCTTTGAAGATATCCGAACCTCGACGGATTCCACCATCAACTGCAATCGGGATCCGGTCTTTTGCTACCGGCGCACAGGCACGAAGGGCGTCCAATGTCGAAGGCATGCCATCTAGCTGGCGGCCTCCGTGGTTTGAGACGACAATTCCGTCGACACTATATTTGATAGCTAGCTCTACGTCTTCGGGAGAGGTTACTGTCATAGCAAAGCGTTAGTGGATCATCCATCTGAACACAGAGAAAGGAGAAGAAGGAGTGAACATACCACCCTTGAGCCAGATCTTCAGAGAAGTATGCTGTCTCAACCAAGGAATCGTGCTTTCCCAGTCCAGACTGGGATCTACTAAACGTCAATTATCTGTCCTGCACATATGACACATACACCTCTTCATCCGTCGCAATCAAACATACCATAATCAGTGCGGTCAGAAGTATCGCCGCCGTGACTCAGAATATTCGGCCAAGACATATCTTCCGGAATGCGATACTCATGGCGGTATTCATTCAACCGTTTTCCCAAAACGGGTACATCAACTGACAGAAAGAGTGCCTTGTATCCAGCCTCTGCAATACCAAACCATGTCAGTCCAATATACAACGAGACATGATTGAGGTTGACCGTTAAAGGTCAGCCTCAGCAGAAAAACATACTCTCAGCCCGCTCCAAAAGCTGAATCGTAAGTGACCGATCCCGGAGCACGCACATCTGCATCACATATGGATTACCCGTTCCCTGCGCGGCAACATCTTCGAGAGGATAATTTGAGTACGAGGATAGACCCATGACGAGGCCGTATTTCGCCGCTGCACGTGAGGTTGCGAGTTCACCGTCTGAGTGGGCTAGTTTCATTGATGCGGCGGGACTGAAGCCGAATGGGAGGGAGACCTGGTGAATGAATTGTCAGATGTGATCGTGATCGAGGTTGGATTGCATTGGTCAATTCGTGAGGAAAGCGGACGCACCTTGCTACCAAGAATCTCTGTGCTGGTGTCGATTTTGTCAACATTTTTTAGGATTCGGGGGCGGATCTTGTATCGATCATAGGCGGTTTCATTCTCGTTGAGACTATATGGGAAGAAATGTTAGGAATGGAGACTGGTAGTTCGCTTGTAAGTTTCCATACGTGATCAAATCCATAGCTCCTTCATTGTAATAGTCTATCGGAGTCAGCGTTGTCTGTAGCAATCACAATCGTCGTAGTCACTCACCTCTAACCATCGGAGCCAGCCGACTACTCCCTAATCTCTTCAGATCAGCAATGCAGCACACATCTTTGTGAAAAGACTCTCCACGGTGCGCCATTGTTGCGCTGGGTGTAGGGTGTGGACGAACTGAACTTGGAGATAGAAAGAGACGACGGCAGCACGACTCAAATAAGATTCGCAGCAACCCAAGCTAACCTCAAGGCGAGACTCCTTTTTTTTTTTTACCAAATACAGCTATGCACCATTAACTGCCCTTTTGCTATAGATTGAATGTTGGTTTCCTATCTTGGATTTCCCCACGGGCGATCGTCGGAACCGCCTGCCTGGTCGAGAGAATGTAACATTGAGGATTTCTAGTCGCACACGACTTTTAGAAAGCTGTTGTCCGAAAGGAACTTTGGTTTGAAATCATATGATATGGCGCGCATTTTTCTGTAGGTGGTCCGATATTTGTTTGAGTCGCTCTGCTAATTGCTTTTTTATAGTACTGGCGCCTCGGGCTACATCGGTGGTGATGTCTCGCATCTCCTTAGGACGACACATCCCGAATATGAGTGTCGGGTTTCGATGCGAGATGTATCCAAAGCCACTACCCTTACACAGGCTTATCCAGATGTCCGCATCGTCTTGGGTATCTTGGCTCCTCGTTTCTCGAGGAGGCTAGCCAGACGGATATAGTTGTTCGTAAGCCATCCCCGGTAACAACATCGAGCATTACTAATGTACAAAGACGCTGCAAGTTCGAGTCATATCAGAAGTATCAAGGCATCACACGTGGCCTAGCTAAGTGAGCAGTGTCGAAGCCTGGTGAGATTAAGCCAGCAGAGAACCTGGTAGATGATGGTCACTGACAATTAGTAGGATACTGGATCCAGATATCTGGAGCGAGCGTAATGTCAATTTCAGACATCGTCAACGGTCGCTTCAGCGAGGCATCTGACCAGGTGTTTAGTGATGTCGATGGCGCCGATGAGGTCTGCGAGATCATCCACCTAAACTCATCCAGGCAGGTTGTTGACGACTTCATTCCCAACTTGACATTCCCACCTATCATCTACGGCCAAGGAAGAGGTATCCTCAAGCAACGCACTGTTCAAATTCCCGAGCTTGCTCCGGTGGCCATCCAAATTTGGGCAGCGGTTCAAGTCAGCAAGGAGGGAGTACCTGGAGCAGTCCTTACCATCTCCGATGTGAGTGATGTGTTCTTAAAACTAGTTGAGAACGCCGTCATGGGCGAAAATGGCAACGGCAAGATGTGGAACAAGGAGGGCTTGTATTTTGTCGGAAGTGGCAGACTGGTATGTCTTCAACACCTTGGTTTACATATCAAAATTAATGCTAAAATGAAATCTCGCAGCTCATCGCGGAGGTCGCATACAGGCAGATTCCACCATCATTCAAAGCCCGAGCCCGAACGAGGGCAATGAATTATCGGTCACGCGAACGTGTTGTGGGGTACCAATGCACAGCAGCACTCACAACGTGCCTCTCAAGTACTTGGATGGACACCCGGCGGTCTCTCATTGCAGGAGGAGATTCCGACGACAGTGAAGGATGAGGCAATTGGTTTCTTGGCGGTAAGATAAGATAGCAATTCACCAGTTAGGAAGGCGTTTCCGAGCTTTGCGGGGTTGGCCCATCTCCATGTTTTCTATCAATATGCGGAAATGACATCTATTGCAATATATCTATTTTCGTCATGGTTACAAAGAGACAACGTCCTCATCGGTCGCATGTGCTCGGAGGTTGCAGCACATGCAGGCGCCGGCATGTCAAATGTGACCAGAAACGGCCCGTTTGTCGGACCTGTCGGGCCCTCGGAGTGACATGCGAGGGATTCTCCGATCAAGTGCTTTGGATGCGCACTGATAGTAGCGAGGAGGCTGAGGGACCTCGTCGGGGTACTAGGCGGCATCTATACACAGGTAAATCGTCCGATCAAGGATTATCGTCTGATATTAATTCATGCTATAGAACAATCCAGACTGTCTATGAGCGCTGCTCTCGGATCTGATCTAATATCTGGATCTATTGATGCGTCTTTGGCCGAGGTCGACTCGAGACTCAGAGACCCGGAACGTTCACTTGATGGTGATATTGTGATCGGACCTTTTGCGGTCCTCGACTTCTCTACTACGCCAGAAAAACCACAGCCACTGCAAGAATTACATGAAGTCGAACCTAACCAGGTTGAGTCTGAAGTATCATCTGGGATTGTGGCTGACCAAATTGATACCGTGGTGTCAGAAGACATACAAGGTCCCAGTCCTTCCTCAATCCTAGATTCCCTATCCCATATCGATGACTTCCTCCACTGGTCTGATCTGTTGAGCTTCAGTCCAGATCAGAACAGATTTGCTATGAATGGTGCATCGACTATATCAAATGATCTAACTTTCGATATAAGCCAAGAAATGGGATTGCTCCCAGCGGACTCGACCATGAATGACGAGCTGCTCCGGATGTTCACACCCCAGCAGACACCAGCAGATCCCATACCAATGGATATTGATGCTTTGAATGATACCCCGTGTCTTTTGAAACACTTCCAAGATATTGTCATCCCACAAATAATGGCAATCCCATGTCTGCAGAAATCACCTTGGAAGATTCTGAATGTTCCAGCGGCTGTAGTCACTTATGGTGACTCAACCTTCCTCGGGACGGAGAAAATTAGCCATGCTAGGCTTGCGAACTTGTATGGCTTACTTGCATGCTCGGCCATCCATCTTGTTCTCAATCCCTCGACAATATCGACCAAACCACCCGAGTATTGGTGGCCGGTTGCCAATCAGGCGTACCAACAAGCCAAGGACCATATGCAAATCTCGCTACAGTCTGAAACTCACGGTCTAAAAAAGGCAAAATACAAAGATCAGCTAATGGCTGCCTGTATTCTTATTCAGTTCACAGTGAGTAACCTTTTCGAGACTCTCTGAATAGCACTAACTCGTTTAGATAATGTCCGGTCAGCAACAGCATGCTCGATGTTTCATGATTGATGCAGAGCGGTTATTACGGCTTCGGGGGCTATCAAAGACACGAATATCAAAGAAGGCCCGACTTCTACATCATGTCTATACTTGGCTACGAATCGTCGGCGAAAGCACTTTCGTTCTACATGACTACAATATATCCTCCTCCTCCCTCGAAGCTCTTGGCTCTCGATTCAAATCACATCGGTCAAGCGCTACACGGCCCTCCGATACAACGATTACCAAGGAACCAAACCCCCGCCTCGATGACTTCCTTCGCCTTGAAACACAAAACTCAGATAATGATCTTAACATCGATGAACCGAAAGATAAAACCTCTGGACTTCACGACATTCATCTCCAAGATTCACGAAGCTACCCTGAGACATTATACAAACAGATCTATGGTATCCCGGAAACATGGCTTAGCCTGGTATCACAGACTACCAGACTCGCGAATGTGTTAGAGACATTCCGCACAGCACGTGAGTCAGGCAAGAATGTCAACTTCGAAGCATGGGACGCTCTACAGCGACGCAGCATGCGCTTGGAAAACATGATCTGCTCTTTCAGTCTGGGTCGCACGAGGGGTGGAGTCTTGGAACTTCATGCCGACTCCAAACCGCACAGTCATATGGTGGAAGCATTGAATGCAGCCCTGGTGATCTTCTTCTACCGAAGGATCAGACAAACCCATCCAGCTGCTCTTCAAGGTCATGTTGACAATGTCATTGCTGCGTTGGATTCATGCAGTGCGGCCATTGCACCAGATAATCCCACTGGTCCGGGGACGGCATGGCCACTGTTCATTGCAGGATGCGAGGCCATGTCATCGTCAAGACGAGAGGCTATAACAAGCTTGTTGGACAGAGCAAGTTCTGTTTGCGGATTTGCTGCCTTTGCAAGCGCTAGAAACATCATTTCTGAAGTATGGCGCAGGCAAGATGAGCACCTTACTGCCAATCGAGGTGATTTAATGCCATCATGGGTTGATACTGTGAAGGAAGGACAGATATGGCCCTTATTTTGTTGATTTTACTAGCGATTTACTTTTCTTGACTATGTATATATCTCTAACGTTACATTCGATAATTATTTACGGCAACAAAACAATGTTTTACAAATACTTACTCATATAGAAAGATACAGAGTATGCAATGGAGAACGCTTTCATTTCACATATTGAAATTTCGCTGGCTATGTATCATTATTCTGAAAATATTAATATAGCAAATCCCGAAGAAAGTCGTGATTATTTGTGATACCCCCAGGGTTCACATTCGAGAATGCTCCGTCTTCCATGTTTTGCTTGAACTAGTCAGTGCTGCTGGAGCCTATTGAATTGAAGATCTGGCCTCCTCATCAGAGACATCAGGCTGGGGTTTCGGCTTGACACTCCTCCAGCGAATCCCGAGAGAGAGGAGCAATGCAACGGCAGCAACACTGGTTGCGACGTAGAACGTTCGGGTGATCGCGTAGTTGTATGCATGCAAGACGCCTGGAATATGCTCTGCGGAAACCACGCTCCTCGCTTCGGCGGAGCCTGCACTGAGAATTTTCTCTATCTCATGGCCCTCAAATCCCCAACTGTCCAGTCGCGAGACAAGTTTGTTCTCAAAGATAGCCTCAGCAATGGCGAGGTTCACGGAAGCGCCGAAGAATTGGAAGCATTGCAATAATGAAGTGCCGACAGGAATATCTTCTGGCTTGAGGACTGTTTGTGTCGCAACATAGGGCATTGAGAGAGTCATCCCCACACCAATGCCTTGGAGAACTTGGAATGGGATCCACTGCTGGTGGGGAGTGCTTTGAGAGAAGGTAGAGAAGAGTCCCGTTGCTATGCTCATCAGGCCCGTTCCAAGGAGCATGTAGGGATTTGGGTATCCAAGATACTTGAGTGAGGCACCTGTCAGGGTTGCAGAGAGGACATCCGACAGCGCTAAAGGGAGGTACATAACTCCGGATTTCGTGGGCGAGGCTCCTTTGATGACCTGGAACCATTCTGGAAGGTAGTAGATCGAAATGTAAACAGCACCCATGGCGAAGAACTCGCTGAAACAGGAGAAGAACATCGTACGCTCAGTGATCAGACGCGGCGGAATCATGGCATTGTCACCCCGTCGTATTTGCCAGAAAGCAAAGACAACACCAAGACCCACACCTCCAATGAAGAGGCCAATGATGGTGGCACTCTTCCAAGCGTGTTCGGTCCCTCCCCATTGAAGAGCCAAAAAGATCATGATGATGGCGGGAGCGAAAAGGAAAGCGCCGAGAAAGTCCAAGTTTTCCAGTCTACTAAGAACAGACGGAGCTTTCGTTGAGTTGTGCGGAGGTGGTTTGAAAAAGAAAACCAGTGACAAGATAGTGACAGCACCGATGGGGAGATTGATCCAGAAGCACCACCGCCACGTCACATGCTCTGTGAATGTACCACCTAACACGGGTCCAATTATGGTGGCAATGCCGAAGGTTGACTGAAGGATTCCAATATAGAAGGGTCGCTTGACCAGCGGGATGGAAACCGCGACAATACAGAAGGCTCCTGTAAAGCAACCTGCTGCCCCAATTCCGGCTATAGCGCGCCCGATTATGAACATAGGACTATTGACAGCAAGGGCACAGAGCAATGAGCCGAGCTCGAAGACGGCAAGACATCCGAGGAACATGCCCTAATACTGTTAATGAGCTTTCCATCTCCAATTAGAATTAGAAGATTGGGAATATCTCACCTTCATTGCAAAATTTGCAAACAGTTTACCTGCGATAGGCTGCAAAGCGCACATCGCAAAGGAGTATGCACTTCCATACCAGCCAATATCACCGGTGCTTTTGAATTGTGACGTGATCCGAGGTATAGCAGTGGCAATAATTGAAGAATCCAGTGACATGAGGAAAATAGAAAGACCAAGTCCAGTGATGACCAGGAATAGTGGAATTCCGGTCAGCTCGTAGGCGCTCGCATCGTCTGCGCCAGAGTCGCTGTTGCCAGTCGACAGGCTGTTTTCCTCGGGGAGGCGTAGACCCTCGATGGGATCTTTCTCAGCCATTTGGTCTGGTTTTTAAGAGGGCTATATGGTTGAATTGAAAGACATCAACAATGGAGACGACAACATTATATACTGAGTGAACCATATAGTTGATCCCCACCCCCAAATAAAGCTAAACCGGTTTGGGCTTAGCGCAATTGAATCAAGGTGAGTCATGATGGCTCAAGGTGCATCATTGGTCCGCAGCTACTTTCTAAGGGAGGCTGACATATTTTTAGTTAGCACCCATGGGCCTACCTTTATAAGGACTATATAACCTACAACGGGATAAATATTCGAGCATCTACATAATTATTTACAAAACTACGCTTAGTTTACTTTTTATTACAATTAGGTATTAGTACAAGGTCAAGGTGGGAAAGGCAAACACCAAACATTTCATTACTATACGGATGCTGAATACGTCAACAGCACTTAGGCTTGTGAGACTAGCTAGTTATATCTGGCTACTTTAACCCTTTCCTCACGCGTTCTTCTTGGCCTTTGCTTGGCCAAGCTTGAAAATACTCGACCTGGCCTCTTCCTTGTCCAGCCCAGCCCCCTTCAACAAGGTACTATCAAATACATTCCTTGGTCCCACAGCGTTCAAAAACCAAACCAAGAAGGCATTAGAACCTTTCCAAATCGAGGCACTCTTCCCACTGATAACTTCGTCTACAACTTCACGGGCGAACTGGGCCGGCCCCATCGTCTTTGCAAGGTGAGTAGCTGTTCGTGCCTTTACAGAATCCTCCACCACGCGGTAAATACTCTCCGGCCCAAAATTGACATTGTCCGCCGCCATCAATGGGGTCGATACCTCTCCCATGTACAAGGTTTTGACTTTGAGGCCAAGCGGCTGCAACTCGAGTCGAAGAGTGTCCGAGTAGGATGCCACAGCCGCTTTGCTAGCGTTGTAAGCGGAAGCGAATGGATTCGGGACGCGCGCTAGGACAGAGGCGACATTAACTATTATTGGCGAAAAGTCTGCAGTCACTCCGGCGAGCAGGAGAGGGGTGAAGGCAGTAGTCACTTCCATGAGGCCAAAAACGTTCGTGTTGAAGAGTGCACGCACGCGGGCGGGATCTGCCTCAACAGCGGGTGCTTCGTAAACTAGGGTGCGAGCAGCGTTAATTCCGGTGCAAAACCCTGCAGTCGATTAATCTGGAGATAACCTACGAGTGCCCGCATTGTTGAAAAGTATGTCCAAGGAACCTCCTGTACGACGAGAAATTTCTGTCGCTAGAGTCTCGATACTTCTCGCGTCGGTGACATCGAGAGTGAGAGTCTCAATATTCTTTTCCTGTAGGTTGGCCAAAGTCTTCAGCGATCTGGCGGTCGCAAAGACGCGGAAGCCCTTAGAGGCAAACTGCAGGGCTAGGGCGTTACCGGCACCCCCTTGGGAACATCTAGCGAGTGGATGGTTAGGTCAGGGAGTATGGAGGGAGTGAATGATCTCAGCGCACCCGGTGATCAGGATTGACCTTTGCTTTGAGTCCGACATATTGAGGTGAAACGAGGCCAATTATGAAGCATTAACCGTACAGCGCCTGCTTATATATTTTGACTAGTATCAAGCACGAGGACCTCCAGGTATAATCTAGGATATGGGAACAAGACGGGCTGATTATTAAACACTTTAACTTACTATCAGCCACCCAGCCGATTTGCCTCGACTCCGGCCCACCACGGATCTCCCGAGATCCTCTGCGTCCGTCATATTCGGTTGAGTTATTTAACCATTCCGTAGCGACTCCACACTAACTTTTACAAGTCGGCAAGATAGTTGCTCCATTCCCACCGCAGATCACAGACGGCATTCTTAAAGTTTTCCGGCATTTGCCCCTCTCGCAACCGAAAGCATGTCGAGTTGACCTTTTCTATAAGTACAAGAACCTGCTACTCTTCAGCGTATCCTTTTATTTCTTCGTTGCGCACCGGCACATCATGAAGGCTCTTATTTCCAATCGCAACATTGTCACCAGGTTTGTCAACCTCGTCTGTAGCAAATCAGTCGGTGGCCAAGGAGGACAGGTCAAGGATATTCCCATTCCTACAATCTCGCCAGACGATATTCTCGTCAAAGTCAAGGCGGTCGCGTTGAATCCGACGGATTTCAAGCACCTGGATTTCATTTCTCCTCCTCACTCAATTATAGGCTGCGACTATGCCGGTGTGGTCCAACAGGTCGGCAGCGCTGTCAAGTCAGGATGGAAACCCGGCGATCGCGTCGCGGGCGCTGTGCACGGCGGCCTTTTTCCCAACAAGGGCGCTTTTGCCGAGTACTTGGTTGTCGACTCGGATTTGGCTTGGAGGATTCCTGATGAAATGAGCGACACGGACGCCACCACTTACGGCGTCTCAGCCGTGACTGCCATGTTGACCCTCAATGTCCGTCATGGCCTCCCCTTCATCCAAGGTGATGATGCAGCCCTTGGAGATGAGGCGATCTTCATCTATGCTGGAGCCACTAGCGCTGGACTGTTTCACATCCAGCTTGCAAAGGCAGCAGGGTATAGAGTTGTTACTACGGCCTCGCCGCGTTCATTCGATCTTGTCAAGGCGTACGGCGCCTCTGCAGTGTTTGACTACAACTCGGCAACCGTCGCAGCAGATGTTGTCAAGGCGTATCCTAAGATCTCGAAGGCCGTCGATTGTTTCTCCGAAGGGAAATCAACTTCTGTATGTGCAGAAGTACTAAGAAATAATGGTGGTACGGTGATAACGCTATTGCCCAATGGCAAGTCAAGCGTTCCTGGCGTGGCGTACGACCTGGTAATGGCGTATACGGTGTTTGGTCACCCTTTTCAGTGGCTACCACCAGTTGGCCCAAAGTTCGAGGCCAGGCCAGCCGACCGCGAAGCTCTTGTCCGCTTTTACAAGGTCCTTCCAACAATCACACATGTCTTGAAACCGATTCCTACTGTCAAGCAAAAGGAAGGGTTTGAGGGTATTTTCGATGGATTGAACAAACTACGAGCAGGCGCTGTAGCCGGGGGCAAGCTAGTAGTGCCTTTTCCAGCTTAGCTTAGTATAGCGTTGTATTATACAAAGTGAGACGAATCAAAATCGAGTCAGAGAAACTTAGTACCACAACTATAATAGAGCTTGACTGTGCGTGGGTCGATCAGGTCAATTACCAAAGGCATAGGAACACTGATCGACTTTCGGGCTATTACCGCCACGACGTATACTTGCCAAACCCGAAGGAATTACGCAATCTTCCTCTGAAATACAACAAATAAAGTTGAGGCTTCAGAATTGAAGAATTTGTCAGACCGTGAGATGCCTGTATACTAGCACTGAGGGAACCAATTGGCAGGATCGATTGAGAAAATTGAGGAACTGTCAAGAGAGACTGAACCTGCAAATAGACTATTGCTTTACATCACCGCCTGCGTTTTGGTAATGTCAAGGTATCTAATCTCGACTGATTTCAGCGAGAAGATCACGCGAAACGCTGCCGCATTGGAGACCTATCGGTAGATTTCAAAAGCGTCAATTATGTCTCGTATATCGAAAGTTCTAGATGTCCTACGCATCTCGGAAGCAGTTATTGTGGAGCAAGCCGCGGCGCAGTTATTGTGCCGTGCCCGGGATAGTAACCACAATTGAAGTAGCCTATGGAATTTCTGCATTTAACCAACGGTAAGGAGGGGTGTTTATTCCCGCAGCTTGATTATTAATCATGAACTTCCGAGGTCTCTGAGGGGGAAACGGAGTAGAGATTTCTGTAGACGGGCCTTGATGATAGGTTCTTTCGTAGTCTACACCTGACTGTGAAGGTGTGTAACACTAGTTAGTTAACTAGTTAACCTTATCAGCAAATGAGCTGCGTATCCCAAAGGACCATAGTAAATGCGATAAACTACAACGTGCTGGAATATTTGATTTATTGGGCAGACAGATTACCCGATGGATGCTTTGACTGATCCATGGATAGTCTCATTGCTTAAGTAAGAATAGTACACATCATACCTAGGTAGAAGCGAGATTAAAGTTGAACGTCGGCTGGGATGATAACTCGTGATGAACATTCGAGTATAACGTTATAACCAAGAAGTTACTTGTTAGCTCTATGGCAGTCGGGTCTCTTAGGGCTAGTGGCCATATCCGATTTTTGCCTATAGTGCTATTAATAATACTCGTATTCCATACATAATCCCGTATATTAGAAAATAGCTATACATATAAACTATCTCGGGTACATTTCCTGCACCTCTACGGCCGATCAGAAAGTAGCTCTTCAAACTTTTATATCTCTACCTCACCACCTTGTCTACTAACCTATTTCCCCTACCGAGCTGGCCACCCCACCAAAAATGCTACCATTGAATTGCAAAAGTTTGCACCACAACGCTATATAATTAAAAATGAAGCTATTCAGACCTCCCTGGGCACCTATATCTCTTATGTCTAGGCGTTTTACAAAGACTGTATCGCTATAGCCTCCTCTCATTGGCAGGATTCGGCGTCGGGGATGAACCGCCATCACCACCTAGGCCTACTTCATCGGCTATTCCTAGACCTAATACTACCTCCATAGCCTCCAGCACTGACATGCCAACTTTATAAGCTATTGGCTTCCTTATACGCTTCTTTTTTTGGGTGGTTCTCGTATTAGTGGCGCGTAATTCTTGGTTTTCCTAGCATAATTTGGTAAAACTGCTCAGTTTGAACTTGGTACATTATCGTCATTTGGCTCCCTGAGTACACACTTGAGTCCACACACGTGCTCGCATATTACACATTGCTTGTCCAGGCAATTTTAAGTATCGATATGAACTTTCTTGGTGATTGGGCCTGAACCAGATTTAGGTATGGTTATAGAAAGAATGCCGTCTTTCAACTGGGCGCGCGTATTCTCCTGGTCGATGGCGGTTGGAAAATTAAAGGTTCGTCTAAATTCTCCAGTCGACCGCTCGCACACCCACCACGAGCCTTCACTAGAGCAAGACTCGCGCGAATTATGACCTTTCACATTGACATGATGTGAATCTTCGAATTCTATATCAATATCACTAGGCTGAACTCCAGGGAGTTCTCCCTCAAGGTAATACGCATCGTCTGTTTCGCGCATGTCAAAGGATGGAGAGTATGCCCAAACTCGGGATCCGGAGCGATTTGTCAATAAGCGGTCATAGTCGTCAAGAAGTTTGCCCACACCAGTGCGGGATCCTTTCGGCAGAGAGGGGACCAACGACACATTTCTGCAATTGTAGGCACGAACAAGAGCGTCAAGTGGCTTTCGCCGGACGCACTGTGTGGAGCTGATGGTAGGCAAACAGAAACGTGAAATACACTTGACGTCTCTCGACGACATTGTTAGGATAAATCGAAAGGATTAGTTGCATAGCAACTGCAGCAAAGCACGTCGTTATATACCGTGTTACTTGCAGGCCATGATGTAATATGTAATGTATCGAGCGATAACGGTTGGCGACGTCCACGTTGTGGCGAGCTTGATCGTAAGGATCGGTCCATATTCCTGGAATACCTTTGCCAATTCATGTGATTAAAATCCCAAAAAATCCCTGGAACGACATCATCCGCAGCCTGGACCAGCCTAGGCATTTATACGCTAACCCGCTCGGATGGCGGCACCATAACAGATGACGTATACACCTTCCGAATGCTACGTCAATCGTTGGGTCATCACATGTAAATGCATTTAGAAGTGTAATATTAGTGGTAGCCCGAAGTATGTTGTGTATAAATCAGTACCGGCTAACTAGGTACGAATTTGTTGGCTAGATGGTTAAATCAGCTTACTGGACGATGTGCCGGCCACCACAAGTACACCCGCGTATATGTATTTCGCAAGACTTACCCTACTGTGACTCTCGAAACGTAAAGCTTCTCCTCGTAACCATCTAACAAGTAACAGAAACGGAAGATGTCCTTGGCTCAGCATGTTACCCAAGCAGAAGGCTTCGACTTCGAAGGCTCTAACAGCTCTAATCCATATTCGACCAATGAAGGCATATGTGAAAGCGCAACGCCTGGCTTCCAGACGTCTGCAAGCAATGGGGATCAAGAGTGGCGCTTCATGGATTTCGCTCCAGCTGATTCAACTTCCGAAGAACCTCATATCGCTGCATACAAAGTACCATTTGCAAAACGATGCGGTATGTTCCAGAAAGTATACTGTTATTTAAGGTAGCACTAACCATATTGATCTAGCTCAAGTGGCAACTGGAGCGGTAGCGTGCTGGCTATCCGCCGGTATCGTGTTTGGCTTTGCTGCTTTGAAGCCCGTGCTGATCGCTGAAGGAATATATAGCGGTCTCTGTGAGTCGAACGTGACAGTCGGCGTCGGCAACGATCAAACAGGCCGCGGAGCAATCTGCGCAGAACAAGATCTACGCTTAAATCTTTTCTTCATTGTCGCTTCTGTGACCACTAATGTTTCGTCTCTGCTGGCTGGCTGGGCTCTAGATCGGTACGGCCGACGCGCCTGTTGGGTTTCAGCCTGCTTGTCTCTGATAGTTGGCTCTCTGTTAATGAGCGGTTCGTTTGCACTTCGCGGATTAGATGGATATCTTCTTGGGAATGTATTCCTTGCGCTAGGGGGGCTTTCGTCTTTGTCCCCAGCTTCCAGCTCGCGCATGCGTTCCCAAAGCACTCGGGCGCTATAGTTGCTATGGTCACCGGCGCTTTCGATGCATCCGCTGCTATATTTCTTCTCTATAGCTTGGTCTACGACGCCACTGACGGGAACTTTACTATCAGGAAGTTTTTCCTAAGTTATACAATTGTTCCCGCTCTTATTCTTACCGCTGAGTTTATCTACATGCCACCGCACTCCTATCACACCATCACCGAGTTGGAGTGTAAAATTGATAAAGCCAAGGACGATAGCCGTGATGTCCACGAATCCGACGAAGACATACACGTCGCTGATGACTTGTTCAGGGTACGCAGCGCCCGCGCAGATTACCGCAAGGCTACCCTACATGAAATTGAGAATATTGCTGGTGATGCTCACCAAAGGGAAGAACGGATGAAAACACTTCAGGAACGACAGAGGGTTAGTGGCGTATGGGGTGTTTTACACGGTGCACCAGCCCGTAAACAAATGCTCAGTTTCTGGTTCATTCTCATTTTATTGCTCACTGCCCTTCTAATGTTGCGTATGAACTACTTCATCGCCACTATACGAGCACAGTACCTATACATGTTGGGCTCCGAAGATGTCTCGGCGTCCATAAATCGCCTGTTTGACATTGCTTTGCCCATCGGAGGTATTGCCTCAACCCCGGTTATTGGGGTTTTGCTCAACTCCCTAAGTGTGGCAGTGTTATTTTGCCTTCTAACGGTCTTGATTGTTGTCATTGGCGTTTTCAACTGTCTGCCCTACCTCTGGTCAGCCTACGTTACCGTTGTCATGTTCGTGATTTTCAGGCCTTTGTATTATTCTTCTGTCTCGTAAGTTCTCTGTTCCATGCCCTAGCTTGCCTTCTAACGCACGTGCAGTGACTATGTTACCAAAGTTTTCGGTTTCGCTTCATTCGGGAGAATCTATGGAACTGTGGTGTGTGTTTCAGGAATATTCTGCCTTATCCAGTCAGAGCTGGACGCCGTTACCCGGTTCGCTCTTGACGGCAACCCGATTCCTATCACCATTGCACTTACTGCTGCAGGAGCATTCTTCAGTGCTACATTGGCAGTGTTTGTGGCGGTTAAGGGCCGAAAATTTGTTGCTGGAGTGGAAGCAGGACCGGGTGATCATGATGAGCGAGAACGGTGTCTGCCAGCGGCTGGAGCGGGATATGGGACTATCTAACTATAGTCCTGAAGATGCATCCATCTGGTCAAGTTCGCTCAGGGTTGACTCATGCTCAGAATATTTCCTGGCTCAATGCAGCAAGCCAATGTAGGCAGCTTGCAGCAGTAGTCATTGCTACTACTTTTTCTGGGCATCTAGTCAAGATTTTTTGATTTCTTTCCGCTGCATTTTTAGCTAAAGGTTTTAGCTGTATATTTCGTAGGTCAAATGTAGGTATAGACTTCAATGAAATAGTAGAGACGCGGTCACGACAGTGAAATACATGTCAGTTCACAGTTCACAGTTCACCTGCCTACCGAATTGAGGAAAGTTGTTCTATATAAGGAACGAGAAGCAAATGTCGCACGGCCGCGCATCATTCTCCAACCGTTGCCACAAGCGACCGGCTTCGCGGCGGCCTGAGGCAACGACACAAGTTCACGCGGTAGTCTCAGACACAGCGGCATCGCCCCTGCTTGCTTTGCCCACGGCCAGTTTTGTGAATTATAACTTGTCAGCGGAGCGGGCTGACATTCGGGTGAGCTCCGTGACGAAGGACTGGCTCCAAAATGCACTGGAAATGAGGTTAGCTGCCACCTCATAGCTTGGACCAGATCAACGCTCATACCGGGTGTATTTGAAAACGTATTTGTCGAGCTTGGCGAACGTAAAGGCGCGCTCCCATCATCCATGGTGACAGCTTCTCTATATGCACTCGCCAGCTCGTCCGAGCTCCAAGGTTTAAATATTATGCTGCCATTCAGACTCTGTGCAGCACCTGCAAACTCAGACAGACACAAAGCACCATGACGTTTCTGCTGAGACGCGATGTCCTCATAAGCCACCATTTTCATCCCGTCACGCGTGGAAGACACGAATGCAATCATTGGATACGGCGTAATGAGCTCATCAATATTAACTGATTTGTGAAGGAAGTCGATATGCGTATATTCAACGGTGCCAAACTTGCCGTTAACGCGGCCAACTAATGTGTCAAGTCGCATTCTGTGTCTGGTATCGATTTCTGATGTGAAAACAGAACCAGATGCTGGAAGCGATGAGGCTCTTCGACTCCTTGGTAACAGCGACTGCTTTAAGAATAAGCCTATCCTCCTTGTCCTAGACAAACTGGACTTGTATGGAGTTCCCCCACTGGGTTTAAGCTCGGCCGGATGGAACGGATTCCTGTCATTACTGCAACTGACCTGCGTATTGCAAGCAATCTTTGGGAGCCTTTTCATGACTGTTTGCTTCGGCATGAATGCATCAAGGTCATGTGCAAACTCCCTTGGGCTTTGTCTCTGCCTGGTATTAGTATCAAATAGCTCGAAAAAAGTCCGAAGACAGTGTTGCCATGATCCCACAGATGTCCATGGGGACACGCGGACTACATTCAAGTACAATGCCAGCAGAATCCTTAAACAAATGAGTCATATTCGATACTGTACATCATGCCAGTTATGAGCAGCAATGCTTTCCTTTGGCAATGATGTAGATATAATTTCTTCCAGTAAGTTGTCACCGGGACTAAGGCACCGAATGGTAGACTTTATCAACCACTTGTGAAAGAACCTGGCAAAAGAAACTTACGTATCCTGTCGTGCAACAGGCATTGAATATCGTCAAATGGGAGGGATAAGAATAATCCCACTAATGCCCGAAATCACATATAAACAGTACGAAAATTGCCAAACAATTATTTAGTCTAGAATGTGCTGTGTACAATTCTGGGATATGTAAGATATATGTGTAGAGTACTTAAAAGAAAATATTCGACAACCAAACAACCCAACCAAGTCGCCCAAATCACTTTCTGAACAGTGCGATATTCTCATTGAAAACATTCAAGTTATCAGCCTGGTTGGCAACGCTAGTGCCGTCAATATCAACCATACTGGCCGATCCTACTGTGTTGAGATTATAGATGGAGACCGAAGATGACCCCTCAAGACTAAAGATTGAGTTCTGGCAGCTTCTTCCGGAGTCTTGAGCCGAGCATGCTAGAAAATGTCAGTTTTAACATAGGTTGGATGGTATCGGACTGAGTTGCTTACAGGCATCATTGTTATCGAAGAAAGAGTACAATCCCGCCCCATAGATGAAGATACCTGTTGAATCTAGAACACGCAGACCCCAGCCCTCAGCGCAGTACTTGCCTTTGCCAGCGCAGGAGGTCGTAAAGTTGGGATCATGGATAGATGAGACGACCGGGAATGGAGCTGTGGCGAGAGGGTTTGGTTGGTAGTATCTGGGAAATATTAGTAAAAGGACTCGGTCATTTAACGGAAATGCAATACTCACGCTGACTCTGTTTGTATCTGCCCCATGTAAATGTTCTTGGTTGAAGCGAGTTGATATTGGTACAACACGTTGTGTTCCACCGAGGTGCCCGAGCTGGATGTTCAGTTAGTTCATCTTGATATTTTCTTCGGACCTCAACGCGGGACTTACAGCCAAATATTTCCCTGGGTACTCTCAATATTCATGCCACGACCGCTATAGATGGTGATCTGACCATTTCCATCAAGGTCACTAATTCATGTAGGTTAGCAGGAATCCTAAGACGGGAAATAGAGGGAACATACTGATCCGCAACCCAGAGCCAATTGTTTTCCATATACAAACCAGTTGCAGATGATGTGATGTGCATGAGCATGAAGGCAGCAATGCAGTTTGCGTTCGGCGTCGAAGTAGGTGTGCCTGGCGTCGCAATACACTGTGCAGCCTGGAGCTGGGAGCCTGCGAAACCTCCAACCCTTGCGTGTACATCCCACATCCCAGAGGGGCTACCAGAGGGAGAAGCAAGATTCCACTCAATGAGAACAGCGCCCGCCTGTGCACCTTGTGTGCTAACAATCATGTCCGACCATTCAACCTGACCACTGTCACCGGAAGCGCCAACTCGAACAACAGGCTGGGGACTACCCATGTTGTTGAAGAAACTGCCACTAGACATGATCACGGGGTAGGCTTCGCCAACGATTTTGGAGCCTGCCGGAATCTTGAGAGTGCTGGTCACAAGATACGTACCAGCATCGAAGTAAACTATCTTTCCAGAGGATGCAGCATCATTGATAACCTTTTGTAAAGCGGCTGTGTCGTCTGTCTTTCCGTCACCCTTGGCACCACCACTTCGAGTGCTGCTGAAAGAGGATACGCTCACGGTGCTGTATTGAGGCTTGGAGCGTTCATAGAACTGCTGTCCCTGTAGGAGGGATGCCGGGCGAGAGTTTGGCGCGAAGGTACCCTGGAAGGTCTGAGGGCCATTGGGGGTGTAGCTGTGGCCTTGTCCCCAAGCATCGATATGGACGTTTCCACCAGCGAGAACAGTTGTCTGGCTGGGGCCTTGAACAATTACAGGGACATTTTGAACGGAGACGTTTTCAAGAACAACACTACCAGCCGTTGGAGGCTTGGAGGTGGAGTCTCGGGCAGTAAGGATACCCACTGGGGTATTAGTGATGAAGCTGTCCAACAAGGTAAGGGAGCTGACACTCTGCTGGTCATGGCCTCCTGAGGTAATATCGATGCCGACCTGACAGTTGTTGATATTGATGTTTTTATAAGTCCATCCCCAGTCCCAGTAGTGGCTGATAGCGGTGATTGCATTGTTGAACGTCAAATTCCTCATGGTGAATTGCTGGTTGCCTAGTGCTGCACCGATGTTTCCGCCGTTGAAAACAAGATCACCCATATATCCGGCAGAGCCTTTGAACTATTAGTCGCAGATCACCGTTTACTGTCAGAGGGATCGCAACTAACCGCTTTCACAGAAGACACCCTGGTGTTTCGTGCCGGAGGCTGAGCTCATTTGAAATACCATGTTCTGAAGACTGGTTGCCTGTGCGGTTGGCCAGTGGATGCCACTCACGGTGTTACCTGTGGGAATATTGCGGAGATCCAGAACAAGATTCCTGATTTGTCGGAAGAATACGACGGTAGATCCCCAATTAAGTTCCGAAGTGAAATAAGGGTCGGCGTCGATGAGGTATCCGCCCTGGAATCCTGATGTTGCTTTGATCACAGGCATGTTTCTGGGATCTCCAATGATTTGCGTGTAATAGTAGTCGAAGATCGGATACGAAATCATATAGGTACCGGCAGGGAAGTAAACCAGTGCTGGAGTTGTTGTATCTGAACCACATCCCTGTCCACATCGGCTGCCGCTGCTAATTGCTGCGTTGATTGCTGCAGTATCATCGGTAACACCGTCACCTAGAATCCATGTCAATATATAGATCTCGCTATATTTTGATCAAGAAAGCAAGTTACCTTTCGCACCAAAGTCTTTGACGTTGCGAAAGACTTGATATCCAGAAGCTCCAAAGGCAGAAACACCTTGGTGGCTAATTGATTCCAACCAAAACGTTGAACCATCGGCGAGCAATGCGTTTTCTTGCGTGAATTTTGCCTTAGCCGGGGGCTTCTTTTGAGGGCCGGTGTATGCTCCATAGTTCCCATAGTCTTTGAGCGCCGCAGAGACAGCGGCATCGACGGACGGAATATCTATCTGGGCAGCACTTGCATTAAGTACCAAAGGCAAGATAGCCAATATATTGAAGCGAACCATTTTTGCCTTGGTGAGTTGGTTGAAGTGAAGGATGAATCTGAGAGACCACGGCGCTCAATCCTATTTATATGCGTGGATATATCATGAGAAAGATACCAATTTCTGTTAGGAACTAGTATCAAAATTATCATGAACACCATCATCACCGTAGAATTGATTTTTGGGCTAGACTAGGCAAGAAGAAACTTGGAACCCAACTTCCCCTCAAAATTAGCTGCATGTGGCGCTACGTTAAGCCGGTGCAAGATCCATCCGAGCAATATACATGGCAAGCTGGACCCGAGACTCCGCAGAATCGATTCTGACAGCCGGAAAAGATGTGGAGCTAATGCAAGTGATCCGTGAAGGAAGTTTATCCCATTGTAACCCTCGTTTTCCCGGAAGTCAGCTCTTCGAGTTCAAACAAGCAGATGTTTGGAGAATTTGGGATTTGGTCTCAATTGAGCTTCGAATAGAATCCGAAATTCCGCGTCTTAACGTCCGGACGTTTCCATTGGACTGGGATTCTAGCGTAGTATCATACCTAATTTCAGTGTAAGGGGAACTAATGTAAAGGAAACAACCGGTGAGGAGCAATCAAATAGCCGGAACATGGTTACGGCTTTTGGCAATAATTGGGTAGCACAAGTAAAGATTGCGAAGCTCGTAGTAGAGTGTATTTTAGACAAACGAAGACTTCTAAATGACCTAGGGGTACTCTCCTCTATCCTTACATGTAATTGTCAAAATATTTCATTGCCTATGTTCAGGACAGGTCGCAATTCCCTACCACGATAACCTCCGCCTCAATTGATAGCAATGACTTATACCTATCTTCTCCTGGTTGTTTTCCTTCTTCCTGAAGCAAACGGCCTTGCTGCAAAGAGAGGCATTGCGTACAACAACAATAACCCTTCCGGAAACGCCGTGTATGCCAACCTTTTTAAGGGACACACGAAGGTGTCATGGGCCTATGACTGGGGATATCCATCCTGGAACCTGGACTCATCATTCGAATTGTGAGTTGAACCCCATCAAGTGAAAAGCTATGTTTAATTGACCCATTCATCAGTGTTCCTATGTTGTGGGGACTGCCCAGCGGTGCCGATCCAGACTGGACGGCTGCTGTGCAAACTCCTGGAACAGTTAACATCCTTGGATTCAACGAGCCTGATTTGACTTATGATGCTTCATCCAATATCATTCCCGAGAAGGCCGCTGCTGGGTATCTCACGTACATGCAGCCCTTTGCCGGAACCGTGCGAATTGGATCTCCCAGTGTGCTGTGGAATAATGTTGGCTCATCGTCTGGCGGCTCTTATAATACCGCTACATGGACTGACTACTTCTTGGGAAATTGCACCGGTTGTCACTTGGACTTTGCAGCTATTCATTATTACCAGGATTGTGTTACTCCCGATGGTCAGAACGGTGCTGTCTGGTTCGAAGGTAATGTGACAAACGCGCATGACGTTTTGGGTCTCCCGATTTGGATTACGGAGTTTGAGTGCTATGGAAGCGAGGAGCAGCAGATCGCGTTTTTGGAGCAGGCTCTTCCTTGGTTGGACTCGCAGGGCTACGTTGAGAGGTATGCGTATTTCGGTGCCTTCCCTCAATATCTCATCAATGCGGATGGAACTGCACTGTCGGATTTGGGGAGCACCTACGCAACTATCTGAGTCTTCTATCATGTTACATATGACTAGGAGGCAAAGTAGACATCTACTAGGGAGTGTCAGATTGAATTGAATTACATTCAGAATGGGCAGCTCAGCGTTGACTTTGACCAAGTCTTTACACAATGGTTAGCTGAAACCAGCGGGATATACCAATGTCATTAACCAGTAACTATGCTAGTATTCTGGGGTATCCTGTTTGTTTATTTCATGCTGTCACTAAAGTGTAGTCTACAGTCCTAGATTCTTCTCTGAAAACCGTGCGTATGGCCCGGCAATTGTGGCAACGGACCCCCCCCCCCCCTCTTCTACTATAGACCCTTTAATCTCGGCGAAAATACTGCAGGCTGACCCCGCAAAGTATGCAAGTTTAATATAACTATTCAATCTACTGCCGTATTCATGCGGGGTTTTTTAGCACTATACTAGTCTTGGCAAGGGTTCTCGCACCGTGTGCTACTCAACGTAACCAGGCAGGAATCTCAACTAATGCCCGAGCCTGTACAATGAGCAATCTCCTGAGACTTGCCCCCTGAATTCTATGTATCATGCGGAGTCTCGGAGATAGTAACTAGGTCTCGCTTCACCGTGTGCATACTTTCTTGTACGCCGAAGCCTAGAGAGACCCTGACCTAGATTTGTGCTAACGGGGCGAACGACTCACAGCCAAGAATACTGAGAATAAAAGGAGTTCAGCTTGCCACGATAAGAGAGGATCATCCGAAGTTTATGTGAAGGAAAGAGACCCACCAGAGCAATGATGAAAATGCCAGCTTGTATGAGCTATATTCCCTCCTTGCTGATATATCTCAGTCCCGCACTTGCATTCTTCAAGGTGCCATGCAGTACACCTCTGGTAATTGAGAGAGCGGATCCACTCATCTCACCTGGGGTAGCCTCCAATCATGTTCACACCATCATGGGTGGATCCGGCTTTGGGTTTACCATGAACTATGAAATGACCCAGAAATCGCAGTGCAACTCTTGCTCTGCAATTGAGGACAAATCCAACTACTGGGTCGCTGCCCTCTACTACCATGCTCAGAATGGAAGTTTCATCCAAGTTCCACAGAACGGTGGAGCTCTGATATACTACGAGTAAGGGTTCCTAGGTCATCGTTAGTCAAATAGCCATAGTCACTCACACTTGCAAATATAGGCAACGCCCTGATCCAACTACGGACGGGAAAATTGTGGCACCGCCAGCCGGATTTCGCATGATTGCAGGCAGCCCATTCGACCGCCAGTACAAGGACACCATCGAAGCCGATGCGAGAAGTTTCGCCTGTCTCAACTATGACGGTCCAGCGACCCCCAAACAAACGGCTTTCCAACGACCAACTGCCCCAACGGCCTTCGCGCTCAGGTCTACTTCCCATCCTGCTGGGATGGAGTGAATTTGGACAGCCCGGACCACAAGTCTCATGTGGCTTATCCTAACCAAACATATGACAATGGCCCATGTCCAGCGTCGCACCCAGTGCGCATTGTCTCTATTTTCTACGAAATTACATGGCATACCGAGCACTTTGCAGACATGTGGTATGGCAACAGCCAACCGTTTGTCTTTTCTTTCGGTGACCCCACGGGATACGGGCTACATGGCGACTTTGTCAACGGGTGGGATATTTCAGTCCTCCAAGAAGCTATTGACACGTGCAATGATAGCGGTGGAGATATCACTGAATGCTCGCCAATTCATCTCTATCCGGACACTGTCGCGGATGGATGTCTGCTGGAACCATCGATCGATGAAGAGGTTGGTGGATGGCTGACTGCTCTACCGGGCTGCAATCCCATCCAACCAGGTCCCAATGACGCGACAGTCAGGACTGGCTGTGGAGCGCCCACACAAATTGGCTCCCCGCAGCATTACTATACCGATGTTATCGGTGAGCTGGGCTGGGAATGGATTGGCTGCGCGGTCGACAATGCAGGGGGCGTAAGGATCCTTAGTGGCTCCAGCTCGGCGGGCGCCGACATGACGGTCGAAAAGTGCATTTCGAATTGCAAAGCTGCAGGGTATACAATTGCCGGCCTTGAGAACTCTCGGGAGTGCTACTGTGGCAATAGCATTGACCCTGCCAAGAAGCCTTCTGTCACGCCTATGGGAAATTGTCTTTATCCCTGCAGCGGCAACCCTAGTCAAAACTGCGGGGGTTATGGCTTTATCGGACTTTACCAGCAATGCACGGGCAACTGTCAGAATTTGCAATACCCCGTGGTTCCTCACTAGGGGGCTGCATATGTGGCCATTTCCGGGAGAGGAGTATAGGGGAAGAATAGTAGCCAGATGTAGTCAGTGTCGCGGAATTGACGCTTTTTTGGTTGGTTTTCTCAAAGGCATAAGCTCTTAGACCCTTATTTCTCAGATAGAGTGGTTTATTTCCTGTTTCGAGGATGGGCTTACCCACTAGCCCCGGGTAATAATCAAAATCGGGGCCGAATTCCGCCCTTGTGCTCGCTTTATATTTCCCGAACCCGGCTCTAACAATCACTACATTTACCCTGCTTTCTTAATTAGTACAAAGTGGAGTACCTTCATAAAGCAAGAGACTATACACGCACTAGTTTCCATCCTATGTCTTCTATGCACAGACCTTTGCAATAGTCAATCATTGCTCTACATAGCTAAGCAATGTCTTGGAAAGATTATACAACTCTGATTGGATATTGGTAGAGTCAACCTAATCAGGAGGTCCGGAGCACCAAGCTCTGATCAAGGTCCACATCCGTAAACCACTGATTTGCAATAAGCAGACTGCCATCTCAGGCACTATCAACCAGCCTAAACTTCAGCTGGGGTCCGTTTTTCAGAGACCTCACCGAATGCTTCTTCTCCATCAAAGATCAACGCAACTTCTTCCAAACTGTGCCCCTTGGTTTCGGGGAATCCAAAGTAGACAAGAGCAATTTCAACAGCAATCACACAGCAGTAAACGATGTAGTATTTCCAGCTGATTGCATCCATCGCCACCGGGTTGGCATATCCATTGAACAGAATAACACACGTCGATGCGATCTGCATGATGTTTGTGCCCTTGGCACGGAGGTGGGTGGGAAGGACTTCGGTAACATAGACCCATGGTGGCCCATTGAGACCAGCGTTGTAGAAGAGCTGGTACATGAAAATCATAACGATGACTCCGGTACCAAGAGAGGTATCGTGGAAGCCCCTCTGTTCGTTTATGGCAGAGAGGATTGTCCAGATCACATAACAGCATAACATGCCTATTGTCGAGAATAGGAACAGGCGTCGCCGACCAACAATTTCCATGAATGAAGCTAGGATGATGGAAACTCCCAAGTTGAAAACTGTCAGGCCACCATTAATACGGAGTTGCTGTGGGTCCGAGGTGAAGCCGATCGAGTTCAAAATGAGATGAAGGTAGTAGGCGATGAGGCCATTACCGGAAAGCTGCATCATGCACGGTACTGCGATGATGATAAACAGGCGGTGCATGTTACCTCGAGTGCCAAGGAACTCGCGATATCCGGTTGACGACACACTTTTGGCGGTCTGGATCTGCAAGATGATTTCCTTCATCTCAAAGTCGACAAGCGAAGAGTTCTCATCTCCGCCGGCGTGGTACTTGGTGAGTACCTTTCGGGCTTCATCATATCGGTCTTTCTGCACAAGATACCGGGGCGATTCTGGAAGCATATAGACGAAAATCACTTGCACCAAGGGAAAAAGTCCTTGCAGCAGCGAGGGAATGCGCCAGGCCCAAGAAGCATCGGGTCCCATGAAATAGGTTCCATATGTGACCCATGCAGCAAGCAAGGCCCCGAGATACCACAAGTTGTTATAATAACCAACTAGAACAGACCGGTGGGGCGGATATGCCAGTTCGCTGACCAACATCGGGGATGCTTCAACTGCAATCAGGCCTCCGAAGCCGATAACCATGCGGGAGGCCAAGAACATGGCATAGTTCTGGGCGGCACACTGAAGAACAGCACCAACGACCAGGAGAGCCGATCCGATGAAAATCGGGAAGCGGCGACCTGTGTGATCACATAGCCAAGGAGCAATGGGAAAAGCGAGAATCTGACCAAAGATGACACCGTTGGAAAGTGAGCCCAAACGGGTTCCGGTCGGCGAGCCGAAGAAGTGCTGCCACTGACTCATTGACTGAAGGCCATTGAGCATAGATCCATCATAGCCGTTGGTAGTCGAGGATAGGTAGGGAATAATCATCCCGAGATTGAGAAGCAGAAGATGCCGCTGCTTATACCAGGGCGTGCCGGTATCGGGTAGAACGCTTGCAAGGCTCCACTCTCCAGGGTTGTTGTGAACATCATGAACCTCGGCGGTTGTCCTGTTGTCTTTGTCGCTCATCCTGACTCGTTCCTATTCTGATGGCTATCTTGGTTGTCAGATGCGTCAGACAGAAAGCTGATTTGAAGGCCGCTGAAGTCTGGAATTGTCGTGGTCAAGTCCCTGATATATTATTTTTCCATCAGAGACCTCCGTGATTCCGCAATGAAGCCTTGACGAGGCGTGGAAGCTCCAGCCCGAATGGTCCTTCATTTTCCACTGCCGAAAGGGGGGAGGAAAGCCAAATCTCACGCAGTGTGGCGTATTTGCACAGGCCGGCTAACCGCTTCGGATCGAACATGTCAGACTTAGCCTCATCTCCCAAGCGAGAGAACCCCCGCAGTGGTATCCCCAGAGTCTGTAGTCCGGGGAAGGGACAAAGCGCACCATGGCGAATCGAATGTCCCCATGTTGACGAGCGAAAAACTCAGTTGCGCACTACAACCGAAACAGCGTAGGAAAACCCCTGGGTTTCCGAAACTCCGCGGACTACTTAATTCAGTTCGTGAACTCTTCTCTAGGCCTCAATCTGCCAGTCAAGAGACTGCCCTTCAACCCTGATGGGGACGGTTTATTTGTCCAAGAACCAATCGGAGTCCCCTTCCGAAGGAGAATCTCCTCCTGGCAAGGCGAGTCAAAAGAGAAAACATCCTCGTGCTGCCGGGACGTATCCGCGAAAACGAGCTACACAGGCATGTCATACATGTCGTCTTCGACGAACTAAATGCGACAATACCCGACCCGCGTGCGCATCGTGTGTCCGTCTTGGGGCGGAATGTAGCTATCAGCAGATAGATCCTTCGACGTGAGTGTCTCGAAAAAGCGTGCAGAGATTCCGACCTGACCGAGACCACAGATTTGATTCCGCGAGTCTAGCGATTTTGAAGCGCATAGATGATCTAGAATCTCTGATCCAATCCAAATCCAATGAACTACCGGTGGCTCCGTCTAACAGCATTTCTTCCACGTCGCCTATCTCTTTCAGCATCGGATCGTCCGTCATAGACCAGCAAACTGAGTGGAAACCATCTTTTATTAATATAGAGGAGGTTTTGAAATGGCCTGTGTTCGACAACCAAATTGACCTGCGAATTTGTTTGCTATCTCGGCCTGACGAAGACAAAGCTCAGCCGGAACTACCAATATCTGTTGATCTCGATCTTCAAGCGGCTGATAGCCTTATTCGAAGATTTTTCGACGATGTGCACATCTTCAATCCAACTCTAAAAGAGGAAGATGTAAGAGAATACGTCAAGATGGTTAGGTACAATGGTATCGGCTGGGATGCCACATCTTGTCTTCTAGTAAGCTCCCTTCGGCTTGTCGAAAGTTCGGTCCCACATTTAGCTTACTGAACAAAAGCTTCTTTTATATGCCCATGGCTCGATTGTAAGTCCATTTGTCAAAAATGAGCCGGGTGTGTCCTCCTGTTCTTTTCGTCAGTCGAAGGGGTTCCTACAGGCTGAGGCGTACTTCCTCGCTGCACAAAAGCGAATGGGCATGCTCCTTTGCAGAAATGGCGCGATAGAAGCGCAGTGCTTTTTCTTGGCCGGTGTCTATCTAATGGCAACATTGCGACCGGTCGGTGCCTGGAGGATGTTTGTACAGGCATTAGCCTGCTGCCAGGGGTTTTCCACCCAAAGCACAAACGACAGCCGCTACGAAGATGAATGGAACACTAAGCAGAGAATTTACTGGACTTGCTTCAAGTCTGAGTTGTAAGTTATCTCGCTGCGGACCGGTTGATCTGACCTTTTAACTTTGCCAATAGAGAACTTCGACTGGAGCTAAACCTTCAAAAGAACGTCTTGGATCTCAGCTACCCAACATTCTTTCCTTCACCACCCGACGGGCTGAAAATTAAAGACGAGGCAGCATGGTACTTCTACCTGGCTGAGATTGCCTTGCGCAGATTGGAAAATCGCATCTTGGGATACCTCTATCGACCCGACACGGCAATCTCAGAATCGACCATGGTATATGCAATCCTTGATTTTGAGGAGCAGAAAGATGCATGGTACGCACAAATCCTCGACAAGAAAGGAAATGTCAAGATTTGCTAATGCCTTGGAACTGCCAGGTTCCGCTCTCTGCCTGAAGCCTTAGCTCTCGATGCTGAAACTCCAACAAACACAGACCAATACGAGCCTTTTCGATTTATCCTCCGTGGACACTTCCTGGACTGTCAAGAGACAATGTACTGGCACTTTCTAGTGGAGGCAATCTATGGCCGTGTTCATGCAAGCAGTGATGCTTTTCTTCGGAAGGGGCTGAAGGTCTGCGTGGACAGAATCCAGCAGAATCAGATAGGCTTCTACCACCGTCACCATGGAACATGGCTTATGCTCCGGTCGTGTACACGAAGCGCACTGGTTCTCCTTGCTGCTGAGCGGTGTACAAATCTTGTGCATCTGTTGCCTCTAGGCTGGGAAGAGACGATTTTTGATGTGGCTAAGATGCTGAAGTTTTGGAAGGACGAGTCGAGTGACGTACATGAGATGTTGGACATTTTGCAAACGCTCATGAATGCTAGAGCCTCGTAGTGCTATGAAACCAGCTAATTGTGGTATAAAGTCTTCACAACTCTATTTGAACCGGTAGCATGCTCAAAGCGTACGGAGCAGTTCCACAAGATGCGCAGCCTAGACCAGAGCTCATAGCTTTAGGCTAATCAGTACAATCGTTAAAGCACAGAGATGTCTCACATTGGCACTCAAATGTCTCGTGAGTGGCAAGCAAAACCATTTAGCCAAATGGAGTCTCCACTCAAGTGCCCAAGCCCGATACTCCGCGATGCACCCGCGGACGACCTTCGCGGCTTACTTGTGTTCCGGAGGTTTTCCGATTGCAAATTAGTTTCTTTATCGAATCCTACATAGGATCTCTACATGACCTGAGATTTCCTGTTTAACATAAGAATGAGTTCCGCTCGCAAAAAAATCCAATTGCTTTCGTGTTCGAAACACCTCTATACATTTTATCACTTCCGCCAAGATGTCAGACATTGACATTGAACATGCGCTCGAGGAACTTTCCCTAAACGAAAAAGTCTCCCTTCTATCAGGTGTGTGATTTTCACTTCTAGAGCATTGCACCGCTAACCTCAAGAGCAGGGGTCGATGGCTGGCACACAGCAGCAATCCCACGACTGGGGATCCCTCAAATTCGAATGTCAGATGGACCAAACGGTGTCCGAGGGACTCGGTTTTTTAATGGTGTTCCAGCGGCCTGTATTCCTTGTGCCACCGCACTAGGTGCTTCATTTGACACAGACCTTATATTTTCTCTTGGAAAGCTTCTCGGTGCCGAATGCAAGGCGAAGGGGGCACATGTCCTTTTGGGTCCCACTATAAATATCCAACGAGGGCCACTAGGGGGACGTGGTTTTGAGTCTTTCTCGGAGGATCCTGTCCTTTCTGGCTCCTTGGCGGCCAGTTACTGCTTGGGGGTCCAGACTGAGAATATCATTCCGACACCAAAGCACCTCGTCTGCAATGACCAGGAGCATGAACGAGTTGCTGTTAGCGCGCTTGTGACGGAGCGAGCATTGAGGGAGATCTATCTACTCCCTTTCCAACTAGCGATTATCGGTGCCAATCCTGGTGCTTTGATGACTTCATACAACAAGGTTAACGGATGCCATGCGAGTGAAAGCCCGGATTTGCTGCAAAATGTTGTTCGAAAGGAGTGGAACTATAAAGGTCTCATCATGAGCGATTGGTGTGTCACCGTCCGGACCTTATATTGCTTTCAACGCTGACCAAAACAGGTTTGGAACCTACAGCGTGTCTGAAGCCGTCAATGCCGGACTGGATCTTGAGATGCCTGGCCCAACTCGATTCCGGGGACCGGGTTTAGTCCATGCTATCACATCAAATAAAGTGTCCGAAAGGACTATCAATGACCGGGTCCGCTCGATGCTGGAGATGATAAAGCTAACGGCTAGCTCAAGAATTCCTGAGAACGCACTCGAAGTCCAACGTAATTTGCCTGAAGACCAGGCACTGCTTCGCCGAGCAGCTTCCGAATCCATTGTCTTGCTCAAGAACGATGGTCACATCCTTCCTCTTGACCCAGCTAAAAAGACTCTTGTGATCGGACCCAATGCCGATATTGCGGCATACTGTGGTGGAGGCTCTGCTGCTTTGCCAGGGTACTATACAGTCACTCCCTTGGAAGGAATATCTAGCAGCTGCACCGGAGGTGTTACTTTCACACAGGGAGTCTACGGTCACAAGGAATTGCCCCTCCTTGGCTCTCAGTTGAAGACCGAAGACGGTCGCACCGGGTATACATTCAGCGTGTTTACTGATCCCTCCACCAAAAAGGATAGAAATCCGGTCGACAAGTTACACATGACCAGTAGCTCTGCGTTTTTGATGGATTACAAGCACCCAGAGATCCACTCGGATCTTTATTACATTACAATGGAAGGTATCTTCGAACCGTCTGAAAGTGGAGTGTATGACTTCGGTCTTACGGTCGCCGGCACCGGAGAGCTCTTTATCGACGGAGAGTTGGTAGTTGACAACAAGACCACCCAGCGCCAGGGAACGTCATTCTTCGGTATTGGCACTCCAGAGGAGCGCGGCTCCAAATATCTTGAAGCAAACCATCAATACAAGATTCTTGTCGACTATGGTACTGCCCCAACTTCTAATCTGAAATTGCACGGAGTCGTTTCGTTTGGGCCTGGAGGAGTGAGAGTTGGAGGATGTCGACGCATTGATGCAGAGCGTTCTATCCAAGAGGCTGTTAGTCTGGCAAAGACGGCTGAGCAGGTCATAGTCTTTGTTGGACTGAGCGGGGAATGGGAAAGCGAAGGGTTCGACCGTCCACACATGGGACTTCCACCACGGTCCGATGAGCTGGTCGAAAAGGTCCTCGCTGTCCAGCCAAATGCTGTGGTAGTTGTGCAAAGCGGTACGCCTGTAAGCATGCCCTGGGCCCGGAATACCAAGGCACTACTTCATGCTTGGTATGGCGGAAATGAAACAGGCAATGGGATTGCGGACATTATCTTTGGAGATGTGAACCCGGTCAGTAATTAAAGCCTTGGGTCTTAAGTTCCTACTTACTGACTTCATCTTGCAGTCTGGAAAGTTACCTCTTACCTTCCCAGAGTTTATCGAACAGAACCCAACCTACTTGTCCTACCGCTCAGAGAGAGGACGAGTATTGTACGGCGAAGATATCTACGTCGGTTATCGGTATCACGAGAAGACCAAAGTTAAGCCCCTATTCCCCTTCGGGTACGGTCTTTCGTACACGAATTTCCGTCTGTCGGATATTTCTATCTCGCAACCTCTGGAAAGCCTGAACAAGATCAAGGAGGAAGTGCTGGAAGTTTCCGTTTCGGTAGAAAATACTGGACCATGCGGTGGCGCAGAAACTGCCCAGGTCTATATCTCACCTCCGTCGAACAGCAGCGTTGCACGCCCAATCAGAGAGCTCAAGGGGTTCAAGAAGATTAGACTGGAAAATGGGGAGAAACAAGAGATCTTAATCTCAATCCCACTTGCTCTTGCCACGAGTTTCTGGGATGAGAGTCACTCTGCATGGCTTAGCGAAGCTGGAAAGTATACAGTAATTGTGGTTGGCACTGGCGATCTGAACTCACTCTCGGGGACCTTCAATGTTACCCGTACAAGGAAGTGGAACGGTTTGTTTGGGCCTGGTGCGCACACTCCATCTCTGCATGTCAACGGTAATGGAAATTAGAATGATGGGAATAGATAAAGTAGATAGGAATTGGAAATTGTTCAATAAGTCACATTACTATGGATTTATGAATTGATCACTCGAATATGTTTATTGAAAGCCACATAAGTTGTTCATATCTAAACATTGAAACAGTTAAACATCAAATCCAACCTAAATAGTCTTAACTCCAGCATTTTGTAACAATAGCTTAAGCTCAGCCGTCAACTCAGGGCTAAGCAAAGCAAAAGGCTTACGCAAACCACCAGTAGGCTGCCCAATCAACTCACAACCAGTCTTAACAGCAGCAGCATAGTTGTGCGACTCCAAGAACTTGCAAATAGGCCAAGCCTTGGCCCAAATCTCGCGTCCACGCTTGAGATCCCCCTTAACAGAAACAGCATCCCAAAGCTCAACCGCTAACTCAGGGATAATGTTCGCAGCACCCCACACACCACCAGGCGCACCAGCAGCAAGCCCATAGAATGTCAATGTGTCCCAACCATTGAACGCAGTAATCTGATCTGAAAGACCAAATATAAGCTCCGTAAGCGCAGGCGCATTGCCGGAGGTATCCTTCAGATACTTCACGCCAACCTTAGAAAGCCCCGCAATCTCAGCAGGCGAAAGCGTCAAGCCACTGGCGGAGGGAATATTATAGAAGACAATTGGCAGCCCGGAGGAAGTGTAGATCTCATTGAGCATCTCGTGCAACTGCTCCAGGTTGACGGGGTCATAGAAGGGAGGGACGACCATTGTAGCAGCGGCGCCGGCTTTGGCGGCGTGTACGGAGAGCTCGACGGCTTCATCGGTCGAGGTGCTACCAGTGCCGGCAATGACAGGAACGCGGCCTGCGGCGAACTTTACGCACAGCTCTGTTAACTGCTTGCGCTCGGCTAGGCTTAGGGTTGTGAATTCGCCTGTGCTGCCCCCTGGTACGAGGCCGTGGCAACCTGCTTTGATCAGGTGCTCGATGTGTGATTGGAGGCGGACTTCGTCGATTTTGGTACGATCGTCTGTGAAGGGGGTGATAAGGGCTACCATGATGCCGCCGAGGGATGCCATTTTGGAAGTTGTGTAGAGGGGGTGTTTAGGAATGGAGTAGGTTATTTGTCTGGAGGTGGGAGGGGTATTTTGACAGAGGAATCTAGATGAAGATGTAGTGAGCTAGATATAGTTGGGATGTTGGAATCTCTTTCCATCTACGTTGGTTGTATACTCGGAGAGTAGGGTTTGGGCGGTCGGAATCACTTGCCTTTGGGGTCAACCCACCATTATCAATTTCACCCCACCTTCCTGTTCGTGCTGACAATGTAATCTTCTTCAAGCCTTGCCCTGATTGAACACCATGCGCTATATTTTCTACTCTGAGTTCAATAATTTGGGGTCAAATCCATACAACACGGGATCGACGCGACCAAATGGTCCTAAAGCGGCGGCCCCACAGCCCCACAGCCCCACAGTAGATATCTTCCTAGGTTAGTAGCTCTTTGTTTGATGGCTTTCCTTATAGGGCATTGTAAGTCACCTGTCATCACATGACCATTGCTAGCATCCATCAGTCTGTATGCAATGGCAGGAAAACAATTGCTATCCATAGCTTACTGCCTGTTACCGTGAAGAGCCAATCACTGCGCCTTGAGATATACTGAGCCTTTGTTTACTCAAGACAACAAAATTAGATAAATTGAACTGTGATCTTAATACATGATATAGGACTAGAAGTCCTTCCGTTGGCCAGGTAGCGCATCTGTCAATAGAGAGAATATCGCTTTCCATCCCATGTAGAGTTTCATATATGACATCTCGGCAATGTTCTCGTTCATTGCAACCTTGGAAGCTCCCTTCGATTTGGCAACAACAATGTGAAACTGTCAAGCATTCATTATAGCCTTTCCAACCTTGTCATTACTACCATCTTGGTTAACTAAGTCAGTGTATAAAAATGCCTTTATAAGGAAACACTTGCCTAGTTGGTCGGAGATCTGTCGGAAGGACATGCCAGAACGGGTATAGCCTGAACCAAATGATCTTATATCAAACACTTCGCGCCTTGAGATCAGTTTTCTGAGTAAAAATGGATCTCTTTGTCGATATTACCACTCCCAATGGGCGCAGCTACAAGCAGCCCACTGGACTCTTCATTAACAACCAAATTGTACCTGCAACGGGAGGACAAACCATCACCTCTCTTGATCCCGCGTATGTCATACCATGCAGCAACGATAACCCCTTACTAATCGACTCGCCAGCACCGACAAGCCTATTGCTACTGTGCAAGCTGCCAGTGCCGCAGATGTTAACCGCGCCGTGGAAGCAGCCAAAGCGGCCCTAGTTCACCCCTCATGGAAACAGCTCCCCGCTACAGAACGGGGTCAGCTCATGGGCCGATTGGCCGATCTTATGGAGGAAAACCGTGAATTGTTGGCTTCTATTGATGCATGGGATAATGGTATGCATTATATGGAATAACAGCCTGGTAATTTGCTAACTCCCACACAGGAAAGCCATACCACGTCGCTGTTGATGAAGACCTCACAGAGGCAATTACCACAATCCGCTACTACAGCGGCTGGGCCGATAAGACTTTTGGTCAAACCATCAACACAACTCCACAAAAGTTCGCCTACACAATCCGCCAGCCCATCGGGGTTGTCGGCCAGATCATCCCCTGGAACTACCCCTTGTCGATGGCAACCTGGAAGCTAGGCCCTGCTTTGGCTTGCGGAAACACAGTTGTTCTTAAACCTGCCGAGCAAACCCCCCTAAGCGCTCTGATTCTCGGTACCTTAATCAAGGAGGCTGGGTTCCCTCCAGGTGTGGTAAACATCGTCAACGGATACGGCCGCGAAGCCGGCGCATCATTGGCATCGCACCCACTGGTCGACAAGGTTGCATTCACGGGATCAACTGGGACTGCTCGGGAAATTATGAAGATGGCTGCTGGCACTCTTAAGAACATCACCCTCGAGACTGGCGGCAAGTCCCCTCTGCTCGTTTTCCCCGACGCAGACATGGATCAAGCAGTCAAGTGGTCGCACGCCGGTATCATGTCCAACAAGGGTGAGATTTGCACAGCCACATCGCGCATCTTCGTTCATCGTGATATCCTCGATACCTTCACTGCTGCCTACAAAGCCGCAGTTGAAAGCGTCAAGATCGGTGACCAGTGGGACGAGTCCGTCTTCCAAGGTCCCCAAGTCACACGTGCTCAGTATGACCGCATTCTGTCCTACTTCGAAATTGCCAAGAGCGAGGGCGCCACAATTCTCACCGGTGGTGCCTCCTATAAACCTATGGATGCAAAGAATGCGAATGGATACTTCGTCCAGCCCACCGTTATCGTCAATGCCACTGATTCGATGCGCATCGCCCAAGAAGAAGTCTTCGGCCCTGTTGTGGTCATCTTCCCCTTCGATGACGAGGAAGAAGCTATTCGCCGCGCTAACGATACCACTTATGGCCTCGGCGCATCTGTCTTCACCCGCGATCTGGAGCGAGCTCACCGCGTCGCTGCAGAGATTGAGTCTGGCATGGTGTGGATTAACAGTAGCCAGGACTGTGACCCGCGTATCCCATTTGGTGGTGTGAAGCAAAGTGGTATTGGACGGGAGTTGGGCGAGGCTGGTCTTGAAGCTTATAGCCAGGTCAAGGCTGTTCATGTGAACATGGGTACGAAATTATAAAACTGATGTGATTTATTATGTGGATAGCACGATAGAACGAGGCCATGTACCGGTGTTAATACCTGAGAACATACTGACCTGTGGATCTTAATTGAAAGACTGCGCTCTTTGGTAGCTGGTTTACCTTTGGCTTCACTGGCATGTTCTGGCTGCACATGAACGAAGGTCTCTGGTTTTCCTCACCTAAGAAGATTGCTTTGACCCTTCTGAACACTTTGGCAATTACTATTTGTATTATCCTGGTAAGAGCATTCCCTAAATTATTGAACTATACTGATCAGTTACTTCTAGTGTGCTCTTGGTTTTTATGCTTCTGGAATGTCTATTCATAATGACCCCAAAGGCACTAGCTTCTCGTGTACGAGTAGTAACACTTGAGTGCCGCCATTTTAGCCGCCAGATACAATTACCATTAGTTTATGAAGCTCGGAAATATTATTGACTGTTCCAACTTTTTCACTCATCAATGTGCTTGTACTTTGTACTGTCCACTCGTCACAATGCGAAACCTCTTAAATCTACCACAAGTAGTTCCCGGCAGATAAAATAACAGTATAGAACTCGAAGGAAGTAAAGCTAGCAAAAGAAATTGGATCTCCCGGCTTTTTCGGTCTTCGTGATGACGTACGCAATAGCTAATGAACAGACACAAGACACAGATCAGGTACACATAAACTAATACCGGTAAAAGTTGCGATTTCAAATATGAAAGGTACTTAGATGCTCAAAATATCCAAGTTCCCCTGTATCATCTGGGCGATGCCCCCACACTAACCCAAACAGGCAACTTCAACAGTCGGGTCGTAACTGGATGAGGGGAAACGTGCTACATTGTCCCGAAAGCAACGTTGCATTCCTGCCATCAGAGGGGTTTGGATACATATAAAAATGTGTCTATGGTTAGTATATCATGAAGAAAGATACATTTCCTATCGATTCATCAGCCCCAGGTCATGGCTTCCCAAGAACCCCAGATCAAGCTCATCGAGTTAACCGACGAAGAGCTTGCAACTCGAAATATCGGATCACACAACCTGCAGAAATGCCTGGAAGCCCTCCACCGCGACGGAATAGTCGTCCTCAAGAACGCAGTCAACCCATCCCATCTAGACAAGCTCAATGAGCGAATGGTCGACGAAGCAAAAACACTCTATGCACGCACAGAGACCCATAGAAATTTCGGCAAAGGAACAGGCAACATTCAACAAGAGCCCGTCTGCTCACCAGACTACATCTTCGAGGATATAATCGCAAACCCCTTCGCAACATCCGTAATCGAAAGCATGATCGGCCCACACCCAACAATGCGCTTTTACAGTGCCAACACGGCATTCAAAGCAACAGAGAGACAGCCAGTACATATCGATATTGACTTTGACATGCCACGCATGCCGTTCGCCTACTGTGTCAATGTCAATCTCGTCGAGACCTCGCCTGAGAATGGAGCGACGGAGGTGTGGCTGGGTAGTCATACTGACACAGATCAATCTGTGCTGGATCAAACCACTGAGAATAAGCAGATCAAGGCCGATGTTTTAGAGGAGCGGAGGCGGATCAGTCCTGGTATTCAGCCTAGGTTGCCGAAGGGTTCATTGATGATTCGGGATTTCAGGTTGTGGCATGCTGGGATGCCGAATCGGACTGATGATCCGAGAGTTATGCTTGTTTCTATTCAGTTTGCGAGCTGGTATCGGAGTGAGCTTAAGTTTGTGTTGCCGCGGAGTTTGGAGGGGAAGGTTGATTGGGGGCGTGTGGTGCCTGCCGTGCAGTGGGTTGATGATGATTACGATTATTTGCAGGGGGCGCATGATCATGACTTTTCTTTATTGCCATAGTATTTATCGAAATATACATGTGTCGGATCTCTACTCAAAATTGCTACTTGCTACAAATGCCTGTGGTTAGTTGGCTCTTTCCACATTGGTTGAATGCTCGCGAGCGGTCCTCTCTTCTTCAGTCCTCCTACCAGTGAGCCGCGAATCATTGTACTACTCGGCGGGTTCGCCAAGGACCCTCCCTGCCTCTCGTTGAACTCGCGTCTTTGCTAAATTTCATGGGTGGAATTCTTGGCGCCCCGTGTTCCCGATTAGGAAAGTGGTGCCATGCGGGACCTCGGAATCTTCATCTGATTAGATCTGATTATCAGTCCCAAACTCTTAAATCAACCTTGCATCCTTGCATCCTTGCATCCTTGCATCCTTGCATCCTTGCATCCTCGCATCTCTTTACTCCCTCAACTTCTAAACGCAGATTATATACCCCCTGGTCATGGCCGAGGATAGACACCTAGCTATTGCACACCCACAATGGGCCGACGTACATCTTGGCTTCCAGCCCCTACATTTTACTTCCTATCACTAACTATACCCCGAAGTTCCCAAACAACCTCCCACCAGATACCCGTCGGGTTCCCGTGAGGCGTCTCGGCTAAATAAGTTCGTCTGAGCAAAGGGAACTGGAAATATGATATATAAAGTGAATGTCCAAATGAATTTATATAGTAGAATCGAAGAAAAGAAGTGAAGAGAAAGTATAAAAGTAAATAAGGGTCAACCCAGAAGAAGATCTGCCAAGCCGCCATTCGAAAAGCCATCCCCGATTTTAGACTGAACGCTTATACGCTTATGTGTCATCCCCATTAAACGCACTGGTGGTAGTAAGGGTTCTGCTCGACGCAGGTGAAGCCGCTCTCGCAGGTAGTGGCGCCAGCGTAGTTGATGCCACCGCACTGGTAGTATTGCTTGACGACACCTCCGCTGGTAGAGGAACAAGCGGAAGAGACGGCGCTGGAGGTGGTCTGGGCGGCGGAGGTAACGCTGACAAGAGTGGTAGGGGCGGAGGTGGGTACGGGAACGTCAACGGGGATGGAAGTCATCGTGGTGGGAGCGGGAGCGGTGGTAGGGGGAGCGGAGGCGGACTCGACGGGGGTAGCAGAGCTGGAGATGACCTCGTTCTGGCTGTTGGGGGTGCTGGTGACCTCGATGGCAGCGGCGGTAGTGGTGGAGGTCTGGGCGGCGGTCTTGGTGGAGGAGGTGGAGGTGGAGGAGGAAGAAGAAGAAGAAGAAGAAGAAGAAGAAGCAGAAGCGGTAGAACCAGAGTCGGAGGATACGAAGTACTTCTCGAGGATGGGCAGGTAGGTCGAGTAAGCAGGGCCGTCAGAGGGCTCCAAGCTGTACATGTAGCTGTGCCACCAGGGACCAGCAGACCACCACTCGGCGCCCATCCAGACGTCGCTGTTCTCAGACATGTAGGAGAGCATTCCCTCGACAGCGGCCTCGCAGTCCTTGTTCACGCCACCGGCGAACTCGCCGATGAAGCCCTTCTTCTTGTTGGTCTGCAGCCACTCGGTGGCAGCCTGAATGCGCTCTTTTCCGATAGTGCTGCTGACGCAGGTCTCGGATGTACCGGAGCTGTCGGAGTCAAGGTACTGGTGCATCTCGTAAACGATCTTGTCTTGAGGGTCGGTGAGGCCGCTCAGGTTGTCGTTGTTGTTGGTCCACGACCAGGCGCCAGTCCAGGCGTTACCCTCGACGAAGATGTACTGGGTGGTGGCACCGGCAGCACGGATACCGTTGATGGCAGCCTGGTTCAGGTTCAGAACGAGGGTCTGGTCCATGTCGTGGTACTCGTTGTCTATACGAGAAGATCGTTAGTATATTCACCCAATCTGTAAAGAGTTATTGTTCTTACTGGTGTCGAAGATGACCTTCTCGTTGTCAGCAAACTCGGTAGCAACGGTCTTCCAGAAAGCCTTGAAGTTGTCGGTAGATGAAATGACACTGCCAGAGCTGGAAATTGAATGTCAGTATAACGTTATGGCATCTTTCAAGTCTGATACAACTCACTATCTTCCGTAGTTGTGGGGGTCAAGGACCGCATAGGCACCGCTGTCAGTGATGAACTTGACAGTCTATAGATCGTAGTTGTTAGGATTTCCCTTTGTCTCTTTGGCCAAACGGACCCGTCAAACGTGTACAACTTACAGTCTTCAAGGCGGCCAGGTAAGTCGAATCGGGAGTGCTGGTCATGCTGGAGGGGATAAGACGCTCCATCAAGAAAGGGACACGGAAGATGTTCATGCCGGCATCTCTCAGGATCTTGATCTGAGAGGTCTCGGGCCAGGTGTAGTCTGAGCCAAGGGTACCGGGGAGGTTACCCTGGCCGAACTCAGCACCAGACTCGCTCACGCCGACCCAGGTGAAGCCGGAGCTGCGCTTCTTGATACTTTGCTTTGCAGGAACAACATCCCGTGCACGGGGGTAGGCAGCGGCCAGGCTTGCGGCGCTGGCAGCCAGAACAAGGTTGGTGAACTTCATTTTGAATGTATAAGGGAATGACTGTCGAGTTTGACGAAAATGAATGTAAAATTGCGAAATAAAGAATGAATGTCAAGAAACCAGTCTTGAGGAACTTGGATGAACAGCAGACAAGAACCCGGAGGCCGTCTATTATATAGACCTGTGGTCCCATATGTGTGCTCGGCATTGTCAAACTGCGCTTACCGCAGACTAATAGGATCCCACGCATGAATGTGGGCTCACCGTTCGAGGCCTCCAATGCAGCCACTCAGATGGTCCTCGGCTTGGTGATGACCGGTATCCCGGTCGAGGCTAATCTTGAGCTCCATAGTGAATAACCCGAATAGAGGAAGGGTTTCTCCGCCGCCGGAGAAACAAGACGATGGTTCACATTGCCCAGGGGTCATAGGTCCCAGCACGAACGGCCAGAAGCGGTTTAGACTGGTGCATATGTCAATCTAGCTTAGGATAGACCCAGTATAACGGAAATTGGCATGCTGACTTGGCCGTTAATATGATGATGGGAACGGGTGTGGAGATGAGTGGCTGCAGTCAGTCAGGGTTAGTTTCCAGAATACTAATTTGCATCAGTCTCACCGTCAAAGAAAAGTAATCAAACCGATATTATTCTGATACATTCTAGAATCCGCTATACCGATTTGGGGTGACAGCCGAGATCGAGGCGCTGGGTAAATGAGCGATTGCTCAAGGTGAAACACGACGGGGCGGTTAGTATGGCCGTTGCGATCTCCGGCATAATTTGCCCAAAGAGACTCGGAGGTTCCTTTTCAAACAGGTAAGAGAGGCAAATTGAGATACATTAACATTAACGCATCAGCCTAGTGAGACTTGCTGGAAGAGATGATAAACAAGCACCTCCAGGGCTAGGCAGACAGGTCACCACCCACAGCAACCACACTTTGGGTGGATATTTATTTTCTTGTTTATTAAAGAAAAAGAAAGTTGTGTCTGTAGCAATTATTCCAGCATCCATCCATCAGTTTCAATGATTAGCCGTCCATAAAAGCTGTGAGCATGTGCAAAATAATTTGCCACGGTCGAATTCGAACACCGGTCGCGCCCTCGACACAGGCGACCTTCCTGTATCGTGTTGTGTATAACCTCGAAAAAGCTTTGGTAGGGAAAAAAAAATTGGTAGCTTCTCTTTGATTGAGCGTGTCATCCTTAGTGCAGGGGCCATGCTAATCTTCTCTGTATATTTTCATTTGACCAAATGCCCCGTAGGGCGAAAAGACTCTCTCTTAACGGGATTATATCCCCCTTTTCCTGGCAGTATTAGACCGCCTTGACGGAGTCAGACCGCCATACAGGCGTTTTGCTCTATCGTCATCGCACGTGATGACCCAGGTCACGGGCAATAGATATCACGTGTGTTTTTGTGTTATACAGAGGATTGGCTCACAGTTGAAAAGTGAAGGGGCAGGATATTGCCAAGTGCATTTCTGGTATCATATTGAGTCCTAAGTGCTACTGAATGATAAATTCAAATGAATTATCGCCTTGTCCGAGTGGTACAGCCTTAGCATCGTTGTCATACAGCGTCCTTTCAAAGTATCGCACTCGCCCGTCTAGTCGTGCCAGGAGGACAGTCTGCTTCTGTGTTCCATATATCCCAGACGTATAGTTTTTGTCCAGAGATCCGTTGGCTGGAGTGTCTGCAGCTTGCTCATGCTCGTTTGTGTCTCCGATGACGGGGATGAAGATGCTCTCACGCAGATGCTGAATATATGTATCGAGAGTTGCGCCCTGTGAAAGTCGTGGCAACGTATCAGTGCTGAGAACCTGTAGTAATTGTTCAATCAAAGCATCCTCGTCCTCTGTTTGATTTGACACATGGTCCTGAATTGCAGCCTCCATGAGTCTCTCTCCATCTAGAATCTTTGGCCAGGTCCTATCATCAACACTGGTATTGCTGAGCCCACGAGTCTGGTCCTTCTCTGTGGCAACCCATGTGATATGATCCATGTCGGACGAGCGGTTGGAGACGATAGCCAACGGCTCGTTAATGTGTCCACATACAAGGCTGAAGCCACCCACTTGCTTGGCTTCGGGGCTGGCGACGATGGCTCGAACAAATTCCCGAGTGGCTTCTTGCTTGTCTATCGGTCCGGTCAGCCAGCTGTTGACGATCAATCCACGGCTGTAGACTCCGATGGCTTCGCTAGCCTTGTCTTCACGGTAGTTGGTGAGTATAGCAATTTTGCCATACTTTGTGACGCCCATCCAGGTTCCATGTGTAGATCTGGCTAGGTCGCGTGAGCCGAGGACATGCGAGGAAGGCTCCGGCCACCAGTCTGGAGATGACGTAGGGCGATGCAGGAATTCCTAGATCGGTCAGCTTGGCTCGAGATTTCTAGCAAGGGATATTACATCTCTGTTATTTATCACGATCAATGAGTATGCAGGATGCGCCGTTGAGATTAATGCGATGCACATTGTTGCAGATGCGAGGAGAGAATGAGACTGGAGAGCGGGGAACGGGGGTTAGGACCACAACAGTTCGAGATGACCTTTGAGATTAAAGTATAGATATGAAAAAATTGTTGAACTTATAAATCATGGATAGGAGGACAAATGTAAATACCGCTCTAGAAGAAATGCCGAATATGTATGTGTGGTGCTAGGTCTATCCAGCTGACATGCAGTCGTCATAGTGTGATCCATTTGATGTGTTCCACCTGCATCTTCTTGCGCTTTTCACCTTTTCTCTTACCATCTTTCAGCGGCCGGCCGCTGTCTTTGTTGTTACCTGTTATCCTAGTCCCGGTTTTTATTGTGTCCTCTGTTCTCTGAGACAGTGGGGCTGAAACCGATAGTGCAGCTTCTCCATTAAAGCTGTGATTTCTCTCCTGGAGTTTCCCTCACATCAGTTCCTCATACATCGCCCACCATGTTCGGAATCTTCGCGGACTTGCTGTCGTGAGTGCCTATACCTCAAAAGTCCACATCAGAAAACATGGGTCCGACAGCAAGCTAACGCAGATCTATCGTCTAGCTCGGTCATCACGATCCTCTTCCCCGTCTTCGCTTCCTACAAAGCCCTCCGATCCTCAGACCCCTCACAACTCGCACCATGGCTGATGTACTGGGTGGTGCTCTCCGTCATTCTTCTAGCAGAATCCTGGACAGTATTTATCATCGGATGGTACATTCCCCACTTCAAGCCATCCCGAGATCGCAAGCTGATTATGGATAACCCCCAGGTTCCCATTCTATAGTTGGATTCGCCTATGTTTCCTGTCTTATCTCGTTCTCCCCCAGACGCAAGGGGCTCGCTTGCTATACCAGGATTACGTGGACCCCTTCTTGACACACCACGAGCGGGAGATCGAAGATATCATCGGCCGCACCCATGAGCGCGCCAAGGCCCTGGGACTCCAGTACTTCTACCAAGCGATCGATGTGATCCGAGAGAAGGTCCTCGGTCTTCCCCCGCAGCGTCCATCCACACCGCCCCAGCCAAATGCTGCTTCCTACGCGCAGTCCCTCTTGTCACGCTTCAACATCCCCACTGCCGGAGCTTCCACCAGCAATGACTGGTACTCAGTTCTCAGCTCCGCCGTGGGCTCGGTAACATCCGGCAAGACTCGCGAAGCGCGGGAAGAGGAGCTGTCCGCCAGCGGCAATCTGCTTCAGCGACAGATGTCTTCCATGTCTGGAGCAGAGAAGGCGCACTTCATTTCCTCGCAGCGCGAGCTGTTGGATCACCTGCGATCAACCCTGACCCGTGAGGAGCAGAGCATCAACCTGGATGTGCCCGAGACAGATGACCTTGCCTACGGCGTGCCGCTACGTAAGAACCGCAGCGACAACTCCTTCGAGGTGGTCGATAACGAGGACCTGGGTAGTCGCACGGCCCGAAAGACCAGCGGCGGATGGACATCGGGCTGGTTCGGCAACGAGCAGGACTCTGCTGGCTCCTCTGGTAGTGATTTCGCCGCGCGGGCTACCGACGAGATTTCTCGCTCGCGCGCAACGGGCTATGATCGATCCTGATGTGCCTCCTGGGGATGTTTCGCCCTTTCGAAGGGATAGAGTAGATCCCCGCAACCCAAAAATAGAACCTGACATTTTGCTTTTGCTGAGCTGGGAAATGGAGGACCTGTATGGCTTACCTTGCTATATCGATTATTGAATCGAATTTGATCTGAATCCGGATTCCATGTTGTCCTACACATCTTACTGGAGCTATAGCTCTTCTGTAGATGTTTTCAAGAATTCTCTAATGTATGGGACCCAACGAGAACTGCATGTTTCTGGTCTCTAATACCAACCGGTCGTCACATGATACTAGTTATCCTTGCCTCTGCCACGGAGGCCATGTGAAGAGGATGACATGTTCCAGGGGTATTTTTAAACGCAGAGAATAGGAACTAGGCTGTGACTGTTTCGATACTACTACCAAGAGCTACTTTTCCGTATGAGGAATAAGCATTGCTAGCTAATGACCCATTCATATGTCTTCAGGCCGTCTGTTTTGAAACTAACATTATATGACCAAGAGAATAGTGCCCCCGTGATATACTTCAGCTGTTTTTACCATGGTTCCATTCTTGACGGATTGACCTCAATGCGCCACTATATGAAGACTAGAGAGATACTGTACCACACAGATCGTCAGTGTCCACCGGATGATGCTGCCAGGATGAGCCTCATGATCTCATCGGAGAATAAGCACTAATTAAAGCAGTGAGTCACGTCCCTCGCAGCAACTTAAGAGGTCGAGATGTATGGATCACGTGCCGCCAAGACATGGTTGGGCGTGACGCTTAAAATGTGGCAGGCTCTGGCCATTCACTGCTCTGCTAACTGAGCATGAATACTCCCGTGGGATTAGAGTATAGAACAGTCTATAAAGATGTTATGGAAGTGAGGTTACGAAATGCTATTGAAAGCACATCCCACAATAGAAACCATATGGAGAAAAGTACCAATGTGAATGTATAAAGCAGTCTTAAGTATGTGTATTGAACAAAATAGTACAATAGAACCTTGAACGTTCGAGACTAGTATTGTTCTGCACATTCAGGTCCCCCCCTGGAGTCGTATTGTTCCGTCATTTCCTCGCGACTTGATCTCTTTGTATAGGCGATGTCATGGTGGCGGAAGTAGATACCCAGGATCCTCCCCTCGACTCTCTGAATTCAACAATACTTTTTAACTACAATACTACGGATTGATTCTCTCGAGAATCATAGATTAAGAACGTTACTTTGAGGTGAGTTGAGCCTGACTCGTTCGTAGACGCGATCTTACCCTTTCGTTTTCCTCCACAAACCCCGAATTTTTTTTTCCACCGAAACGACTTTTTCCCTTCACCCACCCATTTGAGAAAAATCAAATCATCAACTACCCGCCTTGTCGACCAAAACGCTGCTTCATTTGCTGCGTACCTGGTCTTCATTGCATCTGGGATCTTTCATCCCTATTTTTTTCACGATTTCATCCCTTTGACTGTGTGTGCAGACATTCCAGGTTTGGATGTGGCCTTGTCACGTTCCGCGCCTTGACATCACCTCGTCTCCTCCCTCGAAAATACCTCGCTCCCTTCGCGCGTTAAGGACACCACCTGTCTAATGACCTCGAACCCTCCTCAGTCGGGACAAGCACAGAGCACCGCGACCTCCGCTTCGACCCAGCCCGCAACCCCTGCGTCCACCCAGGCGCCCAAGTCCTACGCCAACGCAACGAAGAAGTCCGCGACGGATTCATCCGCCGCTCCAGCCACCGTGGGCGGTTCCGCGCAACATGGGAAGTCGACTTCCGTCTCTCCTGTGAACGGCAAACCCATGCAAAACCAACAGGCTTCGGGTGTGACCATTGTCAATGGCGCCCCGACTGCTCCGGCTTCCCAGGGCGATCACTCTCGCAAGCCCTCTGTGACCATCTCATCCGCCGGTACCTCCGGATACATGCCCAACGGCGCCGCTAGTCGTCCCAACAGCCTTCAGTTCGGATTCGCAAACCAGCAGAGCTCCCCCAACATGGGCGCTCCCGCCGTGCCTGCATCCAACCCGGCCCAGGCTGGCCTGAGTGCTCCCTCTGCGAACCCTCGTGTGACCTCTCCTCAGACTTCGCCATCTCCCATTCCCCAGCCTGCATCCAGCGGAGGCCGTCCTCCCCCATCGACATACCAGGCGCAAGGAAACGTACCTAACTTCGGTAGCTTTGGAGAATCGGGCGATGCCAACGTAAGTATTGCTGTATTTTTTTTCTGACCTCGCACATGATATGTGGCGTATTATACGTGCGCCACTTGTCTAAACCTAAGGTCCGATCCGTTTGCTCACATAGCCCAACTCTGACAGACATCCCTCGCTCACGGTCCCCAACACCTGCGTCGCGAGTCGTCTCAATCCACCCACAGCGATATGAGCAACATGGGTAACGCCCCCGGACGCTCTGGCTACCCCCACCAAGGCGGCCGCGGTCGTGGATACTCCCAGTCCGGCTACCAGGGACCGCAGATTCCCTACTCGCCTAACCCCGGTTTCCGCCAGACTCCCAACCAGCCTCGCGGCGGTCCTAACATGGGCCCCCAGTTCCATGGCCCCAACCAGGGTCGCCCTATGGGTTACCCCAACTCACCGCACCAAGCCAACCGCAGCCCTGCCCTGGCCAACGTCAACCCTACCACTCCCCAAATGAACCAGGTCCCCATGGCCCATGGCCAGATGCCTCCTGGCGCCTACGGTTACGGCCAACACATCGGCCCTCAAGCTGTGAGACCCCCTTCTTATTCTGCTTTCAATTCCTCCCAACCTCCCGCCCGGCGTGGCAATCACCAAAAAAAGAAACAAAACAAACCCTTCCCCCCGGATTTCACCGTGGATCTTGCACCGGAAAGCGGCCAGTTTGAACAGATTCTAACTATGATGAAGACTTACCCAGGCTCGTACGACCCCAACTTTTACTATAGCCAGGGATTCTACATGCCCCCATCGCCCCAACCTCGTCCCGGCATGCCCTTCAACCCTCAAGCACAGTTCCCGAACCCGATGGGCTCCCAATTCCCAGGTGGCCCCCAGGCGCCTGCTCTCTCGCGTGAGCCATCTATGTCTACTGACCGTCCAGGATCGAGTCTCAGCGGCCATAACCCGGCACCCACCGGTCCCGCTGCTTCTGGCCACTCCCACAACGCCAGCCGTACCTCGAACAGCCCCGCTCCCAAGCCTCACTTCATCATTCCCGCCAAGAAGAGCCCCATCGTCATTAAAGACCCTGGCAGTGGTGTCGTGAAGACCTTCGAAAAGAACCCTGCATCCCCCGCACGTGCCACTCCTTCTCCTGTGAAATTCACTCCCCTCCCACAGCTACTCCTCCCCCGCGTACTGCCAGCGCCACTGAACACAACCGTTCTGACAGCAAGGCCAATGCCGCCAAGACCGATGAGGAGAAGAAGCAGGAGTTGAAGAATGCTGTTCGTCTGAAGATCCAGCAGGATGAAGCTGATCAGAAGCGTCTGGCCGACGAGGCTGCCCGCAAGACCACCGAAGCCGAGTCCAAGCCCAAGAAGGACGACGAGACCGAGGCTGCTCGCGCCGCCGTCGAGGACCTCAGCATCAAGGACAAGGCTGCTCCTGTAGAGCCCAAGGAGACCCCCGCTCCTGCCCCTGCCCCTGTTCCCGCTCCCGCCGATGACGACGAAATCGACTTCGATGCTATTGAGCGCGAGATGGCTGAAATCGAGGCCAAGGAGCGTGCTGCTGAGGAAGAATACTACCGTGCCAAGCAGGCCAAGAAGGACGAAGCTGAGCGCAAGGAGCGTGAAGAGCGTGAGCACTACGAGGCTAACATGAAGAAGGCTGAGGCTGAGGCCGAGGCTCGTGAGATTGCCCGTGAAAACGCTCGCGCACAGGGAGAAGGCGAATCTGGTGACAAGGACGCGTTCGCATCACTCAGGAAGGGTGGATATGGTGCTACCGAGTCATCCACTCCTGCCGACAGCGGTGCTGTCACTCCTGTCTCTGACATGGGTCCCCCGGCTAAGCCTACCGGTGCTAAGAAGCCTGCTGGTCTCAAGCTTGATACCCCAAAACCCACTGAGCCCCTGCAGCCCACCCCTGGTATGAAGTCTCTGCAGAATGCCAAGTTCCTGGATGACCTCAGCAAGGTTACCTACCCTCCATCCATTACTCCTCCCAACCCTGCTCTGAATGCTGCTTCTCCCGCTGGCCGTCGCTTCCACTACGACCGGGACTTCTTGATTCAGTTCCAGGCTATTTTCAAGGACAAGATCTCTGTCGACTGGGACTTGCGCATTCGTGAAACAGTCGGTGACAATGATGCCTCTTCCCGGCCTGCGTCCGCTCGCACTCCCAGCATGGGCGGTAGCCGTGCTAACTCGCGCGGCGGCCTTGGTAACTTCCCTATGGGTACCTTCGGAACTGTCCCCAGACCTGGTGGTATGCCCCCCATGGGCGGCTCCGGAATGGGTGGCCGCGGATCATCAAACTTCGGTCCCTTCCCTGGCTCTCGTCCTGGCCTCAGCGGCCCCGGAAGCATTCGCACTGGCAGTGGTGTGCCTCCTCGTGGTAGCAACAACAGCAAGGGTCCTCGCCAAGGCAGCAAGGCCGGCCCCAAGCACGGTGGCAAGAGTGAACACGAACAGAACAAGACCATGCCTCTTACCGCTGGTATGGACCTCAAGGCCATCACTACTTCCGCAACCGGTTGGAAGCCTCGCAGTGTCGGACAGACTGCTGCTGGTCCCGCCCCTGGTGGCGAGGGTTACTTGGCTCCCGACGTTGTGCAGCGTAAGGTTAAGGCTGCTCTCAACAAGATGACCCCCGAGAAGTTCGATCGTATCGCCGGCCAGATACTCGAAATTGTTTCACAGTCCAAGGACGAGTCTGATGGCCGCACTTTGCGCCAGGTCATTCAGCTCACTTTCGAGAAGGCTACTGACGAGGCCCACTGGGCTCCAATGTACGCCAAGTTCTGCAAGAGCATGCTCGAGAGTATGAGCGCCGAGATCAAGGATGAGAACATTCGCGACAAGGCCGGCAACGTCGTTGCTGGTGGCAGTCTCTTCCGCAAGTACCTGCTCAACCGTTGTCAAGAGGAGTTCGAGCGTGGTTGGAAGGTCAACCTGCCCCCAAGCCCGAGGGTGTTACTGAGGAGATTGCTATGATGTCCGACGAGTACTACGTGGCCGCTGCCGCCAAGCGTCGTGGTCTTGGTCTCGTCAAGTTCATTGGTGAGCTTTACAAGCTCGGCATGTTGACAGAGCGTATTATGCACGAGTGCGTTAAGAAGCTTGTCGACTACGAAGGTATTCCCGATGAGGCGGAGGTTGAGAGTTTGACCAGTCTGCTCCGCACCATTGGTGCCAGTCTCGATGCTTCCGAGAAGGGTCCAGCCATGATGGACGCTTACTTTGCTCGCATCAACCTCATGGTAGAGACTCCTAACCTGCCCAGCCGTCTCAGATTTATGTTACTGGTAAGTATCTTCTTCAGCTCTGGTGTCGTTCAGAAACTAATTCACTTTCTAGGATATCATTGATCTCCGTGCTGCGCGCTGGAACTCCAAGGAGGCTGACAAGGGTCCCCAGACCATTCACGAGATTCGCGAGGCTGTAAGTATCCACTACTTCATTTCCATAGTATCCACATCTAACCAAAACAGGCTGCCCGTGCCGCTCAAGCCGCCGAAGCTGAGCGCCAGCGCCAGAACAGCAACCGTGGAGGCGGTGGCCGCATGCAAATGGGCCGTGGTGATGCTCGCGGCTTCAGCTACAACAACCAAGCCCCTCCTCCCGACTACGCCTCCAGTAAGGTCGGCAGCGACGATCTCCGCCGCCTGCGCGCGACTCGCAACACCAACCAGCCAATGTCATTCGGTCCGTCTAGCCTGCTAGCAGGAGGCTCGCGCACCAACAGCGGCCGCAAGAACCTGGGTCCCGGAGGCAATTTGGTTCGCGGCAGCGACGACAGCGCCGCCAGCAGCCGCACTGGCACTCCTCCTGCTGGCAAGAAGGAAGACAAGGACACCTCGTCTATGAACGCTTTCAGGTAAGCAACATGTTCCCGTCCCTCAAACTCCTATGTACAACCTCATACTAATATCCAGCTCTTAGCGCTCTCGCCGCTCTCGAAGATCGGGATAACTTGGCGACGTCGCCACCGTCAAACCCCACCTCTCCCATGCTCACCAAGTCGCAGCCCGCGGCCGCTGAGCGTCGCCCCTCAAAAACCCCGTCAAAGGATGGCGAGTCCGCAGCATAGAAAGTTTTCCTTAGGAGTAATGATCAACGTTTCCATTATTTTGGTTCCTCTCAAAAGATTTCCTCATTTTCTTGTGATTCCATCTTGCTTCCAAATCCACCCTTGCGCTTCTTTGTGTTTTAATCTGTGCTCTCTTCCCACACACAGTTTCGCCCACATTTGCATTTCCCCCGACTGGTCGGTTTCGAACGGGGAATCGTTTCGTTTCTCTTTTACTAAACCCCTTCTTATGACTGTTTCCCCATTCGAATCCTCTTCATAGTGTACAATCTTCACATCTTTTTTATTATCCTTCTCTGTTCTCTTCTTCTTTTTCCTTCTTCGTTTCTTGTCTCCTCTTTTATTCTATTGTTCTCCTTCGCTTCGCTTTACAGAGTGGCCCGAGATAAAAAGACTGCAGTGGAGGTTAGAGGAGAGGAAAAGATGAAATACGAATGTTGATGCTGAACGTCGAATGTTGAAAAGTAGGCACAAATGCGCACACACAACGTTCTATATCTATACCGTGTCGATTGATATCTGTTGATTTTCCATGTTCTACGGTCATGACCGGTTGAATGGGGTTGTCGGTTGTCTCGGGGGTGCTTTGCTTTGCTTGAGGAGGGGAGAAATGAAATACATTGATGAGGATGGACGAGATAGGAGATGTGATGATGGTGTGGTGGTGGTGATGATCAGACGAGAAGGAATTGCCAATATTTTGAACTTCGTTGTCTCTTTTTTCCCTCTTCTTTCTTTGCATACCCTCTTCTTCCCTTTTTCTTCTCTTGTCTTTCTCAATACCCGGAGCCTTAAAGCTAAAGCTACGATGCGATTGAATGGATGCTTCGGCCTTGATCAGTTATACAATGTTCTTTTACATACGTAGGGTCTACTGTATTGTATCAAACTTTCTATCAGGGAGATAGGTAAAGATAGAAGATAGAGACAAAAGAGTTAAGTGAAGTTATACATTACAGAAGGTGTGCAGCCAAGGCAGCCATTAAGAATGAGTGCATTGTATTGGTAGTAGAGTAGAGTAGAGTAGAGCCAGAGCAATCTCTCCCACCACAGACCATAGACTAGACCTAGACCTAGACCTAGACTACATAGAGTTATCGTGTAGGGTTTCGTATGCATCGTGATATATGAAAGGGTTCCCGGTGCATAAGCAGCACGGGGATAAGGATAATAAAAGAAAGGCCAGGCTATGCATGTTTTCAAGACTCCTTCGCGGAGTCTCTATCGTTGTCATTTGACACTTCAATGACAGGAATGGATACTGGGTTCTTGCTCTCAGAGGTCTCGTCTGCCTCATTGGGCTTTTCAGTATCGGCCGCCGAGGAATCATCATTTGAATCGTCTTGCTCGACAGGCAAAGAAAGATCCGCAGCTCCATCTGGAGAAGAGTTGCTCTGTCCGCCTTCATCACCAGCAACAACGCTCTCCTGGGAGCTCTCTGCCGGACTCCCCATGACAACGGCATCCAGTGAATTTCGTGCCGGATATGCTGAGTCCGAGTCATCAACGCTGAGGCTACTCCGGTCTGAGACTGACAGTGAGCTCCGCGAGTTCGCATTTGAGTAAGAGGCGGGGAGGCCGAGAGCCTCGGCGACGGCAGCCTCCTCGCCTGGTAATTTCGAGGTACTGCTTTCGGTGCTAGAGCTAGCGTCAAAAATGCGACTGCCGCGCTGCTCGCTTAATTCAAGGATATGGTTATAACTCCGGCGAGTCGGGTCTGCCCGGCGCTTGAGTTTCTTCTTTTGGCGCTTCGGAGATGGACGCACGACGATAACGGGGATGGGAGATTGTTGAAGACAGTATTTTGAGACTGAACCGGGTAGGAGACTGTGCACTCCTTTCAAATTGCGGCCGCGCGTGCCAACGACGAGCATTGCAGGTTCATATATGCGAATCTAGGAAAGAGCAGGTCAGATTGAGGTTTCAACAAGCTTCTCGGGGAGCTTACCATGCGCTGAATTATGCTTTCGACCTTGCCGACTGCAAGCTCCAGCACCAGACTGATGGCCTTCTCATCCTGGCTGTTCTTCTGGATAACCTGCTCAAACAGCTTCTCTGCTTCTTGTCGGTATTTGCCCTCTTCGATGCCGACATCACTGGCTATGCGCGAATCCTTCTCCACGGCCCGGAGACAAACAATCTCATCTCCATCATCCACTAGCTCGTCGATAAGCCATTCGAGCGCAAACTCGGAGTAATCATTCTGGTCCGTTCCACACAAAAATGTCCTGCTGCGTCGCGTGCTCTGGTAGCCTTTGTGTTTGTAGTTCAAGGTAAGGGAGAAGTCGGTCGCGTCGAAATTATCAAAAGTATCAAACGAAACGCCTCGCTCGTATGTCCTACCGTGGATCAGTATGCATAATTAGAGAATGTGGTTGGAAAACACATACTTTGGCGGAGGCGGGGACGGCCCTCGATTTGCAAGAGCGGCCTTGCACTCCCTGTCCCTCTCTTCCAACTCCCTCTCTCTAGTCGGGGTGTCCCCATAAGACAGCCGCTTTTCCCTTAAACTCGACTTCCGAGCCGGCAGCTGAGCTTCCGCGGCTCCGACGCTAAACTGGATCGATCGTCGCCGGGGACTGTAGTCCCGGGATTTGTCACTGGCGTTGCGGGTGTGGCCGGAAGATGTGGTTTTCGTCGTATGATCCCTGGATTCCGGGCGGTCATCAGAGTCGAAGGAGGGTTCTGGGGAAGCTGGTGCAGACATGTTGATTGAGGTAACTGCGAATGATCCGGAGAGGGTGTGTTGGTTGTCCTCCTGTGGGTGGCGTAGTTGGGAGTGTAGGGCTTATCGAAGCATCTCGGGCATGTAGTTCAAGATTCCACAGGTCGCCCGGTCATGTTTTGGTTGGGGAATGGTACATAGGGTTATTGGTCACGAGGCAGCAGTGACGGATGCAGCGAGGGGTCAGGGCGGTGACCGCTTATCGATAGGCAATAAGCTTAACTAGCTGAGGTAATGGCTTATTATATAAGCCATTGGATCGGCGAGATCTCACGTGATTATAGTATGGATGCCTTTCAATCGTTCAATTGCTGACAACCTTGGGAGCCTCGGAAATTTTTGAATGTCCATTAGGTTAGCAATTGACACAAACTTACAGATGAGGCGTTCCATTCCGAGAAAACTGCATGTCAGATTAAAGCCCACTGATAATGACAGCGGGAAAAATATAATCTGAAGTCTTTATTCGAAACAACAATTAAATGTCATACGAATTCATACGTGTGACAAAGGTATATCTCAGCCCCAAGCCACAAAGTGCCAAGATAAGACAGCCACAGTGGTAAAATACAACTATGTATTGAGGCAGGGTCTGCATTGCTAGATAGGCAGATCACTCAAAAATCAGATCCAAGACCCCTTTCAACCCGTGACATAGCTTCTACAGTACACCTCATTCTCGCTAAACCTCATCATCCCAGCCCCCTCCTCTTCCCCCAAAAAAACGACCCTTACATACCCAATTCCATATTATCACGTCCCGTTAACACTAGAAGCAAAAAGAAGCGAAAGAAACTCCCTAGACCCACAATCCACAACGGAGAGTCCGAAACGCCCATCAAACCCATCAAGCCCGCTGAAAACCCACCGAGCACGCTAAAAGCTAATAATACAATGACACTAGTAAAACCCTTCACAACACTATAGCCACTATCACCACTACAGTATAGCTAGTTATAAGTTAGTCATAACACTAACCTGGTTAGCATGCCGACCTAGCCGCGCAGATCTCTCTGATCTCTCTGACGTATCCACCAGCGGTGAAGGACGGCGCATGGCGTGCTGGGTTGGCTGTGATCTACTTGGTCGTTACCCGCGCTCGGGGCGCTGGCTTACAAGGATCGACGAGTCACATGGGTTAATCTGCCAGGATGATAGGGGAAATGAGATGAGAGATGCTGTAGATGTAGATGTAGATTGTCAAGTATTGTTACGGTTACTGTTACTGGAGAAGATGATTTGGTTTGTTTAATATTTTTATTATATATTTTCTTTCGTTGGAAGACATGTGTCTGTATATACATTCCAGTCCCGGTTGGGATCAAAATTGAATGTGCCAATGCAGTCTCGACCACGCAGGGAGAGCTGTTGGGCCGCTATCACAGATAGCGCAGAGATGAGAGGGGTATGCAGTAGTTCAAATTTGTGCAATAGGTGCGCTCCAAGCGACCGACCAAAAACGCCGTTGAAAATGAAGATATGAGAGGTGGAATAATAAATAAGAAGATCGGGTATCATCGCTGTATAGTACACAAGAGCAAGAGTCGTAAAATGGAGTTATCAAAAAGGAAGGCAAATAGACAAATCAAGTGTCTAGTAAGCCTCGATAATGGTACTCTGCTCTTGTGCAAGTAAATACCCTTGTTCAAAGAGATGAGCCTGTTCAGACCCCGCCAGCGCAATGGCCGTGGTAGCGGGTTCCTTCTCATCGAAGGATTCAAGCGCAGGCTGAGGCGGGGATGGCGGTGTAGCCTCGTCCTCGGACTCACCATCCGAGTCAGCGAGGAGCTCGGGTGGAGACTGGCGAGACGGCGACCGGGTCAAGCTGAGCTCGTCCAGGTCCTCTGCGTCATCGTATTCAAAGTCTGAGTCTGTGTCGTCGGCGTCGTCCTCTTCCAGAAGGTCCTCGTGGAAGGGAGCCACGGGTGAAGGAGCCCGGCGGCGAACAGGAGTGTTGATGACAAAGTCTGATTCATCGAAGTCTGAGTCGTCACTGTCGCTGAGGTCTGAGTCGAGGTCGGAAGTGTCCTCCTCCAAATCTTCGGGCTCTTCCGCTACCGTTGAGGTCGAGGCCCATTGGATGTGACGGTCGTTGGAGGAGGCCTTGGTGGCGCCGCTGACGGTTTGGTTGAACCAGCGTTCTTGTTCGCGCTCTGCGTCGGCTAGGTCGAACATAAGGGAGTCGAGGAGGTTGGCGTGGCCGACTAGCAGGCGGAGATCGTGGTCTGCCCGAGAAGCTTCACGGGTGAGCTTCTTCCGGGCAGTATGAGCGAGGTAGTATGTTTGTGTGATGCTCATCTTCTTTTGTTGGCGGCGTTTGACGAGGGAGTCAAAGTAGGGGCTGGCGGAGGCGAGGGTAGAAGAAGTAGTAGCCATGGTGGGCACGGCTGCGTTTTGAATGTTTTCAAGTATGACTCTTGTTTGACTCAATTAGGCGTCATCCAGTCACAGTGGGGGCGGTGTGAGCTAGGGATGAGACAGATCAAGTTTGATGTTCCGATACACGTTAGTGTTGGTGTGTAAAAGAGATGTCAGTGTTAACGTTATAAGTTAATGTTATAAGTTATGAATTAAAATAGAAGAACCCTGGCGATCCAGGTTTATTTAATATCTGAGGCATCGGGCTTTCTTATTTTTTTTGTCCGAACTGGACGGAGTTTACGGATGGAGTGACCCACCGGAATTAAAAAATAAAAATTAGGTTCCCGATCTGGTATTTCCATGTAAATTCCGAGCTTTTGATACGCATCTGGTCGCCTCACCGCTACATGCAAGGGTCTAGATTAATTGACAAAATACATACTACACATACTGCACATACTACACATGTACTGGGCTCTACAATCTACAATGATCACACTCTAATTCATAGTAACTGTATGTGCAAGTTCTCTCATAGTGAGTCACCGGGACTCGGATGACCAATCCGTGCCGTAGCCCGGGACGGAGCATCGGTCGCACCTTCTCCCGATTATTCAACATTTCCCTTACAAACCTGAGTAATCCATCTGTAGTCCACGGATACACCACGGATATAAACCAACAGACTTTTTTGTCACGATTTCCAATCATTGATTTCCAATCCCCGTATTTTTAACTCTATACCATATCGCATTTCAAATTATCACGCCTTGCAGATTAAAGCACATGTATGACCTGGCATGTCAGCAAAGAGGCTCAAGACCTTGGTAGCACGGCACAATCTATCCGCATACTGTAACGAGTACGAGTCTTGGCAAAGGATATAGCATTCCCCAGATGAATGAATTATGTGCAGGCTGTGCAGCTGGTGGGGAATCCCTACTACTAAAAATTGGCAGCCTCAAGGCAACCCAATTGAAACACGTCGGCCTATAACTACGAGGATATCCTTATCTTGAGTTATACGTATACACGTATACACGTCCATTGTCAAAGAGTTGCCTGGGGAATTGAGATTACCGTCTGTACAAGTACATGTACATGTATGACCGCCTCACTCCTTGCTTGTGTTTCGGGCACTCTTTTCGTCTTTGCAACTGTGGGGACCAATAGTAGTTAGGCTCCATGTTTCACTTGTGGAATGTAATGTCCATGTCCATGTAAATGCGTCTTCATCTTCCTTGCGCCCGGCATATGTGTACGTACCATGCGAAAAAGAAGAGGCTACCTAAGCGATAACGTGTTTGGCGTACGTCACAAATTGGCACTGTACATTGCCCTGCTTTCCAGTCCATATCTTGGCGGTATACATGAAGTGGATGAAGTCAGGGATTAGCTAAGAGTGTAAATACATCCATACCTGACGCTCGGCGTGTAGGCGGATATCACCGAGCCAAGCCAGGCAGCCCAAGGCCCAAGGTGGGGAGTGGACTCGCTGGGTTTTCCATTTTCAGTGCATCCCCACCTATGCCAGCCCTACCAGAAACGAATACGATGCTGTTGCAAGAAACGGCTCGAGCATTCCACCCTGTTCCATTGAAATCTTATCCGACCCAATATAATCCATGGACCCTGTATTTAATGACACCAACATCAACAAAAGCCTAGTACGAGAACTATCGACTATAGATGAGGTCAATAGGCAGGTCGAGATCAGGCCGCAGCCTGGAACAATTCAATTCACGGAGATAGTGAAAACACAATCTCTCGGGCACAAAGCCATGGCTTGAGTTGATTTACATTAATGAACGCCCAATGGCGCCCCATGGCAGAGATCGATGGATCACCGCCAGAGGCCGAAGATCCGAGTTTGACAGATCGATGACATCAAGATGTGGCCTTTGCGGTTCGGCTATTTGGTACCGTTCGCCGGGATGGGTCGGCGATTTGGATTTGTGTTGTGAGATTGGCATTTTCCTAGAATTGACTAGCTTGGGTGGATCTAGTAGTTCATGAGTTACTTGTGTATATTGGTGATGTGATCTGGGAATGGTGTTCGGTGTTTGGTTATAGTTGACATGAGTAATACCGTACTACATCAAGTCATGACGAATTCGCCAATCTTGCTAATCATCAATAAACAACCATTATCCTAGTTCTGCCAGTCTGCATAATCCCATGGAATTCATCCATCCGCTTACTCATACACCCCGAGCCGCGGGTGAAAAATCAACTCGGACACGGACTTCGCATCTCCGAGTTCCGCTCGCACAACTTCCCAAGGTTATGAACTCCACAGGGTTTGTTTATGCTATGTCCTTATGTCCTCCTATGTCCACTTGCGTCCGGATGATCGACACGTGCCTTGTGACTCGCTCTCGGGAATTTAATCGCCGTTAATCGCTCTCTGGGTATTGCGGCATCCGTGCGGATGGACTTGTCCGTTATCTCCACTATTGTCCTTGTGACTCACGTTTGAGCCTCCGGGCTCCTAGCTGGTCCTAGCGCATACCTCAATGCTCATCGCTCATGTCGATAGGCTGATGCCGGTAGTTCGCGGGTTGGTGCGGATGCTTGGTATCTGGTCTTGCAGCTGATGCTCAGGTTTGAGATTTGTACCTGGGGGATGGGGGTGGTCCTGTCATGTGACTGCACATGATAGTCGAATGTGGTATGTAGTTCTGGGGGAAGTGATGGCCTAGGAATGAAGTGAAATATATCTGAAGTAGAATGGGTTGAGCTTCGATGTTAACATTATTTGGTGCTTTTGCAACTTCTGTCACTTTCTTTTTCTCAGTATACTTCTCTTTGTTCTTGTATAACGTTAAATCTATTTTCTTATAGGTACCATATTTCTTTCTCTTTTTCCTCTTCTTCTTCATATATATATATCCCTTCTTACGACACCTCTCCCTCCTCCTTACCCTCACATCACATATACATATACATATATATTCTATAATTACTTTCTTTCATCTCCCATCTCTCATCAAAATATATCTCACCTCACTCATCTTCTCTTAAGCAATGCCTCCACACGTCTCTTCGAACAGAGCCGAAACCACAGACCGAGCCCCGCAATCTGGCAATCGACCGCCAATATCATCTGTCCTTGGTTGGAAATTCTTTATGGGTTGCTTCGCTTGGGGTCCTGCAAGGCGGCTGCATTTTGCTGGTTGCCTAGAGCCAGCGTCGATGGCACACACTGGGAGTGAGATGACCAAATTCCGTTGATCCGGAATTCCCTGTTTACTGGCTCAATGAGTGGCCACAGGCTGCAGTTTAAAATTACGCGAGATGAATTCTCCGATCATTTTGCGTGGGTGATGAGTGGTTAATCTGGCTACCCGCGAAAAGGATGACACAACACAGACAACCTTTTTCTGCTTTGAAGAACACATACTAAAGGAGCACCTCTTTTGGAAATGGAAAAGCTGAGCACACCTCCCGTGGTCGGCCTGGACTAAAGGGTTAAGAAGAACGCCAAGATCCAGAGATGAACGACGGCAAGACATTGTCGAGCTGACCACGAAACCACCCATTGATCAAGGTTTTCGCTTCGGAGCTCTGACTTGCACTCCCCTGTTTTCATTGTGAAAACTCATCAACACCGAATGACCGTACATGTCAACGACAATCTACAGGTTATTGCCAAAGGCAGTTGCACGACTTGCGTCTTCACAGGTGCCGCCGCTTCTATCCTAGACGCTCCAGAAGCTGGCATTTGGGAAGAAGTCTTAGCGGCCCATATAGATCTCGTGCAGGCAGCTAGAACACCTTCAGGGTTCACTAGCACTAAGTACGGTCGTCTACCACACGCCTTTCCTGCAGCGCTGCAATTCCAAGGGGAAGGCTTGATCTCTGATTGCTTAGTTGGTCGTGCTCGTCGGACAGAACCGGGGGTTTCTACAGAATTGGATACCTTGTTCGGAGAAGATGAGCACGCCGTCACTGACTATGCTAGCGCCGGCGAGTCATGATACTTGGGAGGAGTGTTTGGACGGCCATGCATTCGAGATATGCTATCAGATAGGCCCGCCACTGATACACCTCGGACGCTACCTTAAGAAACATGACAACCTAGGGATCGTACTAGGAAGGGTGAAAGAACTGAGACTCATTGCTCATGCAGATGCTTCGCACGCCGATTGGCAAGACCGAAAGTCCACCGAAGGAAGCATCTGGTGATTCGCTGTCACCCCTATCATGTGGTATACAAAGAAACAGACGGTAGTGGCATCATCTACTACTGCGGCCGAATGGTGTGCTCTGGATCAACCAGCCAAAGACGCCAAGTGGCTTGCCAGGATAGCTTCACAGCTTGGCCTCCCGAGATACCAGGATCCCATTGCCATTTTCACCGACAACATCAACACCTAGCTACTTTTGGCAAAGAAAGGGTGCAAGAACAGCACCAGATGGCTTAAAATACGCTAGTTTTTCGTCAAGAATGCTGTGGCAAGACATCATATCGACGTCAAGCGAGCCGACACGAAGCGCAACCCAGATGATGGTTTAACCAAAGCACTTGACTCTATTGCGTTCAAGAGACTTCTGGAAATGCTATGAATGAAGGCCATAAAATGAAATCCAATGGCACGGAGAGCATATAACCTACATATGATCCGAGGGAATAGGAAATGAATTGAGAAAAGCACGAAATGAGGATATCTACATGCAAATTGGAGAGATTGAATTGGCGAAGCAGGAAGGGTTTTTGAGGATATCAGATGAAGTGGCTCAGGTCCATGGAGGGAATGTTGAGATCACATGACCTGATTGTTTGATAGTCCTCGAGGGGTCGAAGCTTCTCTTCTTCCCCGTCCCTTTTCTCCACCAATAATATCGTCATGTTATTGCTTCCTTTTCCCTTTGTCTAGAATCTCCCGCCTTTTGGGGGAACCCGAAGTTATATCTCGTTCTTTTTTTTCTTATCGATCTTGTCATTCCCAAAACAGACACTATTTGGAATGGACTAAAACAGGCTAACAAGATTATTGCCGAAATGGAGATCGCAAGAACCAAAGCTTGTCCTTGATCCAAGACTCAAATTGTTTCAGTGTCTCTGTCATTCTCCCTACAGGAAACCCAAGCAAATGTCCCCTCATCCGTCAATACTCGGTCTGATTTGAACATCGCTTTTGCGTGGCGTTCACATAGAATGAAAACAATGATCGTTCTCGGTTCGTGTCAAGTCATTGCTATTTGAATTTTCGGCATACATCATTCTGGAACCGCGAGTGTGTGCCCCCATATCCTCACATGCCCATGATATTGAAACACCGAGAAGTACTGACCGCAAAGAATGTTCAAACGAGTGATCCACAGCCAGGGTGGACTCAGATCGAGGCTGTTGACTTGTCAATGTGACACTACAGGCGGTTCACGCCAAGGCACTGAGAAAAATGGACCATTGAGGGGATTCAATTGACTGATATTCTGGTGGTGATATGAGCACCTGGTCATAACATGAAAGTGAAGTGCACTACAAAAGAATTAAATGGACAAATGGCGCCGCCTCAGAGAAGACCGACAGATCCATGATGGAAATGTGATTACTGCAAGAGCCGTATCTGGTTTTCTTGAGTGCCAAAGCAATGGTGGTATTTCCGCCAAGACAAATGTCTAGAGTATAGTCTCCATTGGAACCGGGATGTTACAGCACCGGCTCAATTTTGCCTGTATGCTCTACATTTCTGTCCAGGCACGGAGCGTGGAAAGGGGTGTACATGTATATCCTGTCGGGTGTTGGAATATGTTCGGCTGGCTTATTAACAGACTGGCCAGTGGTCGTGGAGCTGGCCATGTGGCGCCTCTTCTCGCCGTGGGACAAGCCTGCCTTGATCTCTCCATGTTGATGATTGCCCCCAGATGGACGTTGTGCACTTGAGTAAAGCTAAGAAAGCTTTGAAACCTTTCAATGTTCCATATTGAAGTGACAGCGAGGTTTTAATTCACCCCATCAGGTTCAATATAGTTACGATGACCAAGCCTATGCTCAAGCATTAAACTACCAATAATGTCCATGACTTCTCATACACGTAGGCCCAATGGCAGCCATTGCATTTCTATGTAAAGTTCCATACCAAGCTCAAGACTCAACTCCAACCTCCACAGTATCAGCATTAGCATACCTATGCAGAGGACCACAAACACAGAGCCAAAGGAGGATATCACCTCCCACAGGCCCAAGTTATCAACGTTCAAATCAATGGGTATCTTGCAACAAAATCCACACAAAAAGTCTAAATCAATCAAAGCCAATGAAAACAAAAACAAACCACCCCATCAAATCCTCTTCCCCAAGTGATTGATAACATCAGGAACACGATCAACATCAGCCAAGCGCCGATCAACAAAAGTCAGCGCATTAGCCATAAAAGCATCAACATCAAAGTCCTCCGCAAGACCATTGGCCTGCAATTTCCCAATAGCAGCCCGGATCCACCCAACACAATTTTGACTCGGGCCAGCACCCTTAACCGGCAACGGAATGGACCGCAAAATCGCATGAATGTTCTCGAATGCATTGCCCATTCTGACCTTCCCGACCTTGATCCTCAGCAGCAACGACCCACTATGATCCGGGTTGACATAGTAGCGCACACGAAACAGCCAGTCAAAGTTGGGGTTATGGTCCATTCGCAGCAGTCGATCTGGCGATGAGCCATCGGTCACGTCGAAGGCGTGGCAGCAGGCACCTTTCGGGCTTCGGGGCGCGAGGAGGACACCCCAGTGGTAGGCGCTATATCCGAGGTCGCGTCTGCTTTCGTCGAGGGAGAGTTCGCCGCGGTGGTGGATTGAGATGAAGATTTGGTGGTCTGGTGTTAGGGCTGGGGGGTGTGGTGGGGGGTTGGCCTAGTTTTGGTTAGGCTCGTGGTCTTTATATTGGTTTGTGGGACTGGCGGGATGCTTGGATGCTGGATGGGAGGTCCTTACTGAGTAGCCCATGGCTGGCTGTTAGTGCTCTGGGGGATGACGGTGGGGATGCCTTGTTTGATGCATCGCCTGGGTTGAAGTGGGAGAGTGGGATCGAGTGGGAGTTGGAGTTGAGGTTGTAAAATGGGCGTTCTCAGATTGTTTTTGTTAGATGCCCTTGAGTTGACTTTCTATTGTGGTAGGTCTGTTGCGGGTGCTAGGGCTGTCCAATGACCCTCCATGGGTGATTGTTCTTGATTGACCGAGACCATTCTAACCCAGCTGTACCTGTTTGTGTCTATTCTGCATTCAGATTAATGATATACAGCCTGCTGCTGCACAGAGCAAGAGTCCCAACAAGATTGCCCTAAATTCAGGTACCGCGTGCATTAAGCTCAGAGCTTAAAAGCTTAATTCGTCCTACTCTGTACATTCAGTGACACCAATAGTACAATGTGACTTAGGGCATGAAACTAGCATTTAGACAATGTGGAACATGGATTACTCTGGAATAATATGTGCAGAAGCTCTGAACAGAAATATTGATTTTTATCAAGACTATAAACAGGGATCGTAACAGGCAATGCTATAAGATCGTCATGACATAAAACGAGCCCCCAAGATGGCGGTTACTCATGGCTTCGTACCTCAAAAAAGCATACCAAATGCTACTCATATTTCCTAAGGTAGAGAAAGGAACAGCTTCTTCAACTCGGGGAAGTTGGGTGTACCCAGCCCAGTAGCCGGATCCCATCTACACGATCTGTCAGCAATATCCACAAACAAATACCAGAGAAATAGACATACCCTTCGATAGCACTGAAGCCATCTGAGCCGCAACCAACATTGGTACCGTTAGTAATATCATTGAGAACATGTGGGTGAGCATAAAGCACGGGGTTCACGAAACCAACAGGACCCTTGCCGTTGTAAATACGCTCCTCGTTGATCTAAGAAACAAGAAACTTTAGCTTCATCACAAAAGAGAATTTCCAGACTCGACTTACCAAGCTCAACACAGAAGCAAACAACGGCGACGACAAACTAGCACCATAGAAATGATGTTTCGTGCCACCGGCATAAGCAGGGAACAGAGCTCCATTAGCCGCAACATCAGGATAAGCACGACCGATCCGGTTATAAAGACCAGTTGTCTTATTAAGATCAACATTCATCTCCGAGTAATAGGGGTACTCCAGCCCAGCCTTCTCAAAGTATTTCTTGATAGTAGCCTTCTGGTAATCAGGCTGAGGGAAGTAATTCGAGAAACCCCCTGAGCTGCTGAAGTTCGCTGCTTTTCCACCCAGATTGGCGTGCATGACGCTCTCCTCGTCCTTGTACGTTTGGTCGGCGTAGAGCATTGTGCCGCCGACGGATGTGACGTATGGGCAGTTGGACGGGTATTGCGGGTTGAAGATTTTTGAGTCCGGGCCCAGGCAGCCGTTGGTGGAGCCATCGCCAGGGAATGAGGCTACGCCGTAGTCACCAGACGCGAAGAGAATTGAGTGGCCTTGTAGGCCGAGCTTCAGGAACTCGTTGCATTGGCGCTTTGTGTAGGGCATCGGGAGATCGGCTTCGGCTTGGCCGTAGGAGGCGCTTATTACGTTTGTGGGCTTGTAGACACCACATTGGAGTTGGCCTAATGGATATGTGAGTACTTGAGATGCTAAGAGGACGGTGGGAGGTACCTTTGTAGCCACCGGGGCGGGGGTTGGGATAGATTGGGTCAATGTTTGGGTTGTTACCCGTCTCGCCGTAGGCACTGTATGTGCAGTATGACTGGTCATGTTAGCAAAGTACATCTCAGCAGGAGGGCAGCACATACACCGTCGAGTGCATCGAGGAAAGTGTTGAACAGGTTAGTGGTTGCAACCTCCTCTGGCTCGTAGAGTTGATCGTCAACCTGATAGAGGGTGACGGTCTGAGGGTAGATGAGAGCATATCTTAGGGATGGTTAGCAAAATACCAGAATTAATCAACCGAGTGTGCTGTGCTTACGCCATGTCAATGTCGATGTCAGACTCGCCACCATTCAGCGAGCTAGATGCAGGTACAGAGTAGTTCGCCCCATCAATCAAAGCCGGAATAGGATAGGTACCCTGTGGCACATTTGGAGAGTACTCCTTGTAGAACAGATCAAGGTCAGACTTGGCAAAGTAGTCACCTTGCTCGTACAGACCAAGCGAGTTACCCGCGGCTGCCTTCTTGGCCACCGGAATATGGTATAAAGCCCTGATGCAGTCAGGAGTCATTTCTGATCCGCAAGTCTGGAGGTTCTTCGCAAGTGACAACGCCTTAGCAGGGACTGATGCCGCTCCTTCGGCGTCGCTAACTTCCACGCTGCCCTTGGAGTGAGCCAAGTGTGACATACGCTTCACCTTTGAGCTCTTCTTGACGATCGGGCTGAGCTTGACTCCAGGGGTAATGTAGTCAATGTGCTTTTGAATGTGCTCTGGGACATGGTATCTGATTTTCGTCAATCATCCAGATCCAAAAGTCAAGGGAATGTATAATGCCTTACTCGTCGCAACCAATTTTGATACTATTGGTACCAGCGTGCTCATGCTCATAGAATTCAGCCAGGAACAGCTTTTCCACTTCGTGGGCATGGGCATCGAAAGCCAGCCATCCTTTATTGTCCGAGTGTACGACCCGGGACTCGTCAATCCCCGAGGCCTCGAGCCATTTTCGCACTGATTCGACAGCTTCCCTGGAGGGGGCAAACATATCATGCACCTCCTCTGCGGTCCAGTACTTTCCATATTTGGCAGAGGTAGGGTCGGAGCTATGCAGGTCTTAGTGATTGGAATGCAGACAGTTACAAAGCCCGACGACTTACACTTCCATGAGTAAGGCATCACCCTTGTCCAAATTATTCTGGGTCAGACCAATTCGCACAGGCAAAACAGAGTCACGTTTGATGCGATCACCCTTCACCCAGTCGGCATGCTGGCCTCGCTTTTCATGCAAGACATGCTTAATTGGCGCAGGAACAGCACCCGAAAGGGCAGCAATCGCCAATGCGAGACACACTTGACGTACCAACATCTCGGAGACAAAGAGAAAGGGGTAGATACGACAACATCAGGGGAGAGGGGATCCCCCTTAAAATACTAGGGACTAACAACGGGCTTGTTGTGATTGCAACCCTGCTTTCCCCATCTGAGATAGCGACAGGTACCATTTCACCACGATGAGTCTGATTGGGTGTTCTGCGGGCTAATATGCACGATGCCCGAGACAAAGTTGCAAGCCCACGCGCGGCTTTAGGGCTAAGCATCCCTGGAAAGGCTAATCTCGGCATTTCTCAACTGATCCTGATCAATTGGGTCTTGCAGATATAAGGGCAATTTCCGCACGGTTATTATGTCCTTATCTTGTCTTTTCAATATTGATATCTGACTTTTCTGCGGGATTTGCCTTCGCGGGTTGGTTATCTCAGGTCCGGTGCTCCGACTAGGCCGCCCGTTGGCTGCGGAGTTCCGACGGAAGACTCTTTTGCATATTGCATGATGTGACAATATCGAGTTAAAGCGCGGGGAGCAGCAATCAAGTTTGATCAGCCACTGGAGATGGAAAGTTGAAGGGGATATGTGAGGATCAAACTGCTCGTCACACAGTGCGCCCGACTTAAGCTGTCAAGTCAGGGATGTTGAGCTTCAAGAGCATGAAGCCATGATCTGTTCCTCGGAATCAGATATCTCAACCGCATTTTCTAGAAGTTCTCATCTTAGCTGTTTTTATGTTCAGGTTTAGGTGTATATTCCAGAGACCAATGTGCGACAAGCCCTGTGACGGAAGCTGTGTCTCCCACAATGGCACAAAGCCAGCAAGCAAATGAAGCTCACAATAGAATCTTCCCTATGTCCTCGGTAAACGCTGAATCGCTCTCATCGTCAGCATTTAACAACGTATGAGTTGGCTTCGATGAACAAGCATGTTCTTTTCTTGGCCGAATCATGTCAAAAGGGCTGTCATCAGGACCGATGCAGAGCCCCCATATAGCAGCCAGATAGATTCGACTCCAATAGGGATTAAAGGATCTGCCCTGGGGTGTTATTCCAAGCATCTTCATTTTGTATTTCTTCTTTTCCTCCACGGCAAGATCGAATCCACGATGTTTGCGACAGCACCCGCCTTCGACAGTGCAGTGTCCAACCAGCTTGTAGTGAGAATCATAATTACTATCACAACCTCCGCAGCTGGTGAAAATGGGTACTAAGGCAGCAGCATCGACTGCCTTTTCCTTTGCGTCACCAATCCCAGTGCAGTGGACGGGTTCGTCATTGAGATGGCTCTCATTGCGACCCATATTATCGTCGTTGGCGTCGTCGCCGTCCAGTTCCTGAAATGCACAGTCGGTTCATTCATTGGAGGCTATTGGCAGGCGGTTTCTCAATATGGTTTCCAAAGTAAGTCTCCCCGTTCTGGAGCAAGCGGATCGGATGAGCGATGCGGAAGTCAAGAGCTGGGCTAAACACCAGTCGTTGGATCTAAAGAGCCGGCGCACCATTCGATGCCAGGATGATGGACGAGTCGCTCTAGGCGTCATGGAGGATGAAGGGTGAATATCTAATGTGGTTTCACGATGTTGACTGCAGCTGTTTGGGATCGTAGCATTTTGTACTTCGTTTATGGTCCGTGTTTCCTCATCCTGGTGAATTCTCATTGGTTCATCTGTCGACGTCTTTGGGATGTATTTATATCCCTACTCTTCTCAAGGCCAGCCTCTTTGTCTCTCGCTTGGCCAGGCAAAACGGCCAGTGAGTTCGGCACCAGTTGCTGAGCCAGCTTACAGTGAAGATAAACAAGATAGGTTGAGAAATGTGCTTTTGGAGTGGTAATAGAGTATTGCTCCACTTGGAAAATTTGATGTAATGAAGGATTCTATTAGAAATTGTAGCCCGATTTTCCCTAGATATCAACACACGCGGGAGTCACATCAAGGGATAAACGTTATAGGGCTGAAACTTAGTTCTAAAGGCGAACAGAATAGGAAAGTTCCTGTTCTATATAACTTACCTTCAAGACAGACTATTACCTCAGACAAATAACACGAAGAAAATATGTTATATTTCTAAATCACAAACAAGGAAAAGCTGACATCATCATCATATCGAATATCCATCACAGTGGAAACCGCACCAGGGTGGTACTTTTTTTACGAGAAGGGAGAAAAGAGGGGTGTTAAAGGAGAAGAGAGAAAAAGGGAGAAAGAGAAAAAGAAAAAGAAAAAAAGAGACCGAAAGATGGCTACTAGCAGAAGAAACTCAAACTAGTGGTGGAAAAGACGGATACCCTGCTCGACAAAGGTGATACCCAGCTTCTCGGCGGTCTCGAAGACGGGAGTGTCGTTCTGGCTGCCAGTAGGGGCGGCAATGTACTTGACGCCTGAGCGGGCGGCGCGGAAGACGTTGTCGATGAAGGGGAACTAATTGGATGTTAGTATTAATTAAACATAATGGTGGTAAATTGCGAAGGAACTTACGAATGCATCGGACGAGACGGCAACCTCGCTGAGCTTCTCGAGCCAGGCCTCACGCTCCTCAGCGGTGAAAGGAGCGGGGACCTCCTCGAAGACGCGGACGTACTCAGCGGTCTCGGCGTCATTGCGGGGAGTCTGGCCTGAGCAGAGCAGGTCAATGGCGTTGGACTTGTCGGCACGCTTGGTGCCCTGCTTCCACTTGATGTTGATGACACGCTCGTGGAAGCGCATCCACCAGTTGTCAGCCTTGTCACCGGCTAGACGGGTGCAGTGGATACGGCTCTGCTGGCCGGCGCCGAGGCCGATGACCTGGCCGTTCAGGGCGTAGCAGACCGAGTTGGACTGGGTGTACTTGAGGGCGATGGTGGCGACGGTCAAGTCACGGAGAGCAGCCTCGGGGAGGGCGGCGCTGTTCTTGGGGGTGATGACGGTGTTGAAGGTCTTGCTGGGGGAGATGACGACGTCGTTGCGGTGCTGGGTCAGCTGCACGCCGTACAGGGTGCGGGTCTCCTCGGGGGCGGGGGTGTAGTCCTCGTCCATCTGGAGGACGAGGTACTTGCCGCCCTTCTTCTTGGAGAGGATCTCCAGAGCCTCGGGTTGGTAGCCGGCGGCGATGACACCGTCGGAAACCTCGCGGGAGATGATCTTGGCGGTGGGCACGTCGACAATGTCGCTGAGGGCGAGGATGTCACCGAAGCTGGACATGCGGTCGGCACCACGAGCACGGGCGTAGGCCTGAGCGAGACCGGAGGACTCGATGCCCTTGATGTCATCGACCATGTACACCTTACGCTCCTTCTCGTTGAGGGGCACACCGATGGCAGCACCAGCGGGAGAAACGTGCTTGAAGCTAGCAGCGGCAGGGAAGCCAAGAGCCTGCTTGAGCTCCTTGACCAGAGGCCAGGCGTTCAGGGCATCGAGCAGGTTAACGTAGCCAGGGGATCCGTTGAGGACCTTGAAGGGCAGGTTACCCTGGACAGTGTAGGCAGAGGCAGGCTTCTGGTGGGGGTTGGTACCGTAACGCAGAGAGAGCTGCTTCACGCCGTTGCCAGCGTACTCCTTGCGGAAGAAGCCAGAGATGGCGGAGTCGTAGTCGGCAGTCTGCTCGAAGGCCTTGAGGGCGTACTGCTTGCGGCTGGCATCGGTGATCTCACCAGCCTCGAGCTCCTTGAGGAACTCGGGGTAGTCAGTGGGGTCGGACAGGATGGTAACACGCTTGTGGTTCTTGGCCGCAGCGCGGAGCAGAGTCACACCACCGATATCGACCTCCTCGACGGCCTCGTCAATGGTGACGTTGACCTTGGCGACGGTCTCCTTGAAGGGGTACAGGTTGCAGACGACATAGTCAACCTTGGCAATATTCTGTTCAGCAAGGTCCTTCTCGTCGGACTCGATGTCACGGGCGAGGATACCACCGTGGACGGCGGGGTGGAGGGTCTTGACACGGCCACCGAGCATCTCAGGGGCACGAGTGATGGCGGAGACGTCCCTGTCAGTTTATCAGCGCCTGAGCTGTATATAACCCTAAGCTTCCAGTATACTTGCACGAGGCAACTTACTCGACGGGGAAACCGGCCTCACGGATCATCTTAGCGGTACCGCCAGACGCGAGAAGACGGACATCCTGCTTGACGAGGCCCTTGGCCAGGTCGAGGAGACCAGTCTTGTCATAGACGGAGATGATGGCTATTCGAAACAAAGAAGAGGTTAGCATTGGCCTTGACCAGTTCGGAGGAAGCAATTCATAGTCTGGGTAATGCCCGATCTATGAAGCCAAGAGTCACATACCAGACTTCTGTTGAGACATGATGGAGTCGACACTAGATCTGTTAGCACAGCCAATCAAATTTCAATTGCAATATGCAATTGATCTGCACCAAGAAGCAACGAGCGTACCTGAATCCAAGTGACAACAGGGTATATAGCAATGACGAACAAGAGGAAAAAAGAGAAATGACCCGCGGGGTCACACCGTAATCGGAGGGGCTGTATTGGGCGGGTTATATTACCATAGATACCATTGGCCATTACCACCTCCGCCTTCGATATTAGCCAATAAGCGATCTCCCTCGGCAGAACTCCCTAGCGTGCCACGTGACTCAACATTCAAAAGCTTTTTTCCACTGGGCGCATTTCCTCTTTTCTTCTTTTTTCTTCATGAACAACGCAAAAAATAACATTCCAAAAAGCGTTCCTACGAGGACTTGTCTGATGAAGTACGGAAATCGTAAAGAGAATGGAGACCGAGTGCCAAATGGCTAAAGGTGTCGATCTTGGGTGCAGTGCCTGCTTGACCTTGTGTCATGTAGTGGGGATTGCAATGATTGATTCCACATCGCGAATCTCAATATCAATATTATATTTATTTATATTTTCATCTATGATGCTACACGTATACACAGTCTTAAGAGTAGACGGGTTGGAGCAGAGCCAGTTTCTATTACAACATACATATATCCATCGCATAAATTATTTCTGTATCGGTCTTCACACCCTCATAAAGCGTTGACGCGCATCCTTCAAGTTATCAAGCTGAAGAACACTTAGATACTTTTGAGCCTATCATGGCTTCAGGGTATCTCTGCTGCCGGCTCCGATGGCCAGCTGACGGCCGACGTTTCCAAAGCACACGCACGCGCAGAAAATGACACTCGCGACCCAGGTGCGGACCGCAAGGCTCTCCTGCGTAATGCCTGCTCCAAGCGCATTCTCCAGCCCAGTACCATTCAGGATGCTAGTACCGAATGAAGGACCAGTAGACGCAGGTACCAGCTCTGGCTTGAGGCCGAGAACCACTCCCATACCGGCCAGGCCGACGGTAGTCGAGAGAACGAAGCCGGTCGTGGTACGGTCAATGAGGTACCAGAGAACGGGATTGGCGAGGGCGAGAGTAAGAGAGGCTTGCGTGGTAGATTGCCAAGGGAGTCTCCGCTGCAGAAAAAAAAAAAAAAATCGCCATGTCAGCTTTGTCCCGCATGCAAAAGAACAGAGGGGGAAAAATAATAAGCACACACCATAGCAAAAGCAATCCCAACAAAAGCACCAACACTCCGAGCAACAGTAACCCAAGACGGAGTCCGGTCCTCGCGCTCTTCCTCATTACTCGCGTGCTTGGAATCAGCCTTCTCAAGCTCACCCTCACGCCAACCATCCAACCAAGGAAGCAAATTGCCCAGCGCAATTCCAGCCAACCCCCAAATCCCGAGGTACTGCCATGAATCGTAGTAATGAACATTCTCCAGCTTCACAGGGGTAATCCAATGATTCTCATGAAGATGCACCGTAATCACCCCGTAAACAATACCAAACCCAAATAGCAGCGCACTGCTCATAACCTGCGGCAAGATCACACCCCGGAACAGCCCCTGACTCAACCGCGAGCGTGTGCGCCGCAGCGCCAGCCGCCGCGGTTCAATGGCCGACTTCTCTGCTGCAAGCTGCGACGGCTCAGGCGGGTACTCTGACGCCGGGGAATTGGCTTCTGTGCCCCAGGGGCTGGATTCATCGCGCAGGCTGTCGAATGCTGTGGGCGAGTAGATACCGTACAGGGTTGAGGAGGTTAGGTTCATGATTGAGCCGGTGCGGCTGACGCTTGTTGAGTTGGGCCCTGTTCCTGGCGCTGCGCTAGGGTTTAGGTACTCCGCGTTGGGGTTTAGGTACTCCGTGCTGGTTGATTCGGCGGGGGTTGGGGGCCCGGAGGATTCGGTTGATGCTGGTGCTAGGTCGAAGGGCCGTCTTGGGCGTGGGCGCAGAATGCGTGGTTGTTCTGTCATGGTGGCTGGGTTTGGGGGGTTGTTGAGGTTGAAGTAAGCTGAGCTTGTGGAAATGTGTCTCCAGTGGTCGGCACGGCGGAATTCGACCGAGTCCCGTTCCGTATCACGCGTTGAAGATCGTACGAGGGCGTCAGATGATTCTCCGGGGAGTTGTGAAGGGAATGAAGTGGCCGAAGTCAAATTTGGGGTTTGGTCGGATGCGGAAGATTGACGCTTCCCAACAAAAATGTGTCAAATGGTGAAGATGCAGGGGGTGACAGAAACAGATAGGTCTCAGTAGATAGTTGTTTAGGAATCCGCTCTGTGCTGTTGGTTGCTGCAGTATCCACAACATCTGCCCGCTCTACAGTATGACGATGGTCTGATCTGTTGATCTTCGAGCGTAGAATGAGCCGGAGAAGTATAGAAAAGAAGAGAACGAGTCTGGCATTGCAGAGGCATAGAGAAAGAGGGGAATATCACATGTTGTTCACTGATGTCAAGTCTCCACGATGCTCATGCGCTGCATGAAGCCTCGGAGATTTCGCCACTTACAACTGGGGCCATGAAGTATTGGACTGTCTCTACACAAAAGCCTCAAAGCGAGTACAGCGTTCTGTACATTGTTTTCGCCCTACTTTGGCCTCTCTTTTAGCCTCTTTGTTTGCCCATTTTCGAGTGCATCTACATATAAGGGTTAATAATGTAGATTGTGAAAAGTCTTATAGCTATATCAGTACGAGCTTAGCCTACACAGAGTGATTCGAAACAGTCAATTCACGCCTAAACAAGACCCTTAAGCCGAAAAGCACAAAATGTAGATCATGATACACAGAGTTCAAACGCCATCCCAATTACCTAGTCTTCCATCACTTCGTCGCCATCACCTTCGCGGTGATCAGCAAGACCCCCGGGGGCGGGGATGAGGCCTCATGTCGTGCATAGCCGTTGGCACCATCGTACGTAGATGAATTCTCATCATCGTCATCATCGTCCTGGTCATCCGTTGAATCGCCATCAGACCCTTCACCGAGCAGTTCGCGATCGAGATCGTCCAGTTCCCCTTCCATGTAGTCGTCGTGTCCATGTTCCGGGTCCCAGTTGGGAGTGCCCATGGCTGATGTTGCAACGCCCGGACCGTCGGGGTAGCCAGGGTGGCCCTTGGCACGAGACGCTTGGGCTTTCTTTGCTGTGCCAGGGGTAGCTGTTACACCCGACTTGCGCTTGGCAGCAGCACTAGGGCGCGAGGCACGCGGGCGCGAGCGATTGTTGGAGTTGCGCACGTCAGCCTCCAGGGCTGCTCGGGCCTTGTATCTCTCCTCGCGTTCCTGCTTGCGATCTTTCTTGGGCCCGTTGGCTTCGTCGCAATCCCAGCGGTCCAGTCGTCGCGCGGCTTTCCTTACTACGGACAGGAAGACACTGGCACATTCTCCGAAGTCGTCTTCTTCGTCTGGATTCGGGAAAAGGCCACCCTTGCCCCATGAGTTTTCTTCATCGTCTGTATTGTAGCCTTCGGGAAGACTCTGGAGCAAGCGACCGTAGCGGCCGAAAGGAATCTCACTCTCCCGCTTGGCACGAAGGACACGGTATGCATGAGACCTGCGCTTGGCAAGCAGATAGTCGATCCTTTGGCGACGGTTTTGTTCCACAGCAATCTGGTGTTGTGTTAATGGGCGTGGTCGGCGTCCAGGCGCTGTAGACAATGAAGGCTCGGCGATGAAACGGTTCAGAACTGGATGATTGGAGCCCGGAGGCGCAGGAGAAACATCTGGAGTGTGATCCATCCTCGTCTTCAAAACGAGCCTCTGCTGGCCCATAGCTCGGTTGAGTGATGATTCCCGCTTGGCTTGTTTGGGGCGCGGACGAGAGTAACCAGGAGTCATATCATCTTCCTCGTCGTCCAAGCTTCGTTTAGCAGAGGGGTGGAGAGGGGTGGACATGGCAGAGCCGCGACCTCCGAAGCCAGAGTAGTCTCCAGCAAATGATTCTTCGTCAAAGCCGAATTCTGTGGAAGAAAGTTAGACCAGAAAGATGTCTCAGTTATCTCGGATTGAGCTTACCTTTCTTGGGTCGCTTGGGGACGCGTGGTAATGGTTCTTCTTCCTCTAGAATGCCTGCACCAATTTGTCAGTCAACAATTCCGAGTTTCAATGGCAAGCACACGTACGCTTGCGTTCCAGTCTCTTCGACTCTCCATATTCCTGCTCTTCGGGTGTATCTACATTCTCCTCATTCGACTGCTCCTCGGTCAAGATATCAAAGGCTGGCACCTTGAGAGGTAGTCCCTCAGAGCCCTCGCCTTCCATACCAGCACCAAACGGATTGTTTAGGGCCGCTTCACGGCTAAAGTCACTCTCCAGATACCACCACATCAACCACAGGAACGCTCTGGCGCGACTTTGACTACTAAGCGTAGACCTCATGACCAAATCGAAGAAGTCTCGTGGAGGGAAGAAGTGTGTTTCCGACACTTTGGGTGCGTACTGCGCCAGAACGAATATCAGATTCACCGGGTTTGTCCGAGGCACATTTAGCCGCTTGATCTTATCCAGTGTATTCGGTTGCTCGGCGTCCTCAGAGGCACCCTTGAGGATAGATTTGAGACGCGGGGCATCTTGCAGCTGCTTGTAGGCATTGGAGTCCTGGTGCGCTTGTAATGAGGGAATCGAGTGGTAGGTTCGGAGTTGAGCACGCATTTCGGGGAAGACTATAAAACAAAAGCAATTGTTGTTAGCATTGTAGACAGGGAATGTATGAGCTTCCACGTACAGTTCAGAGTGGTATTCATGCGACCGAAATTGACCAGCAGACAGACCATGGCCATACTGATAGCTGCCGGCTTGTCATTCTGCAACTTATCCTTGAGGATCTTGCTAGTCTTGCTGCTCCGGGCCATTGCATCGATGTAGACATCCGCGAAGTCCATTCCCTTTTGTCCGTCGGGGTACCGCGTAAAGACTGGTGTTTTGTCTTCAAACACCAGTTTCAAGAACTGGTATTGGATATCTTTGCGCCACAGAGGGATACCGTCTTCTTTCTTGAGGTGCCGAATCTTGTTGCCCGAGTAGACAGAGCCAATCGTGCCATTCGCTTGTCGTCTTGTACCGACCGTCGCGCTGGCGGTTAAGCCACCGTTGTTCTGGTCATCCGCAGCCTCGGACATCGCAAAGGACTCGTCCATCATGCTCTGGTCCATGTCGGCCATCTGGACGGTGGGTATGGGGGAAAGGTGGACACGTTTGCGACAGACTGAAAACCGGAGAAATCGCGGGTTGGGGCAGTGGAGATGCCCCCTAGTAGGGCGGCCGATGAAAAAGGCAGAAGTACCAGGAAAAAGAACAATGTGAGGATGAAAAAGGATAGAAGGGGGGAAGTGGAAAAGAGTGAGGTTAAGGGAAAATGAAAAATGAGGTCAAAGTTCCGGAAAATCGAGGAAGAAAGCAGTGCCGAGTGCCCATGAAGGTATAGCTGTGATATCTACCCGTATTGGGCAGTACTGCCACGCACTGTCAAAGCTCCATATATCTATCTATCTACATCTACATCTACACTTTACACACACAATTGATCTTCACGGGCTGCAATTCACTAGGCTACGTCATACAGATTTGGAAACACTTTTCGAAATTGCATTGGAGAATTCCTTCTCATGGCCCAGGGCCTCAGGTTCCTCCGAACCGGCACATTCATCCAACGGCGGCGACAGCGTCCCATCCTCCAAGGTCCGAGAAAATGATCAGAACAGACAAGGAAAATAATGTGATGTGTTCCCGCTCGGAAACAATCAGCCTCCAGGACCAGAAAGCAGAGGATATTGTGGATGCAGGTCAAGCCAACGCCATACAGAATGCATAGTAAAACCATTTTTTGTTTCGCCCACCAGCAGAAGCCCGGAGAAAGAACATATTTTTTTAGAAAAAGAAAACCGCAGAACGCACGAAGGCAGCAACTGGAAAGAAATGTCCGCCATGAGATACCGACGCTGTAAAAAGTCTATGCTGCACATAATGCAGCCATAACAAACACCGAGAAGGATGAAAAGAGAAAGAGAGAACTTTTCGAGAGGGTGAAAAGCCGGCATTCTCCGCTCGGCGCACGCGCGTCACTCGAACGTGTCCCCTGCTGGGAACGCTCGAACATAAGGGGTATCTGACGAGAGCGGACATGGGAAAAGATAAAGAGACAACGCGATCTATGATGTTCATGCAGTGCCAATCACGGTTTGCTCGAAAGCAACAGGCGATCCGACTGCGCCAATGCCCCACGTCTAGACAAGGCTATAACAAAGCCTGGTATAGAACAAGTAAGATGGGCATAAGGAACACAACAGAAATAACAGAATTAAAGAAACATGCGCAAACATGGAGAAAATGACTCTAAAACAAGCATAGGAAAGTCGTAGCAGTCATGACAAAGCCGTCCCTGAGAGATAGCAAGAGAGGAAAAAAGAGATACTCAGGGACTCGTTCTGATCGTATCCGTCAACGAGAGACAAAAGAAAATAGAGCAATGGAGCCAATCAGACCCGGCGGCCTCGTCAAAAGACCACGACCGATTTACCACCAGGAAGAGGGACCGGAGGAGCCGGAGGGGTTGCCGTAGCCACCACCGCCGCCGTAGCCGCCGCCGCCGTAGGAGGGAGCACCACCGCCATAGCTACCACCGTAGGAGGGAGTAGAGCCAGCGGCAGCACCGCCGTAACCAGAGCCGCCGCCGAAGCCACCGCCCATACCCATACCACCGGGAACGCGACGCATGTCACGAGTGGCGTTGGAGCCACGGCCGCGGCCACCACCGCGTCCACCACGGCCACTGAAGCCGCTGCCCTCGCGGGCAATGCTCTCCAGGAAAGAGGGAACCTCCTGGTGGGCCTCCTTGAGGAGTTCGAGCAAGTCACGGACAACACCGCGGTTGCCACGGTTGAAGAAGGCAGTGGCGATACCGGTGTTACCAGCACGACCGGTACGACCGATACGGTGGACGTAGTCGTCAATGTCGGTGGGAAGATCGTAGTTGATGACGTGGGTCACGTTGGGGATATCGAGACCACGGGCAGCAACAGCAGTGGCAACCAGGATGGGGCAGCGGCCGTTACGGAAGAGCTCCAGAGCACGCTCACGCTCGCGCTGGGTGCGGTCACCGTGAATGGCGGTAGCGGGGAAACGCTGGTTGATGAGGAAGTCGGAGAGGGAGTCGGCCATACGCTTGGTCTCCACGAAGATGAGGGTCAGACCAGTGCTGCCGTGAGTGTGGAGGATGTCCAGGAGGACAGAGCGCTTGTCAGCGTCCTCGACGTACTCGACTTTCTGGGTAATGTTCTCAGAGGTAGATCCGACACGACCGACGGACAAGAAGATGTAGTCCTTGAGGAAGTCGCGAGCAAGCATCTGGATGTCGCGGGGGAAAGTGGCCGAGAACATGAGAGTCTGGCGGTCCTGGACAAGAGGCATATCCTCACCCTCAACGATACGGCGAATCTGGGGCTCGAAACCCATGTCCAACATGCGGTCAGCCTCGTCAAGAACAAGGTACTTGATGTTAGCGAGGGAGATACGGCCACGCTCAATCAAATCGACGAGACGACCGGGAGTAGCAACGAGAAGATCGCAGCCACGCTCAATCTGGCGAAGCTGGGAACCGATGTCGGCACCACCGTACACGACACAGGGGCGGACCCAAGAGCGGTAAGCAAACTTGCGGGCCTCATCGAAGATCTGAGAGACAAGCTCACGAGTAGGAGCAAGAATGAGGGAAGTAGGGTAAGCCTTGCGCTGACGGCCGTAGCTGTACTGACCACCCGCAGAAGTAGGGGTAGCGGAGGGACCGTTCTTGAAAGCCTGGGAGAGGATGGGGAAAAGGAAACCACCAGTCTTTCCGGAACCGGTCTGGGCACAAGCCATAAGATCACGGCCACCCATGACAATGGGGACAGAGTACTTCTGGACAGGGGTGGGGATAACATAGCTGGCGAGCTTAATGTTGGAGATCAGGTGGTCGTCCAGAGGGGGGTTGGTGAACTGAGAAACGGGCTCGGGGACGTCGTTACCGGAGGCCTCGACGGGAATGTCATCGTAGTTGGCGAAGTTAATACCAGTCTGCTGCTTGGAGGGGTCGTTGGGAACACCGAAAAGCTCACGCTCCACGCGGGCGTTGGCGGGACCGGGAATGTGCTTGCCGTCGCGCCACTGGCCATCGCCAGAGCCACGGCCTTGCTGAGCACCTCCACCACTGTAGTTGCCGCCACCATAAGATCCTGGATGTCCGTAAGCCTGGGGATCGAAGGGTTGAAGTTGACCGATTGGGTTCGGCATATTGGGTGGTTTACCATTAGCGGGGCCGCGAGGGCTGAAGTCGGGGGCGTTAGCATTAGCCCATTTTCCACCGGGGGGACCACTAGAGAAGCCATTCATATTAGCGACAATTCATGGGGGTTTGATTTGGGAGACTGTACCGAGGGCCACCAAAGCCGCCGGCGGGAGCAGCAGCAGGATCCACGTTGGCAGGAGCAGGACCGGGACCACGCTGGCGGAGGTGTGGAGGAATGTAGGCGGCACGGCCAGCGCCAGGAGCGTTACCGGCGGGGGCGTGCTGGGACTCGTTGAGGGAAAGGTTTCCCATCTGCAGACCGTCGGCCATTTTTGCGGTTGAAAATGTCTGTGGCAAGAACTCAGGTCAGAAGGTGGAGTGCAAGGAGGGAAGAACTGATGCGAACAGTATTTTTTTTCAGGTTCACCGAGAAGATGACAGGGCGCAAGCGATCTCAGAAAGATACTTGCAGAAAAAGAGAATCACGTTCAGATACCTTCACTGCGAGAAGGACGGTGAAAAGATCGGGGTTTGCAGTGTTCCACCTAAAAAAAAAAGATGGAGTGGGCAAACAAGGAATCAAGAAACTGATAAATGCAAATCTCCCAAATCTAAAGAACTCTAGAAGAAAAGAGAGGAGAGTGGAAAAAAAGGGATAGAGAGAACTGAAGTGTGTGGGAAGGAGGCAAATCGTCAGTTGGAGAGAGTCGCAGTACCGTACTGTGAGGTAATGAGACGAAACGGGAGGCGTTGGTACCTATGAGGAACCTCAGTTTTGGCTGGACAATCGCTGTACCGCCCAGGTACTGACCAAGTACTGACCGCCACGAAAAAAATTTCTTATTTTTTACTTGCCAGTTGGTTGGGTCTGGGCGTGTCTGACTAAGAAAACGGAGCTGACTGGTTTTAGAGTGCAAGAAAGATAACAACTCTAGTTCCTCTACTTCTGGTTATTTTTGTAACCTAATGAAAGATGTAACATGAGATACTCAACAGCCCATTTGGGGAAAGTATACATTCAACTCTTACGCATCATAGTGCTCTTTCTCCTGCTGTTGCTGCTGGCTGCGCCGGCGGGCAATCCAGACACCCACAATAGCAACCAGAACGAAGAAAATCACCAGCGGCTGAAGTGAATAAGATGTTGTGATGATCTCGGGAGCCTCGGTGACCGGCTCGGTGACCGGCTCGGCGACCGGTTCTTGGTCGATTTCTTAAAATCCAGCATCATCAGCCACCAACCAGCAGCGGAGGAAACAGCGCAGACAGTCACCTATCTACAGCTCATCACGGCTACCTTTGTCCTCGGTCTCTTGCTCCACGGGGAGCTCACCGCTCTTGACGATCTTGACAGCTTCCTTGGGCTTGTCACCGGGGAGCTTGGGGACGTTCTGGATCTTGTCAACGATCTCGTAGCCCTCAAGGACCTCTCCGAAGACGACGTGACGTCCATCGAGCCAACTAGTAACTTGTCAGCCACGGATCACACTAATGGGTAGTAATAACGGGATACGAACGAGGTGATGGCGGTGGTGATGAAGAACTGGGAGCCATTGGTGTCCTTGCCGGCGTTGGCCATGCCTAGGAACGGTCAGATATCCGAAACATTCACTGATTGATGAAATGATTGAATATAGTGCTTACTCAGGAGACCCTTCTTGGTGTGGCGGAGCTTGAAGTTCTCATCCTTGAACTTGTTGCCGTAGATCGACTTGCCACCAGTGCCTGTATGCACTTAGCATCATGCGCCTCACCCCAGGTTAGAGATAACATACCATCGCCCTTGGTGAAGTCACCACCCTGAATCATGAAGTCCTTGATAACACGGTGGAAGGTAGAATCCTGGTAACCAAAGCCCTTCTCGCCGGTAGCCAGAGCGCTAAAAGCGTGGTCAGCTTAAACAGGAACATTGAAAGCGTTGGCGCAACCAGCAATCCATACCGGAAGTTCTCAGCGGTCTATATCAAGAACGACGTCAGCGATAAATCCTCAATTGCCAGTTCCATTGGATATAGCTTAACGAACCTCGGGGACAGTCTTGCCGTACAAGCCGAACACAATGCGGCCAAGAGGCTCCTCTCCATGCTGGATGTCAAAGTAGACCTAACCACCAGTCAGATTGTTTCAATATGGAGCCAGTCAAACGCATAAGGGTAAAGTAATCACCTTGCTAGTGACCTTGGGGCCACGGGGCTCCTTGGACTCCTCAGCCTGGACCAGCGCGAAGCCGACGGCGAAGACGACAAAAAGAGACAGGAATAAGTTCCGGAAATACATGATTGCTAATTGTCACTGCTTTGGGGGACTGAAGAAGGGAGAAGTAGAGGAGGCCAGCTTGCAATGGCGTGCGGAGAATACGCTCCACTTCCAAACATGTAATTTTCAATTCAGCGGTTAATAAATAGCTGGTGGGATAGAGTTTATTACATTAAATACAGAATTATGCAATGCAAATACACAGCCAGATTTGCGAATTCAGCCCCGGAAAAACATTGATGCCGGATGATTTCTCCCGGAAGTTCGAGAGCAACGAGCAACGGACTCCATTCCAAAGTTAAGACAGCAGCCAGCCAAAATACGCCAAGATGGTAAGTCAGGGACATTGACAGCACACATGGATGTCTCACTAACAATCCCTCCAGGTCTTCATCCTAGGCGTTAACTTCCCCGAGCGGAACCTCCTCAAGGCAAGCCAACCCCCATGCGCCAGCAGCGTCACCACGATCTCGACCCAATGGGGCCTCGACTAACATGCAATACTTGCTCAAAACAGAAATCCCTCGAGACATTCTTCGGAATCGGCAACAACAGCTCCTCCCGCCTCCTGTCCCGCTTCAACATCCACCCAACCTGCCGCGTCGGCGAGCTGGCCAACAAGCAAGTCCTCGATTTGACCGCCGTGCTATCGGAAATGAAGATTGAGAATGACTTGCGCAGAGAGGTCCTCAATGATATTAAGCGTCTGAAGGAGACTGGAACATACCGCGGCCGACGTCACGCACTGGGCTTGCCTGTCAGGGGACAGCGGACACGGACTCAAGTGAGTTGTCTCTCGTTGCATTGTCTATTGGATTGCTCTGAAGGTGGATTGTGGCTAATGGATTTTTAACAGATCAAAACTCCTGTCCGGTTGAACCGCATGGAGCGGAGGCTATAAATTGGACGGCAGCTCGTTCGCTTGTGTGCTTTTATGGAATTGTCTCACGCTTTTTTGTGTGAGGGGCATGGAACTGGCGTTTTCTTGATACCTGGCACTTGATTTTTGTCAGGTTGAATTGTATGTGAATGGAACACCTCTCTGGATGTATTATAGGCTAGAAATGAACCTAGTGTGAACAAAAGCAAAAGAAATACTCGACAATACTTAAGATCGTAGAAACTGTATGTTTGCTAGTAGATATACATCCAGTTCCGAGCTAGAATCAACGTGAAGATGGAACAGTAATAAAAAGTAATATGTATCTAGCTAGATTCTCAACTTTTGCAATCAACCAAGTGTTAAACGCCAGGCCCATATGTGCAACTTCATGCCTTTGAGGACAAGACACCCTCTCCGCGGTTGATCTGGATCCGCTTGTCCTCACCAGCGCTGACAATTCCAATCGTCTTGTCCCAGCACACGCTGAACACCTTGACACCTTCACCACCAACACGCTTGCTGTCGGCCTTGCCCTCCTCCTCGAGGCTCTTCCGCGTAATAGAGTAGACACTCTCTCCAACAACACCTTCCTTGTCAGTCTTGGTAGACCGGATATCCCAGATGCGACATGTGCCGTCGTGGCTGCCACTAATGAGACCATATGTGCTGTGAGGGTCGCGAGCCAAGCTCACAACGGCGTTGGTGTGGCCACGGAGAGTCATAGCTGCCACAGTTGTGGCAGATGCGCGAGGATCAATCAGGGTAATATGACGGGCGGCAGTACCTGCAGCCAGGAGGTTGAGTTCGGGGAGGTGCTCGAGCGAGAGAAGCGAGTGTGAAGTGGTACGAGTGTCAACTAGACCGCCAGTGACCAAATCCCAGGTGCGCAGAGAGTGGTCCCAGGAGGCAGAGTAACCAACTGTGGCATCCTTTGCGTCAAATATGGCGGCGGAAACGGGTGCAGTGTGTCCCGACAACAGATTCAGAGGGCCGCGCTGGGCGGTGCTGACAGACGAGTTCAGCTTGCGTCGCTTCGAGTTGCGAGCGTTAGAGGGAAGCAAGTTCTCTGGTGCGGCAGGTGCGTCGGCCTTCTTGGTTGACCAGAATCCGACAGTGTGGTCTGACGAGCCAGTCAACAGACGGTTGGACTGCGCATGCACAGCTAGTGACTCGACCCCAGACTTGTGACCGTACAGCTCCAGCTGGGGAGCGATCTTTCCAGCGAAGCCACCCTCGTCCTCGGTATACTTCCACAATCGGACCGTGCGATCAAGACCTGCCGAAGCAATCTGGTTCGGGGAAACGAACTTGGCGGCTTTGATGGAGGCAGTGTGGCCGCCCTCGGTGGCAGCAGGGGATGTCGCAATGGTCTCGGATGACATGTTCCAGATGCGAATGAGACCGTCGTAACTTCCGGAAAGAATTCTCTCTTGGCCCTTCTTGACAGTTGCGCCTGATGCCCAAGATGCAGCAGGTGAAGTGGTGGAAAGGACGTCAGTGGAGCTGACCCAGTCGTCGTGCTGGAAAGAGGCGATGTGCAGAGGAGGGATCAAAGCCCGAACATATTCAATCTCGAGGGTTGTCTCAGCAGAGATACCATTGTCGACCAAATATTCGTCAATCGAGGTCCGCAGAAAAGTTCCGTTGATCAAAAACTCAAATGGGATCGGCTTCTCGCTCGAGAGAAGGTTGTTCACCAGTGTCGACAGCGCATAACGGCGAAGACCTGTACAGAAGGAAAGTCAGTACTGTGGCTGTTACTTTTTGATCGACATCAACTTACCGGTAGGAACGAGAATTGGGCCGGTGCTCTCAGGCAGAGCAATATCCTCCTGCTGACTGGTGAGCTGCACTCGAACTTGTCTTTGCGCAGCCTCAGAGGCTCCTGACATGATTTGATCTTCACTCATGGTGAAATCGAGTCCGAATTGGTGCTGCTGTTGGAGATGGAATCTTTTCTGGTGGCAGTCGCATTTTCGGCGGGCGAAGAAAAATTACGGGGACCCGTGCGGCACACTTGCGCAGAGCGCGGAGATACGCCTCGTTTACTAGATGCAATACTGTACTAACATAGTTTCTGTGAATAAATTCATATAGATAGATTCTATGGAATAAATTGCTTTTCTATACATTTGACATCTATCCTCTGGGAGCTCTTCGAATCTCTGCGATAGCTCGTCGCCGGTAGTCAGATTCAGCAAACAATGCCTCAATCAGGTCAATCACCTCCTCGGCAGAGAATTCCAGGCCCAGCTCTCCTTCAATCCAGAGGTACTTGATGTCGGCAAGCGAGCTCTCCAGGATGTTGACCAGATATTGGAAGCGAAGCCAGCTTGGGACGTAAATTGCTGTGACAGGCAAAGCCTCGGCATCACCAGTCTCGGGCCTAAACAAGTCTTCAAGCTTCGAGATTTGGTTGCAGAAAGAGACCAGTTGCCGAGACTGATCCTCTGAGATATCGCCCAAATCCTCGATATCGATGACAACCTTGTTTATCACTGTAGACAAGAGTGATCCAACAGACTGGAGCAGAGCAGAGTGTGACAGAATGGGCTGCCATTCCTTATAGACATCGCGAATTCGGTCAACGGTGGCGCTGACAGAGTTCTCACAGTTTGACTGGAATGGTTGTTCGGAGCATTGTCCAAATCCTTGAGCTCCATCCAGCAGATCGGTAACAATCGTGCGCTGGGTCTGCATCTCTTTGCTATAAGCAAGCTTTCCGAATTTCTCCAAAGCCTCAACATCGGGCTGAAGCCTGGAGAGATCATGCTCCTCGACCAGCCTCCGGATCGCATCTGCAAGGTACAGACTGTCGTTGTAAAGATACATCTGTCCTGAACTAAGTTTCATCGAGTAGAATGTCGATGATGTAGCTTTGAACATGGCGAGGATGAGGGTCGGAAGAGCCAAGAGACCATTCCCAGAAGAGGCAACGCGGGAATTGGCATGTCTGATATCTCATTAGTTTAGGCGGAGGTGTAGTAGTTTTCAGGCATGACTTACGCGGGCTGCGAGATATCCTTTGAATCAGTGATTTGCTGCTGAACCACCCTGAGAACCGACTCTGGGATATCGGTAATGGTAAACACTTCCTTCAGGGTAACCTCCTTAGGCGACGAAGACCCGGTTATGTTCCTTGCGTCTGCTTCTTTCGTTGCGGAGGTGTTATTTTGTTTAGAAGGCTCAGTGTCAGCTCTCTGGGCATCTTCATCCTCATCAGCCCAGCCCCAGGCATCATCCGCGTCATCATCTTCTGTGGATACCGCTGCGTCTGGGTTGGGCTCATCTTGAGTCTCGTCATCATCAAGGCCCCACGCACTAACGTCTTCCTCTTCTTCTTGGGGTTTTGATGCATCTGCTTTCACAGCCGTGTCATCTTTATCATCATCCCAGTCCGCATCCCAGTCATCATTGACGGCATTTTCCAGGAGGGCCCCATTAGTCTGAGAAACTTTTTCTTTTTCGACACGTTCGACCTGTTTGGTTGTGCCCTGGCTAGCAGCGAGAACTTTCCGGACACTATCGAGTGAGTCGACCCGACGCCGAGTCAACCACAAGCGCGGGGCCTGGTTAACCCATGAAACCAGTTCTTCCTGGCCAGTCCAACCCCAAGACTCAATGGTCTGGGTGAATTGCAGGACACCGTCCAGAAGTTTCTCGAAATCGGCAAGACCACCTAGTTCGGTGGGGATGGCAGAAGATAGCCACTCTGAGATCGCCTTTGAAGCGATGCTTGGAATGAAAGACTCCGGGAGAGCCGCAGATACAACCGTAGGTAGATTCTGTCGCAAATGACCCAAAACGCTGGAAAGACGATCCAACGTCTCGGACACGGTTGCTGTTGAGGCCTCGGGATCAATACGAATGCTAGTCTCCGTCACCATAACACCATGGCTGGTTCCATCAGGGCGAGGCAGCAAGATTGGATTGAGAATTGCAGAGAAAAAGTCCTTCTGGAACTTCTGGTTGGCAGATGTAAGGATATCCATCCGGGCAAGTGACGCGATAGTGTCCTCAAGAGCAGTTGCATCCGCCTTGGAAACCTGGAATTCGCGATTCTGTCGGTCAATCTTCAGCTGGTCCGCCCAGCGCATATAAAGCGCTTCGATAATCTCGGATCGCAGCTGTGCCACCTCTCCGGAGAGTATGCCCATCACATTTGTATTGGTAAAGAAAGAATCCTTCCCAACAGCCGCGTCGGTAGACTCCAGTTGCTCAATGGCAGTCGTGATCTGGCCATTTCCGAGGGCAGCGTGGCCACTTTCCAACCGCTGACACAGCCGCTGTACCTCCTCCAGAGTGCCTGCGACGGCCTCGTTGAAGGCTATCTCCGTCTCTACCAATGCGACCTTCGCCTTTGCGTCTTCAACCTTGGCTTGTAGGGGATTGGTATGCTCATGCTGGGCGACAATCTCGCGCGCAGTTAATCTGGATCGTTCTATGTCTGCATGAAGTTGTTTCGCTTGGATAATCCAGTCGTCGGCGTCAAAGGTGTTCTCGCGACTCAGGGAGCTGATCTCGTTCTAACCGGGGACAACAGCGCAGGTCAGTAAACGTGATCAGCAAAAGAATAACTGGAGCTTCGTACTTCTACCTGCTCACGAGCCTTGGATATAAGCTCCAGCTCTCTGGCGAGGGCAGCTGCCGGGAACTTGCCAGCAACCACCTTCTCCTCAGGGTACGTGCCCTCGGCGACGAAGCCCAGCACCGCCTGGCACACCTCCTCATCTCCGGTATTCCCGGTCATGGCAGCCAATGGTTTGAGTTTAGATGTGAGCGAATCGAGGAAAAGGTGCTGGTTATAATGAAGTGTAGAGGCAAAGAGCTTAGCTGTCAACAACCCGTGACCTTGGGCGTCACCGCCCCACGTGTGATTACATTCTGTATATTCGCGTTCAGAAGGAAGAGAAGAGATTCAAGATATTATCTGGATATGACATATAATTTCTAATTTTGATACTCTGAGTGACTGGTCTATAAATCTCCAACACCGAGCTCGCTTTGTAAGGAACGGGACCCAAACTCCGCCGGGGTCCAGCACACATTCTGAACACACTCATCGTGTCTCGATTTTTACGCCTGAGTCGGGCAAACACTTGGTTTCTGTGAGTCTTCGTCTCTGCTGTCTCTTTGTTGTTCATGGAGGGGCCATCTGATACCCCAATTTTCTGTCTGCCCCTCCATTTATGTCTCTCCTCGGCGGGATGTGATAGTAGAAACCCTGACCAGGTGGGCATGTCCTTTCACGGTATGAGAGGTTGCTATGAAGAGGATGTATACGGTTACTCTCGTACTCATCATCTCAGTCTGCTCAAATCCTCTCCGGTCTTTGAGTTTCGGGCTGGGTATCAGAATGTTCCTCGCTGTGGATGCGCTGGCGATGAGACTCAATCCTCCTTGAGATGAAACTTGCTGACAAAAGCCTTTAGACTGTCAAGCTTCCGGCGAAATATCTTCACTGGGCCTGCCCCATTGATCAATATGTCGCCGTCGGTGCAAAACAGTCACTTCAAACTGCTCCAGCAGTTCAAGCCAGACTACTCGCCAAGCGAGTTCACCCAGTATGAATCACAGCGCACCGGCATGAGGGTGGTCGTCATCGACCAGCCCGGTCCTAAGGTGAATGGCTACTTTGTGCTTGCCACTGAGATCCACGATGACTCCGGTGCCCCTCACACCCTAGAGCACCTGTGCTTCATGGGATCCCGTAACTACCGCTACAAGGGATTCCTGGACAAGTTGGCTACCCGTGTATACTCCAGTACCAACGCCTGGACAGCTACGGATCACACGGCCTATACGCTGGATACCGCAGGCTGGGAAGGCTTTGCGCGTATCCTGCCAGTCTACCTTGAGCATGTCATTGCTCCCACTTTGACCGACGAAGGTTGCTATACCGAAGTTTTCCATGTCGATGGCACTGGAAATGATGCCGGTGTCGTTTACTCCGAGATGCAGGGCGTGCAGAACAATGCAGCTGAACTAATTGACCTGGAGGCCCGGCGGTTGACTTATCCGGAGGGTAATGGCTTCCGTTACGAGACTGGAGGCATGATGGAACAGCTGCGTGTCTTGTCTGCGGAGCGGATTCGCGAGTTCCATCGCGAGATGTATCAGCCCAAGAACCTATGCCTGATCATTACCGGAGAAGTCGATCAGAAGAACATGCTCGATATTCTGGATAAATTCGAAGACACAATCTTGGATGTTATTCCTAGCCCAGAGGCGCCTTTCAAGAGACCTTGGGTGGACTCCGTACAGGCTCCTTATCTGGAGAAGTCAGTTATCAAGAAAGTTGAATTCCCCGAGGAGGATGAAGACTTTGGTGAAATCGAGATCCGATTCATGGGACCTGACTGCACCGACCCTATTCAATGTACGTTTTACAAAGCTCTGCTCTTTGGCTTTCCTTGGACAAAACTAACAATGCACAGCCGGAGCTCTCAATGTATCTCTTTTGTACCTCGCCGGCTCATCCGCTGCTCTTTTAGAGAACATCATTGTTGAGAAAGAGCAGCTCGCTAGTGCCGTGTACTATGCAACTGAGGACCACCCCAGCATGGAGATTCGTTTCACTCTGACCAGTGTCGAGACAGCAAAACTCGAAAAAGTTGAGAAGAGATTCTTTGAGATTCTCCAGGATGCCATGAGTAAAGACTTGGATATGAAGTATCTCAAAGAGTGCATTGATCGTCAGCGCCGGACCTGGAAGTTCTCAACAGAGACCTCTGCCTCCTCGTTCGCAGAGTACGTCATCTCTGACTTCCTGTTTGGAAAGCGAGATGGCTCGACCATGATGGATGTTGCATCGCTCAAGGAGTATGACACTCTAGAGACCTGGTCTCAAGACCAGTGGCGTGATTTCATCAAGAAGTGGATCTCCGATGCGGCCCATGTTACCATCTTAGGTGTGCCGTCCCACAAGATGTCCGAGACATTGAAGAAGGACGAGGAGGACCGAGTCGCCGCGCAGAAGGAGCGTCTTGGCGAGAAGGGCCTCAAGGAGCTTGCTGATAAGCTCGAAAAGGCCAAGGCAGAGAACGACAAGGAGATTCCTCAGGAGCTCTTGGAGAAGTTTGCAATCCCTGGAACTGAGTCTATCCACTTTATGGATACGACAACAGCTCGCTCGGGTGCTGCCTTGAAGGCTGGGCGTCCTGACAACAAGATCCAACAGGTCGTCGATGCCGACAAGTCTGACCAATCCCTCTTCATCCACTTCGAGCACATCCCCAGCAGCTTTGTTCAGCTGGCGATCCTTATCTCTGCTGACTCCGTGCCCGTTCAACTGCGTCCCTTGCTATCCATCTACACCGAAGCGTTCTTCAACGTTCCCGTCCAGCGTGATGGCAAGACAATCGACTTTGAGCAAGTTGTGGTCCAGCTGGAGAGAGACACTGTTGGATACTCAATGGAAAATGCCCGCGGTCTTGGAAACTCAGAGATGCTCCGTGTGTCCTTCCAAGTCGAGCTGGAGAAGTACGAGAATGCCATTGCCTGGCTGCAGGAGCTGTCCTGGAAGTCTATCTTCGACGTGGAAAGACTCCGTGCCATCAACACCCGCCTACTGGCCGACGTGCCCGACTCTAAGCGCAGCGGCGATGACATGCTCGCCGCAGCCCATGTGATGGTTCACTACGCCCAGGAATCAATTGTCCGCGCTCGTTCCACTCTCGTCAAGGCTCGCTACCTCAAGCGCATCAAGCGCCTGCTCGCTGAAAACCCCGAAGAGGTCGTAGCCCGCATGGAGGAGATTCGCACTTCTCTCTTCCAGCCCGACAACGTCCGGGTCATTGTCATTGCCGACCTCGAGAAGCTCAAGAACCCCGTTTCGGCCTGGAAGTCCTTTGCCGAAACCCTGGGCACCAGCACTGACCTGCGACCCATCACCGTCCGACGCGAGCGGTTGAGCGACGCAGGAAAGAACATCGGTGGCAAGTCCTACATCGTCCCCATGCCGACGGTCGACTCGTCCTTTGCCTACGCCACCGGTCGTGGTCTGGACTCGTACGACCATCCGAAGCTGCCCGCCCTGTTGGTTGCAATCTCGTACATGAACGCCGTCGAAGGTCCCCTATGGGTTGCAGTCCGTGGCACTGGTTTGGCATACGGCACCAACTTCAGCTACAACATCGATACTGGCTTTGTCAACTTTGATGTGTACCGGTCTCCCAATGCCCACAAGGCCTTCGAGTCCAGCAAGCAGATTGTCGAAGACCATCTTTCTGGTGCTACGCCTTTCGATCCACTTATGCTCGAGGGTGCCATTAGCAGCATTGTGGTTAACTTTGCCAATGAGCAGATGACTGCTGCTAGTGCTGCTCAGGGCAGTTTCATTCGCCAGGTCATTCGTAACTTGCCTAGTGACTACAAGGAAAAGATGCTTAAGAATGTGCGCGGTATCACCCTCGATGAGATCAAGGGTGCTCTTCGTGAGATCATTCTGCCACTGTTTGCTCCTAAGACGGCCAACTTGGTTGTCACCTGCGCCACTGTCTTGGAAGAGGTGAGTAATATCTTCTATATTTGTGCCTTACATATACTAACATATATTCTTAGACTATCAAGCAGGGCTTCGAAACCTCAGGATTCACTCCTACTGTTCAACCTCTGAAGGAATTCGAGGATGACTATGGTCTGAAGGCTGGCGATGAGGAAGAGGAAGAGGAAGACGATGATGACGAAGATGATGAAGACAGCGAGGAAGGCAGTGAGGATGACGAGTGATGTGCATCATGAACCCCATGCATTACAGGTAAAGTTAGAGGGTAGATCACTTTTATACCAGAGTGTCGAGAGACTCTAGATAAACTAGGCATGACGAATCTACTCTCATACTCAAGCACATGACCCATTTCCAAGTACATGTAACCTCCAGAAGCAAAACAAAACAAAGACAAAGCTGAAAATTCAAACTACATGAAAGTTTCACACCTCCTCTAGCAGAGGTAATATGGTACACGCCAGACAAGACCCGCCACGTCGTCCTGTCTGAACCCCAACCCCATCTCAAAAGACATCAATGAAAGCAATTAGTCTCGAGAATCCGGATTCAGTAAATCCCCTCTATGTTCCCTCCATCGTGGCCACAAACCCAGGCCAATAACTTAACACAATGATACAATGAATCCCAATCTATCCGTCACAACACACATTGGTATAAACCTTCCCGCCCAAGCAAACCACCAAATTACCAACTCAACTCCTTCCGCCCCTTCATAAGCCTCCTCGTAAGCGTCTTTCTTCCATTCCGATCCTTCTTCCGCGCCAGATACCCATGGCGACGCTTCTGCACCCGCCGCGACGGCCGGAAAGTGACACGGCGCACGCCCAGCGACGCACTAGCCGAGAACGTCCGAGTCTGCTGTGGGACCTGGCCAGTTCCAGCGCGGAGTGATGACAGTGGCGAGAAGGACGTTGTGAGTGTTGAGGGAAGGCGGGAGCCGAGTGTTGATGGTTGGAAGCGGGTTGGGGTTGAGAGGAGGGAGAAGGGTCTGGAGGTGAGGATGGCGGATGTGGTTGGTTGTTGGGGGATTTGGGAGAACCTGTGTCCGAGGGGAAAAGAGAAGGTTAGTTATATGCGGTTTCTTGGCCTCGTGGTCTGGGATGATTGAGGGTTTATATGGTTCGGTTTGGGGGTTGCTTTTGCATACCTGGTCATTGGGGCTCGCATGGTCGACGTGGAGGCCCGGATAGCCTGGGGCAGGGCCCCGGTGCGGAGGCTGAACATTTTGAATGCCCGATTTGGGGTAGGCGGTTGAGGCGGGTTGGGAGGGCTTGAGCTGGGGGATGTGAGGCCTTCAAGACGCGGTGTCGGAAGTTCGACAGAAAATTAAGCGCGGAGCCGCCGAGGCACGGACCCGCCTGGAGATGTATGTCTGCAGTACTGGGCTATTGGGCTCGATATTGATATGGGGGTTGTTTTAGTTATAAATTTGATTGTATTCTTTTGCTAAATCCTTTCTTCTACACAGTTTCACCAAGAACTGAAGCAATTGAAGCATCGCTTGCCCGTTATGCATACTTACCTAATCGGGCCTAGCGTCTTCGAAACTTTTTGATCTCAAGATGCGAACTGCTCGCCGTCGCCCATTCCACTCCCTGCGCTGCGAGCAAACCACCCTCAACTCGGCAGAAACACCGACTTCCAGCTCCCTCCAAACAACCGCTGGGCAAACCCCTCTATAGCCGCCACCAACCCGCCTATCGGCGAAAAAACCACCTCTAAAATGGCAACCAACGGCCCCTCCACCCTCCCCCCAACAACAGTGCAAAGCACCACAACAATCAGCCAGTCAGCCGCGCACGATTTCCTAGCAGCTTACCTGGACCGCGCAGCCACAGACCCATCACTGCAACCGAACGCTAGCATCAGCGAGCACGGCCCCGTCTCGCGCACGACAGCCGCAGCACCAAACCTGATCCTGCACAACCTGAAGCGCGTGCAAGCAGGTCTATCTGGCGAACACCTGGGTCGCGATTTGACTGTTGCCAAGCAGAACCCCGGCGAGGAATATCTGGATATTGCGGCTGGTGTTGTGCCGAACACCCAGGAGCAGGAGCAGGATGAGGGCAATGATCTTGAGATGAACGATGCCCAGTTTGAAACTGAGGCTGAGGCATTTGCGGAACAGGAGGCTGGGATTGATAAGGAGGAGCGCAAGAGGAAGAAGAAGGAGAGACGGATGGCTGAGAAGAAGAATAAGGCTAAGGCTAAGGCTAATGTTGAGGTTGAGGTCGAGGAGGATTCTGAGTGAGTGGTTATATACCTGTTTGGTTGTGGGCGTTGATGCATTGGGTCGGAGTACTCTTTTTTATTTGTTATATCTATCATTCTGGGCTGGGCTTGGATTTAAAAGTACAAAAGTAGCTTGCATCTCACGTCTGGACAAAATTTTATGGAGAATTTAGAGGGATTGCTTCAATTCAATAGATGGGATATTCCAAGCCTCGCTTTTGACCTGTTGAGACTAGAATTAACTGCTTCAACTGACACTGTAGACCGGAAGAAAAGAAAGAAAAATCTCGCACGCCTGCTTTACAGCTCGCGGTCAGCTGCCTTGACGGGCGTCTCACTGTCCTCCTCCTTGCTGCTAGTGACCTTGCCGCCCTTCCAGCCAAGCGCAGCGAGACGCTCAGTGAGGATGGGGTGCGAGTAGTGGTAGCTGGCATAGAGCGGGTCAGCGTCCATGGTGCTCAGGTTCTGGATCTGGAGCTTGAGAAGCGAAGAAGCGAGCTTGTCAGAGTATCCAAGCTTCTGAGCAAACTCATCGGCTTCAAACTCGAACTTCCGGCTAAGGATGTTCATAAGGAGCTTAACGACAGCGTCCATGGGGGCCAGGGCATCGGAGAACAGCAGGAAACCAATCATGATGGGCTGTTGGTTGACAAACCCAAATGACTGGTAGAGTGACTTGTTGTTGACAAAGACGGAGAACAGAGCGAAGATGTAGAACATGTGGAACTGGGCAATACCGAAGAGCTTAGTAGTGTGGCTCAGGCTCCAGTGACCAAGCTCGTGGCCGAGAACAGCAACGACTTCCTCAGGCTCAGTCTTCTCAATCAGGGTATCGTAGATGACAATGTGCTTCTTCCATGGCAGACCGTAGAAGTAGGCGTTGCTGTGGGCACTGCGCTTGCTACCGTCAATAACGTGGAGCTCGGAAAGAGGGAAGTTGAGCTTCTCAGCCAGCTTCTCGACACCAGTCTTGAGTTCACCAGGCTGAAGAGGCGAGAGCTTGTTAAACAGAGGCAAAATTGCAATCGGGTAGATGGTAATGGCGAAAACCTGGAGGAAGACTCCAAACAGCCAGAGGTAGTAGTAGAATGAGGTATCGAATTTCTGGACGATCTTGAGCACACCGGTGATGATGGGAGCTCCAAGAACAATTCCGAGCATCTGACCCTTGAGCATATCCGTGATCCAAAGCTTGAGTGTCTGCTTGTTGAAGCCGAACTTCTCCTCGAGCACAAAGGTGTTGTAGTACGAGACGGGCAGCGAGAGGACAGTGCTTAAAATGTTGAAACCGAAGAAGAAGACCAGAGTTTGACAGATTTCGCCTTGGAACCGATCGGGGAGGTACCGCGCCAGCAGCAGGCCGCTAACGCCCCAGAGCTTGGGGAGGACATCGCCGTAGATGAATGCGAGGTTTTGGATTTGACCGTAGAGACCGGAGAATAGACCGAACTTGGCCTTTGCGCGACCGTATGCCTGTTGTGATATTCCAATGAGCTTTTGTCTATAATCAGTGGTTGCCTCATTCATACCTGACTTTGGTCATAGACCTTTTGGGTGACCTCCCCTTCGAGAACCTGGGGAGGCTTAGTTCGTTGCAGAATCTTGTATTGACGGAGCGAAAGAAGGCCCTCCAGGACGAACTGGCCTAAGGAGAAGCCCACAAGCACGTTCTTCCATGGAAAGAGCGGGCGATCGAGAAGGCGCGCCAGTTGCTGGAAGCAAGTGATTAGCAAGGTCATAGTGCACTGCGAAAAGTAGTTCGAGAAACATATTGAAGAACGTTTCATGCAATGAAGGGCAATGTCAAGAGACATGTGACACTGTAGTCAACTCACCTCGAGAATATACATGATTGAAGTCGCGCAAGGCGAAGAGAGGAAGTTGCTGTGTCTTAAAGGACAGAAGTTACTTTGTTGTTGCGGGCCTTAGTCAGATCTCGTCCTGCAGGCCCCCGGCCCTGGAGAGTCCTACCACGTATACTAACTAGTTGGGTAGACTATTCGAGTGTCTCTGGAAAGAGTAATTATGTGATATTTTACAAGGGCTTTTTGTTTCAAGTGAAACATACTATCTCCAAGTAGACAGGTGTTGTTCTTTTTCACTATATGTAAGTTGTTATCCGAATGCTTGGATTGTCAAAACCCTCGCTTTTATGCTCCTCATTTGGTTTTTGCATAACTCTGAGACTATTGCTATGTGCTTTTGTTCCAGTTTGTATAGAGTGTAATTCAAAATGTTGGTGGCTTGTTGGACGCAATATTATATATATATAACCCGCTTTTCATCCACACCACATCGATCTAAGACCTAGCCCTACTTTATATTTCGAACAGGAGAACAAGAACACATTGAACATGCAAAGCTCCTTAATTGTCATAATCATGACTTCCTCCTACATTTTTGATCACAGACCTATATAGGTCCTTATCTACACAAGATCCGACGATGCAGACACAAAAAGAGCAATGAACAGGAAACCTCTTGAAAACAACTCCCTCGAAAACAAAACAAAACACATCTTTCATTCGCTGACTTCACCTGCATCCTGGTAGTCTTCCATCCTGCAGACCAAACCCTCTGTCAGGCTGTCGTGAGTTAAACATGGCAGCTGACATGCGTGAAGCAGGCAATCTGATAAGGTGGCGACAATGCAGGGATGCATGTCTCCTCTCCCGTCCTCTCTCTATCTGCCAGGGGAAGCAGGTATATCATGTGTTTACTTTTTCCGATTCGTCATGACCGTAAAAATTTCTGCGATCTATGATCGTAAATCGCAAGACTCGTGGTTCGAGGGTTGGCGGGCGGAGAGACCGTTGGTCGAAGATGTAGCAGCATTTTGATTTGCGTATTTTCCTCGACGTAACAGACCTCTTTCCCTGAACCTCCCCATTTCGAACTGGGACATCATTCAAGGAATTGCTTTACTGCTGAACGGGCTCAAGGGTGTTACCACTGTAGAGAAATAGATAGTCAGCATATGCCATCAAAGTATTACTAGGCCTGTAGAACTTACGCAACAATGTTGGCCCATCCAATGAGACGCCAGTGCTTCTCAATTCTGCGAGAGATGGCGATCTTCTCGCCAACTTCCGTGCAAGCGGGGCTGGTCAAGCTGAGCTTAGCGGCATCAGCCTTGACACCGAGAACCTTAGCACCGGTGGCAGTAGAGCCAATGTTGACCATGAGAACCTCGTTCTTGGCGAGCTTGGCAACCTTGGCCTGCTTGCCGTCGGCGGTCTTGACACCGAGAAGGCGGCGGAGCAGGAAGTAGTTGACCTCGATCTCAGTGTAGATAGCAGGGAGACGGCCACGGTGACCCAGGACGAAACCGACGAGACGATCGGCACGGCAAAGCGTGGGGTCGACACGGGTACCGACACCGATAAGACCACCGGGAACGGCGAACTTGAGGTCGTTGTGCTCGGCAAAGAGGGAGACAATGCGGGAGAAGATGGGACGGCACTGGATCTTGCCCTGCTCGTCCTTGGTGACAAGACCGGGACGGATCTCAATCTCGTCGTTCAGCTTTACGACACCGGTCAGGATGGAACCACCAGCAACACCACCCTTCAGCTCGTCGATCTCGGCGCCGGGCTTGTTGACATCGAAGGAACGAATGATCATCATGTGGGGAGAAGCCTCGAAGTTACGGGGAGGAATGGGGATGGTGTTGACAAGGGCCTCGTTGACGGCATCGATGTTGTACTTCAATTGAGCGGAGATGGGAATAATGGGGGAGCCATCAGCGACGGTACCACGAATGAACTTGAGGATCGACTGGTAGTGCTCGAGCGCACCTTCTTCGCGCATAAGATCGACTAGAAGAATGCGTTAGAAAATGAATAGAGGCATAAACCGAGATTGAGATGGGACAGATACCCTTGTTCTGGAGAATAACGATGTGGCTGAGTTTCATGATCTCAATAGCAGCCAAGTGCTCCGAAGTCTGGGGTTGAGGGCAAGTTTCGTTTCCGGCGATCAGGAGGAGAGCGGCGTCCATAACAGCGGCACCTGAAAGCATAGTGCTCATCTGCGAAGCTTGGGTTAGACACGAATCTCAAAGAACAGGGAATCCATAAAAGGTGGAGACTAACGAGAATATCGTGACCGGGGCAATCGACGAAACTTTGGGGAACCAAATGTTAGCTTATGTTCGACGCAGAAGGACCTTAAGATCGAGCCTGATGGGCGGATCAGGAGTTAAATGTACCTGAGATGACGCTATATCAAATGTTAGCTTGCTATCAGCAGAGAAAGCCCTATAATCGGGCAAAGGACGAGAAACATACCAACAAACGATAACGACCTGTGCATCCATCGCGCTCACAAGGAGGATCGACCTCCTTCTCACTCTTGAAACTCTTGTAGCATGTTGGCCGGGGGCATTCGGGGCTGTCACACTTGTAAATCTTCGCGTTGGCGTAACCGAGCTTAATCGTAATATTGCGCTCAAGCTCGTTCTTGAAACGAACAGTTTGCACCTCCGAAATAGCCTTGACGACAGTCGATTTACCGCTAGACAAATATTAGTAACTCGGAGGAAGAAAAGGTCGGAAGAGGGAATCTAACTGAGCGACGTGACCGATAGTACCTATAAAAATCCCGTTAGTCAATCTGGTGCCCGGAAAAGAACAAATTCACAGAATGTGCATTTTGGAGCGCAGAACCAGTTCCGCTGGGAGTCATCTGTTGCCCGCAAAAATGCCTCCCAACAAAAAAGGTCGAAACACAGTCACAATCCAACGATCACATACCGATGTTCTGAGTGGCTTGTCTGCAAATGATCTCAGGCGACAAAGGAGTCAACTTGGACAGATCGAGGGTCGAAGGCTCGGGCTGCTCGGGGAGTTCTGGGCGCATATGCTGGGGAGCAGGAGCAGAGGTCTTCTTCATCGCGGACTTGACGGGCTTCTCCTCAAGAGGTTCCTGGTCCTCGACCTCGCCGCGGGCGTTGTGGGCGTCGAGCAAAGGCGAGCCGGGCTGGGACCCCTCGTCGGAGAAATCGCCGTTGGTAGCCATGATTGCGAAATAGAAAAAAATCGATTCGCGAAAGGGAGAGAAAAGGTGGAGGGTGGAAGGTGGTCGGGTGAAAATTGCTTCCGATACTGATGAAAGAATGTAGGTGGGGGGGATTGTGTGCAGTGGAGAGCCACTCGGGCGGTGTCTAGATGGCAAGATACTCTACACTTGTATAGCATCAATGCTTGATTGTATTTCTGTTTTTATTTTATATGGTGTGTAGTTTGTAGTTTGCCGAATTAATTGTGGACTTGGAGAAATTCCAAAATAAGGGCGTGTAGGGAAAGGTTACAGTAGAGAACTTATTTCTATGTTTCTAATGCGTCAAACTTTTGCTCATGAATACATTGCCGTTGTTTTATCAATGGTACAAAGGGTATAACAGGTGAGAGCCACGTATTACTCGTCGTCGCTGTCACTGGAGTCCTCCTCCTCGTTCTCCGAACTCTCCTCCTCAGAGTCAAACAGTGTAGATGGGTCATCTGCAGGCAACATGACAAAAGATGCTAAGCAGGTGATGCGGTTACCAGTCTCATAGGTAGTCAAAACCCTTCCAATCTGAGCATTCGTATCCTTTGCCTTTGCAAGGTCCTTTCCGGCGGCCTTCCATACACGAACCACTCCATCGCTGCTGCCGGTCACAACCAGGAAGTCATTGCGGTATTCCTTTGCTTGCTCTTCCAAGCCGAGGATCTCAAAATCCTTGATGCGGCCAGCATAGCCAGCCTGCTTTCCACCAAGCTGAGCAACGGGGGTGGCATGGGGGATTGAGCAGTCGGGATCATTCTCTGGTTCTTTCAGATCCTTGGTTGAGTAGAACATCACCCGGCCATCTTCTGTGGAAACTACCAGGAAGTCCTTCTTCTCATCACCCTCCACAGGCAGAGAAACATATTTCATCTGATGAAGTTTGCTCCGAGGTCCCGGAACAACTCTGCACTTGGGAGTTGAGTCCTGTGGCTGATAGTCAGAACCTGATTCGACAAAATACTAAGCAAGAAACTTACAATTCCAAAAACTACTGCACCCCATTCAAATGCAACGGCAAACTCCTCTCCTGGTGAGTCCCAAACAATGCGGCGGCCTTCGCCGCTGCTAAATCTCGACTCGTTAACACCCATCAGCACCTCCCTGGTAAAGTTCAACACTCCGGCCTTTCTGCCGGTCACCAGGTTCCACAATCTCATACACCTCTCACCCTTGCCAAGAGTCAGCATGAGCTTCATACTGGGGTGCACTGCAAAGTGGTTCACTCCAGACGGAGCACCGCCGAGTGGTGCGGTATCACCACTTGGCCGTCCTTGAACTTTGGGGTTTGGCGCTTTAATAGTTGAAACGACAGACCAATCACGGGTCCTGGAGATAGAGATAGTGTTGTCTTCACCAGCAGCAAGTAGTTTGCTTCGCGAAGGGAAACTCAAGGAAGTTAGGCTGGCAGTGTGATGCAGCAAGGATCCTAGTTCGCGATTCCGGGGATTTTCGAGGATTTTGTTTCCGGCGAGGGTGGGCACGGAGGGATAGTCGTCATTCACAGCAGGAGGAGCAGCGGAGATGGAGTACAAGTTGATACGTTCATCGGTACTACCGCTAGCTAGCATCACTTTCTGAGACTCGGCAGAGTCGGTGACCTTGGGCAGTGGTGACAATGCAAGACAACGGATTGCAGATCCATGGGCCTCGAACAAGAAGGTGTCCACACATTCAAACTTGGGAGAGTCAGCCTCAGTCTTGGCCTTCAGGCTGGCAGCTGGGATTCCTGCTGTGAAGCCATGCAGGACCCGCTCATAGGAGCCAGTAATGACTTGCACAGTGAGAGCCGCATCGGGGGATTCTGATGGCGTTGGGGCGGATTTGGTAGTCTTGGACGAAGGAACAGCAGGCTTGCCCTCCTTGGGGGCATCGGTTCTCTTGCGTTTAACCATGACTGTATAGCAATGCTTGTTTGATGTCGAAGCTTGGGGTGGATAACTTTTTTCTTTTGCTTTTCTGCCGGTAGTTTATCGCCGCCCGATAACATGTGGAGCCTTGGAGCCTTGGAGCCTTGGAGCCATATGTATGAGGTGTCTTTTAATGCCTGATACACCAGGCCAGAATTATGCTGCCTCAGGTGTCAACGTTACCGCAAGCGGAGGAATGAGACGATTACGCATTACATGCGATGTTACTTGGTGAGAGAAGCCAGTTCCAACTCCCATAAACACCTGATAGCTCATCGAATATTACATTTCTAGTGGTAATCGCCCTTATTGAGTTCCCCTAGACCTAAGGGACGAAGTACCAGGTACTTGGCAGACCCGTGTAATTTTTGTGAGGGAGCGAGTACTGTACCCAAACCACCCACCCGTCCTTTTTCCCAAACATTTTTTCCATACCGTAACCTCATTTTCACCCCCTTCAAAAGAAGACTCTGCTCTCCATCACTTCACTCCCTCTCTCCATCATTTTTATCTTGTCCGAGCGATTTTTTCCATCTGGATGACCTCGCTCAATCCGTTCCCCTTGTTCCCGCGTTAATCGGATGCTGTGTTCCCAAGCTAGACTCCATGCTCCGCGACGAGCTCCTTCGGTCTAAAAACGATGAGATCGCGTAAGTATTAATTATCTGTCGCGTATTTTTTGATGTTTGAAGGCTCGAAAATGAACCTTTTACTGACTTGGTGGCTAGAAACTGTTTGTCGCGCCGAAAGCGCAAGCTCAGCGCATTGTATCTAGCCACGGTCGGGTTTGGCGCGACCGAGGACTCGCATTACCAGCAAAAGGAACGAGCATTTCTCGACGCCAACGACCTCTCCAAGTGAGTACCTTGTCTACATTACTCTACTCCTCTATTCCCCATTGCAATTATTTAATTTGGTGATTTAATGCCGCAATGCTGATGCCCTATACAGAGGTCGATACTTCGATGAAGCTACGCTTCCACTGCCTGCCCATGCGCATGCGCGTTCTCCAACCAGAAGCTCAGTCTCCCCGACAACAGCTTCTGGTACCAAGACCAAACCTATTACCGAAATTACTCCCCCATCAACCTTCGACGGCGGTGTCCCGCAAGTGACCGAACCGATCCAAAGCGAAACACCCGCACCGGCGCATCCTGGAACTGCAGCTCCCAATGTCGCGCCTACTACAGGAGACACAGATGGAGCACGTCGGCCATCTGTGCCAACCATCTACAAACCGCCAAAGGATCTCGAACTGCTACCGACGACTGCGCCAGCCCCCCAATTCTCGCGCGATCAGAAAGGCAGCGCACCAGCCTTCGATGCCAATCAAGATGGAAACGAAGCCAAGGTCTCTCGCACAAAGATTGCTGCAACAGGTGCTCCCTCACTGGAGATCCCCTCCGACACCCACCGAAGGAAAGAGGCACGGCCGTCTCTGACTCTAGGGCCCTCTAATACCGAACAACCTCTTTCACCCGCCTCCTCTATCGACCCTTACTCTAATAATACACCCGTACCGGCCGCCGCATCACCCGACACAAGCCCTGCAGAAGAAGTGGCCGAGGATGCTGAAACAATCAGTCGTCCACACAAACATGACCGATCACGATTAAGCTTGGTCCCGTCAACACCCGATGAGCAATTGCGCCTCGAACAAGCCAGCTCGATACAAGAGAGGCCCGCAGATGTCAATGCCGGTCTGCCTTCCTCGAACGAGGTAATCAAGGAGAGCGCAGGAGCTGAAGACGCGCAAGATGAAATGGATATCGACCAAGCCGCTCCCGAGTCTGAAGTGAAGCTCCCAGCATCAAAATCTGTGTCGCCATCCACAATGGACGTTACTGCTGATTCTGTTACACCTGTCAAGAAACCGTCATTGTCTATCCCTCCTTCTCAGCCTGGATCGTCACAACCAGAGCGCATGACTACCCGAGTTTCGTCGGGAGCTATCCGACATAAGTCTGTTTCTGAGATTCTCGGAGAGACTCCGCGGAGTCACCATGAGAGAGTCCCACTCACACCCTCCGAGCAAGGCTCCCCCGATTCTGTTGCCAGAATGCGCTTCAAGGACCGAAAAGACCGAGAGAAGGAGAGAAGTCGACTTTCAACAGTGGTTTTCCCTAAGCAGCAGCCCTCTCAACCTGAGTCTACAGACTTGCTGCACAGAGACATGGATGCGGTTGCCAAGTTGAACGAGGAACAAGATTATCTGTTCACGCTATTCTTGAACCGAGCCTACGCTCCCCCACGAGGAACAAACCTCAATACTCTATTGGCGTCCGCACACAAGACATTGAGTACCAACAACCATTTGCTTGAATACCAAGAGTCCATGGATTGTCGTACTTTACGGCGCATTTACGCACTTCAAAACGCCAACCGGTGGCCCTTGCGGCAAATGAAGCGTTCCGTCGAACCTCCCCGCCAAGGATCACATTGGGATGTAGTGCTGGATCACATGAAGTGGATGCGAACTGACTTCCGAGAGGAGCGCAAATGGAAGCTTGCTGCCGCAAAGAGCTGTGCCGATTGGTGTGCCGAATATGTCAACAGCGACGAGGAACACCGGGCTCTACTACGTGTTCAAACGAAGATTCCTTCGCCAACCTTGGCCGAGAAGGATGCAGCAAAGGCCGGTCCCAGTCCGCCTTCTGAGGATACTGGCGATGAAGCATTTGGTGGCTCTCATCCCACTCCGGACCTTATTCCATCTGCCGAGGAGGAGTCGGTCAGTGACGGATTCAACGATGAGCCCAGACACGACCTTCAAGACACTGTGACTCCTGCCGCTATCTTCTCCCTAGGCTCGGATGAGTTCAACTTCTCAATTAACATGACTCCTGCTGCTGAGAAGCTGCTAGACGAATTGCCGATATATGGGCCATTGCAAATGACCCCTGGGACGAATGTACCGAACTTCAAAGCACCCCCTGATTCAGTATGGAAGACGGAGCTTCTGCCTGTCTCCAAATTTGCGTCGACCAAGATCACCTTCCATGATGACGAACGTCCTCGCAAGCGGAGCAGATATGACTTCTCCCAGTATAACAATGATTCCGAGCATCGCATTACCGATCTTCCCCCCGAGCAGACTAATGTCGCCCTTTTCCGCCCCGAGAACAAACCCATCCGGGATCGCATTCACCCCGGGCATTCATTCCGGCCTCCAACCGAACACCCAATGCCATCTGTTGGGTTCTTTGAATCACGTCAGTCATCACAGTGGACTTATGCTGAGGATGATGAACTGCGACGCTTGGTCAAGGAGTATTCCTACAACTGGTCTCTAATTTCCAGCTGCCTAACTCCATCGTCTATTTTTACTTCTGGCGCTGAGAGACGGACTCCTGGGAATGTTTCGAGCGATGGGTGGGACTGGAAGGTCTTCCGGCTGATATGTCCAAGACACAATACTTCCGGGCCTACCACCAGAGGCTTGAAACCGCTCAACGTACCGTGCTTGCTCAGCAGGCGGCTGCTCAACAACAGCAGCAACAACAGCAGCAACAACAGCAACAGGGCAACAGCGGTCCGCCTCAGCCACCTATCCGCCGGAGGTCCACACAGCCTATTCGTGTTGACAGGAGACGGTCATCGAAACATCTTGCTTTGCTTGATGCCATGCGTAAGCTGGCTAAGAAGAGGGAGACTATGCTTCAAAAGCAGCAGCATGGTCAGTTTTAACTGAGATTTTCAAACACATTAACACTGACATTCTATATAGCTTCTCATCTCGCTTCATTACGCAAGGCCAATGAGGCTAATCAACCCAAGCCCCCGATCTCATCGCCAGCTGAATTCAGTCGGCTGAAGTACGACAGAGAGATGAAGTTGCAGGAAAGGCAAGAGCAATACCGGCAGCAAATGATTGCGCAACAGAGAGTGAGTACCCCTTGATTTCCACAAGAGAGCTTTTTCTTTTACTAATCTCTCATCTAGGCTAGTCTTGCAGCTCAGCGTTCCGGTCAAGCGCCTAACCAGCCAGCGGCAAATGCCCCAGGGCGCAGCAACACGAACATGCCTTCCGCCTCCAACCCCAGCCTGCCAGGTGGTACTCCGAATGGAGTGCCTAATGGCATGCAGCCTAGTGCCGGTGTCAATCAAGGCCGCCCTCTGCCAATGCAAAACATGCCGGCGGGCGCACAGTCAAACGGCCAGATGCCCAACGGTATGGCTATGAAGATGATGCCCAATCAAATGCAAGGAACAGGCGCGAGACCTGGTATGGCGATGCAAACATCCCCCGATAACACTCGCGTCATTCGAGAAGCGAATCGATTGCAGGAGCAGCAGCGCCTTCTCCAATCTCGGCAACAACCGCAAGGTCAGCAGCAATTCCACAACCAGCAATTTTCATCCCAGGGATCGCCGAATCTGAACATGTCAAATGGCACCCCCAACAATCCAGCCATGATGGCCGCCATGCAGGCCCAAGGAGGAATGCAGAGCCCATCGTTCCACGGTGGCACGCCTCAAGGCGTATCAACCCCGTCGCCTCGTATGGGTCAGCCGAATCCTCTTTCGAGCGGCATGGTGCCACAAATCAGTACGATCCAAAGCCAGATCCAGCGCAGCAACCCGAATATGCCCCCTGAGCAGATAACTAAGTTGGCTACTGATCGACTCAATCAGTACCAACAGTCGCAACAGCAGCGCTTGTCCCAACAGGCCGCGATCAATGCTGCTGCGGGTAGCATCAATGCGAATGCCATGAACGCGAATTCTGTGCAGGCTAATTTCCAAGTTCCCCACGATGGCAATTTCCAGACTCCTTCGGCGCCCAACATGGCGAACGGTAATTCCGGGATGCAGGTCCCCCAAAATCAGGGATTTTCCCCGATGATGCGGGTTCCTCAGCCTGGCCAACAGAACCGCGCTGGCCCAACTAGCTCGCCCGCCATGAACGGAGCTGTCACCCAGCCTAGCCGCAGCGCCACCCCTCAAACCCAACGCAGTGGCAGTGCCCAAGCCGGCGTTCAAGGCTCCAGCAAGAGCCCGCACGCCCCAGCAGCCCAGACAGCAACCAGCTGAAGGACCAGCTAAAGCAGTCTTCGTGGCACACTGACGCATCTGTCACAACCTCCTCCCTCCCATTCTACCTTCAACTGTACATACTTACACCACACCTTACTTTGATTTATTACCCCCTCTTTGTCCTCCATCCTTTCTTTCTCCTACCTCCGTTGATTCGGATTATCGCACTACACCTCGCGCTACCCTTTATCTACCCTATCCCTCCCCCTTTGACTCCCGTTTGCGTGCTCTTATTTCTTTACCGTTCGAAAACCTCGATGTTCCCTCAATATAGCGGACTCGATATGCACTGGCTCCTTTTTACTTACCAGTGCTTCTCTTTTTTTTCTGGGTCTGGGCTTGTATTATTGATAGGATTAGGCGAAACCTCTGGGGCGGACGGATTCTAGGAATTGAAATGAATTGTATGATTAGTTTTGAACTTGCCTTTCTCCCTGTAAGGTTTTGTATTTGTCTCTACGGGTATGAAGTACGAGTAAGTAACCGCTTGATCACTGTGGAACCCCATGTACGATGGATGTGTTGTGATATGATCAAAGGCGTACGAACGGGGACGTTAGGCTTTGTTGGAAGGTGTGCTGCTCTTGAAATCATGAAATCTATTTGCAATGTAGAATAAAAACAACGGAGAAAGAATAAAACGATACCAATACCAAAGCTTCAGCGTTGACCCATTTCAGTGTCCGACAACAGTATATGAGCAGAATTGCGCTCCCCCATACGCTCATCGAACATACCCATCTTGGTGAGGTAACGAGCCTTCTTAATAAGTCGACCAGGATGATAAACCATCAGCACAAGCATAGTCAAAAACATTAAAAAGGCATCAAAAACATAGATATAAGCCTCCTTAGTATTGACATCAGCCGTTCGACCAGCACCAAACTGTATAGTCCGCACCAAGTTTCGAAGCATCAACGCAAAACAAGAGACATAGATCGCCACCATATACCGCTGCCAATGAAGACCAGGGTTATGGTTAATCAGAGGCGTAGGCATTTGCTGGAGTCGTCGATGGAACTTCGCCGTGATGTAGATGAAGATGGCGAACACGACCAGGGAGAAGATCAGTCCGGCCAGAACAACCTTTTTGCCGATATCCATGACCTTGGCATCCCCGGTGACTTGGACACCAGCACCGCCAATTTGTGTACAGAATGTGAGAACATCGTTCATGACAAAGACAAACGTGAGCCATTTGACTCGCATGCTTGACAGGTGTTCGGCGTCGAAGGAGCGGATTACACGACCGAGGACCATGTAGACTGTAGCGGCGATGAGTGGCGGAGCGCACATGATGAGCATTTCCTGTAATGCCCATGACTTGATGTCCGTTCGAGATTCATGCGACCATGCTCTGCCGTAGTAACCGAATGCCTCACCTGGTGTGTTGGTTAGCCCTAAAGCTTCTATTCTTCTCAAGGGAATTGAGTGGGGTTCATACATATTCCACCTAGCACTAGAGGTATAAAATATGCAGCACGGAAGGGGAACATCAGCACTAAATGGACGATTGTTGAGATTCCGAAGATTGCCACGAAGGCATAGCCGGCTGAGGCAGACGGTGTATAGGGATAGAACTCGACCCAGGGATCGGATCCATTTACGCCGGGGTGGTAAACGATATCCATGTTGGGACCTTGGGGAAAGAGTATGGTGTATTTCCTTCAGTTTTACTACTGAGAAGTGGCCTATCTTTATAGATTGAAGGGTCTTTAGGTCAAAACAGCATAAGCTATTTCTAAATTCCCTATCGGGCAATTTGCGAACGAATACGTCTGGATGTGGGGCATCGTGGTCCACTTGGATCAGACTTTGCGGTTTATGCTTCTTTTTTACCGCGTAGAGGTTCATCCTCGATGTATTTTTGGAAACGCCGACATATGGACGGGGCAGGCTAGCAATTTATAACTTGGTAGGAGCAAATAAAGCTTTTAAGCAGAAACAAATGGTGCGGTGGTGCGGGTCTTGGGTCAATATGGCTCGTCGGGAAGTAGAGCGTGGAGTAGTTGCTGAGCTTGTTTTCCTGTCGGTCGCTCTAGAATGTGTGGTATTGTCTGGCATAATCGGCTACATGTAGCATATAATACCCCAGGACACAATATTCCAGATATCTTCTTGAACATGTTGACCATCAGGTTAGGGCTGGCGGACAGAAACGGAAATCTAAACGCGAATACGCAGAAACTTCCTGATTAGGCTCCGATCCCCAGTTTCAGACATCCAAGAATACTTCTAGTATGGCACGCATTGTCATCCCTCGATTTATCTTCAACCTAACCTAAACAATTGCTTGTTGCCTGCTGAAGATCTTCAGCATTCAAATCTGTCTCTGGACCGGTACATTTTTTAGTGGAGCGCCATAAGATCATCGTATTCGTTTTATTGTCGGCTTTTTGCACTCTTCTTTTTAGGTACAAGAACTGTTAATCCCCATCTCACTTCTTGCCATTGAATTCTTCAGTTACGTATTCCTTGTTTGGTACTGAAGCATTGTATATTCGACATGCTGCGATTCCTTCATCTTGCTATTATTTCGCTTCTGGCATTGACTGCCACCTCATCCGCCGCACCAGATTGCAAAACTTCACCTGCTAATTCGACGTGGCCGTCCCCAGAGGATTGGAATGCTCTTAACCAGACTATTCATGGAAGCCTCATCAAGACGGCTCCTGCTGGCTCCTCGTGCTATCCGGGCAATCCCCTCGGCTCCGCTGAAAACTGCACAAATGTGAAAGACCATTGGTCCTATGCAGCCTATCATGCAGCCTGGCCTGAAAGCATTGATTACTCTATCTATGCAAACAACTCGTGTCTACCCCCGGAGTAGATGGATACTCCAAAGACAAAGGGTGTAGTATCGGAGGCCTGCCGCAGTATATCGTGAATGCCACGTCCGAGAACCAGGTTGCCACTGCAATGCAATGGGCATCCCGAAGAAACATTCGAATTGTCGTGAAAGGAACAGGACATGATCTTGGTGGCCGGTATGTTACTTTCTTTTGGACTTCCTTTCTTTCTGACTCCATTTTGGTCTGACTTCAGTATCCTGACTAACTCTTCAACAGCTCCACTGGCGCTTATGCACTTTCCATCTGGACGCACAATTTCAAAAATATTGAGAGAAGACGTACCTGGAAGGTGCCTGGAAGCAACGCTACCCAGGATGTTGTTATCTGTGGCAGCGGTAACAACTGGGGATCTGTCTATACTGCAGTACACAAGATGAACCGGACAGTGGTTGGTGGCGAGGATGCCACGGTAGGCCTCGGTGGCTTGATACAAAACGGTGGACATGGTCTTCTTTCAAGCCATTATGGTCTTGCGTCAGACCAGGTTTATCAAGTTACTGTGATCACGACTGAGGGCAGACGCTTCGTCGCCAATGACGTCCAAAATCAAGACCTCTTCTGGGCTGTTCGTGGTGCTGGTGGAGGTCAGTATGGAGTCATCTCCGAATTCGTGTTGAAAACATACCCTGTTCCCGCCAACGTGGTAGCTGGCGGGCTCGCGTTCAATCCCGCCCAGAATTCGATTGCTAGCGGCCAAGCATCTTGGAATGCGATGGCCGAAGCAGCAGCCCAGATCCCTGACCTGATGGACAATGGACTCACAGGAACTGTGCTTGCATTGACCAAGAAGAAGGCTATGTCATATTTAGGACTCACGCAGGAATTGCCAGGCGTTTCGGCTATCTTCAGTTTGACTGGCTTCAACATGACCACTAAAGAGATGAATGCCACTCTCAACCGACTGGCTGATCAGCTCAGCGTTGGAAATGTCAACATTACGCTCCAATCACCCTCTTCCCAAGGCTACTGGTCATCTACCAAGCCAGACCCTCTTACCAGCGCCAGCAGTGGAGCCGTCAGTTTAATGACTAGTCATCTTCTGGGAAGACGTGAGCTTTCGAATATCGCAAAAGGAAGACTGGTCACATATCTCCAAGACATCATGGTCGCCCAGGATCCAACTGCAGGCTCAATGCTTCTGTTTGGACTGCAAGCCGGAAGAGGAACAGCCAGTGTGCCCGAAGAAAGGCGTGGAAGTACTCTTCCGGCCTGGCGTACAGCCTACGCTCATACAATGGCTTATGGAGTTTCTGTCAATGCTACCGCTGACCCGAGTCATGCATTGAGAGCCGGAGCAGACTGGTTAGATGCTACGCAAGAGCCTGTTTGGAAGGAATGGGCACCTGAGAGCGGCTCTTATATGAATGAAGGCAATCCTTTTGCCAGCAACTGGAAACATGACTTCTATGGAGAGAATTATGGCCGTCTTCTGGAGATTAAGCACAAGTATGACCCCACTGGGAGTCTGTTTGTCTGGAGTGGAGTTGGGAGTGATGAGTGGACCCATGATCTCAACAGTGGTCTGCTGTGTCGGGTTTGATTTTGTATATGTTGGAAGACGGAGCAGCTTGTACAATATGTATAGCAATAGGTCAAACATTGAAGTCAGCTAGAAATTCAAAGGATCATCTGTTGTGAAGTTATACTTCGCCGGTGTTAGGCGCAACCTTTTTTGCCACCGCCCGGTTTAAGCTCTCGAGATATCAGCTCCGCCTTCCTCTGGTATCTCTTCTCAAGCATTCTAAGTTTCTTAAAAAACACTTGGGACTGTCATGATGTCTTCACGCGACCACAATGGAGACGGGCAACCCTCGCCCAAGCCCATCTCCCTCTCTCTTTCCGGCTCAAATGCTCCCTCGAAAAAGACCGGTTTCAACCTCCAATCCTCGAATCGCGGCCGTGCCACCGACTCCCCAGCAGCTAAAGGCCGGTCTCTCCCTCGGCGGCCTCACCAACTAGCGCACGGCGATGACTCTGACGAAGAAGAAGCCGCCCCGGTTCACGAAGAAGTCTCAGGCTTCGACACGCATACTGGTGGCGCGATTACCGTTGACGGACAAGCGGTCGACGATAAAAACCAGCCACTGGTAATTCCAGTTACAAGCAAGAACAACTGGCGCGACCGAGCAGGTGTCAATGTGAAGAAGGGCAAGAATCTGCTTCCCCGTGAAGTGCAGGCTATGCAAGAGGCGGAAAAGAATGGACAAGCACCCGGTGGAGATCCCACGGTCGAGACAGATGCGCCGAGCATGGCATACGGTCTGAGTTTTGCGCAGCAGTCCGAAGCTCAGGAAGACAAGGGCGCAGCGAACGATGATCAAGCTATGCCCGATGCGAAGCCTGTTGCGACCAAGCCTCTTACCGACGACGAAATTGCCATGCAGGCGCTCATTCGCGAGACCAAGGGCGACGTGGAGCGGAGAACTGATCTTGTGATTGAGTCAGCTACAAAGGACGAAGATGAAGCCCCGGTTCACTACAGCGAGACCAGCTCTTTCCGGACAGATGTGGCTTCGCGACCAGAGTCTGCTACTTTGGATGCCTACAACGCCATTCCGGTGGAGGAGTTTGGTGCTGCGTTGCTACGAGGAATGGGCTGGAAGGACGGCCAATCTATCGGAAAGGGTAATTATGGTGGCGCCGCGGCTGCTGAGAAGGCGAAGAATGCCCGTGTCCCCGAACGACGACCTGGATTTCTCGGTATTGGCGCAAAGGATGCATCTGGCGGCAAAGGTGCTGAAGCGGAGCTTGGCGCTTGGGGTAAATCAGCCATGCGCAAGGCATCCAGGAAGGCAGGCGAAGAGAACGGAAAGGCAGAGGGTGTATATATGCCCGTCACGATGCGCAACAAGAAGACGGGTGAGCACCTTACCGAGGAAGAGCTCGAGGCCCTGAAAAAAGAGGCAAAAGCTGCCCCCAAGGAGGACGACTGGCGCGAGAGACGAGACCGCAACCTCGAAAAGAGCGGACGGGACAAGGACCGAGAATATCGCAAGCGTGATTATGATGACGAGGATCGCTCCCACCGGAGAAATGGGTCTTCACGCCGTGACCGCAGTCTATCCAGTGGCCGCCAATCCTCCAGGCGATCCCGGTATGATGACGACGATCGAAGCAGACGGGACGATCGTTCCCATCGCGATCGGGATTATGACCGGGATCGTCGCCGGGACCGCCATGATGGTAAAGACCGACGGAGAGACCGCGATCGAGATCATGAGAGAGATCGTAGTGATCGGAACAGAGACGATAAGTACAGCAGTTCACGCTCGTCCCACTCATCTCGACATGACCGGGACCGAGATCGCGATAGCGACTCTCGTCGCAGCCGTCGCGACGATTGAAAATATCAATTACTTGAACGGGAAATTGGGAGGATGTTGTATATCAGAACTTGCATTACACGAGATGCGCCTGACCACCATTCGGCCATTAACAAGTGTTACAAAAATAGCGATACCCTGGACAATAAAAGTGAAGAGTGACAAAGTAGTGACAAGAAATCCTATATCGACGTGAAGATGGCCAGCTACATGTACTCTGTATGTAATCATTTTTTCTAGAAACCGAGATCGAAGAGCCGTAATACACTGTTCAATTCTATAAAAGTAGATGGCTTTTATCCTTCCCACCGTGGTACTCCAAGAAAGAAAGCGCCAAATTCAATATACAAACATGGCAGAAGACAAAGCCAGATTATGCTTCCAACATAACAACATCCTTCTCATGCTCATCCCCGTTCCCATTGGCATCGTCCACAGTCAAAGCACTGAGACCACCAAGTCCAACACCACCATCCATCTCACCGAGCACCCACTCAACCAGGTAGCTGTCATCAACCAGCTCCTCAACTCGGCGGTAGTGTCTCTCCGTATACGCAGCCAGCGCCTGCAGGATATCCTTCAGGCCAGCAGCAGCACGGGCGTTTTTTCCGCGGACGGACTGGGTCGCAAGCTCCACGAACGTGGATGCAGGGTACGAGCGGAACAGGGCGTAGAGGATACGCTGTGAAACGCGCGCGGTGCGGGCATTGGTGTTCCAGTCACGGAGACGGAGGAGGAGAGTGCGCAGGTTGGCAGGATCCAGAGACTGCAGAACCTCGTCGATGGAAGGGTTACCGGTCAGACTGGCTGCGGCACGTTTGCGTTCCTCGGCTGGGAGGGTTGGGTCATCTGCGGCGTTGATGGCGGCTGTGAAGAGAGATAGAAGTCTACCAGGGTGGTTGAGTTGCAAGGCCAAAACGATGGCTTCGCGGTAGTTACCGGCCCGGATGTGGTTCTGCAGCTCCTGGTCCTGCTCAATGCGTTCGGAATTGGCGTGCACAGCGGCGGTGTATGTGGCCGAGGTGGTGTCTGTCCAGAAGGTGACTGTTGCGTCTGCGGAGCCGGAGGCGATGGCGTAGGGGGTGGAGTTGAGTTTGGAGGAGACCTGCTTCACGTCTGAACGGGAGCCGGATGGGGTGGGGCTGGCGAGGGCCCAGACTCGGTCTTCGTGGTTGTCCAGGGTGGTTTCGAGCTCGCCTGTGTAAGGGGACCAGATCTTGACCAGACCGTCTGCAGCGGCGGAGGCGACAAGAGGACGCGCCTGGATGGCGTTATGGCGTGCCGCTGCGGATTCTTCATCTTCGTCGTCACCGTGCTCGTTGGAGACCTGGGGAGGGGGAAGCCAGAGAACCTTGAGGACACTGTTGGTGTGGCCTTCGAAGGTCAGGAGACAGCTGTAGTCAGACAGACTCCAGAGCTTGACAGTCTTGTCACCGGAGCCTGTGACGGCCAGTCCTCGACTTGTGCTGGTACGTGCATCGGTATTGATAATTGGTGTGCCTTGGGGAGCGAATCGCACAGACCAAACACCTCTCTTGTGGCCGCGAAGAACACCAACTGGGGAACCTTCCTCGGCGGCCCAGATCTTCACGGTGCGATCTTGTGACGCCGAAGCAAACAACTCAGATGTGGAATCGATATCAATCGCGTTGATATCCTTCTCGTGAGCCTTGCGGGTATAGATAGCCTTGGGGAGTGCGGCTTGTCTTCCTTCAGAGGGGCAAGCTTGCTTGTGTCCCACCGCTTGATTGTGCGATCTTGCGAACCAGTAATCAGGAATGATGGCGGGTGGTTGACGGGGTCATTGTATGCGGCACTGCCAACTGGCGGTGGTACCCGGGGAAGGGCGATGGCTCCCAAAGACTCGGCGTGACCAGTGAAAATAGCAAAGCAGGTATAAGAGGATGTCTTTGGGTCAATACGCCAAAGACGTGCAGAGTTATCCTTAGCGCCGGTTGCTAGCCAGTGTCCTGACCAGTCCACATCAATGCAAATAATGATATCGTCGTGACCTTCAAGGTGTGTGACATCAGCACCGAAGTACTCCTCCTCTCCCTTGTCCGAGGGTCGGTCTTCCGACGGGGCAACCGACACGACACGGATGCTCTCAGTGTTGGTGGCTAATGCAAGCATTGATCGGTCAGGTCCAACATAGGCCAAATCAATAATCTCATCGTCGTTTCCAGAGATGCGACGGATGATTTTCAAGGGCTCCAATGTTGACCCGGGCTTGTAATCAGACAGGGACTCGAGCGAGTGGAGGCGAAGTGTCTGGTCTGCGTGAACAGTCAAGACAAAAGGCAAACCAGCCGAATACTGGATAGCGACAACGCTCTCGAAGTCCTCTCCGGCCTCTTGTTCCTCTGTGACCTCGCTGCCACGATTGCAGTCCCAAACACGCAATTTGCCATTCTCTCCGCCAATAACACAGAGCCCACTATCAGCAATGAAAGCAGCGGCTTCCACACTCTCCAAAACAGGAATGATTCTGCGAGTCTTCCAAGTGCGCGTATCCCAAACGATGACCGTCTTGTCTCGGCTGGCTGAGATCAAAGCGTTTTCTGAAGGAGAGAAGGATAAGCTGCGAACAAGAGAGACATGCGACTCGAGGGACGCAATGGACTTTCTCTTGTGCAGATCCCACACGCGCAATTTGCCGTCTTCGCTGCCGGACGCTAGGCGGAACCCTGCAGTAGAGCCTGCAGAAAAAGCGCCCTCGTCCATATCTTCATCGTCTTCCGTAGACTTGCGCTTGTTCTTTTTGGAAGATTTCTCGTCGGCAGTAGGAACCTCGAAGAAGCAAAGCGCAGAAATGACACCACCATGGCCGTGGAAAGTGTGCGTGACGAAGCCACCTCTAATATCCCAGACCTTGATCGAGCCGTCGGCGCCACCAGTAGAAAGCAAAGTACCAGTAGGATCAACAGCAATGGTCACGACTGGTGCAGTGTGGGGTTTAAGGGTTCGGAGAAGTTCTGTTTCAATGGTTTGAGAAGACTCGTCGAAAGGTGAGAGGGAGTATATGCGCATAGACATCGAGCGCGAGCAGACAATAGCGTGTGAAGCAGATGGCGTGACTAGAAAAGATGTTAGGCTTGAATCTCAACGAGAGCAATTGTTACTTACTGGCCAAACCGGTAACAATTTCTCCATCCTGCGTGGCTTGCGGTTAACACTTTGCAATTGACCCCAAGAAGAACAAAAGCGACAAAACCTACTCCTTCAAGACTGGCAAGCTGATTGCCGGTCTCCAGATCGACGATCAAAGCATCCTCGCCGACGCAGCTCAGCAAGATGCGCCCACTGGCGTCCAGCGCCGTACTACCGCCAGTGTAAATAGGGCGGAGCGTGCGAGACGCTTCGAAAGTAGTTTTGACAATAGCTTTCGACATGACTGTAGGATATTAAATCAGAATTCAGCCATGGAGAGAAGTTCAGTCGCAAAAAACGGCAGCTCGAGCGGGCAACTTTTTTGTTTGCTCTGTTTGCTCGGTGATAAGATATGGCGTGTGCCTCAGGCGCCCACCCGCATCACTTCCACCTTCGACTGCGCTTCCTTCGCATCTTTCTTGAAATGCGCGTCTATATAATCAGGGTACATCTCGCTTGCTTGCACTAGAAGGCGATGTAGCCAGGATACTGGCCCAGCTAAATTTCACGATATGGGTCGACAGGCCTACTTGAACCGGCTCGCTTTGGTAAGCGTCCTCTCTTGACTTGCGAATATCCTCTCTTTGCTTCAGATGCAATAATATATATGTGATCTATGGCAAGATGATCCCGACTTGATTTCTGGAAGCGGGATCTTCTGGATGTACCATGTGAAGCCATCTTATTGCCCCCGAGCACAACATATCATCTTGTTATGATGTCCTCGCTTGAAACAAACTACAGCTCGGCATATCAATCATACTGACTATTTTCAAGGGCCGGTCACCATATGAAGCACCGGATAATGCGGCGGTTGACCCTTCTAATCCTGTCCGACGGGTTTCGAGTGTCCACGCTGATAGCTACATGCAACAGTATGATGCTCGTGGCCACCCTGTAAACCCCGAATCCAGGTCTCTTGGGCGGGAGTTTCGAAGGGCAAAGAATGATATCCTTTCAACGATGGGAATTGTTGTCAGCGGAGGAGACCGAAACACGAGTATTCCAAACGAACAACAGAAGATCAACCAAATTGCGAGTGAAAACGATTTTGGACTTGTTATAACGACCCTTGACCAATTATTCGTCTTTTTCGGTACCTGGTGGACCTCTTCGTTTACTGGTCGAGTACAGGTAAATGCACTCCGATCGCTTTAGGGGTTAGACTAACACCTGGCTGTTATTGTCCAGACTTACAAACATTATGCACACGCTGCCTTGTTTGATGTCATTAAATCCGAGCGAGGATCAACAGGGATCCTCGGTTTCTATTTTGCAGGAATTCCTGCATGGGCAATGTCAAGTGGATTGGCCATTGCTCGCGAGAATCCGCTCAAACGCATTTTTGCCTCTCTACGGGAGTATGCCCAGTCTCTTACAGGCGAGTCACTTGGTGTTCGATCTCTTTTTGGACTCATCTACACAGTGTAAGTTCATTCTTTATCCACCATGACAGTAAGCAAGACTGAGACTGATGATGAATCAAGGGCGAAGAACACGGTGCTCATGCTCTCTGTGGAGTTCTACATGTATTCCATACTCCAATCCCTCTCTCTTGTGTCGCCCTACTCAATTCCCAGCGCTCAACTTCTCATTCCGTTTGGCAAGGGGTCCTTACTGCAGCTGCCGGCACTTCCTACTGATCTCTCTCCTGGCTCACTGGGCATTTCACTAGTGGGTCTATTGACCCATCCCGGCATCTTAGCCTTCGTCTATGGCTATTATTTGCGTCCGGATCTCGAAGAGCGTATCTATAGATTGATTCGTCGGCGTCTGCCGAAAGCAACTATTGCGGATGAGCTCTCAGTTCGAGTGGCGTTTGAAGAAAATCTGATTGAGTGGGTGGTGCCGACCCTGGGACGCAAATCAGA